AACTTTTAATTTTTAAATTTTTATTTTAAAATAATTAAAGTTTTATATTTTTATATTTAAATTTATATTTCTTTATATTTTTAAAATTATATTAATTATTTTAAATATTAATAATATTTTTAAAATATAATTCTATTTATATATAATTAAAATTTAATTATTAATAATTATTTTTATAAAATTAATAAAATTATAAATTTAAAATATTAATAAAATATAATTATTTTATTTAAAATTATATTTTAATTTAAAATATAATATATTTAATAATTAATTTTAAATATTTTATTTATTTAATTAAAAGTATATATTTAATTTTAAAATAAATAAATAAAGTTAAATTAAATTATAATAAAAGATTAATTAAATAAAAATTAATTAAAAATAATATTTATAAATTTTTAACTTTATATTAAAAATATTTATTATATATAATTTATTATTTTATAAATATTATATTAATATTTTTAATTTTAATTATATTATTTTAAATTATTTTATTTAATAATAATTTTAAATTTAAATTTAAAATAAAAATTAAATTTAAATATATATTAAATAATATTAATATAAATTAATTATATTTTAAAGTTAATAAATTTAAATATTATAATATTAATATAAAATAACTTTATTTTAAAGTTAGAATATATATATTAAATAATATTAATATAAAATAACTTTATTTTAAAATTAAAATATATATATTAAATAATATTAATATTAATTAACTTTATTTTAAAGTTAAAATATATAATAAATAATATTAATATAAATTAACTTTAATTTAAAGTTAAATAATATTATTTAATAATATTTATATTTAATAAATCTCTATTTATTATCTTTTATTTAATATTTTAATAATATCTAGAAGTAGAAAGTTATACTATTAGATAGAGCTTATTAGGGCGTATATAGTGGTGTATTTTACATGCTAGGCCTAGCCTATAATGGAGGCGCGCTGCCTCTCTCTTGTCTTGTTTAGGAGCTAGCCGCTGAACCCTCTAACCTCCGGCTCGGCCTCCATGCACTACACCGAGCCAGCTGGTGCGGTCCTCGCCCACAGTCAGTCCCTCCTCAAAAGTGACCTCCGCAACCACATGAGGTCCGGCGTTGAACAAGGAGGACATCACTCGCCATGACGGAAAAATGGCACACAGTCACCCGGAAGATATGTCAGTCGCCCCCCTGGCCTTTTCATCACGCTCTACACCACTCATCACCTTTTTGGGCTCGCATGGGTTCTCTTCCTTATCGGCTGGATTGTTCGGCGAGGGCCTTTCTGGGCGTACGGTCTTAGGACCGCTTCGTTACCGACCTGCGCAACATAATATGAGATGTGTCCCTGGTTTCATGGAAAAGGGGTGCCGGAGGGGTAGCGACAACTGGGTATGTTGTGATCTTCCCGCCACAGCAGCAGCAGCGGATCAGGAACAATGGCCACAGCCCGAGCCCCCGTCACCTGCAGCTCTCGGCTCTGATCCGCTGCCGCCCGAATTCGCCATGCCGAAGCTCTCCGCATCAGGCCCGCTATCCACTGATTGTTTTCAGGTTACTATCTGGGAAGTCCAGGGAGAGGATGCATCTGCAGAGGACATGACATCGGCCAGAACGGACCCCAAAATCCGCGGGTCGCGAATCACACGCTCTCTCCGGAGCTGGTGCCACTGTCCTTCGGTCCTCACGTTCCACAGCCTTTCCTCATCCGGCATCTCAAACTCCAGGTCCTCAGGTCTCAGGAGTCCTAGTGATATATTTTAAATTACTATGAGGGGGTTAGAACTAAAGTATATTGTGGCTAAGTTAGGGGATGTGCCTGACGGCCGATGCTAGCGCCTACCGTCAAGCTCTTAACTTATAAGCTCTTAACTTATATTACACACCCTACCTCTATAAGATATAATAAGAGAGGTACATTAAATATTATTTATAAGGAGCGCTATATTAAATAGATTAAAGTTAAATTAAATTACTAAATATTAATTAATTTAAATATATAATATTTAATAAAATAAAGTTATTTTTAAAGTTTATTAAATAATATATTTAAATAAAATATTTTAAGTAATTTATAAAATTATATTTAATTTTAAAATATATTATATAAATATTTATTTTAATAAATAAATTATTATAAATTATAATAAAAGTTAAATTAAATTAAATTATAATTAATATAAATATATTTAAACTTTATATTAAGTTAAATTAAATATATTAAATATTATTTATATATTTTAACTTTAATATAAAGTAAAAATATATTATTATTATTTAATATATTTAATTTAACTTTAAATTAAAGTTAAATTATAATAATATAATTTTAATTTATTTTAATTTTAATATAAAGTTAAAATATATTTATATAATTTTATTATTTTATTTTAATATTAAATATTATAAATTAATAATTATAAATTAATTAATAAAATAATATATATTATTTATTTTTAATTTAAATAATATTTATATTTTATATTATTTTATAAATTATAAATTATAAACTATTTATATTTTTAATTTTATTATTAAATTAGAAATAAATAATTAAGGTTTTAAAATAAAATATAATATATTTTTAAAATTAACTTAATTAAGTTTACTATATAGAACTTTTATAATAACTTTATAATTATTTATAATACTATTTATTATTAAAAATACCTTTCTATATTAATATATTAGATTATATTAGTTTAAATTAATATTATTAACCTTAATATAAATTAGTTTATTAAAGGTTAAAGCTATTATAAACTATAAGCTACTTAGTTTAACGTTAGTAAGTATTATATATAAGTATTAAATTTATTATATAACTTAAATATAAATATAAGTTAGCTAAAATAAGTAAAAATAAAACTACCATTCCCCTAATTAGGGTTCTAGCTCTATTTAAGCAAACACCTATCCATTAGCTCCACTACATTATAAGTAAAACTACTTAAAAGCAGTTACTTAGCCTACTATACAATCTATTAAACTAAGAGACAACTAGGTAAGGCAACCATACTCTATAGCTACTCTAAGTTTATAGTTTTAATAGCTTTATAAAAAAATAAATAGCTATTAATAACTAAATTTATAACTATATAAAGATAGACCTTTACTTTAAAGAGAAGTTATTATTATTTAAAACACTTAATATATTTTTAAAAAAGCTAAGGGATTATAAACTTAATTTAAAGTATATTAAAATTTATAAAATTTTAAACTTAAATTTAAAGAATATAAAGCTTTAATTTATTTAAAAAAGATTAAAAACTTAAAGAAAGATTTAAATTAAATTAAAAATTAAATTAAATTATAATATAATAAAATAATTAAATAAAAATTAATTAAAATTTTATAATTATAAGTTTTTAACTTTATAATTAAAAGAATTTATATTTTATATTATTTTATAAATAATTTTAATTTTAAATTAATAATTATAAATATTAAAAATATTATATATATATATATATATAAAATAATTTTATTAATTAAATTAAATTATATAAAAGAAATTTAAATTAAAAGATTTAATTATAAACTTTTATTATATTATAAATATATTATAACTTTATTTTTAAATTAAATTATATTAATTTAATAAATTAATATAATTTAATTTAAAATAAAGTTATAATATATTAATATATTTTAATTAATTTTATTTAACTTTATAATAAAGTTAAATTATATAAATATATTATAATAATATATTATAACTTTAATATAAAGTTAAAAATAATAAATATTATATATTATTATTAATTATATTATTTTAATAATATTATTAATTATTAAAATATTTAAATTAAATTTTAAAATTATTAATATTAATATAAAATTATTATTTAATATATTAATATAATATTATTTAATATTATTTAATATATATATTTTAACTTTATATTAAAGTTAAAATTATTAATATTATTAATATATATTTATTTACTTTATATTAAAGTTAAAATATATTAATATAATTTAATATATATTTATTAACTTTATATTAAAGTTAAAATATATTAATATAATTTAATAATATTTTTTAACTTTATATTAAAGTTAAAATATATTAATATTATTAAATATATATTAATATATTTTATAATATTATATTTATAATATAATATATAAATAAAGCTTATAAATTTTTTAATATTAATATTAATTAAAATATTATAATAAAATTATATAATAAAACTTAATTTTTAAAGATAACTATTATATAAATAAATTATATAAAAATCTTAATTAAAAAATTATCTTTTAAAAATATAAATATTTAAGTAAGTATTATAGCTCCTCTATTTAAATATATAACTAACTTTAAAAGAACTTAAAATAAAGAAACAATTTATAGTGTACCACTCTAAGACTTTCACATTGAAGTATTAAAACTAAAGGTAAGGTATAATTTTATATATCTACATTCACTAACAAATACTACACTCACTTATTTATATTCACACACACATATCACACAGGCAGTTCACATACAGGAGAGTCACATTAGCATTAATATGTACCTCCTATCTATATTGCCACGGGCCCAAGGGCCACGACACCCCAAGGGCCACGGCAGGGCAATAAATCAGCCGGCGCGTGGCTCAAGCTGTGTGCGACCACAATCCTGCGTGCGACAGGTCATGCCCGTCTGACTGCAGTGGTCGCACGCGTACAGGCGGGAGGCAATGTCCCGGGGGCTGCACCAAGAGCAATCAAGGCCCTGCCGCTCGCAGGTCCCGCACCCCAACGCGAGGTTCCTGGGCGGCTGTCTCGGGATGAGGATCTCACCATCCAGCACGCAGACCTCACCCCTCGCCCAGCAGCGGCTGCAGCCGATGTCGGTCGCATAGCTGGTGTCGCAGGGCCGTAAACCGCTCGGCTGAGTGGGCTGAAGTTCTCGCGACTGTAGAAGTATTGTGCCAGGCGTGCCCGTTCGGTTTCGGTCACCTCGTCGGGCAGTGCGCACACCGCAAGATGCAGATCCTGCATTCTCATCACCTGGTGGATTTCGAGAACGGGAGGGACAACTGGGCAGGTTCTACCACCATGTCCCTGCTGCCTGGCGGTGACGTGTCTCGCGCGACCTGGGCCATCGTGCGAGCCCCCGAGCCTGCAGTGGCTGGGCCTCGCGCAGATTGTGGCGTGGCCGAGGCGGGCACACGTGCAGGCTGGACGGTGCCAGAAGCCGCAGTAGCCGGGCCAGCGTCGCCATCATCTTTCTGTAACGATAGCTTCGCCATGGCATCCTCGTCGCCTTGCTGGTAGTACGATTCGCCAAATTTCCCTTTCGATACGTCTGAAATCGCCAGCTTTGCCACCCTATCGAACTCAGCCTGAAATTCTTCCTCAGAGCAGCCGCGGAAGATCGGTTCCTGAGAAGGCGTCTTGGCCCCAGGTCCCTGGGCCTGGACTGGCGGCTCCGCTGGCTGGAAGTTCTGACCCTTGTACGGTCCAATGGAGGAGTCACCACCGAGGCTCGGACGGCCTTGTGTGTCGACGTGACCCGTGGGACCAGTGGCCTGTCCATGAGCCTGGGACCGAGACTGAGTCCTCTGGTCGAACCCATGCACAGGCTCTGCCTGTGAGCAGGGAACGCCAAAGGACGAGCCCGACGAGCCTGTCAGGCCTTGCGGTGCGGTGGCGGTCGCAGGCCTTGCCTGGCCGACACCGGTACCCGTCGCGGGCACGCCTCCGTATGGTGGGGCAGCCTGCTCGGTCGCCGGCTGTGCCATGCCGAAGACAGGACCCACTGCGGGCGCAAGTCCATATGGCGAGGCAGCAGTCGCCGTTGCCGGCTGTGTTATGGGCATGCCTCCGTGTGACGGGGCAGCCTGCTCGGTCGCCGGCTGTGCCATGCCGAAGACAGGACCCACTGCGGGCGCAAGTCCATATGGCGAGGCAGCAGTCGCCGTTACCGGCTGTGTCATGCCGAAGACATTACCCATCGCGGGCATGCCTCCATGTGACGGGGCAGCTTGCTCGGTCGCCGGCTGTGCCCCGCCAAAGACAGGACCCACTGCGGGCGCAAGTCCATATGGCGAGGCAGCGTGCTCGGTCGCCGGCTGAGTCATGCCGAATCCAGTACCCATCGCAGACCCCCCTCCATATGTTCCATTTAGTGGGGCAGCAGGTGGGCTGAAGGTTCCAAATGCAGGGGCCGCCTGCGGGTTATGGGTCCCAAATGGTGGGCTTGACATACTAGACAAGCCGGCACCATACCCTGTCGAGGGCTGGACTGGGGCTGTCGCACCGAACACGTACTGGTGGCCGTGCAAGCCTCCCCCTGGGTGGCCTGCTGGCAGGTTCTGAGTGCTGGCGAAGGGGTTGGCGAGTGTGGGCGTCGCCTGCCCCGCGCGCGAGGCGCTGCGCGCTGCCACCTGTCTCGCGAACGCGTCAAGAGCGTCGAGCGACTGCATGTGCTGGTTCGCATTCATGAAGTTGACGACCTCTTGGTACGTGATCTCCGTGCCTGGTTCATACAGCGACCCGATCGTCGGGCGCTGGGGTGAAGGTGGTGGCACAGGATAGCCTACCTTACCTGCTCGTGGGACAAAGGGAGTCGTCAGTGTCTTGTAACTCCAATGACGAGGATGTGTGAGGTCGGACTGGGGCGTCGCTCGGCCTGGGTAGCTGTGTTTACTTACGAAGATCTGCCTCGAATTTGAGGACGAGCTCGTACAGGACCAGTGCCAGCGGTCTGCTGCGCATCTGCTCCTGTGGGATACCTGACTGGAAATGAAGGCGAATCGCCGTCATCATCTCGTTGACCAGCTGAGGGTAGTATGCCCTGAGCTGGCGGAGTTCTTGGGTGAGTACTTCAATATTCTGCGACATGTTGCTTGTGAAGGACTGAAGAAAAGAAAAAGTCGAAAAAAACAAAGTCTGGGACGAGGCGTGGGGTTTTAAAGGCCATGGCCTCCAGCAGCACACTAGCCCTGCGGCCAATCCTGGCAGCCAGAAATGTGGGACCCCCCAGTTGGAGCTGCTATGTACCTTGTATTCCACCTGGTCTCTGTCTTGTGTGTTTTTCCATCGCTCGACGTGGCCCGCCAGCCTCTGCCTGGGGCCTTGCGCCACGGTGGAGAGAAGGGGCTGGGCAACGTGCTAGGAACCCACAGAAGCCTGTATCACCCTTCCCACAATGTCTCACGAACCCAATCCACACAAGAGGCTATATGCCCGATCGTAGTCCTTCTTGGAAATGCAATAAGTCCCGCGCAAGCTACACAGTCTCTGGCCTCTGTTTGCTCGCCCTGTGGGCTGCTGGCCTGCGGTAAGCAAGAGACCTGCCCAGCCAGCGGGCCACGGCCAGGATTTGTGGGCGGCTCTCTGGTCGCATGAGTGCCAGCCAGAGAGCTCTTAGGCGCAGTCTGATTGTCGTTCAAGAGCATGCAAGACAGCGACCCACGTCCTGGTTGTGCACCTGGCCGCCCCACACCACCCCGCCTGGCCATGGGGCCAAATGCAGCTCAATCGCAAAGACTCGGCTCACGTGCCTTCTTGACTTGTATCAGTGGACGCAAAAATAAGGGTGAATGCGGAAAATGCAAATCGATCAAAGTCTGCCCGCATCCTGACGACAGCACCCGCTGAGCCCCATGTTCCACCCAGACATATGACCCCAACGGCTGTTGGCATTTCCCAGGCCACTTGCCTGCCAACTTATGCCAGTGACACGTAATTTTAATGAGATGGGAATGAGCGCAGCCCTTATGGTTGTAGTGCGGGACTCATTGGTGATGACCTGACGTCGGTCGGGCTTGTGTAACGTCCTTGCCGTTGGGCTGCACGTTTAGGTACCTAGGTACGGAGTACGTGCACTACTACACTAGGGAGCCGTTCGGGCGGATCTAGCCGCCGTTACATCGCGTCGATCTGCAGCCTCCCCGGTGGGTCGGGCAAGTCGAGGTACAGTACAAATGATGTCTCAGGTGATGGCGGAACGTGTGTGTGGAGGCAGCACGCAAATTCTTTTCGGTGTGGCTTGAAAGTCTAAGAGTAAGATATCACAAGGGCGATTCAACTATATTGGGTAGACCTACCAGATGTGATGAAAAGGAGCCATGGTTCTTGGGTTGACCTGCGAGCTGGGGGTACATGTAGGCATGTACCTGCGCTAGAGACCTGCAGGGGCAGCTAGCCCCACCACCCGCCGCCCTACCCCACAAAACACAAGCCGAGTCCCAGGAATGATGCCTTCCTTTCTTTTTTTCTTCTTCAGTTTCAGTGCAAGATTATAACTGGACTCACCCCGTCATCTTTGTTTGATTATACATTGATGACACATTACAACATGTCTTCAAATAGACGCAACGATAGGAGTCGATCTCCTCGTCGCGACAATGGCGGCCAAGGTCGGTCCCAGTCTCGACGAGGCTCCTCGCGACCAGCAGGCCATCGCGACTATCGCGAGCTCGATTACGGCAATCGCCCAGACGACCCGGGAGCTCCAGGTCCGAGCGTATATGGGTCGAACCCGACTGTGATCTTCTGCCGAACCTACAACGGTCCTCCCTCTGACGGCGCACCGGCGAGCGGGCGTGGCGGACGAGGCGGTAACCGCGGTGGCCAAGGCAGTAACCGCGGTGGCCAAGGCAGTAACCGCGGTGGCCAAGGCAGTAACCGCGGTGGCCAAGGCAGTAACCGCGGTGGCCAAGGTGGTAACCGTGGTGGCGGACGAGGCGGTAACCGCGGTGGCCGGGAAGACCGGGGCCGTAGCGTTACTGCTCGTCCGCGTGATAACCCGAGTGGCCCCATGCCGCCACCGCCCCAGCCACAGCCAAGAGCTCTGATAGAGCCAAGACCGGCTGAGCCAGCGGGTGGCTCGACTGTGTCGCAGACGGGCAAGACGCCCAGAGGTGACCAGCCGAGGCTCAAGATCCCAGAGATTCGGAGGACGAAGTGTGGCGCCTGTCATCAGGATCATGACATCCGCTTCTGCCCCAGGCCCAACACCGAGGACGGGCGGACAAAGATCTGTCCCGTGTGCGACACTTCAGAGCACGCGTGGTGTGAGTGCAAGCACTACGACCCCGACGATTTGGCGACGAAGTGGATGGTCATCTGGTACAACCGCCGGTGCCTCCCGACCTTGGTCCACGACGACACCCTAAATGACGTCTTCCTGGGCAAGCTCTACCTGCTCGACGTGGAGAAGTCAATCGAGGAACGTACCAAGGATCTCAACGGGAAGGCCGGACCGCTGACTCCCAAGTTTGTCATGAAGCTCCTGCCACCCAAGCGCGCGGACGAGCGTGCCAAGTGGGCGCTCGAGGACAACGTCCAGAAGCAGCTCGACGCCGGCCGGAAGCTGCCGTGGGAACTCGAGAGAATCGTCCTCCAGTACAACTTCCATCGGCCCGACATGGCGGTCGAGGACGCAGCCACGAAGGAGATGCAGACCTGGAAGCTGGTCGAGGGCACCAAGACGAAGGTCATCCCCAAGGCACGCAAGCTGGACTACTTCCGCGAGCTAGACAAGAAGGCGGACGGGGAAAAGGAGCGCCAGGACGATGCCACGGCCGAGCTAAACTCTGGGATTTTCGAGACCATGAGAGAAATGAACCTCGACGGTGGCCGGAGCAAGGCCATGACCAGCAAGTCGAGAAGGTCAGGGCGGACTATCCCCCGGAGCAAGGCGCCAAGTGCCAGGGTATCAGCAGCTTCTGCGAGAGCCAGCCTCGTGGTATCGCCACCTCCCAGCCGGGCTTCCCGTCATCGAGAGGTGGCAGACTCTCCCGGCCAGGTTGGTCAGCCCTCGAGCGCCGCCCCGCAGGATGATGTGCCGCCCGAGGATGATGCACCTATGGTCTTTGACGACCATTCCGGCTTGCCCCCGGGTGATCAGCGGGCGAGACAGTCCAGCCAGGTATCAGCGGATTTCGGGGCCGCTTCACGGCCGGCCAGCGGCGACGAGGCTGCTGATCCCGCCGCCCAGACGGCAAGCGAAGCTGCCGTCCTGGGGGGTGGTACACAGGCTGATGGTGCGCAGCCCCCCACCGCTGCCGTCGAGGAGGTCTACACCGGTCCGGCCGATCTGCGGCCGATCATGTCGCAGATGCTGATACCGAGGGAACTGTGGCCGAAGGACGAACCGGTCAGGGACATCATGGACTACGGCCTCTTGCTGGCGTTGCAGGGAGCACACCCAGCCCTCCTGACGAATCGTCGCCCTCGACAATAGATGAATTGACTCTTCGTCTCTCTTACATGCCCCGCCCAGTGTGACTTGATGATGCTCGCGTGATATGTCTTGAATTTTGTGTGTAGAATGCCTCTTGTTAATGTCTGGTCCTTGTAGAGTAAGACTATTTGTAATGGCTTGTCGCACCACATTTTTTCGGCCTATACACCACGCCCATGCATGCCCAACGACGCCGTTGCATACACTTGCCTCTCGCCCATTGTGCCGGCACATACACCAGTCTAGTTGCTCACTGATATGCGCGGATCTAACCCTCCTATCGGTCTCTCGCTCGTGTGCGTGCCCCCATGCACCTGTCTCCTCTGGGATAGTATTGTTGATCTCGCCCCCACTTGGACGTTCTATCGTTCAGGGTCTACGTGCGCCACTCAGGTGTCGACGACATGTCTGCTGATTTGTGGTCCCGCGTTAATGCCCAGGTCTCCGTGCTTGTTGCGCCTGCTCGGCAAGTCCTTCCGAGCGGATATGACCCCTATGCGTGGGAATTGGTCGGGCTCATTTACGGTTCAAGGTGGTACAGCGCCGGTGGTGGGGACATGGGTGATCACACTGCATCCTGAAGTCCGCGGGGGGCTCCCGCCTCGCCTTGAAAGCCGCCCCAGTCGCGGCGACTGGCAAGGACAGAATAGCTACAGCTATGATAATTAAGGCCATGGGGTCCCACTATCATGGTGCTGTTTGTTATTGGCTTTGCTTTCAGGTGCATATACTACTAAGATATCGGGTACGAATGCGGCAGGACACAGAAACCCTGCCTGGTGTGTCCTGGACGGTCACGGCATCTGCATGCAAAGGGGCACTGTTTGGAGGGCCCACGCAAGGGGTCAAGGCACACTCTTTCTTGGTGGTCTTCCGAGCCGCAGTTGCGACAGGTGAGTGCCATCTTGTCGGCCCTGTCGGTCTTGCTCCGGGGGATAGTCCGACCTAGACTTCTCGGCTTGCTGGTCATGGCGTCCGGGGCGCGCGACGCGACCTTCTTCCTGATGTTCGGAGCAGCTGGGTCATAATCACTATCGGGGATCCGCCAGGCGTCCGAGCCGAGGTGGAGGCCAATCCTGGGCCTGACGAGCCCCCTGGAGACATCAAGCTGGCTCTGGGTCGGGCCGCCGTCCTGGTCTGCCAGTATGTCGTTCAGACACTCTGCAGTCAAGGGACAGTGCCTCTCGCACACGTCATATACTAAGTAGGTACTGCCCTTCGACGCACTCGAGTGCCTGTCTGATGGAGTGCTCCGCCCGCCACCGGAGGACACTGTGTGTCAGGTGCGCTGGCATCGCCCCAGAGTCCCTCGGCTTCTGCCTCGGCCACTGGTTGAGCTCCTGTTTGTCCCACTCGTCGAAATACCACCCTGCGGGCTGCAACAGCTTGCGTTGGGACATTCCATCGCGCAGCCTGTCTAGGGCCTTGGTGACGAAAGCAACAACCGTGGTCCTGAGCAGGAACAGCCTCTGTGCCATCTCGTCCCTGGGAGGGCTGGGGGTGGCTGACTTCTTCATGGCGTCATACCTATATATCTCTAATGTCCCCGTGTGACGCGATGCCGTTCTCCTGGCTGTTTCTATACCGCAATAGCGCCATGGATAGCGGCAAGGCTCCAAAGTCAACCAGGAGTTGAGCGTCGAGCGGCAAGATTGGTAGGATTGGCGCATCGTGGCCGTCTACCCGACAGGCGACAGCGTACATGAGGATGTACCTCAACTTGTTCGGGTCACCCTCCATATGCGGTGAACAGCCAGTTGCGTGAGGTTGCTCGTGAGGTCGTTGGCTGGCTAGGGATTGACGACCGTAAATATATCTTTGCCCTTGCCCACTTTCATCGAGCTGGGCCGGCCGACCTTGCCAGGCAGGGTAAAATCGATCCATAGTCCGAACTTGAAGAGGTCGTACAGCATACATTTATATCTTTGATTGTGACTGGAAAGACTGTCAGGTCAGCCACGGACCTATTCCCCCAAAACCCTAATGGCAGCATCATAAATATCCGTAGTCGAGCTCGTGAACATGAACTTGGGCACGGGGCCCTGCACCTCCGCGACAATAGTATTGACAATATCCTCAAAGAGAGCCGTGTACTCGACCGCCCCACGGATGCCAAACCCGATGGACACGCCGTCCCAAGTTGAGCCTCTCAGCAGCTCCCTGATCGCCGGCAGTGCCGCGCCGGTGTCCTTGCTGTCGGCGAAGTAGAGGGTGAAGTCGAATCCCGCTGCTCTCAGCCTTTCGAGCTCCCGGTTGACTTCCTGCTGGACCCGCTCGGGGCTGTAGGCAGGGTCCTGCGAGGAGCTTTCCTTGAGGATGCCGATGCCGAGGATCTTCCTTTTGGGTGCTGTGGGGGTCATTTTTCGCTAGAGGGAATTTCGATTTGAGTTTTGATTGATTGAAGGATCTGAACGGATACAGCGTCTTGGTAGGTGGATTTTGAGTGTGTTGCGAAGTTAGTGTCTCTGACTTCTGTGGCAGTTGGCAAACATAAATAGTTGGGCGGCCGGGCATCATCCAATCTTCGCAAGATTTGTAGACATTGCGTAAGCAGAACCGCGCTTACAGATCACTACAATAACAACAGGTATTGCCTTCTCTATTCGGCACGCGATGTTGAGGGCGAGCGCGAGATGCCAAGGCGTTAGCTGTGCCGGGACCTGGCATCAATTGGAGATCGTGTCGCTATAGAATGGGAAGCACCAGAGCCTATCACAATTTCAGCTAGCTTAGGATCTCAACAGCTATCCTTCCTCACTTACACCTACAACCTTGATTTATAAAAAAAACCTTAATAATTATCAAGGTTTGGACTGAAAGCTGAAAAGACTCTGCGGGTGCTGCACTTATCTAGGTACCTATGGCATCGGCCTTGGGAAACCATTCACAGGGAGCCACATTAGTCTCAGCTAGACTTTCAGCTCAGACAACCTTGAGCTTGACAGTCCCTGATGTGTTCCCCATTGGGATGGAGACCGAAAGTACTGTTCCGCACACCGTCAATTTGTAATCTTTCACCTCTTTCCGTAAAGCTGTTGTACATACTCCAGACCTTTGGTTGCCCCCTGCGCCGGGAGACGATACAGCCCTCTCGCGTGGCTGGATCACAACGCATTTCCACAAATGTCACACTAGGAGCGACTTTCTAACATCTGTTTTAGCAGATGAAGTTGGACGAGCTGCCGTGGAGAGCTACGGCAGCTGCCACAGACGGAGAGGTCCCTACCTCGGTAGAGCCGCGACCAGCATAGGAAGAGGCAAAAAGAAAAGACCAAAAACATACAGCACCGGGTATTCGCTGGTCGTCACCGACCCAACTACTAATCCAGCGATTAGTGGCTTGACTATGGGAGAGCGGACGGGATCCCGTATTTTCCACTATCTATGGCCGTATGTGCTTGAAACGGTGGAAAGGTGGATTATATGTGGAGTCTGACTGACTCGGAAGCCAAGGGTCAGTGGCCCCACGTTACCTCAGCACCTTCAAATGTGTCATGACTTCTAATTTATGAAATACATTTCAAAAAGGCTATAATTATGCTTGGGTATAATGTGCTTTTGAGTCTGGCCTTATGAGTGATCCAGAGGTAGGTTCGTCTTCAGGGATAGGTGCTGGATTTGCCCGCCATGGTTATCCAGAGTGGAATATGAGAAGTGACATATCTACTCCAGTATTTTCTTGGCTTGAGGCTTAGTTGACACTAGACATGAACCAGGCGCAATACGATGACCGTTCGTTGCATTGGGTGGGTCCAGGTGTCTGCTGTGCCGCTAGCTTGCTGCTGTGGCAGATGCATATATGCACGTCAACATCACTCGCACAAGGGTCTGCTCGTGAAGCTGAAATCAACAATTGGTATCACTATGGAATGCTGTGCGAAACGTGTCTAATAGTCCTTGATCTTCAAGACGGCCTTGCCGTGGTTCTCGCCCTTGAGCAGGCCGAGGAAGCCCTCCGCCGCGTTGTCAATGCCCTGTGTGACGTGCAGCTTAGTCTTGAAGCTACCATCCGCGATCCAGGCCTGCACCTTCTCCTGGTGCTCCCGGGCGTAGGCCGGGCCGAAGCCCTCGTCGCCGACGATGAAGCCCTGCATGGTGATGCGCTTTGACACGACATCCATCAGGTTCTTGACCCCGTACCGCTCAGACCGGTCCTTGACATTGTACTGAGAGATCTTCGATGCCTTGTCAGTATTTCGGTGCAATTTGAAAGGGGGAACGCTGGAGACATCACTTACCATGCCGCATGCGACAATCCTGCCGTGCACGTTCATGGCCTCGATAGCCCCCTCGAGGACCTCACCGCCGACGTTCTCGTAGTAGATGTCGATGCCGTTGGGGGCCAGCCTCTTCAGGGCGTCAGATGTCGACTCCTTCTTGTAGTTGGTGGCGGCGTCGAAGCCAAGCTCCTTGGTGATGAACTCTGCCTTGTCGTCGGAGCCGACGCTGCCAATGACGGTGAGGCCGTCGTGCTTGGCGAGCTGGCCGACGACCTGGCCCACGGCACCGGCGGCGCTGCTGATGAAGATGGTCTCGCCCTTCTTGGGCTGGCCGATCTTGTACAGGGACGAGTAGGCGGTGAGGCCGGGCATGCCCAGCTGGCCGAGGAAGAGCGCAGGGTCGAAGTTGTGGGGGTTGTACAGCTTGCGGGCGCGCCCGGCGGCGATGAGCTCCTTGGGGACGTAGGCGTACTGGGCGATGGGGACAAAGGCGGAGACCAGGTCGCCCTCGTTGAAGTCTGGGCTGTCGGACTTGAGGACCTTGCCGATGGAGGTGTTGGCAATGGGGCCGTCAATGTCAAAGGCCGGGCTGTAGGACTTGATGCTTGGGTCCCTCATACGGGGGCGCATGTAGGGGTCGAAGGATGCGACCAGGTTCTCGAGGACCAGACCCCCCTCGGGGACGGCATCCAGGTCGATGGGCCTGTCCTCGACGGCAAGATCCTGCCCGGGCACGGGGAAGCCCTGGGGGATCTTCTTGAAGATGAAGGTCTTGTTTGGGGTAGACATGGTGTTGGGTGGTTGGAACGAGGACGGCGATAAGACTGATGGGGGTTGAAGTGGTTTATCCCAGGGCAACTGGGCTGTCGAGTCAGGGCGGGTGATGCTGTTATATCCTGTTCACGGTGACGTTCTGATGAATAATGCAGGTCGACCCCCTACCCGCGGTCCCAGCCCGAAAAAGGGTTCCCACTCTCGTGCAGCCAAGTGCCGCTGCGTGTACGGAGGTAGTGTAAAATCTGGTCAACAGACAGTCGCCATGCCTCGGCTCAGGCCCTGCTGGTTTTAGTCATCTTCAGGGTCGCCGATCGCCGACGAGCCTCGGCGAGTGGGGCTTTTAGGCGGGCTCGCATTGAATAATGTTACCTGCTAAGAAGGCGTTAGAACGAACTAGAATGCGGACTGTGGATAAGAAAAGGAGTGCCAGGCTATGTTGCGATGTGTTTTTTTTTTGGTGTTTTTTTAACTGGGTAATTCTGGCTGACATATCAACTGTTGGCTGCTGTCCAGGGGACTCTGTCGGCTTTGCTCAAGTGCTTACTGCCTGCGCCGCCAACGTCCATCGCAGGCGCTAATTCGGGACGGGACCAGGTGCTCGGATCATGGCGCAATCAAGGCCCAGCAGCGTTGACGAAACGTCTTTTGCCCGAAGTATCACCGCAAGAGGGAATAGTCTTTGCTGATGCGAACCATCCAGTTTTGGGCGACGGTTCTAGATTCATTTGCACACGACCATGCCTCTGCGGCTGGTGCAGCTGGCCTAGATGAGTGCTGTCTTTGATCTCCCGCCACGAGTCGTCGAAAACACAACGACATCAGCTGGTCCATCACTACAGAGTCGGTCACAGCCATGCTGCCATGGAAACAGTGAGGCTCTTCTCAGCCCGCTCGCGGCCACTCCGCAAGCGTGTGAGGAGCGGGATGATATTGAGAGGTCAGCAGAACTCCTATGGCTTGTGTGGTTTGTGGTTATAAATCCAACCCCCCGCCGTTCACGAGACCGGGTGAGGCATGTCGGACTTTATTGAGGGTTCTTGGTAATTGCATCCCAAACTCCGGCCAGTCCAGGCTGACGTGTGTCCCCAAGTGTGTTCAACCTGTGCTGTTACCCCACGCCGCAGAACAAGCAGACCGGCCGGAGAGCCGAGGTTGTGCCAGGGATGACTGGAGTTGCACGGTAGTGGCCGCCGCCGGTCATCATGCAGCTAGATCGGCCTCTGGTCAGGCCGGTCCGCCGGGTGTCACAAGGACCACGCCGTCACTTGGCACGAAATCAGACACCGCTCTCCGCGACACACCCTTTCACGTCACGATCCACGAAAGGAGCCCTCCATCACAGCCGACACACGCAGCCCCCCATGGCTTCGGACGCGGTCGAGACGCTGTCGAGCATCATCGGGTGGACGTACATGCTCTGCTGGACCGCCTCCTTCTACCCCCAGGTCCTCCTCAACATCCGCCGCAGAACCACCGTCGGCTTTTCCATCGACTTTGCCCTCCTGAACATCCTGGGCATGACCTCATATGCCATCCACAATGTCGTCTTGTTTGCATCTCCCGTCGTGAGGGCCCAGTATGCCCATCGCTACCCGCGGAGCCCCACCCCGACCGTGCAGCCAAATGATATCGCCTACGCTGTCCATGGTGCAATCATCACGGTGCTCATCTACTCGCAGTTCTACCCGAGGCTGTGGCGCTTTTCCCAGGCCACGAGTTCGAGGTGCAGCCGCTGGACCCTCGGCTTCTTCTGGGGCTGCATCGCTGCCGTGCTGCTCGGGGCACTCGTCGTCGGCCTACACCCGACTGCCTTCAGATGGGAGTGGCTCGACGTGGTGAGTTGAACTGGGAAGCAGGCTTGGCGCATAACCTAAACCCCGTTCTCACAGATATACCTCATGGGAAATGTCAAGGCCTTCCTCACCGTCGTCAAGTACGCCCCGCAGATATGGCTCAACATCCGGCGCAAGTCGACCCGGGGACTCAGCATCTCACAGTTCTCGCTCGACATCACGGGTGCCGTGCTGTCGCTGGTCCAGCTCTTCATTGACGCGGCCCACGGCGGTGACTGGTCCGCGGTCCTGGCGAACCCTGCCAAGTTTGCCCTGGGCAACGTCACCGTCTTCTTCGACCTGATAGCCTTCTTCCAGCATTACTACCTCTATCGTGGGGCTGTGGACGACGTGCTGGTCCCGCCTGATGACAAGTTGGATGCGGAAAGGGAGCCGCTGTTGCCAAGCCACGCTCCGAGGACGTCGCTGCCGACATCATGAGTTGTCGCCCGGGTATGCAGCATTCAATAACCACGCAGGGAATGAGCCAAAATGTCTCAGCAGCCGGCAGACCATACTATCTGGGTTGCACAATAAGCACACCGTTTCAAAATCCCCAAGACTTGTAGCTGCATCTATAACGAGCAACTAATGCAAAGACGATCTTCAGTGTCGTCACAAACGAGGCTCATACCACGAGACCCAACTAGATGTCTAAGCGCTTCGGCTTGGATTTGAACAGACCGGAAGAGCCCACTGCAATGCGGCTTCAAGGCTCATGTGTTACTGAGGGCAACCGCGTCCGCTGGAGTCATTTCAAAGTTTGGGGCGAACATACAATATCACTTGCGTTCTATCATGTGCTTGCTGGATATCGTACCGACCTGAAAAGGGAGGGCTGTTCTGCGGCGCAGAGTTACAAGTGCTATCGCCGTGCCAGAGTCATAGAACCAAGAGCATTGAATCAGCCTGATCGCAACTGTTGTTTCCACAAACCCTAGCACGAACGGATTGATTGCACGGATGCGTGGAGCAATTATTGTAGTACTCACCGACTGGTGCTGCATGCCAGCACACGAGCACACTGAGGACGAGAGCATTGAAGTTTTCAAGGTCATACATACTTAAGTACTTGTCAAGCCCCTAGACCTCCTCTCCCGGGAAGAAATTGAGATGAGACACTTCTCGGTCAAACAAAGCCTGGCACCACAAGCGCTGGACAACAAAGAAAAAGCCATGTGAGGGGACTCGCAATTATTAGCCGGAATAAATCCCTGGTCCACGAGGAGTAGGTTGGACATGAATATTCATTAAAGCCGTTTTTAATAACCGCGCAGAACTGGTTATGGACTCCCTGAGTCCACACCCACAAGTTCCCTGATGCAGGCTAACTATGAAGCATACTAAACCGCCGACGAATCACTTCTGGCATGGGCAATGAAGGTCGCCATCTACAACTCCTGTGGCCACACTACTTTAATATGTGAAGTGCACAAATCAAGGTCTACAATCTCGAACCCGGCGCCGCCCGAAACCTACGCGCTGGAACCTGAACAAACTCGTGCTCAATGAGGGCGCTGGGACCGATGGACAGGGATCCACCAGAACTCCCGGCCTGTGGGGCTGTGGACGATGGCGTCGTCGTCAAAACTCACAAACCCGTCTAGTATATGGACGGGGACATCTGAATCCTCGGCAAAGGTCACCCCGAGCAGACCGGTAGGCACGCTGCCGTTCCGCCAGTTGGGCATGGATCGCAGGCTGCTCAGGTAGTCCCACATCAACACCTGGTGGCGTTCGACATGTTCCTGCCACTGGAGCGGTCCCTCGCCCACGGGGTACTCGACCCCGTAGAGGTTCCCCGCGGTGAAGCGCATGCTGATGTCGATGTACTCCTCACACGAGTCTGTCGTACAGTCCCAGCAGTCCTCCGCAAAGCGGTGTTCGTGCGGATGCAGCTCGGGGATGGTCAGTGGCACCATGGAGTAGTCCTCACCGGTGGTAACTGGCAGCCTCTGCGGAGGGATGGGGTGCAGACACCCGATGAAGAGAAGGCTGGCGCGGCAGATTGGACAGGTCTTGTCTTTATCCCGATTCAGCTCGTCTTGAGCGGCACTGTGCCCATTGAAGCACTCCTGGCAGAGGCAGTGGGCACAGGGCAGCACCACGCCAACCTTCTGAGAGCCGTCAGCAAGTTCCCAAGGATCGGGCTCTTGGGTGGGGATACCACGAATCGCGATGGGGTACGCGCAGATGGGACACGAGACTGAAGGCGCCGGGCGACCCGCCGGGTCTCGCAAATAACGCTTCACTGTCGTCCAGAGGTTCGTCTCCTCCCCGGGGACACAGCGCCTCCTCTTGGTGGGCCTGTCGTTCTTCAGCGTGCTGATCTCGCAGTGCTTTCGCTTCCGGGACTGGACAGGCAGCTGCGAAAGTCTTTGAGGGGATGACATGTCTCGAGTTCTGTTGTCGTGGAACTATGCCGGATAGTCCTGGGGTTTGTGTTCAAACGAGCGTGAGGTGGGATTCTCAACCTTTCCAGAAGCTGTGTGGTGATGGGCACGTGGTAAAACATTCTGGTCAGGTCGTGCTCACTTAAGTACGATTGCGGACCGCTCACAACAATACATTCATTCAGTCCAGCATTGACACGGGAGGAGCCAGAACAAGAGGATGGTTGATTTTGACAATAATGCTTTACTTCCGAACAACCAGGATTGTTTCATACCATGTCCCTGTTCCCGACAAAGAACGAGTGCCACAATGCCGCATGGCAAGCTTTGTATTTCGACTGAAAATTGCATTGTAATTGCTTTGTTGTTGGCATAAGAACATTTCACTGCATTGTACTGTTCTCCGACTACAATGAGATACGGCACATCGGGTAGCTTCCGGGGTCAGTTGTGCAGTACACTTTGCTCCGGCCAATCTACAATCCGCACCCCACGAGCCGTGGCTGTGGAGAAATTCTCCCTGCGTGTGCACCGGTGGAAAGTCTGGCTATCTTTGGGCTGGATTCATCAAGGAATAAGTCTAGATCATCATCCAGGATCGTCAACTTGTGACTGGCAACGTACACAGCATGTGAGTGCTTGCGGATGCTCAAAGCTGCGTCAGCTCATAATCCTGGCCTGTACCGTCCGACGCGGAATTCATAATGGGGTGGGTGCTAACCCGATGAAAGCATTTGGCTTGAGTATCACAGCACTGCATCGCTGGATCCAGGGAGTTGAAAGGGAGTTTGCCTATTTGAATGGCACACATCCTTGGGGCTCAGGCCCAACCCGTCACTGTATGAACATCATGCCGGATATCCGGATTTCGATCAGGTTTGCGCATAATACATACTGAATTACAAGATCTCATCACTCCTATCTCTATGGCTGCCCCCGAGGCACTGACGCAGAGCCATGTTCGCCGTGGCCGCGGGGAGAGGGTCTTGGCGAGATGCCAGGGACCTCGAAGGCGGTGAGGACGGCCCTGATTCGCCCAACAGCTGAGATTAGTCGCGGTGGAGCACTGCCTGTCTGGTGCCTTTGCCGCCTTGGCGTGATAAACGACGACTTGGACCTGTCGTTTTGGGACTGGGCCGCCATTGATAGATCGCAACGTGCCCTCCGGGGTGCGATATGATTAGGCCCATGGCTCGGAGACGGCGCATTGAGCAGCTTGGCGACCTGCTGGCCCAGCTGCCCCTTGCATCTCGCCCCGTGTGAGGCTCAGCTGGGATCGACGCGTCGACGACTACAAATGCTACCCGTCCCCGGGGACGGGCAGTGTTCGAGCAGGATGTATCTGTGTCCACCTGCCGCCCAGCTCCCGCCCGCCGACCACCCAGCATGAAGGGCCTCCTCTGCAGCGTCGCCGGCGCTCTGCTCACCCGCTCTGCAGCAGCGGTGAGCATCTCCGAGATCAATGGCAACAAGTTCCTGTCGCCGTACAACGGCCAGAGCCTGACCAACATCAGCGGCCTGGTCACTGCCAAGAGCTCCACGGGCGTCTTTGTCCGGTCCACGGCCCCGGACAATGACACGGCAACGTCCGACTCCGCCTTCATCTACAGCAGCAGCGTGGGCGGCTCGCTCAGTGTCGGAGACATCATCACCTTCAGCGCCAGGGTGAGCGAGTACAGGTCCAGTGGCTCTACATACCTCTACCTGACCGAACTCACCTCGCCGACCAACGTCGTGGTTGTCTCCAGCAACAACACGGTCAAGCCTCTGGTGATTGGCGAGGACACCCTGAACCCTCCGACCGAGCAGTTCTCCAGTCTTGACGGTGGCGACGTCTACGCCCTGCCCAATGCTGTTGCCAACGTCTCAGCGGTGAACCCCGTCCTGGACCCGGCAAACTATGGCCTTGACTTCTGGGAGAGTCTCAGTGCAGAGCTCGTCACGATCAAGAACGTGACGATCATCTCCCGGCCCAGCTCGTTTGGCGAGACATGGGTCACTGGCGGGTGGCCAGCGACGGGCCGCAGCGAGCGGGGGAGCCTGACCATGACGGCCCTGGACTCAAACCCAGAGGTCATCAAGATCGACGATCCCCTCGACGGCACAAAGAACCCAGCCGCGCCCAAGATTGGAGACAGGGCGACCGATATCACGGGCGTTGTCTACCAGCAGTTCGGCGCTTACTACATCCTGCCCCTGACAGCGTACCAGCTGACCGCCCTCGCTGAGGGGACGGCCCCACCCACGACCCTCGAGAGCACGCGGTCCTGCGAGGGGATAACCGTTGGCGACTACAACGTCGAGAACCTGGCCCCGACAACTGCGAACCTCCAGGGCAGGGCGGACCACATTGTCAACTACCTGGGCGCGCCCGACCTCGTGTTCGTGCAGGAGATCCAGGACGGCAGCGGCCCGACCAACAATGGCGTTGTCGACGGCAACGCCACCCTCACGGCGCTCGTCGACGCCATCGCGGCCGTCGGCAACGTCACCTACTCCTTCGTGGAGATTGCCCCCGAGGACGGAAAGGACGGTGGCCAGCCCGGAGGAAACATCCGCGTGGCCTACCTGTACCGCCCCGAAGTGGTCAGCCTGTACAAGCCTAACCCGGGCGACAGCACCACGGCCACCGGGGTCGTGGCTGGTGATTCCGGCCCGGAGCTCACCTTGAACCCCGGCCGGATCGACCCGGCCAACCCGTGCTGGGATGCCAGCCGGAAGCCGCTGGTGGCCACCTGGCTCGCGGAGGGCGCCACGAAGCCGTTCTTCACGGTAAACGTGCACTGGAGCTCCAAGGGCGGCAGCTCGAGCCTGCAGGGGGACCTGAGACCGCCTGTCAATGGAGTGGTCAACAACAGGCTCATCCAAGCCAACGTCACAGGCGTAAGTGTTCCCAGCTGTCCTGCGTCTTCCCCATGGTTTCGAGGAGAGGAACTAACCAAAGCACAGTCTTTCATCGCCGAGATCCTCGCCATTGATCCATCGGCAGCAGTCATAGCCGCAGGGGACTTCAACGAGTTCGCATTCGTGGAGCCCCTTGTCACCTTTGCCGAGATCTCTGGCCTGGCGGAGCTGGATGAGGTTGTCGGCATTCCTGTGGAGGAGCGGTACACGTACACCTTTGACATGAACACTCAGGCCCTGGACCACATGTACGTCAGCCCGGTGCTCGAGGAGGGTGCTGAATACGAGCATGTCCACGTCAACACGTGGGCGGTTGAGAAAGATGTTGTGTCTGACCACGACCCGAGCGTCGCACGCTTTGGGGTATGTGGAGCATGATGGGACTTGTGATGTAGCCAGTGTGACCAAAGGCTCTTTAAAGAAATCTGAAAGCATTCAATACATTTCCTGATGGTGTACGGGATGAGGATGACTGGCGTGACATTCGAAAACCATTGCGGAGTCTGGGCAGATAATCCAGATCGTAGAGAAAGTAATCGACTGTAGGTACCTGGGTACCGAGATGAAGCGTCCACATGGGCATTGACCTACCTCAGGGACTTACCTAGCACCTCCTACCCATGTGGGCTGCCCACCTGCAATTCCTTCTGCCTCAACTCAAAAATCAACTTTCCAGTCACGAGGACAACGACAGACCACCAAGTCCTTCTACCATGCCTCGCAACAGCTGCAGTCTCCCGTTCAATCGAGATGTCTCAATCCGACGACACAGAAGAAGTTGTCGTTGCCGACAGCATCGCAACTTCGCCCAAAATGCTCAACTTCGACAATTCACGCCAGCTCTTCATGTCAAGTGACCTAAGGTGCGATCTTTACTCGAAATCATTCATTTCTTGCTTCGCACTCGAGCCTTATCCCTGACATTGAATGCAGCCTGTTTGAAACCGGTCATTTCAGCGACGCGGTGCTTGTTTGTGGGAACCACGCTTGGAATGTGCACCGAAGCATCATTTGCAAGAGATGCGCATGGTTTGAGAAAGCCCTTACGGGCCCCTTCTTGGTAAGTTTAGAACTCTTGACGGGACACTGAGATTCCAGGGCTTCGCTAATTGTTCCATCCACTCAGGAGTCCGAGACCAAGACGATCACTCTGACAGACATGGCGCCGGAGCCAATCGAAGTCGTGCTGCGTTACCTCTATTCAGGTGGTATGTATTTTTGTTGGGCTTCTATTGATTTCAGTTGCTGATTTGCGGTACAACAGCTATAGACAATGCCGCCGTGCAAAGGTGCGAGGGCGAGTGCATCCTGAGCACATACATCCGCCTTTGGTCGATGGCAGACTTTTTCCTCATGGAACCACTAAAGGCCGACATACTTGCCGCAATGGAAGAGTCTCTAGAGGAAAACATGAAAAAAATGTGCAACGCAAAGTTCCTCGTCGACTCCCCGGAATGCCAAGCGATCATCCAAGAATTCTTCCACTGTGTGGACACCACTTACCGTGAGCTACCACACACTCAGCCATGCAAAAAGCTTCTCCTCGATTACTGCCATGCAATCAGGCTCAACCTTTACCGCTCAGACCAATTCATTGAGATGGTTTCCAGCTACCCGGAGCTCGGGCCGGACCTCTTCATGATTGCCCTCAAAGGACGGCAAAGCAAGTGGGCTGGAGACTCCAAAGGGGACTACAGGAACTTCTCTGTGTACACAAAGTGTTCTGACTGCAGCCGCAAGTCAAAGTACGCCAATAGCTGGAACATCGACCCACAGGCGTCAGGGGAAAACATAAGGATCATGGAAGTCCCCTGGCGCTGCGAGTTTTGCGTGAAGGAAACCGGTTACTGCTGGCAGGGACGTGAGAGTCCTGCGGCCCAGAAGGAGGCGGACGGAATGTTGTGAGGGGAGGAAAGTCAGCGTCGCAGGCTGCTGCCTGTGCACGCTGATGTTTGAAGAGGACACCAGGGCTTTGCTGGCGTGCTGACTGGGAATGGTGGTTGACAGTCGAGCCCACGGCGTTGCTCTGGCTCTTACTGCATTCTGAGTCTGGGCACAGTCTCCAGCTTATTTCGGAGGCAGGTTTGCACCATTACGAAGAGACTGTTAGATCCTTGAATGATGCTCATTTTGCACAAACGCATGTGAAGTCGCGATGGCATTTGGGCGGCTGCCTTGGGCGTGGTGGTCTGAAAAGGGAATATGCTAACTGCTACTTACCTTAAGTAGGTAAGTAAGCTCCCGCCTCGTCTCGCCTTTCCGTCTTTGAGAGTCAGCAGCTAGGCCTTCTCGGCTCGCCCTTCCCTTCCCTCACGACCATTTAAACTACTTTCAGCTCGTTTTCCAGATGCGTCTCCATGGCTGTCGATAACTGTGAGACGTCCCGCGCGGTTGATTGCAAAGCAAAGCCACGGACCTCAACCACCAGAAACCATTTGTAAGGAGACATGACGCTGAAGGAGGACGTCTCTCGTATAAAATGGAGGAAATGTGCTGTTTCTTCCAGCGACGACTGATTGAATGCAAGGCCAATCGAATCTTGCAACACCCAGCAAATATTATTTCTCATAACCGTCCAGAAACAGCCTTAAGAATCTATCAAAATGGCCGCTGCAATTAAGAGTGTCGCCGTCGTCGTCACATCGACACGTGGAGTCCGCGTCGGACCCAACGTCGCATCTCTCATCTCAAAAGTCCTCGAGCCCTCGGCAAAGGCCGCGGACATCAACCTCAAGACGGTCGACCTCAAGTCCTTCAACCTGCCCGTCTTCAGCGAGGCCGCAATCCCAAAGATGGTGGCGCCGGGCGGGGCGCAGTTCGAACAGGAGACCTCCAAGGTGTGGGCCGACGAGATGAACTCCCACGACGGCTACGTCTTCGTCCTGAACGAGTACAACTACGGCATGTCGGGCGCCGCCAAGAACGCCATCGACTACCTCATGAACGGCTTCACGGGCAAGCCGACCATGCTGGTCAGCTACGGCGTGGAGGGCGGCATCCTCGCCAACGACCAGGCCAAGGGCGTCCTGTCCGCGATGGGCCTGACCGTCGTCGAGCCGCGCCCCAAGCTGGCCTTCTTCGGCGGCCGTGGCCCCGAGGGCATGCTGGCCGTGCTCGAGGGCAAGATCGGGGACGACACGAGGAAGGACTGGAGCGAAGGCCACAGGGACGAGATACTGGAGGCGTTTGAGAAGCTGGGCGAGCAGCTGAGGGTTCCCAAGCCCGAGGGTGACCAGCTGCCCCCCAGCAAGAACTAGTAGTGCCCGGGTGGCTGTCGACGTCCATCACGTTGAATTTCACAGGTGGCAGAGCATTGAGAGAATTGTTTCTTTATCATAGCATCATAGCATCATATCAGAGAGCATGGAACATCAATAGACTTCGTAAATCTGTCCAATCACGCCCTCTCTTCAGTGTCCCCTCGTTCATTTGAGATGTTGTCGCCATTGCAGTACACCACCAGCTAAGCACGCTGCCAGTCGCCCGAACCCCCCACGGGGTCGCTCGGCAGTCATACCACTCATCCCTTGCTGATATCACTGCCAATGGCTCGGCGACTCGGCATCCTCCTCAGCAGTGGGCGTCGCGGGGCTGGGCGGAGGAGCCGGAGCCGGAGCCGACGAAGCGGACGACGGGACAGTAGGCCGCTAGATCTCCAATTGTCGCTGCGCAAAGGCTATAAAGCAGTCGATATACGAATCAAGTCGCGTCTGCATGAAGACGCACCGTTTTTGGAAAAGGGAAGAGACGCGCTCGGGCGGGAGGAGCCAGGACCTGACTAATACCTGGACCGCCTTCAGCTCGAGTGCTAGTTCTTTGGCCAGATGGCAGGCATACTCGGTGAAGCTGACCCGGTGGCCAGCGTCAAGATCCGGATGGAGGTCGGACCAGGCGTCCAAGTCTGCGCGCGGGTAGGCGGTACGCCGGTCGCTGGCCGAAGGTTCGTCGGGCCCTCGTCGATACGGGCTGGGGGCCACCCTCTCCATGTACCTGTCCAATACATAGAAACAGACCTCTGGGGGTTGTTCGTTGATAAATGAGATTGTGTCAACTGTCCGCTTCCTCGCCGAGTCCATTTCCATCTGGGACCAGCACTGGAGGAGGAAAATGTCGAAGCGCAGGAAGTCGCGGCGGTCCATGAGGTGCTTGTCGATCCACGGTGCATAGGGGTGCAGGAACGAGCCCTCGACACACCCGTAGGAATGGTGGATGACTCGCGAGAGCCATGTTGCGTCAGACTTCCAAGGACCACACCGCCACGGGCCGGACAGACACAGGAGATAGATGTAAGATTTTGCAAAAGGCCTTGGGGACGTCAGGACCCCGTGCAAGTGTTCCAGCACCACCCTGGCGGCGTAGAACCACCAGGCCATTTCTCCGGAAGCCCAGTAATGCGTGTTTCCCTGCGGCTGCTCGATCAGCCTTGTCTTGACTGTGAGGCGCAGGCATTGAAACCCACCCTTGGAGAGAGATTTGCACATGGGTGCGCCGTCGCTGAAAAGCAAGGGCCTTGTGGGCAGGCTGCGTTCATCCTGGGGCATTGTGGGTGCCGAAGTATCGAAGACGAGGTCAGAAAATTCATCATCCATCCTGGCGGGTCTTGAATTCCGTGAGCGGTTTTGTATTCGAAGTGATGGGAGGTGGTCAGAGGTGGTAGAAGTGGTTCGTGGACTAGAATTTGGCAAGCCTTATTGAGTTGTTGAGATGGAAGAGGATGATGCTCCACCGTGGATTTGGGGCAAATGTCTCGATTTAAATGGGCTGGAAACTCTCCATTTCCTCCAAAATAATGTGTGTGGTCGTAGGGCTTGGATTGCTACCTAGAGATTTTCATCAACATTTCCGTGCTACTCACCAGCGGCGCCGGTGCGAGGCCACACTAGAGAGCTTCTCGCCATGCCCCAGGCCGTGGGTTTTTTTTTCCTCTTGGAGAAAAGACGAAAAAGAATCTTGCTCCAGCGAGCCCAGTAGGTGACAAGTCTCGCATAGTCTGAGGGACGAGGGTGTGACAGTAGTAGCCAAGATACAACGGGCATTGCCCTGGGGATTGGGGATTGGGGTAAATCAACAAGCTGGACGTAGACGGTGGAGTAAAAAAGTCGCAATTGTAGATTGCCGCGCTGTATTTGTATCGAATGTATCGAATGCCGAAGCCCCACGAGATGCGTATCCAACCAAACGCCCGCCCTTTGTAATTCGACCAGATCCACCACAAAACACCATGCTGACTGACGCTCGCGACCACCCGTGTTGTTCCTGTTGGCCTTCTTCTTCTCCTCCTCCTCCTCCTCCTCCTCTCCTCCAGGGTCTAGCCGCGGCCGCCGTTGTAGTCGGCGCCGCCGGACCGCCGCAGCTCCTTGACGATGTCGGCAAGGACGAGGTCGCGCTTGTCGTCGGCGTTGAACTCCTTGCTGTAGTGGCTCAGGACCTTCTTGAGCTCCTGGACCTCGGCGAGCATCTTGAAGCGCTTTGCGGAGTGGACGTTGGGGCCGTTCCATATTATCAGGGCGAACTTGACGCGGGTGCTCTCCGAGTCGTTTGCGTACTCGACGCGGGCGTAGGCGTACTGGATCTGGTCGTCGGCCAGCTTCTCGACCATTGACTCGAAGGACTCGCTGCTCGACTCCTGCAGGCCCATCTGCTTGCTGGTGGTGCCCGACGAGATGAGCAGCCACTTGGTCTCGTCCTTGTCGCTGCGGACGGCCTCGTAGGCGGCGGCGAGCTCGGGGGAGTTGATGCCGGACATTGTGCACGGTGGTGTCGTTATCTTTTTTTCTGTAAAATATTATTATTATTGTTGTCGAGATGTCGAGAAGTCGAGGCGCAAGTTGGAACTGGCCGACCTGTCGTCGCAGACGTGTCTCGATGGCTGCCGCCCGAACCCTGCACGGTCTGTTCACGACCCGCCCTGGCAGGGACCTTCCCTGCGGCGACTCCGAACGTTCTAGTGTCAGGGGCTTGCTGCTGGGCTTGCCGCTTAGGTAACACCCATTATTATTTATCGATCTTGCAGGGTAGCTTGGGTGGATCGGCACGGCCCTTGATGCCCATGTTACCATGTGCTTTGCTTGCATAGGTAAGTACCTAGGTATGATGCGCACCTTCTCGAGCTTGTGCCATTTTACCGGACCTCTGACCTTTGAAGCTCGACAGCCCATACGTCCATTTTAGTCCAGCCAGATCCCCCGCCTGCTCTTCCCGTCCCGAGCAGCCCCAGCACTCATGTTCCTGCGTCAATCACTGCGCTCCCTGCGATCCGCCCCGAGCCCGAGCAGACCAACCCTGAACAACCGGCTGTTCGCAGCCATGTCGCAACCGGCCGGGAGCTCCGAGTCTGGCGGCCCGGTCGAGCAGGCCATCCGCTCCAAGGTGCCCACCCCAAACCCCCTCCTCCGCCCCAGCAACCGGGGAGCTGACGCCATCCCGTGATCCTGTGCTGCATGCAGCTCGTCGACAAGTTCGGGAGCAACATCCAGATCTACAATGACTCCCACCTGCACAAGCACCACAAGGCCATGGCCGGCAGCACCTCTGCCGAGACACACTTCCGCCTCGTCATCGTCTCGGGCGAGTTCGACGGCACCAGGCAGATCCAGCGCCACCGCATCGTCAACCAGCTGCTCAAGGAGGAACTCGCCCGCGAGGGGGGCATACACGCCCTGCAGATCAAGGCCCTCACGCCAGAGGAGGACGAGAAGAGGGCCGCGCAGGAGTAGCATAGACACTGACTGCTCTCATATCACACAGAGCCACCCCCTGCTTCGCCCCAGTCTTCGTGGCGTTTGCCGAATCTAGTGCTCGTTACCGACCATTTTTGGTGCTCAATACCAACCTGTTTTGAGTGCCTCACAGGCCTGAATCCGGCACTGAGCCGCAAACTGGGGCCGCCAAGAGACAGCCAGAAGACCGGGTCATAATGAGATACAATGTCTGCATTGCTTGTGTCAACTCGCTACCTCTCCACCATGATCAACTTATAAAGCATCTGGAACCTCTACCAGGCAGGACCCAGAGGCTCACCTGTTGCCAGCGTCACCCTCCAAACCCCCCTCGGTGATCTTTACCCCATCTCGAGTCCATTTCCCATCTGCTGTCCTTCTGTTGCCAGGTCAATGGCCCTGGTGCCCATCATTTGCAGAGGTCAAGCGTGTAATGCCAAGCTCGTAGTCATCGACCACCTCCTCTGCGCGCCGAGACTCCGTAAAGGTCCAGACTCCAGCGGCATGGACAATGTCCACACCATAGAAGCCCATTTTTTGAAAGAATTCAGGGCCCAAGCTATGAAAGCATCAGCAAGTCTTGATCCTCCTTCAACAGCAATGGATATGGGCCTGGGTGCTTACAACTCCCTAGTTCTGGTGATCTCGGCAGTCTGCTCAGGGCGGAGATTTTCGCCTGGGTCCAGACAGATCCTCCGGGCCAGCGTCCTGAGGGCCTTGACGAAGGTCAAGCAGTCATCACGGGACTGTTTCTGCGCCTCTTTGCCTTGGCCTCTGTAGATTTCTGTGTCCACAGCGTTGATGCAACGACTTAGGAAGTACTCGTTGACATTAGGCAGCCTGTCCATGTAAGTCCTAAACTTCAAGTACCCGTCGGTACGGCCACCATCACTGAGCTCCGCCTGGGTTTGCAGCTCACATCAGCAACTCATACCACTAATGTAGGGGAAAAAAGGAATGGGCACATACAGCTGCCATGGTAGTGAAGGATGGCGAATTTCTGGTTCTGGTGGCTACCAAGGTGGTGAAGGATGGCGAATTTCTGGTTCTGGTGGCTACCAAGGTGGTGAAGGATGGCGAATTTCTGGTTCTGGTTACTACCAAGGTGGTGCTTGTCCCAAAGGGCCTTGTTGAATCAGGTTGGAAGGCAAGTCCGAGGGGAGGTTGGAAGAGATTGCTCAGTTCTGAGCTGTGTTTGTACCAAAGTGGACGTGTTATGGGTCCAACAGGGCCTGTAGGTTGTCCATTATCCGGAGTTGTGTACTGCCTGCTGTCTAAGGTCCGAAGTCATGACTGCCCGGGTGAACGAGTCCCGCCCGGTTGTCCTAAATTGTAAGTTGGACTGACTGGTCCTCCAGCTGCAAAGAACTATAGGGCTGCTTCTTCATCCTGTAAGTCTCGAGGCAACATCAAGTAGCATCATTGTGATTTTGAACGCTGGACCTTTGAGTGTTTACCACTGTGTGAAGGGACCATACGCCTTCAGGTGTATACCTTGCGGATTAAGAACGAAACTACTCAGCGCCATGAACCAGCTTGTCCCGCAGTTCGCTAAGTAGTTTGCGGGATTGACAAAGACTCTATGCCCGGGAAGTCATGGTCTTGTGATTTGGGCAATAAGTTTTCGGGACTGCCCAGTCAGCATCTATTTTTATTTGCTTTGAGCCACTTGAAGGAGCAGCCACCAGTTGTGAGATCCTTGATTTGTGAGTGGTTTTGTTTCTAATCCCCATACATATAAAATGTATGTGGCGCCTTCATACAGTGATCCTTGGTTTCTATTCCATATCTCCAAGGGCGAAGACGGTCAAATAAGGTGGACCTCGACTTGGCCTGGAAATGTTGTACACCGGACGGAAGCAAAGCTTTGGCTCCTTTCGTCCCAAGTCGTGCAGCCTATCACAGGCATTCCAACTGCCTGAGATTGGTGATGGGACGGATCAAAGCAGGCAGGTATCTATATACATATATACAAGAGTGTTCCTGTGACAAAGTCTACCTGAATACTATACCACACTATGCTCTACTGATCGGCGGCCTGTTTGAATCCTGAGAGATGTCTCCAAGCTGTTATCACCACATATCATTTATACAATCCGAATTACACATTGCTCAAACCAAATGCACAAATTCTTTTATACCCAGAGTCTACGCTGAGATCTTGAACTAACAGGCATGGCAATTGATTGCTCAGACTGAATGTGTCTCGATTTTGAAGCCGAGGTCTGCCACCTGGCAGTATTTTGTTTTCTGTCCGTCCAAGGAGCTTGATCAGGGGCAAACCAGGGCGCCAGCATCAACTGCCAGCCGAGAATATCTTCCTTGCAGAGACACAACAGGAGAAGGAAATTAGAAGATGGAGTCCTACGTTTACTGTGGTAAGAATCGATGACGTCTTGAGCCATCGAAGATCAGAGACATATTTACAGACCCGGTGCTTTGGTACCATCGTCGATTCGATTGTACTAATTCCGTATGAAACAGTGTCTCACAAAGGGCTAGCTTCTTGGAGTGCAGGCTCCAACCGCTTGGTCATCCGAACACGCGAGGGAAGAAAACGACTCAGCTCGCCCTAGCAGCCATAATGCGCTGCGAGGATCGAGATCCGTCTCACATTCCCACTTGGGCGTTTACTTGTCCATGCCCAACATGGGACTTTCTGGCGGTATGCACATCCGAACCATGGGCGACCCCGGATGGCCGGCCGCCACGAGGCTATGCCAATCAGCAACAACCTTGGAGCAGGCCGGTTGCGACAGGAACCGAGTCGCCGGCCGCAGGGGACGGCCAGCGAGGCCGGCGCCAAGAGGCCGACACGTAGGCGGGCAGGTGAGGCTGCATAATCCGCTACCGGGCCATCTTGGAGCTAAGCAGCCAAGAATTCCTCTGCATTGAGGTCGGTAGCGGCCCCTTGGTCTGGGAAAAAATCCCATGTGCGGCGGGATGCGTTTTGGGCGCGCCTGGAACCGATGGCCGGCCTTACCGCCAGAGTCAAAGGCATTGCATCGTTGGATAATTTCGATGCCGTGCGCGATCTGGGGCTGCAGCACTCAGGCTCGCGATGACGGCAGAGAGGCAGCATGAAAGTTAATTTTTCTGTGCTGGTTTGTATGAACCTTATTTTCCAAGCGTGCACATGTGCGATTTCTCTTATATGAGACTCTCATCGTACAATTATCCCCCCTTCCCAGGAAATTCACTGGGTTTCAAATCACTCTTAAATACATATCTCCTCACTTCCCAGTAGCTTTTAGCCAAGGCTCTGGACATTGCGAACTTGAAGTACCTGTTTCCCTCCAGCTGCAGAGACATCCCGGCCCTCGAGTTTCATCCTCTTGCAACCCACCAACAGGCCAATCTCGAACAACATGGTCTTCACATCCCCTATCTTCTGGCACTCAGGCCAGCATGTGCAGCCTCACCAGCTTCCCGATGCGCGGTCAGACCCCAAGGGACGCACTCTACTCCGTCGCATGCGGAACGGATACGCTGCTGTAAGCGACGACACCATGCCGAATCTAGGATCGGACACCCAGTCAGAGAGGACACAGACGCCCGAGACGCCCGCCGAGAATCCATTCGAAAGTCCGGCATACAATGACGATCCGCCCGAGTACGACCTCTCAAGCCTCGGTCAAGACCTGCCTCCTGCGCTGCCAGGGTACACCCCACTCCCGGACAGCGCACCGCGACCTATCGGCAAGGAGGACCCGGAGCCGAGGCAGAGGAGACGCTACCTGTACGTGCTGAAGAGGAGGATCTCGTCGACCAAGCAGAGGTTCAACAAGAGCAGCGCCAAGAGCATCGACGAGGACACCGACAGCTCGGCCGAGTCGGAGCGGGGCGTCGTGCTGTACCAGCAGGACAACCAGTGGGTCAACATCGAGGAGCCCAGCGTGGCCTCCTCCCCGGAGGCGAGGCCAAGGACTTTCAAGGGCTGGATGCGGAAGATCTGGAGGGGGATGAAGGAGTTCTCCAAGGAGCACCCGGCACTGTTCATCCTTGCCATCTTTGTCATTTTCATCGTGGCCATGTGCCTTTTGATCTAGTTTTCGTTTTGGAGTTCTTGAATTACAGGAGTGCTTGTGAAGGCGCCGCATGCTCACTGAAGCTTGGGAGAAATGGTGCATATCGATGATTTATGATACCAAAGTATGTAATCATGTCCAGTTAGCGATTCATGGGAGTTCGACTAGGTCGATCGGATTAATGAGGCTGTTCACTCAAAATCAGACACAACTGGGTTGAACTGAGGTGTCGGATATTCGAAATATACTCAAGCTTTTGACGAGGACTTACCAACAACTTTCCTCTATGAACTGTCATGTGACATTCACATTTTAATGGATCTGAGAACCAGTGTCTATGTAAAATTCAAAGACAGGCCAAGGTATGTCGAGACCGCATCGGCACGGACGAGTGGACACGGCAAGAGTGCAGCTTGGTGTGGCACACGGTCGCTGTCACATGGACACTTCTATTTGTTATGACGAAACACAAAGCCGTGCCGGGATTCTCAATTGGAAAATCTCCGATCCATGCACTAACACCGATGGCCATCCTGTCGGCCGGCTCGATGCCAGGTTATGGTCGGCGGCGCCACGCCGCATCGCGGTCCCGGAATTTCGGGAATGCCGGGGACCTCGATGTTCAAGACTGCATGGATACCGCTGCATGGTACGCGTCTGGTCGCGTCAACAACGGGCGGGAGAAGACTGTTGTTGGAAAGTACCGTTGGGGCACTTGGCTCTGTGTCCGATGAAAGTTCAGGGTACTGCAGAAGCCGTTAGAAGTCGGATGAGAGAAGTTTGCAGTGCCGAGCTGGAAGAACGATGACCATCTTGAAAGCCTTCCTCAGAATGAACATTAGGACTGCTTCATAGTCAAATGCAGAGGTTGGGACTATTATGCTGAGGAAAACGGAAAGAAGGATGTTTCAACATCAGTTCACTGTTTTGGAATATGACATCTGGAACACAGCCTCATGATCTTATATGCAGAATATCTACAATATCCTGGAAACGCTATGAAGTAAGCACAAAGTGGAAAAAAAGGACAGAGACACCCATGGAAATTGATCAAGGCAGCACCACAGACCATCTCCTACTCAGGTATTAAGCAGAGGTTGGGGCGGCCCCCAAGGCATAGCACCCGAGGACCAACCTTGGCTTCTTTTCTTGCAGGAACAGAAAAGAGAACCATCTACCTAGGTACAACAATTACTAGCTAATGCACGCAAGAGTCTGTATATATCCCCGAACTTTGGCCCCAAAGAATGAACTGAAATTGCAAGAGACCGAGAGAACACTAGTACCGTCCGAACAACACTGTTTTCGCCGCGTTCAACTTTCCCCTTCAGAAACGGACCAGGGCCAGACTGACCAACACAACAGGGAGCTCCAAAGAGCCTCCTGTACAACGTGAAACATCTGATGACCCCTCCACTTATATCTCTACCACAGAAAATCCTCACAAGTGGTCAGCCAGCCATATGACTCCAAGACCACCCTGCCCCACACCAGCGGCAATAACAGCCCAGCTCACAAAGACCAAGCCTTTCCAAGACATCCTTGGCATCCCCAATACCCACATAGTGTACAGCCCATCGGAAACCCCCACACGCTCCCCTCTGCTGACGAGAACAAGTGCTGTGGATAGCAGTGATCAGTCATATATAGGGCTGGAGGGTGACATCGCTCCCTCCGGCATCCCCGCAGTTCCGAAACGCGTGCGCGGAGCCCGCCCACCCCATCCCGAAGGCTTCTGTGCCATGCTTGAGGAGAGACACGATGCCCGGTGGGAGATTTGCGATACAGCTTTGTGCCCAGAATTCGTCTTCTTGTCCTCTTCTCGATCAGTTCGTCCCATGGCTGCAGCAAGGCGCCGCTTCCAAAATCATCACGGTGGGGCGGGCATCGATCACAGGGGCACCCAACCCGGATCGCAGTCAAGGCATATAACACACGAGGATCTACTCAAAGGATATCGTTATTGAACAAGTAAAATAGACATTAGGAATCTAGTCCAATACGTGCAAGCCTCCGTACTCCATGCGGTTTACCCAAAAGCCCAATATCTATATACCATATATACCGAAACCCCAAAATATACACCCTTCTTCCAGCGCCCATTAAATTCCAAACACAAATCAGTGACATTTTCAAGCCCGTCTTACGGCTTGCTAACTTGTTCCTTGCGGAAGAATTTGAAATACCCGACGCAGATTCCAAGGTTGAGCAGGAGCACAACCCAGAACCAGGCGCTGCCGAGGACGTGCCCGGCGCCCTGGGACAGGTCGGGGAAGACAGGGCCGGGGCCCAGGTTGTCGGGCGCCGTGGCCCGGCCGGCGATGGTGGCCAGGGACCCCAGCACCTGCGCGCCGATGACGGCGGCGGCGACGTGGACTCTCGTCAGCGTGAGCATGAGGATCATGCCGATACCTGCGCCCTGGATCGAGTCGAGGAGGCCGAGCCACAGCCACAGGAGGCGACTGAGCACGGCGCCAGCGACGGCGCCGCCAGCCCATGGCAGCCAGAGACCAATACGAGAGCAGCCCCAGAACATCTGAGCCCAGCGGGGTGCGCCGAGTCCCACGGCGAACATGGGGAACAGCCACGGGTGTGACTCTGACACCTTGGCGAGGCCGAAGAGGACCACGCACCACAGGATAGTAAAGAAGAAGAGCGCCATTAGGATGACGGACCAGGTCGGCAGGACTGCTGACGAGAAGAGGAAGAACCAGTTGCGTCCGTAGAGTGTCGAGAGGAAGTAGTTCTGGATAATGACAGCGAGCAGGTACCACGCGATCGTCTTGCGCTTGAGCAGTGTCTTCCACAGCTGCGGCACCGGGCCGGGCGTCTCGCGGTAGAAATCGGGCAGGCCCATGAAGAGCACGGTGCCGACGGCCCAGAGGAAGAGGGCGGCGGGAAGGCACACTGCGAGCATCCAGGGGGAGTTGGCCAGTGAGTAAGCACCGGTCTCCCCGGTGGCTACAGCATCACTGATCGAGCTACCCCACGCCCAGAGGGCAACGGTGTAGACCTGGGACACGCCCTGGATGATGGCCAGACGCATGATCCAGGTCGACACGGTAGAGCCACCGTCGGTGCCGAAGTTGAAAGCGAACGAGATGCCACCGGACGACGCGGCGAAGGCGTAGAAGCCCGTCGCCACATTTTGTACCCATCCTTGCACAACCTCATCTGTGGCAAATGGGGAGAAGCCGAGGATCATGAATGCAATACCGTAGAAGTAGAAGGGTATCGCGGTCGAGTAGACGAGGCTGAGGGTCCGGGACAGGGTATACCACACAATTGTGGATCCCAGGTAGATGGAAGCGACAACGTAGAGCTTGGTGGCGGTTTGTCCAACGGTGCCCGTCAGGAGCGTGATCTGGTACGAGTTTGTGGCGATGACCTGGCTGATAGACAGGAGAATGGCGTATATGGGCCAATCTCCCAGCTGGTACTGGAGATACCTCTGCAACCCGTTGGGTGGTTTGTAGTCCTGTGGCAGCTCAAATTGGCGTTCATAGTCGTCGTCTTCACTAGGCGAGCCCGCGTCACTGCCTGCAGGCGTGGCGTTCATGAGACGGGAAGGCCGACGCTCGTGTCCAAGAGACAGCCGAAGCTGCGACCGAGAGCGGTTACGAGACGCATTGCGGGACGAGGCGCGGGATCCAGGCCTAGATGCCGAGGCGTCGCGGGCCCGGCCACGACCCAGCCGCACGTCACGGAACTCCGTAAACCACTCCTTCTCGGACTTGACCAGGTAGTCCTCGATGCACAGGTCAGAGATTGAGTTGCTTGCGTCCAGCGTGCCCAGCTTCTTCTCGAACTCGGTGTAGAAATCACCCCTGGAGTCCGTGAAGAACGGATCCGTCTGCTGGAGCTTGAAGTCGTGTCGCTCGCCAACAACCTCGTCGACGCTGAGCATGGACGCCCGACTGGCATTGTTCTGCATGCCTAGCGCGAATGGCCGGGAGAAGGAGAGAACGCTTGGAGATTCAGATTCCATGCGGTCGTGGCCGGGTGCCCAAGGCAAGGGTGTCCCGGAACGCGAGCTCACGGCGGATTCGTACCCACCAGGCGACACGGGGCGGGATTGCATCGGGGTGTTCAGGGCAGTTGTGAGGCGCGACTGGTTGTTGATCGAGGCATCGTCGTCATGGTCCGGAACCTGTTGCATCCAAGCTGGAGTGCGGTCCTGCAGCTGAATCTCGGTGTTCAGCGCCTCCTTGCTCGGGTTCAGGAGGTTCATCGTGCTGGATAGGAACTTCTTCTTGCCGGCCTTCTTGGCAGTCTTCTCGGAGATCTTGATCACGTTTTGCTGTAGCTTCTCGAGCTTCTCGAGCCACTCGGCAACGGGGAATCGCTGTTTGGCGGAGTAGGCGCGCATCATGGCCCGGGTCTGCGTGTCAGTCTTCAGGGCGGCCACGATGGCATTCTTGAACTGGTGCAACAGATGGTTTGCCTTGGTACTTTCGACCGTGTACCACCAGCCAGGCATCTGCCCCAGACCACCAACTCTGGCACCAACACCCAGGGCTCCCTTCCGGCCGAACTCGACGGCAACAAGGCCGAAGGGCTCGTCTCGCGAGGGAATCAAGGCGAACTCGGCACCGCTGAAGATGTAGGGAGGCAGCGCCGTGAATTCAGGCTTGCTGTAAACACGGCCAGGGTACTTCTCCATCAGCTTGGCCAGCTTCAAAGCCGCAAATTTACCATACAGATCGATCACAGGACCAATGCACTGCGAATGGTTAGTTTTCCAAGCCAGAGAGACTCGTATCTGAGCTGCTGTACTCACAATAAGCTGGGTCTGGGGGTATGTCTCCAGGACCCAAGGGAAGATATCGGCGATAAGGTCAACACCCTTTTGCAGAGACCAACGACCAACAAAGACAAACAGTTCAGCCTCGGGGTTTAGCTCAAGACCGGCCCATTCCTGAGCCTGGCGCTTGAGGTCTGCCCTGCCTGCCTCGAACTCCTTGTCAATGGTGGGAGCATCGGTGGTGTATGCGGTTTCCTTGCTCCATTCGGCGGTGTCCTAAGCACGCAGATGTCAGACTTGGGTCACAGAGGGTTGGGAATCTTCAATGCAAAAGGCTGGCTCGTCACTCACAGTTGGATCGGGGTTTGGCAGCTGGCCAACCTTCTTAAGGCCCCAGAAGATAGGGTAACGCGCGAAGGAGCGGTCACCATACTTCTTGGACACACCGACTGCACCGAATCCCTGTTGGTGAATTCGCAGGTAACTAGCACCGGCGTGCAGCAAATTAAAGACTATGTGTTTATCAGTGTCTGTGATATGAAAATGTGAGGCAGCGAGCGGCTTACCTGAACCGAACTGCACGTATTCCTTGACGATCTCCTCCGGTAAATTGTAGACCTCGCAGACCTCCTTGCTTTCCTCAGGTGTGCGCATAGGCCACATTCCTTGGAATTCTGCATTGTGGAGAGAAAGGGCCACGGGAATCACGCGGGGCAGGAGGTACAGCGGGGCACAAGCACCGTGATAATCGTTGATATGGTACATGTCGACGGGGAAGCGGTTGACAGTCTCGGCAATACATTGGTTCCTGAGAGGTGTCAGCAAGCCGAATCGGACGGAGGAGGGCAGGGGGATATTTGCAGCCATTGACTTACCAGGCGGAGTAGTAAATAGCACTCTCCATGTCATCCATACGCGGTGGATATGGCTCTGCCTTGGTCTGCCTCCTGAACACAGGTGCATCGAGGAGCACATAGGTGATGTTGTCAACCTTGTGGTATTGCACCTGGATCTCATAGAACTGGCCCATAATCTTGACAAACATGGGATCCGCGGGCGTATCAATAGGGTAGTCGATACCCCCAACGCAGGGCACAACCCAGATAAGATCCTGGTGCTTCAGTGCCGTACCCATCAGCTGGGCCATCACACCCAGACCGCCGATCTTGATCTTGACGCCCCAGTCGTCGATATTGTACTCCATGGTGGCAATGAGGACACGCTTGCGCTTCGCGTCCCCTGCTGCAGCTGCAGCAACCAGGGCGCTGGCGTCCTTCTCGTCCCTGCCGTGGAAACTGGCGATGGTGTCCTTGGCCTTGGACACGAGCAGCGTGAACCCGGAAGCCTTGGTAACACCGACCTCGTTGAACTTGATCTTGTAGAAAGAGCGCTTGAACGCCTGCACTGCCGCGAAACCGAGGATGACAGGAACGATCCAGAGCAGGATATACAAGACCAGTTGCTGCCACATGTTGCCCGCGGGAATCAAGCCGTACTTCAGCGTGGAATCTTGGACGACCATCCTGTATGCCAGATAGGGTCTAGCCGGCGCCTTGCTGATGTTGATGTTGCTCTCCACGAGGGAAGAAGGCGGCAGACGGTCGAGGACACCATCCGAATCAATGTCGCCATAGACGAAGGACTGGTCTGGCTTCTTGTCGGGGTTCATGCCCCAGACACTGAGCTGGACAGTCGCTGGCCACTCATCCATGTAATGCCACTGCCACATTGACTCGGCGAAATGCTTGAACTGATTGCTCGCACCAGCGTCATAGCCATACTGGTTGAAGGGACCAGAAGACCAGAGATGCGGGAACCGTCGCGCCGGCCCGTTGTAGTCAACATCACCTCGCTGCTCGTAGGCACTGCTTCCGAGGAGCTTGCTGTGGTACTGCACGACGACGTGCTCCCCTTCCCACTCTTGGTCCTTTGTGCCCTCCCAAGGTAGCAGGTCGACAACGGTAGTCGGCTCGTACTTTGTCCAGTTGCTGTACGACGAGCCCCAGTTTGTAGAGTAGCGGAACCAGCTGGCACCTGGGGCGGTGTGCTTGAGAGTAAGGCTTCCGTCGGGATTCTTGCTGGCAAGAGTCGAAGAGTAGTTGGACGACTGGGGCCAGACGAGAGGGTTGTCTGGGCCGCCGATCCGGAGGAAAAACCGGTCCGTGGAGTTGGTGAAGGAGCCCAGATCAGCAGTCGTAGCATTGTTGACAATGATCTGATGGACTCCTTGGGCCAGGCCGGTGATATTGGCAGACCATCCCCAGGCCGACTCCAAGACACCCGGGTAGTCAGGCTGCTCAATGGTCGTAACGTTACCGCACTTGACCGTGGAAGTGTCGACCGTTGGGGTGAGGTCTGATTCCGTGATCGAGCTGAAGTTGATAGCCTTTGTGAACGAGTCACAGTCCATGAGGGTGTTGGCGTGTATCTCAACGAGAACAGTGTTGCTCTCCTCTGTCGAAAGAATCCTGTAGTCGTGACCAGGCTTGAACTTGGTGAGCATTGGCGGCGGGGGAACCCATTGCTTCACTGGGACATATGCGCGGTACTCAAAGGCGTCGAGGGTGATGGAATCAACGCAGCCGTTATACTCTGTGGAACCGTTGATTCCGACCTTCTTGGGCGAGTCCTTGAGATCCATGGATTGGTGAGGGAATAACAGGTTCTTCACTGTTGTGCCCGAGTCAAAAGGAGAGATCAGAGCTTTGTCCTCGTCGGTGCAGTCGAATGTGTATGTATACGTGTGGTTGCGGTTGTGATAGAGCAGCCATACTGGCGTTTCCGTGTCCAAGTCCTGGATGCCGAGGTACGACGAGCGCATGGTTGACCAGAGACCTTGCTCCGTGCCAATACCGGAGCTTCCAGGCAGGAAGATCCACTCGGTATGGTTGGACAGCTGCTCCAGATAGAAGCCGTCTGTCAGCACTGGGTACTGGTCGCGGAGAAAGTACATGTGCTTGATGACATTTCGGATTGGATGGCTGGGGTCTCTGTGGTCCCACGCCACCGTCTCGTCCTGGCATCCGTGCAGGGTCGCGTTGAGCGGCATCTCGAAGTACAGCTCACCGGGGAGGGTGTAGCATCCGTGTGCGTGCCATGCTGGGGCTGCCGCAATCGGCTGTCTGCCGAACATGTAGTTGGACGCCGTGTTGTCGAGGACGTAGAACGCCTGCTCTTCTCCCCACAAGAGTAGCGGGATGCCGGGCATGTGCAGGGTGGTGATGAACAGGCCCAGGAGGTTGCGCTCAATACCAAAGGTGATGGCAGGCCATCTGAAAACATCCTGATTCACCACTCCGAACATGTGCCGAGGGTCCACGACACCAGTCTCGGCGTTGATAAAGTCGTTTGTCTGCAGCATCCTGTTCCAAGCCTCCACCCAGTTCTTGGGAAGATCGTAAGCGGCCTCCATGCCGCCGTCCATACCCAGGAATCGTAGCAAATTACGATAGATGGAATAGTGGAAGGCTGCGCTATCAAGGGCCTGCTGGCCTTCTTCGCGGATGAAGACGTCCATGTCGGCCGCCGTGACATTCGTCAGGTTGACGGCCTTCTCCTCGTTGTCGATATATTGAGGAGGCGAGCGGCCACGGCCAATGTAGACGGCGCCGAAGGTGTCACCACCAGTGATTTCGCCGGGCAGGAAGAAGTTGTCCTTACCCACGTCCCTGGCGCACTTGCGAAGGTGAGCCGAGAAGCTGCCCTCGGCGTCGACCGTGACTTGGGTTGCCTTGTCATAACGGAAGCCGTCAATGTCCAGCATTTGGATAGTCAAGCACGAGAAGAGAGAAATCCGCTCCAGCACGTCAGGAACCCACTCGCGCAGCCGATCCTGCACGGAAGCGAATTTGGTGAGCTGCCGACGGTAGTCAGGGTAGACACCGAACGCTTCGGTGTCGCCAAACTGGTCGAAGTCGCCATTGTAACAACCACCAAAGCTGTCGTAAACCGCGGATCCGACCTCGGATCCGTTGTCCCAGTACAGCCTGGGAAAGTGCTCGCAAGTCTCGTTGAATGTTGTTCCAAACGTGAAGTCGTGATAGCGCCTGGAAGTCTTCCAGAGGGCGGTGTGTTCGTGTTCAGGGACGTATGGGGCTGATTTGTTCAGATATCCTGTGAAACCACTTTGAGAAGGTCAGCGCCAGGAGCTTCGGTTGTGCGAGGGCCAGTGTGTGCTTACATGAGATCGCCCATGGTCGCGACAGTGTTGTCGAGCAGGACGTACCTGGAATGATGTTGTCAGCATCTGCAGGAACAGGCCAAGCTTTTGCGCCAAGCCGATCGCTGCCCACAAAACATCGAGCACGCTGAGCGACACCATCAGGGGTGACTACTTACATGCCGCGCCTGTGGATTTCGTCTACGGCCTGGCGCCAGACTGTGATGTTGCCAAAATGAAGATCCAGTAGCGTGTGGTCAAGCGGCGAATATGAATCAGCCGCGTAAGGCTGGTTGATGAAAGGCGAGCCAGCGATATAGAGGCCTTTGATTCCCATGCCTTGAATGTAATCGAGACTGTCCATCAACCCTTGTATATCGCCGCCGAACCGGAGTTGCGTCCCCAAAGTCTCCGTCTCGAAGACCGTGTTGTTGGCATCGTCGTTGGTAGGATCGCCGTTGGCGTACTTATCCAAGAAGAGCGTGTAAAACGGAAATCTCCAGTTCGGGGGGGAAGGATGGAATGTGTGGTCTTCCCATTTTCCCGAATACTCCAACGGATTCTCTGTGTTCTGGTTTGTGTTCAAGTTCCACTCCACGAAATCCGGGTCATACTTCAGGGCCTGAGCTGGTATGAGAGCCCCCAGGAGGAGAAGCAAGCTCTCCGGGACTAACATCTTGCGGGTCCCTCAGCGAAAGTCGAAGCCCGCATCAAATTCTGGCCGTGCTGGTGTTTATCTGTGTCGGGCCCTGAGAACAAGATAAGAATACAGGAGAAAAGCGAGGGTCTGACAAAGAACACGAGCGAGTGACAAGGTCGAAGCGACAGACGGACGGACAGACAGACAGGAAAACAACTACCCAAGCCACCTCAGATATGACAAAGCAGGAGAACAAAGCGAGAGGATGAGTACGGGAAAGAAACGATCGAGAAAAGCTGACCATCAGTGAAGATGGTCCAAAGTCAAAAGGAAAAACCTGCTGGCTCGCACGACTCCCGAAGCCGCCCCCGTGGGTCAGGCAGGACAGGTCCACAACCAAGGGGATACGAGGTCATAGCCATGCTATCCGTGATGCATAGTGACGGGGAACTGTTGAGCACGTTGGACATGCTTGCTAACACTCGGTCCCCGGGGGAGCAGGGTGGAGATGTTAGCGAGAGCCAGGAAGTGCATGGCAGGTGCGCTGGCCGTTGCTAGCATGTTCGTGGTGGCGGGGTCCATCATGGTGGGACTGTGTACCCCGGCCGGGCCAGCCAGAGCGGCTGAAGCAAAAGGAGGCTCGATTTCCACCTTCAACCGATACTTCTGGACTCCCACTGTGGGCTGGATGGAATTTGAAAACCTCTGCCTCGGTCCCGTTGATCCCTGATAGGGGGCTTCGCCCGGGCGGTACTGGCTCTGTGAACCACCGTAAGCTCGTGCGTGTGGGATAGAGAGAGGTTCTGGTGGAGGCGGGCTCTGATGGGCTTGCCCGAGTCACACATCCTGCAGGTAACCCAGGAGATAAGAAAGCAATTGGCTGCGGCCTTCTCGTGAAAAAGAACCCTGTCACGCTGCTCCTGTCCTTACTAGTACGACTGTTGCGCGACTTGCATGTGGCCTGCCACCACATGGGGGTAGCGTGGTGCGCGCAAGCGGTGACGGATGACCGCTGGCAGCGGTGCCATAGGCCGAGTCGGGCGGATGGGCGAGGTTGGCACACACAAGATCCCCGGGGGTACTGTGTAGGTCCAGAATCCAGAGCTTTCTGATCCCGCGGCAGATCTTGGTGATCCAAGTCGGCTCGGGTATTTCGCCAGGGCAAGCCTGTTCTGTGGGACTGAGACAGGGGAGTGGGGGCGCAACCTTATTCAGGACTATTCGTGTCCACGACCGTACCCGTCCTGGCAGTCCATAGACCACGGCCCCAGCACCGCCTCGTCATTTCGGGCCTAGCTTGGCGGGATCGATACGTCGTCAAGCTCATGCCACATGTGCCAATGGCGCGGGTGTCGCTGGGCGGCCTGGTCATTGCTAGAAAAGGCGTGTCCCAACTCCCCCAAGATCCCAAGGCAACGGCGACGGCCCGCAGGACTGGGCGCCAACGGCTGGGTCAGAGCTGCGAGATCGTGGGGCAGTGAGCGGTGCAAGAATTGAGGCCCCCCTCCCCCCCCCCCCCACTGATGGGCAAGGACGGGAAGAGGGCAGGAGGGGCGACAGAGGCTGGAAGAGCCGTCATGGTGCTCTGGTGCGGGCGAGAAAAGACCTGCACGCCTGCACGGTGCGGATCGGGAACAGGATACGATCTGGCCTCTGGCCAACCGAGAGGGTCTCGAAATAGAAACAGTGGGTCCGGATCACCCATCTTGTCGACCCAGGTTTCGTCATGGGCCAACACCGCACTGATTCGGTGGGCTGGCCTGGCTGGCTGGCTGGCAAACTCTCCTTCCCACTTCTCAGTGGGACCCACCAGGCGGGAGGTGTCTCTGGGCAGCCTGGCTGGCGGTCAGGCAGTCTGGGCCGGGCCCGAAATTGGCGGGTTCAAGGTCTGAGCTCTGAGGGCAGGCGAAAGCTGATGAAATTCGGTTAAAAATTTCCAGAAACGCCAAGGCTGCGGGACGGCCGGCAGGTCTAGTGGATGCGAGGCTGGTATCAAGCCTGGAAGATCCCGGCGGTTTGGCAAATGCTTGGTCGAAGGGGCCCTCCTGCCGTCCTGGAGACCAGGCCTGTAGCTTGACGAAAGGGGTTTCTTTTGTTCGGGTCGGGTTGGGATGGCAGCTTACGGGACCAGGGGGAGTAGCCGTGGGGGTTCGCTCTAGTGCGGTGGTATTCTCGTGCAATGCCGTCATAGCGTGGATGGCATTCTCGTGCAGCCATTATGACTGAGAGAGAGCTTGAGAGAGAGAGAGAGAGAGACGGGCTGACGGGCCAGATACGAGACGTGTTTGTCCCGGCTGCCACCGAATCACGCCGCATGCAGTCAAGTACCGCGGTCCGTCCCTCTGCAAGACCTGCAGCTGTCACGCTGCTGGCCAGCGCTTGCTGCCCTTCCACAAATAGCAGAGAGGCAGAGCGACGCCTTCGTGTTCAACCCGATAAGCTGCATGCAGCCACACGCTACCGTCTCGTTAGCCCAGGAAGAAACAGGTGGTTTCCTACTTGAACTGGCGACCATCCTGTCATCGAGGGGGGTATTGGCTGACGTCGTGCGCCACAGATGCTGGGCTGGGTGTCTTAGGCAGCGTCAGGGCGTCGGCGTCCATGATGGCTTGCTTTGAGAGCAGCAGGCAGACACAGCGCGTCGCTGTTGCAAATTGCTGCTTGGCGCGGCCGTGGTTGCGGCTGAAGTCTAACAAAGGACGCTGTAACCTCAGCGAGATTGCTGGCGGCAGGTTATCAATCTCATATCATCTGACTTTTTGGTCGGGGGATTGATGTGTGTGTGTGTGTGTGTGTGGGTGTGCATCTTAACCTGGCAGGTGTGCAAGGGTGGTGGCTGATGAGTGGCCCAAAGCTTATCTGCCCCGTTGGTTCGTTCCTGCATGCAACATTGAAGTGTGCAACCACCTCTCAGCCTTCCGCCCATCGTTTGAGGGTTGCTTTTTCCAAGGCCACACAACGTGGTCGCCAGGGCCAATTTCTCGATAACGTCGGCCGGGCCATCCAGGCCACAGCCCACCTCGCTACCGACTGCTCGAACCTGTCAGACGAGGCGTTGCCGCCGGTTGTGACTTTGGCCCGGCCGGCCGCCTGCCGATCATTCCGCGAAGCCACAGGCGCCATGCAGTCTCTCGTATTGCGTCCTCACTCGTGCCAAAGTCAATGTGCACCACTGACCGAGATGCGCCACGCCCCCTTGGGCTAGCATGGCAAGTCCCGTGGTTGTGGCTGCCTGAGATCAAATGATGTGAGAAAGCCCTGGCATTATTGGCCGCGGCTGACTCCTGAATCGTTACCTTCTGCCTATTGACACTTCCCGCCGCAGGCCCAGATCACGACCCAAGGAATACGCTTCAATGATCGCCATCCATGGATCTCTTAGCTCAGTGCCACTCATGCTTTTCGATGTTGAGCTGTGGAATTATGGACACAGGGCACGCCTGGTCTTGCTCCGCGCATCCCGAGAACGACACCGGGCATCTTCAATAATGAGAACCAGCCACAACCACCAGCTGAAGCAGCTGCCCAAGCCAGTGTCTCTCGGGCTTCCCGCGAAATAGGGCGCTGGCAGTCCAACCACGGCTGTGAGGTATCTGGACCAGCAGGTGGAATAGGTTTCTGCCTCATTGGCGCGCCTAGTCATGCATACCTAGGTATCTGGCGTTGAGCTACGTACCTAGGTTTGGTCTCCCCGGCTGTCTCATTTCATAAGCAGCCTGCCGGTGACAAACGAGGATGCGTTAGCAACCTCACTTCTTCAGGCTCCTTTCTCTCGGAGCATCCGAGCAAGTGCCACATCCTTGGGTTATCCTGAGCAGCATCGCCATGCGACTCCCAGGAGTTTGGTAAGTGGTTTCGCTTCTATTCTGTACATGTCCGAGGACATACATGGCGCCTTCATACGGTGTCAGGAATTTGGTAAACAATAGATTTGCTAGACCAAATGTTAAGCAGTTCCACGGATCAGGCGGCTCGTCCAGCTCATCAAACCCTCAATCACTAATCTTGGTCGAGCGAATGTAATAAGATGAGCTTTTCGAGTGTGCCCCATCACTTTCGCACTCTAAAGCCTAAATGTTCACGGGACACGTGAGTATACGGTCTCAATATCATGACAGATCGCGTCTGTTTCCCTCAAAGCACCATCGCGGGGAGGATGAGTTCCAATCTGTCACATGCTTCCAGATTTGCCCAGGTCATAAGCAGTGCGTTCAGGTCATTTAGTAATCTCTGAGGAGAAATGTCACCGGATGATTCGCCAACAGCTGCTTTCTGGCGACTGCTTTGTTAACGATAGCATCCTTTGCGCCGGGCTGAAGTCGGGCGACACTGTCTGCAAACAGCAACCTCGGCGCTGTTTCGTAACAGGTTTGTATACAAATTTCAAACTGCCCCTTAATGCACTGTGTTAAGTGGGAAATCTATCCCTGGGCCTCTGAGCGTTTACTGCCATGTGGAGGCGTTCCGTCTAGATGTGAAAGACTGTGTCGATGAACCGACATGGAACCCGCTGAGGGAAGGTCCAAATTCGTTTTCTTCGGCTCCCTCGTTCGCCTCTCCCTTTCAAGCTGGCTTTTCCACGCGTTTCAAGACGTAGTACACCAGCACTGCGCTGCGCCCGACATCATCGGGTCCATCCTTGTTTATCAGAGCACAACAATGAGCCTCATGTCTTCTTCTGACCACATATTCGGCTACTACAGCGTGAGTAAAGTCTATGACTAGCCCCTGTGACGGCAACGTCAATTACGACGGTGGAAGCGGTGACTCACAGGAATATTCAGCCGTCGACCTGACGACCACATTGATTCTGGCCCGTTGTTTTGGTGATCAAAATCATGGGAACAATTCACATCGATATATTGCCACCTGAGTCGCGGCCACGGCGAGATATAGCCAAGAGCTCCGCGTCAACATCGTGACTCGTCCATCTATAAACCTCCGGCGGCGATCATATATCTTCATTTATTTGATCAGTACATTATTCAATAGCCTAGGAACCCATGCCAGCCGCGGCATCCCTCACTCCACTTCGAAAACAATAGGATCCTCGCCCCTCAGCGCCCGCCAACGGTTCGTCGCCCTCAATATGTCGTCCTGGCCATCCCCTCGGACCAGGAAGCCCCACTTCCGCAGAAAACCTTCCGTGACCTCCCAACCGCTCGGGTCCCACGGGTCGTTCCAGACGATCAGCCGTGCCTCACCCGCATATTCACCACCCCGAGCAGTCCCTCCCTGCCCCGTGCCCTCCCCGCAGAGACCCCTCAAGATGTCCGCACAAAAGTCATCCTGGCGCAGCCTGCCCTCTGCCACCGCGACAATGGCGTTGTCCCGCATCCTGGGGGACGGGAGGAGGTCTATCCACACCTCGTGAGGGGTGCTCTGCTGAAGTGGTGTCGGCCGGAGGGAGTCCGGGATGTTCCCGGACGGCTGATAGCCGGTCCACGGGAACAAGGGGGGCTCGGAATTGTCTGCCGCGTAGCCGCAGGCCGCGTTGCAGAGGAGGCTGTACGCCCCGAGGATGTAGACGTTCGTCAGGGAGGCGCGGTACACGTTGAGCTCGATGATGGTGATGAGGTGGTCTCGGGATAAAGGGAAGGCGAAGCCCGGTGGTGTAGAGCTTCTGTCCGCATTGTACAGCATAGGGAGACGAGGTCCTGAAGCGGTTGCTGGCGTGGTGATTATCACGGAAGCAGACTTGGCGCTTTGTTCTGTCATCCGGCGGGCGTCGGTATGTCCCGACGGCGTGAGGGAGACAATGCCCTCAGGACATCCGGACGTGCTTTGCGAGCCTGCCGCTTTCCGTCTGCGGTGGGCTCTGACGTTGAGCCGGTTCTGTCTCCTCCGCCTCTCAGCTCGATCTCGAAGCCCAGTCCAGTCGTCCTCGGGGCATCTCGCATCCCGCAGCTGGGCCATCGGGGCTAGTGACATCTCTGTGCCGCCTTGCCGCCACTCCGCCATGTTTGAGCAGAGGGTATGAGGATGGATATGATGATGTGGGAGACCTGCAAACTGCTTACACCTGGATGGCTCGATGTCTTTATTCACGTACCAGCCCACCCCATGATCCATTCCTGCCGCTTCCTCTGATCTAGTCAATCTAGCGCATATGCAACCTGCTTACAGCACTAACACGGATCTGGGTTGGCTGAGTCTCAAGGAAGAAGACAAACCAATCAGGACCGTTGGCCGAACCCAGGAATGGTAAGCAGGGCTGCCAGGGGTCAGGGCTCGGGAGGTCTGCCGAAGATCCACATGCAATGGGCTTACAACAGGGCGGACGTATGATCCCTCGGGGAGTTCTTGGATTAGGTGGAGATCCATGTTATCACAGATGTTACCGGCGGTCTAACATGTGGTCCGAGTCTTCAAGAGACGTATAAGAGCAAGTCGTGTGTCCATGAGTGGACGACTTAAATATGGGCGGATTTCCAGAGTACACACACAGGCGCATTGTGGAACAACAAGTGACATTACCACAATTTCAACAAGAAAAATACGCGATATAAATTCTTTCATAATGGCAGAAATGACCTGGCCAAGGATAAGACAATACCTCAAATCCCAACTCTTCACCACCCTTCCAATCCCGACCAAGTCCTTCAGTGGCCAGACGGTAATAATAACCGGCTCCAACACAGGCATGGGCCTAGAGGCAGCCCGGCACCTCGTGCGCCTCGACGCCGCCCGCGTCATCCTCGCAGTCCGCAGCACAAGCAAGGGCGAGGCCGCGGCAGCCTCAATCCGGGCCTCGTTCCCAGGCCGGGCGGGCGTCGGGGCCGTCGTGCAGGTGTGGCCGCTCGACCTCGCGTCGCACGCCAGCGTCCGGGCCTTTGCCGCGCGGGCCGAGGCCGAGCTGGACCGGCTGGACGCGGTGGTCTGCAACGCGGGCATGTATGTGTACAAGAGCGGGTTCAGCCTGGCCGAGGGGGACGAGGTGACCATCGCGGTCAACGTGACCAGCACACTGCTGCTGGGGGTATTGCTGCTTCCCATGCTGAGGGCGACGAGCGTGAGGTGTGACAAGGAGGCTGTGTTGACCTTTACGGGGAGCTTTGTTCACTTGATGACAGGATTCCCGGAAAGAAAGGAAAATAACATCTTTGAGGCGTTGGCGGACGAGAAGACGGCGAGGATGCCAGACAGGTAAGCATCTTTTTCTCATCACCCTTCGTGGCTGCATGTCAAGGGGCCCAGGTTCTGACGAGAGGCAGGTACTACGTATCCAAGCTGATGGAGCTGCTCCTCGTCCGGGAGCTGGCTGAACAGGTCACTAAATCGTCCAAGCCGGGCCGTGTGACAGTGTCCATCCTCAACCCCGGCTTCGTGAGGACAGACATCATGAGGGACAGCACCTGGTTGTTTCACATCTATTATGTTTGCCTGGCGGCGCTCTTGGCCAGGACCGCAGAGGAAGGTGGGCGGATCCTCGTCAACGCAGCAGAGGGAGGTCAGGAGACGCACGGCCAGTATCTCGATGACTGTAAGATCGGAGTGTAAGTGCAAGAGAGCGCCTGTCCGACTGTCCGATGACTGACGTGTGTCCCAGACCATCCGCCTTCGTCACGGGTCCAGAGGGCCAACGGGTTGGGCGGCAGCTGTGGGCGGAGCTGGCAGCGAAGCTTGAAGTCATCCACCCTGGCGTCATGGACAGTGTGTGATGAGTTATCCGGTCTATTGAATGTACACCCTCCTTCCTGTTCTATATACAAAGCCTCTGCATCCAGAGCTACTTGACCTCCAGCCTTAGAGCATCGTACTGTACATAAATGCTCCTCGGCAACAGTGCGCTCTCATAGTCCGTAGCATTGAAAGGCAGGCTGAGAATGATCTCGTTCGTAATGTTCTTGCCAGCATGCAAGTAGCTTGTGGGGAAGGTCCACTTGTTGGAGACGTGGTAGCATGTAATACCACTGCGAACAGCGCACGAGGAAGACTGGTAGTATCTGTCGAGGTCATGTGTTAGCATACAGCCGCAACCAGAAAAGAATCACGGTATGCTTTGGGCCTGGTTACTCACGGGATCGTCCAGGTCTCGAGTTCATGGCCATTCATCACAACGGTGTAAGGAATGTTTGCGTACGGCTGCGAAGCGTTGAACACGTCGGTGTTTCCGGAGGCCGACTTCGCCCCGGCGAGCTGGATGGTGAAGACAGCCTCAGTCGTCCCCGCCAGGTCCTGGTCGTCCACGTCAAAAGTAACGGTCCAGTTGTTGATGTTCCCGTCGCCCTCGACTTGTGTCGGGCGGACAGAGTTGGCATACCCGCCAAAGACGGACCAGTGCACGTAGTTCAGGTCCGTGGCCTCATCGGAGGTGCCTACGCGGAAGTTGACACCGTTGGGGAAGTCGTCGAGGTAGTCGTACGCGGCCCAGTAGATGCGGTACTCTGGTGGGTGAAGGGGATGGTCTGGGTCCGGGTGGTCGCCGTGGAGCCACTCGCCACCGCTCTTGTCTGGCGTGCCAATCCTCCAAAGCTCCTTGCCGGCCGAATCGGCTTCCCAGGTGATGACCCCGCTGTCTGTCGTCTCTCCGGCCTCTACCACGATATCCTCTTGGACATAGTCACCAAAGATCCCGCTTGCGTACACGGTGAGCCGGTACGTGCCTGCCTTGATGCGGTCGATTTGGATCTCGCCCGTCTCGGCATCGATGTCAGCCCAGTACTGGTAGGCGTCGGTGTCGTTGCTGTTGTCCTGGAAGTCGAAGCCCGGAACCGACAAGATCGCAATCGCGTCCTCGCCACCCTCGGGGATCTCAACCGTAGCCTTCCAAGAGCCACGGCCGGAAGTGGGGACGTAGTTCGGCACGAGATGGGCAATGTCGTCGTAGAACTGTGCGTTCCACTCCGGGGTGGCCAGCTCGAGAGCCTCATTGTACAGGTCCTGCAGCTCCGTGCCCGGCTCGCCCTTGTTGAAGAAGTAGTACGACGGGCCGAATGTACGGTCAAAGCCGTCCACGATGTTGGGAGCCTGGTTTCCGTGGTGGTTTGAGACAATATAATTGTACACGATCCCGTCAACCACCAGGTCCGACCAGGTCGGGCCCCCGAAATAGGTATCCTTGGTGTTCATCACGAACCAAGAGCCGAAAGTAGACCCATCGTTGCTGTGCTTGCCGTCCGCGAACATGCCGTGGACTTTCTGGTCCCTCCACGTGGTGGAGAAGGTGTACTTGGTGAAGTAGTCAGAGACAGCCTCGACGTACGGATCTGCAGTCCTGTTGCCGAGGTACCAAGTCGCATCCTGTACGGTGTATGCCAAAGAAGAGTTGCCTGCTGCGGGGTTTGGGACGGGTGAGGGCCCGTGGAACTCCGAGTCTGTGACCAGCTCTGTCCAGAGCGGTGTGTTGGGCCTGAACAAGGTCCGGAATTCTTGGAAGACGCCCGACGTAGGGGTTGTCTTGTTGTGATAGGCAAAGCGACTGAACATGTGCAGGCCAGTCTCGCCGTCTCGGAGGAACCAGTACTGCTCAAGGATCTGGCCGGTGGGAGCATAGACCTGGCTCATGGATATCCCTCCGTAGGACACGTTCAGCGAGTCAACGCCAGAGTAAAGGGTGTAGTTTGCATTCTGGGACCCCGGGCTGTAGAATCCTTTGGGGGTGCAGTAACAGTCCAGGTATGGCCCAATGCCGCTGGAACCGGCCGCTGTGCCGAGCAGGTTCTGCCCATCCAGGTAGAGGTAGTTGATAGCCCCGGTTGACTTGTTGACGGCGGCAGTCAGCCTGTCGTTGGCGAGGAGCAGGTACGCGTCGGTCTGGTTCGCAACCAGGGTGCCTTGGACAGTTGCTGCGAGCGAGAGGAGGGGCAGGATGCCTCGCCTAAGCAGCGGTTGGAAGTGCATCTTGACGGTTGAATGAGAGAGTGTTTGCCCAGGCCCTTGCACCGTCTCCAAGGGAGAGGCAGGGCCCCGTCGCACGCGTCTGAGATGTCGCCATCGTGCAGATATACCTGGCCCGTCGTGGCACGCTGCCCCGAGGATGGACTCGGTGCATGGTCATGCGTCAGTCAATTGGGCGGAATATTGCTGGCGAAGGAGGGTGAAAGTCCGTGGCGGTGGAGATGGGAAATTGGAATGGCAGTGGGGCTCCCCCCATAGTCGACGTTGGTCTTCCCCAGACAAGCAGGCGGCGGCGTGACTAGCCTGCCTAGCGGTGCGGAGAACTCTGGGGGATGGACCACTCTGCTGGGAGAAACACCCATGGGTCATGGGTCTTCGGTCTATTGAAGGCCGGATCGCCAGGGCAGGCCAAGCCGTGGGGATGCACATCACGGAACGCATCCTGTCTGCCCTGGCATGCATGCCTAACCAGAAGGGCTGAGGGGGGAGGGGCGATCACTCTGGCCATCAAGTGGTATTCCACGCACCCCCCCTTGCCTTCCCGAGTGCACAAGAGAGCCCGCAGAGGTACTGATGTAACATTGCTCTTTGTTTGACCTTGGGCACCGAGTATAGTGACGGATGATGCCGGGGTCATGTCGCTGCCAAGTTTCGTTGCGCTTGACGTCCTCTCTTCAGAACAGGTGCCCATCGGCACTCGCTGGCGGCTGACAGACGGCTCGCTAACGGCGCCAAGGTCGTGTAGACATCTCTGGTCTCACTTGCCATCCTCGAGTGCCTGTAAAACATCAGAGGCACACGACAATCATGCAGCCAACATTGGCCACTTTCGCGTCTGAAGAGTACATACCAGTCACGCCCAGCTTGGAAGAGATGTACGACTTGAATGACACGCTCAGAACAAGTCATTTATCATGCGCCTGTGTGTAACACAGACAAAACATTTTTTGGAGGGGCGGGCGCTGCAGGCCTATGAGTGTGTAGTAGCATCGTCCGATGCTCTGGGTCGTCAATCGCTGGTCTCACACACTCGAAGCTTGTTGTCGTCATTCCTGTGCGGCGACACCCGGGCGGCTGCCGATTAAGCTTCCCGCGAGAGCTTGGCTACGCCGCTACGGCAAAGCTAACTTGTAAATCAACAGCACGTCCTGTACGCACAGCAATAAATAAGTTATCCTGCTGCTTTCGGTTGGGCATGCAGTTTGGCTTCAACAGAAGGCTGGCGCATGAGCAGCTGGTGTTGACCAGAGATCGCGTGATCACGACGAGCTTATGGGAGATTTCCCGCGACCGCGAGAGCAGTGGGGGTGCATTGCACACCCGGCATTGCTCAATGGTGGTAAATTCCGTGTAATGTCTGTGTCTCAGAAGAATGTAAACAATTACTAATGCTGCTATCGTGATATCGTGACCCGTAAAACTTGCCGATCTTCTAATCGAAAGCCTCTGTTGCGTTCTCCTGTCAATGTTGCAAGAAGATGCCCACGGCCACCTCTGCAATAAACACCGAAAGCCGCCCCCTCTGAGTGGGAGCTATGCCAATCGGTGATGCAGATGACCGGGTCAACGGGGTTCTTGGTCGGCGGTAGGCATCTTACGGCGCTGCTTCCTTCTCGCTGGCCGGAGGACCGCCCGAGGCCTCCAGCCGCCATAGTCGCCGACAGGATGCTACGAGCCGAGCAAGGAATGCACGGATTGTCATTGTCTGGGCGTTTTGCGCTGCTGGCTCTCCCACAGTGCTCAACACGTGGTTCCAGGTCGGATGCCCTCGAACTCGATCCCTGGTGCAGAACTGGCACACAACCCCCTCCTTGATTGGTTTCAGGGCCCATGGCGCATCACCTACAACGCGCGAATCATATACTGCCCGATTGTGTATCGCCTTCTCGTCGGTGTCCTACATCTTCACGGCGTCGGGATACTTGGGCGGGCTTCCTTTGCCCTGCAACTTGTTTATGTCGGTTCGCTCCGCGCCTGCACCAAACGGGTTATCTGCCTCTACGAGTTGCTGTGTAGCCAAGCGATTGGCTTGTGCGTGTGACGAATTCAGGTTGCCGCTCTTGGCTCCTTGCTTGCTAGGCATGACGTCGAGGCCGTAGTCGGATGCGTCGTGGTCGTCGTTTGCGAATTCAGCTTTTGCGTTGCGCTGGGCCCGCAGGTGAAGCATGAACAGGATGCCGATGACGGCCATGAGGAAGACGGCTCTGCAAGACATCAGCGACCGATCAGCCGACCGCCTCCCGGGCGCTGCAGGTCACACGGAGGTTATCAAAGACGTACCCAATTGCTGCCCCGATCCCGATCTTGGAGTCTGTGGATATGGAGGGCTTCTCGCAGGTGTTGACCTGATCGTTGTCTACACAGTCCTTTCGAGCAACCAGGACCGAACGGGCTATACTGATGCCCCGCCTCAGGAGGCTGTCGGAGCTGGGGACGGAGCCAGTGGCCATGGTTGTGTCCATCGCTGCCCGGGCTGCCGGTGACCGAATGTCGCGAGAATGTAACCTCTCCATGGTGCGTGCTGTGGTGTGTCTGGTGTGGTGCGTCCTGCTGCTTCTCCGAGATTCAGGTACTGGGGATAAGGAGCGTGGCTGCCGAGGCTGCGGAGCGTGGACTGCAGGTGGACTGAGGGTGGTGTAGCGGTCGCCAGACGACAGAGACAGAGACAGAGACAGCAGATAGAAACAGCGGCGACGTTGTGAATGGGACCAAAGGTGGTGGTCCAAGTCGCGAACGGCAATGTCAATCGAGTCAATGAGTGTGCTGAAGTGGTGAAAACGGCCCCGAGAGTCCCTGCGTGATCGATGTGCCGCGGCAAGGTCGGTCGGTCGATCGGTCGGTTGGTGGTTAGGACAAAGGAATGCACGGAGAAGGTAGGGAGAAGGCTAGAAGGGGGCCCAGTCCGCGGCGACCCACAGCCTGCAAATCCACACGGTCCACACCTCACTAACAACACGAAAGGGGGCTGGCTCGAGTGCTGTCAAGGGAAAGTGAGGGCGGGTTGGCAGGTGCAGGGTGGCTGGCGCAAGGGAAAGGATCGGAAGAAAAATGCAGCGTCTGCGTGGAAACAAAAGAGTGGCAAGACTGGAATGGAAGGAGTGAGCAGAGGAAATCGGCCCCGGATGCCCAGAGCAGGCAGGACAGGGAGGTAATAAGAAGAGAAGGCGAAGAAGGCGCGATGGAAAGAAAACAAGGCGCCGTAATGACCGAGGGCCAAGAGGCTACGGTGCACCGTCTACCACAGAGGCACGGAGGACGGGGGTAGCCCAAATTTGGTGGTCAGAGGATCTCGGGAGGAGCAGAGAGTGTGGCTTTGCCAGGCCTGGACTGTCTGGACTCTGGGCTGTTGGCTCCTGTGCTGCTGGGTTGCTGGGTTCCTGCGGCGGCAAAAGCTTACTCTGTATTAGCGGGCTCCGTGGGTGTGGCAGTTGTGGCAGGAAGTGGTACGTTACTGCTGGAGATTCCAGCGCATGGCCATGGCCCCCCTGGCGCGTCCCCTGGGCCCCCTGTCGACCCCAGCAGCAACGTCCATGCAGGGTCCACATTAAATGCAGGAACGGGCAGCCCATGGCCGCCACGATTGGCCAATGGGGACGGCAGGGGCGAGTCGGAAGCGGAAAGGAGCGGCCAGATTAGAGGGGCTCCCCTATGTGACGCTTGGAAAATAGATGCGACTCTGCTCGCCCTTCCCCAGGTTTTGACTCGCGCTGTCTCGGCATTCTGAAGCAGCTGGGCTCCTGGTTTTGGATCAATCGTATTGCGCATCTGCGTACGGGCTGACGGAGTACATAGTACATAGACGCTGCCATATGCATCACCATGGCGTGTCACCGTCACCCAGGCTGCCAGGCGTGTCACGACAGCCAGTCGGTCGATGGCAGGTGACGACATGACGACACGTTCACACGCCGACAATGCATGAACATGGCCCCCAAAACAAAACAAACATGCACGCAGTGAAGCATCCGACGATACCACGAGATTAAAACAATGTCGCCAGCGTTTCTCCATCGTCCGCAGCCGTGACCAAGCAATCAACCCCTCAAGTGCCAATTAAATGACCCGAGATACCCTGTGATCCGCCTGCACGACGCAATCAAACCCAAATGGAGGCAAAAGGAACGTGGTGCTCGACCCTCCCCGTACTACGTACTCCGCACCACGTGCTGCTCTGGCTGCCAGTCGCACGTCGGAGAATTCCACAGGACCAGTCGTGCACTCGTCGTCGCTGGCCTCGGTGGGAGATGAGAGATGAGAGACGAGAGATGAGAAACAAACTGCGCACAACAGACGCATTGCGACTCGGCACAAGGACGGCAGGACGGCTAACTGACCACGCGGCATTTCTCTCGGCCTCAATACTCGCGTCAGTGGGTATCTGAACCCTCACAGATACGAGGTCTTAAAAAAGGTGCGGCGAGCCGGGCCCTACGAGACCTTGCACAGCGACCGCCACTGGCTGTCGGGGAACCCACGGCCCCGGCGCCCACGTCAGGGTTAGGGCTCCGAATCAGATAACCTTGACAAGATGGCATGGGTTTCGAGGCAGAAACCCGAGATGTCGAAATTGATCTTCATCACAATCTGCTTTTTGTGGTTTCTTCATCTTCGCCCCCTGCAACAATCCCAACTGATCCCCCATTGATTGAGCAGCTATATATTGCGGCGGTTTGGTATCGAGGTGTCATGACCGGTCTTGCTTCTGAAATTGTGCCCAAGCCCCCATGAAACTGTTCTCGCGGCTTGATACGGGATGAGACCATAAGTTAATGGGTACTTGGAGTGGGACCTCCCAGAGTGCTGATCACCTACCTATTAAGCCGCGGCAATAAGGCTGATGGGAGGCTTATTAACAGTCTCCTGGACCCAACGAAGCAGACATGCCATCAAATGAGACGGCCGATCTTAAAGTTTTGCTCTGACGGTTCCGGCCCGGGGATCTTGTCGTCCCGTCCCTCGGAAGATAGAGAAATGATTGACATGCCAAAGTGCTGCGAGATATCCGCTGCACAAGTAGGTCGGCTTCCTGACACAGCGTCCATATGGCCTGTGCACACTTTCAAAGGGTTAAATTATTTAGATTTAAACCTGCCTTTTACGGACTAAGTGTTTGCTTAAGAGTATATTCTTATCTCCGAAATCTCTATAGACTATAAGCATAGCTATAGTTAAATTATCAAGTTATTTTACATCTAATCCCCATACATATAACATATATATATTATCTTCATACAGCGGTAGACACTTAAGACCTTATGTTAGTAAACTTGTAAATGAATAGTCAGGTCGGTAATAAGAGACACGGTTCTATACTCTCGAAGGAAAGCACTTAGTTTTCTTTTTTAAAATCTAGCTGAAAATCAATTAGAGGCCTCCCTCAGCCAAACATACCATACCAGGCAGATTTATTACGGAAACACCTAGGGATGTCTCTAATTCCATAGCATGTTATCTCTAACGTACCATATTAGGGCCCTTTGAACCCCTATATGGTACTGAGCGGTAAATCTTTCCCCGTGGAGCCTCACTGTCCTGTCTCACGTTGACAATATAAAGGAGGTCGGCGTTGGTTTGCGGGGAGGCCATTTTCTCGTTGGCCCACCATACCCTAATCTCAACACCCACACTCTCATCAATCTACGAGTGTAGAGCACAGCATATCCCCTGCATAGGCACCAACGAAATGGACGACCGGTTTGTGAAGACGCCGGCTCCAGAGGATTTGTGCAGAACTAGTTTTGCTTCTGTTCCGCATACATCCAGGGACACACATGTCACCTTCATGCAGTAGTAAAAACTCAAGACCTAGCATTCAAAAAACATATACCATCTACAACAGTGGTTAAAATACAATAGGTGCATGTGGCCTCAGCCTTGTAGCGCATAGATAAGGCTAAGGGGCACCGTCTTGATGGAGTGCGTTTAAAATCCTACCTAGAAAACTTGGCCGTCGCTGGGCGGCCGTCCTCGGCCTCTTTGGTTTGGTCATTATAGGAACCTAGGTAGCTGAGGCGTGTGGCAGAAGAGGCTTGCGAGGGAGGGAAATTGTGCAGCTGGCTGTGGGTGATGGAGAGATGGTAGGAGAAGAGTAGTGATGGCGTTGCTTCCTTCCGATTTGGGATTCCCTGAAATTTCCCTGGCACAAAAGACTTTTCTTAGGTTTCCTTGGGGTTTCACTGAGGTTTCTCTGAAATTCCCTGGGATTTCCCTAAGATTTCCCTAAGATTTCCCTGAGATTTCCCTGAGATTCCCCTGGGATTTCCAACTAACATTCCCCGTGGCCAGGGAGTGTTTAAAGCCAGGTACCTAGGAATTAATGGTCCAGAGGTAATAGTTCTGGGAGAGACACAGTGATATGCTACAACTACCTGCCCCTCCAGCCCAGCTAGGCAACACCAACCACGAGCAGCCACCGGCACGGCGTCACCAGCTAGTAGAGGACCACTTCAATGTTCGGATCTGAGAAAGCTGGCCCACAGTCAGAAGACGGAGTGCGGCGTAAACGTCTCCTCCCGCCTAATGCATTAGGGCTGAACACGTCGGCATACACTTGACCGCGAGCTCGAGGCGCAGGTCTCAGAGGCAGGGCTCGCCGCCATACTTCTACACTACTTCTCAGTAACACATCATACACATTCATGGCCCTTAGGTTTTAAACCTATAATTAGAACACCTAGGCAAATAATTATCAATTCTATAGCTAGGACCTAACTCCTATCTTACACAAATAGAGACACATATACTAGTAAGCATATGCCAGTCTAAGAAGGCTGCCTATCAACAAGCAAAATCCGTTTTCAAGGACAGGATAAGACAAGAAATATGGCTGGAAGCATCCCGACGGAAAGGCCAATCTCATCGAATAAAGCTTTCGCAAGACTCAAAAGTCCCCGTCAACTACAATCCAATGGGCCCTACACATAGCCCCCGTCTTTTGTACCTAGGCATGTTGTCGAGGGAATGCCCATGTGCCAGAATCCGAACGTTAGAACTACCTAGGTAAATATGGGCAGCTCCTTCATGTCACCAAGTGGTTAGCGCGAGTTCTTTTCTACTTTGGTTGCTGGGCATTTTGATATACCCGGATCGAGTTACATTCCACAAACATTTGAAGTCACATAAACCTACGAAGGGAGATGGGCTCTCGAGAGTATATCGTAGGAAACTGTGTCCACAGTAATGTACTATGTAGTAGCTGCTCGAGGGCCGCGAGTGGGTACAGCACTGCCAAGCTATGGCTGCCCCACTGGTGGAGCTGGAGATAATCGGATCTATGGTCTAACACCATGGTTGATATCGGGAAACCCACATCTCCCCAATGAGCGCATGCTGTTTCCAAGGGCAGATATCAACGCAACGGAGATTAAGCTTTTGTCTCGGAGCATGCGTGCTGTCCGAAAGCCGGGTTGGACCTGGAAGTTGCCGGGCTTCGGTGCCGGCGTGCGGGATCAATTCGGCGCCGCATGAGAATGTCAACCCCTGACTCACGGAGAACCACTGTAATAGCTGCGCATTGTAGGACTGGCTCATGAATCACGTCGATAACTCTTGTTAGTGGGACCCGGAAACTCTGAATTTGTCAAATACGCCACAGGCTAACAGCACATGCTTGAGAGCGGTCAACTGGTGTAAGGCAATGTGCATGAGTACGGATATTTAAACACAGAGAGCATTGCCACCCGGGCAACAAGAGCTCGACCGCCCAGTTTTATCAAGCTATTCAAAGGAAAAAATTCCAAGCCAAACCTCTGAAAGCAAAGCACCAAAATGCCAACACAACCCAAAGTCTTCCTCATCACCGGCTGCTCTTCCGGCCTGGGCTACTCCCTCGCCAAGGCAGCCATCGCAGCCGGCCACAAAGTCATAGCCACCTCACGCAACCCATCCAAGACGCCAGAAAAGGTAGCCGAGATCACCTCCTTGGGCGGACTCTGGGCCGCATTGGACGTGTCCTCTCCATCTTTGGAGACCCAGTTTCAAGAGACTATACTCCCGCTAGCCAAAGGCAAGATCGATGCCGTCATAAACAACGCTGCCATCGGCCTCACGGGCGTCGTGGAGGACATTGAAATAGACGCCGCGAGGGGCGTCTTCGAGACAAATGTCTGGGGCATAATCAGACTCAGCAAGCTCCTCGTCCCGCTGATGAGGGCCCAGGGCGGCGGCAGCATCGTCAACATCTCCAGTACGACAGGTGTTCTCCCCATCCCCAACGTATCGGTATACTCAGCAACAAAGGCGGCGGTGGACGCCTTCACCCTCGCCCTGGCAGCGGAGGTCGCCCCTTTCAACATCCGCGTCCTCATCACTACGCCTGCCGGGATCCGCACGCCGTTTGCGGACAACTCTGCGGCCCATAGCAGTTCATCGCTGAGATCCGAATACAGGGGAACCGAGGTGGAGGCCATGGTGAAAATGGTAGAGGACCCGGCGGCGTTCAAGATCGACCCAGATCGTATGTCAGAGGTAGTCGTGCACGCTGTTGATGGCACGGGCCCATTCGAGGGCAAGCCAAAGGATTTCATCAGGGTTCCGTTTGGTGATGATGCACTGCGTATGATCAAGGTGCGGGTTGACGAGCTGAACGCAGCGATGGAGAACTTCTCGGGTATGGCCCAGGGCGTCGATGTCTTAAATTGAGATAGATGGTCGTATGAGATATTAGATGTAGCACTACATTCATGTTGAATTATGCTTTTCATTTTGTCTTAGTTCGCCCAATTCCAGTCATAGGAGCTTGCTGTTGTACGTGCAAGCTTAATGACAAGAATACTGAATAATATGCCAGCGAAGCACGGCGCCAGATGTCATGACAGTACTCCAAGCGCACAGAAGTACTACCCATTTAGACATACTAGTATCCAAATACGGCTGGCTCACCTCAGATGAGCTGCCTGCTGGCTTGTACATCACTAACGAAGAAACAGAATAGGCACCGAGTTTCACAGACATTTTACATTGTCACAGCCACGTTGAAAAGGATCCAAGAATTTGAGCGAGGAGCCCTATGGATTGTGCCTCTGATCTGTTATTTTCAAGGATGAATTTCCACAGAAGACATCTTGTGGCCATGTAGTTAGCAAGCCGCCGCGCAAAGCTCATGCTGTTTATGAAAGGGCTGCAATTTTCGAGAAATCATCTTCTCAACGTTGTGATTTTTGCATTTGCTGCAGAGCTTGTGCATATGCATGATCAACGGCCAAGATTGGGCGGTAAACCTTAAATAGATGGGATCGCCTTTGGCAGGACGGGATGGAGCCGGGCGTGCCCGCGTACCTAGGTACCCAGGTACGCCGGAGCCCGTTCGCAGCAAGCATGCATGCTGTGCTACTGTTTGCTTTATGGCAAGGATGGGGCGCTGGCCTTGCTTTGGCGGGAAATTGAATCGTCGTTCCTTCCCCGCCGCACCACTCCAGCGAGCCCCCTATGGGTCGAGAGCTTCAAATGGACCTTCTTCTATCTTTGAGATGCTTGAAGTGCAGCATCGAGCGAACTACAACATTTAATCCTTGCATAGCTACTGGACTCGCATGTCAGGACAGTTCAACATGTATTTTTACATCCTCACCCTACTCGTCGGGCTCTGTGGTGCCTCTTCCCATCTCAACAAGAGATCTGAAGAATTCGCCATCGATCGCTACAACTTCCCCTATGTACCATTCGACATAGGCGAGTCCTATGGTGGACTCCTTCCCGTTTCGTCCAATCCCAACGATACCCAGAAATTATACTTCTGGTTCTCGCCATCCGAGAACCCCGAAGCCAGCGAAGACATCACCATCTGGCTCAATGGCGGGCCTGGGTGTTCGAGTCTGATTGGATTACTCCAGGAGAATGGCAATTTTTTATGGCAGGCCGGCACAGCGCAGCCGGTCGCTAACCCCTGGGCTTGGACCAAGCTCACGAACATGGTCTGGATCGATCAGCCGGTCGGCGCGGGATTCTCTCAGGGCGAACCCACCGCTTATGGCTCGGACGACACCGCTGACCAGTTCTTGGGGTTCTGGAAGAACTTCATCGACACATTCAACCTGACGGGCCGGAGTGTGTACATCACAGGAGAGAGCTATGCCGGCGTGAGTTTTGCCGGAGATCACATCTACCAATTCAAGCCTTGCAGAATCCTGACTTGCTGCTCGCCAGAAATATATTCCTTATATTGCGGAGGCGATGCTCAATGCCAATGATACGGAGCCTGGCTACTACAACGTTCAAGGAACCATGCTGATTGATCCGGCAATAGGCCCAGACGTGGTGCTTGTTGAGAGTAAGTTTTCTGATCCCCGTCCACTGCCATGTTGTCACTTTTGACCCCGATGGCTTCACACGGGGCATCCTGATATTTCTGTGACCCTGACTGCCAACAGCCCGTCTTCTCCAGACTACAAGCAAGCTGACTGACTAACAGTTCCCATGCTCAACTATGTCGAGAACAACCAAGCATTTCTGCGCCTCAACTCCACATTCAAGGATGAGATGCGCATAGCCCATCGAGACCAGTACAATTATTCGTCCTTCTTCGAGACCTATTTCAAATTCCCCACGGCGGGTCCCATGCCGACCAGGCCTGACATAGACGAGGGGTCCTCACCTTTCCGGAACTACGTCACAGAGGCTGCCGCTCTCATCAATCCCTGCTTTAACGTCTACCACATAACCGATACATGCCCAAGCCTATATGACCCGCTCCAAACATTGAGTTCCGCAGACACCAGCCTAGGAGGCTACTTCAACCAGACCGAGGTCCAGCAGGCAATGAACGCTCCACGTGTCTCCTACTCCACTTGTGCTCCGCGATCCGTCTTTGTTGATGACAGCGCGACCGGAGGTCCGGGGAATGGCGGTGACCTGGCCCCCCCGGCGTCTTTTGCAGCATTGCCGGCCGTGTTCGACCGCGTGCCGCTGAACCTGGTGCTCAATGGCGCCCTGGACATGCTGATCCCGTCGGTGGGCACCCTCTTCGCCCTACAGAACGTGACCTGGCGGGGAGCAACTGGCTTCAGCGCTGAGCCCACGCAAACCTTTATCGTTCCTCCTGCAGGAGGGGATGCCGGCCTCACAGGTCAGGCAGGTGAGATGGGCACCTGGGCCTATGAAAGGGGCGTTGTGTTTGTTGATGTTGCTGGTGCGGGCCATGAGCTGCCTGAGTACAATCCCAGTGCTGCATTCAGGCTGCTTGAAGTCATGCTGGGAAGGGTCGGTGTCGAGGAGGGCCTCGGGCAGGGTGTTGACTGGACTACGCCGCTGGAGTGAACCTCGGGACTTGATCTCCAGTGTCAACTCCACAGCCCAGATAGTCTGGGACATGGAAGCCGGCTCGTCAAAAGGTGACACTACAACCTGAATAAAACCTTTGATGCTCCCGTGACGAGAAATTGCTTGCTGCCCTTGGCCAAATCATTTCCTCTGTGGAGACCGTGTATCGATCCATTTGCCGTATTCTTTCAGTACGCAAGAATTCAGCTTTTGTCCTCACTGGCACATAGAAATGAGTTCAAGAATTATTGATATCTCTGGTTCTGAGGCCATTGTATATCACTCTTTGTTACTTTCGAAATTTCTGGATAGACAGTAGGACACGTTCATCCGATTCTTTGTGCCCACTGAAATTCACTTGAATGATCGTGAGGAACAGCCACTCAAGTTTGTAGGCGTAAGCTCAAAGTATCCTTGTTGAAGCTCTCCTGATAGAACCCCGTTGCCACCAGTCAACTAGTCCGAAAGTGTTGTCCAAACCCTGGTAATCAGCTGCTTCGCTATGGCATTGGCCGAAGCAAATGGCTTGACCTTCTTCCCATCGTGCTCTTCCTCGTACTCATCAGTTCTGAAACTAGCAACGACCTCCCCCTTGAACGGGCTTGGGGGCTCCGACCAGACATGCGTCACAGCATCATTGAAACATTCAATGTTGACCGCCTTGTACCCCCTCGCCGCGGCGTCTCGCATGAGGTGCCGAGCAAGAGCGCCCATGATTCCTTTTCCCTCATACTCGTATCTTGTGCTGGTCGCATTGCGCATGAGGATCTCTCCCCGTCGCTTCGCAGGCCTCCAGCTCTGCAAGGGCCGGGGGTCCCGTCTGTCGAGTTCGGCATAGCAAGTCCCAAAGACAGGCAGTGTGGCGACCAGCGGCTCCATGCGGTCGTTGTCCAGCTTGTCAATGCCGTCATAGCAAAGGGCGATGCTGACGAGGGGAAAGTCCATCGCTTCGAGGAGCTCCTCCCGAGTGTAGTCGTTGTGCTCGGGGTCCCAGTAGAATCTGCCGTTGGTCAACGCGGATTCAGGTTTCTTGTACTGGTACTCCTTGTCGAAGACACCAATAGACATGCCGGAGCTGATCTGGTGATGCACCAGGTAGCCAGCCCCTTGCATCATTCTGTTGAAGCGGGCGCCCATGGCCTCTGGGTAGACATTAGGGAAGATGGTGCTGTGGAACACGTTGCTGTGGCACATTATGGCACCGACCCATTGCGCATGCTCTGGTTCAAGCTTGCGGATCTCATAACGAGGCGGCAAGTTCGTCGGGTTTGCCATTATGGTTGTATGTCTTGGGCTCTCACGGCGTGGGTGTGGGCATCTGAAGCTCACAGTCTGGGGCGTACGTAGGTACGAGAGGTTGTCGCTGCACAAGTGTGCGTGGCCAAAAACCAGTTGACTAACCTCTGGAAAAGAGGGGAAGATGTGCATAGGCGACACCACCAGCACTCAAGTGAAATAAATGCAGGTATGCGAATAATGCTGACGTGAGAATGTACCACGAGCATCTTCTGGTTGAAGCCTAGTGTGTGTATGCACGCGCATCCGATGCTACATCTGAAGGGCACAATTACAAGACTCCGAGGACCTTCAACTTGGTATTCCCGAGGTCATGAGTGGCTCGGTTTCACATATTAACATAGTGCTTACCGGCGTCAGACTAGGCTACTCGTATCTCACGATAGCTTCAACCTTGGCACTTGTCAACTGGACCAGCGCGCATAGGGACGGCCTAATACTGAGACTTGTAGAGCAGATTGTTAGCCACTTAGACAGGACCAGTTTATAGAGGTAGACTATAAGAGTTTGTTTATTAATCTAATGTAATAAAACCTACGTATTTTATCTAAAAAGATATAATAATCTATATAAATTCTATTTTTATTAAAAGTAGTTTGACTTTTAATTCATATATCATCCAGTGTGATCCCAGCCAGGACTATTGCTGGGCCGATAGGGACACTTGCACAAGGCAGCACAGGCTCGGAACGGTGTGTGTTATCAGCCGGCCTATATGGTCGATGTCTGCAACAGCTTTGGTGGTCCCTACAAAACTAACAGATTTTAGTTCCCATAAAACAGGAATCCTCCCAATTATCTTTTGTGTGGAGCTGACAATTGTGTTTGAAGCGGGTGCCGACTCCTGGGTCATTGCGACCCTCTGGGGCCGTGGGCCTCGGGATGCCATGAACAGAACGCGGACCCATGGGGATAGGGATTTGACCATGCAATATGCAGTGACGAGTTCTCCTTTTCACAATCACATGGATTTTGAATACCAAACAAGCAATGAAATATTTTCTCTGCGTGGGCCTGTTCGTTCGGAATACCTAGGTGCTTGACACTGACCATGTAATGCACTGAATGATTTTGGATTGCAACCTATCCCTTTCTTGACGAAATATACCTTTCTCAGGGCCGAATAAAACCGAACCACTAATTTGCCATAGCCGCAAGTAGATTCTTGTGAATCTGCTCCGCACCAGACTGAACCTGGCCCTTCACCAGCCCCTTGAGCATCACATTGCAATCAACTTGGATGCTCACTTTCAGCTGCAACCCATCCGGTCCTTCTTCGATGGTCCACAGCCCTTCGTTGACGACCCCCATCGCGGAGCTGGCACGGTACCACAGCCCATCCACAAGGTCGACGACCTCATAATCGGTGTTGACCTTGGAGTCAAGGACGGGGTTGGGGACTTCGTTCTGCACGGTATACAACTTGACGTCGGCCCCGGAGCCGGCGCTGCGGTCCTGGATTTCCGAAGGGAGCTTGTGGTCGGCGCCGCTGTCATTTGGTAGTTCCTTGTGCCACTTGTAGTGTTCTGCCGCGCGGAAATATCCGCCATGGTCGTGCAGCACCGCTACTGCCTTTTCTCTACTCACGCCTGCGGGGATCAGGCCCGAGAAGGTCAGTTCGAAGCGACCTGAACTACCTGTTAGCTCGGTTCCTACTTGGATGTGGACTTGCACCTACCCATCGTTGACAGTGGTGAAGAGCTTCAGGGAATGGAATGGGTGAGCAGGTGCTGGCAGCTTTGGAATGATGAAGGACCCTGACACGGGATCTTTGGAAGGGAGAGCTACGGGTATTTAAAAGCGTCGTCTTATGGGAAAGAAGCTCGTGGCGTTGTTGACAGGCGATGTTGATCTCGTCCGTCCTATAATTGATGCATCATAGCTGTCCATGGGGAAGAGCTAGGTGATTGGCCGTCTTTGTACCATTGCCTCAGCACAGCCCGCTGTTTCAACACCAGGACCACGCCTCTTAATCGTATTCGCATTCAAATTGCCATAACAAGAAATTCCGTAAGCCTTGTGCAGGACCATAAAACAATATAACCTCGCCCCCCCGACTTATCACCCATGTTTTGTCAAAGCAGTCAAGGAGGATGGGCGATGGACACAGTGGACGGCGCACCTCGATACCGAGTCAATCAGAGTCACATGCCTGCCCGTGTGGTAACGATTTGAGATTTCTGTCTGATGTGCAAACAACCACAGCCTGGCGGAGCAACCGGGCCCGATCAGTCGCTCCGTGCCAGTCCGAGCGCCTGGCTAGCCCGGGCCCTTCAGAGGCTCTGGCTCCGGTTTCTGAGCCTGCCAAGCCGATGGTTGATATTCCAATCAATGTGTCCGATCCAATTCGACATCCTGGTCTCGAGAATGGGCTCGTACTCGGGCATCTTCATCATTTTCCGGAGAAAGAACCCGCTCTCACCGCGTTGCACAGAGCGGAGGACATAGTCGATTCGATGCAGAACCGACTTGGTCTCCTCGTCAAACTGCAGCCCGGCGTGCCGCATCTCCTCGAGCAGCGCAAACACCCCGGGCACGTCGCCGAATCGCTCCCACATGACGGTCAGTAGTTTGTTGTAGAATGATGTGCTGACACCGAGAACATAGGACGGGAGCCCGAGCTCTTTGATGCGTGGCAGGAGCGAGAAGGCCAAGGGCGATGGGCGGGAGAACTTGTTGTCTAACATGTGCAGGGCATCGAGGAGGAGCATGGGGTAGATCGGCCCGTAGGTGTCCATGTTGAGAAGAGGTTTAGGAGCCGCCGCCGAGGCATCAGCATTGGCGCCTTCGTCCCCTGCGGCTGCCTTCTTCTTCCTGCTCGGCTTCTGTTTCTGCGGTTTTGACCCTGGCGGCGCTGCAGCGAGACCGAGCTTGTCGACCAGGCTGAAAACCTCCTTCTCAACGACTTCCCAGAGCGCAAAGTCGTTCTCGGCCTTTTCCATCTTGGCCCTGATCGTGAGCCTTGCCTCCCGACGCGATGCGTCCGCCTCGACCTTCCTGGCTAGATTGTCGGTCGATGCGACGGCCTCGACTGCGTCCGCCTCGACTGCGTCCCTTTCTAGCCCCAAGCCTTCTTGACCGCCGCCTTCTGTAGCCACGGGGATGTCTCTGGCAGACTCCATCATGCCGTAAGCCGTTCTTGCCGCCCGCCTCAGACTCGGTGGGAACTGTAGGAGTGCCTCTTCCCGCTCGGCGGCCGAGAACGTCGACTGGAGTGGCGAGAGGGGGTCCAGCTCATTTACGTTTGGCGTGGAGGCTGACTGCTTTTCGGCAGCATCCTGCATGATGGCGTTGACATTGAAGGGCGCGCCATCATAAAGACCTTTCAGAAAGTTCGGTTCTTTCTGCGCGAGGCTCGGCGCATTCTGTTTCTTTGGGGTGACAGTGGGCAGGCTCTTCCCCTTCTCACTGATCTCCCTGAAGATCGACTCGAAGGCCTGGCGCTCAAGGGGGGTGATGGTGCCCTTAACTCCGACCTCCGAGCCTCTGCGTGCGTCCGGGTTCTCGAGGTCGGGAGGTAGTTCGAAGGGGATTGGGTCGCGCTCGGCTTGTCGTCGTCGACGACTCGGCGATGCGTGCAACGACCGGGCGAGGCGAGTTGGAGCAACAGGTCCGGATCTTGCGTACCGGGCCAGTGTCCGTGTCTGGAATAGGAACGGTGTCAGAGTTGCAGACATTTTCAGTCGAGAAGTCCCATGAGTCTTCAGCCGTGAGCTCGTCGAGCTGTTTGTTGAAGCAGAGACAGCAACCCGCGATGCGATATGCGCCGCTTCTCCAAAATTTCTGGCGATAAGGAGTTTGGGCGCTCGGGCCATCGCCGTATCAGCAACCCCTGCACTATTCTTCAGCCCAGCTGCAGGCAGCTCCCCCCATGTGGCCTCCACCAGGAACGTGCAAGCGTGTGCCACTCGCGTCTCGCCGCCGCGGTCCGGCGCGTCACATTTTAAAGTGCTTTTTCTTTGACGCATTCATCACCTCGCCATTGCCGCCCACCACAAGCTTGTTTCTCACTGTGTTTCCTGGACCATAGGTTCCTGTTGAGCACCGCATCTGTTGTATTTGAATCGCCTCATCCGTCAAGTTTTTTTCTTTAAAAAAAAACAAAAGAATGCCTGTCAAGAAGCAGAAGGAAGCCGTGTCGGCTTTTGAGGCCCGCCGGCTAAACAACATCAAGGCCAATAACGAGATACTGAAGGATCTTTCAACCACGGCTGCAAAGATCGCACCGCCTCCACCTCCGAAACCTCAACCTCGCCCGCGGCCTAAGAGGCAGCCTGTCGAGAAACGAGAGCAACCCAAGAGGGAGAGGGCGGTGCCCACTCGCGCAAGCTCACGCCTCAAGGGCGAAACTCCAAAGCGAGAAGCTGAAGACTCGGTTCCTGCCTCGCTCTTGCCTCCGGATAGGCCGGCAAAGAAAGTAAGGGTCAATGAGGACTTGAAACTCGGCGACATCCTTGTCGAGGGCCGCAAGTTCACCAATGGGGTCGATGCCATCACAGGCCTCGTTGCTCTGCCAAGGCTGGGTGCGGAACCCGGGGTGCGGACATTTGACGAGGACGACATCAAGGAGACCACCGATGAAGACCTGCGCCAGACCCGGGAGAAGATGAACAGCCTGGAACTTTACGACAAGTGGGCTGTGAATGGTGGGTTGACCGCCACTCGGAACGGTCCCGTCTGGGCTGGCAGCTGACCTGAACGCATCGCAGACATTAAGATTGTACCACAGCGCATTTACTCGATGGGGTTCCACCCAACAGAGGAGAAGCCACTCATTTTTGCCGGGGACAAGGAAGGCGCCATGGGGATTTTCGACGCATCCCAGGAGGCCCCCGAGGTCGACGACGACGACGAAGATGCCGAGATTGCTGATCCTGTCATCGCAGCGTTCAAGACACATGCGAGAACCATTTCGTCATTTCACTTCCCACTCACAGACATGAAATCAGTTTACACGGCCTCATACGACTCCTCAATCAGGAAATTGGACCTTGGAGCTGGCACCCCGGTTTCTGTACAGATATTTGCGCCGAGCGACGACGAGGATCTACCTATAAGTGCGATCGACATGGCACACAACGACGCCAACACAATTATTTTCTCAACTCTTTCAGGATCCGTCGGCCGATACGACGTCCGGACCAAGGACGAAGCAGAGGTCTGGGAACTCAGCGACTCCAAGATTGGTGGCTTCTCATTACACCCCCACGCTCCCCACCTCTTTGCCACGGCGTCGCTCGACCGGACCATGAAGATATGGGATATGCGAAAGATCTCAGGCAAGGGCGAGTCACGGCTTCCGGCCTTGATCGAGGAGCATGTTTCGAGGCTGTCGGTATCACACGCGTCGTGGAGCCCCGGTGGCCACATTGCCACCAGCTCCTACGACGATACCATCAAGATATACGACTTTAGCGATGCCGCCTCGTGGAAGGTGGGGCACAAGATTAGGGAGAAAGATATGAAGCCGTCGAGCATTGTAAAGCACAACAACCAGACTGGAAGATGGGTCACGATCCTGAAACCACAATGGCAGCGGCGGCCAACAGATGGCATTCAAAAGTTTGCGATTGGAAACATGAACCGCTTTGTGGATGTGTACGATGCCAACGGCGAGCAGCTGGCCCAGCTGGATGGCGAGGGCATTACCGCTGTGCCGGCCGTTGCGCATCTGCATCCATCTCAGAACTGGGTTGTCGGTGGGACGGCCTCGGGCAAAGTGTGCTTGTGGATGTGAGTTGGCACGCATTGGTTGGGTAAGTCCTTAATGGCGTGCAGCACTCACCCGGCGCGGGGCCTCGCCGGGTGGCTGACAGGATTGGGTAGGTCGATGTCAGAGCATACAGCTTTGCAACAGTCTTTGAATATGGATTGTAAATTGTGAACTCGAGCCTCGTGTTTCCCGTGTTAGTCGCTTCATGAGAAGTACCACCCGCTTTCCTTGACTGCCCAAATGATTCGCTGTACCCTCTGTCGAATGCATCCTGGCCAGCTTGACCAGATTGATCAAGTAACTGGCACATGAATCGATCTACCCACCAGCTGAATGTACATATGTCCTGCCAACTGTGGCCGCTAGGTGATGGCTGCTGATATACAAAGGACAGAGTTTCATTCCTGACACCTAGTGATAAAGATAGCGAGATATGCGGAACCTGGTCCAGTTCTATTTGTAGTTTCGTTTCCTATCAATTAATCTCCATATGACGCCTTCACATAGTACTAAACACTTTAAGGTCTAGTATATATAGGAAAGAGTAATACTGAGAATACTTTAGAGAACTTGTAATACATAAGTCTATAGCCTTAGCCTTATACTATATAGACGAGGCTAGGAGATCTTTTAAAATGTTGCTAGTCTCAGATCCTGTTGCCTTTGGCGGGGCCAACTGAAATTTTGCAGAGCCGAACAGGGATGTTGGCAAGCGAGCGCTCCAGCGAATATGGCCACGCGCACTTCACACTGGCAATGCCGCTAGCTTGTTCAATTCAGACTTTGACACCATAATCCAGTGTCGTCTTGATCCTGCCTAGGTGTCTACGTAGAGACTTGAAGTCTCTTTAATCCATTGGTCTCGGCCGGGCCCCAAGCTTCTGGACCCCCAAGCCTTCGACCACCCTTTAAACGATCTCTTCGCTTGGTTGACAAATTCGGCCCGACCAGCCCTCGTTTCTGCCTCGAACATGGCACTGATCGAATTTCTTGACGGACTGCCGGTTGGAGTGCAGCGTCTCATACCGACTCTCGTCACAATTTCTGCACTCTACATTAGCTGGAGGGTGTGGAGGTTTTCCATCTCACCAGCTTTACACCCGCGCCGCCCTAAGCCTCTCCCGTATCTTGTACCATGTGAGCAATGCTACCGTCCCTGTCTTGGTGGCAGCACTTTATTTGGCTGACCACAGATTGGTAAAAGTCTTCGGAAATGTTGTGTCCATGGCCCAAAATGCAGGCGCCACATTCACGCGCGGGAGGTAGGGCTAATTTTGTAACTATGTGCATTCCTGACCCTTACTTGATTTGTTTGGGCACTAGGAAAGAAGTTATTTGAGCGCTTTTACAGGAAGACTGACCATTGTTCAGGGAATACTTTGGCAACTCGCGAGAAATTTTTACGGTCACAGTGATGGGAGAGGAGATGTATATCGCCACCTCAGCCAGCGACGTCGCCGCGGTGTACCGCGATACCCAGAGACTCGACTTTGATGGCTTCATCAAGGACGTCATGGCTGACTTTGGGTGCACCAAAGAAACACTGGGGAAGATGTTTGACTCCACAGTCAGGCCAAAGCACTGGATGGACAAGACTCACGACGACTTTAAGCTGCAAATGCATCCAGGAGACCGTCTGAAGAGTGTCGAGACCCAATTCCTAGGCAATATTGACCGCATGATGAATCTTGACTCAATTGCCAGCAGTTGTGTCCTGGCTTCCACCAAGGACTCCAAAACGGTGTCTCTGTGGCATTGGAGTTGGGCGGTCCTTTCCGACGCTGCAACCCATGCCTTCTTCGGTGACGCCATCTCCAAAGTTGCCCCTAACGGCCTGGAAAACTTCTGGACATACAACCTGGAATCATGGAAGATACACTCCAAATACCCCAGGTTTGCTGCCCCCAAAGCCTTTAATTCTCTAGAGCGCAGCATTCAGGTATTCATTGACTACCTGCGTCTGCCCAAACAGCAGAGGCCTGGGGCCTGTTGGCTTGTCGAGCAGCTTGAGCGAGGCATGGAAGAGCTGGGCATTTCCGAGCCCACCCAATGCGGCGCCATGTTATTCAGCCTGCAGAACCTGTAAGCCATATTGCATCGAGCGCAACGCAGGTTGATATTCTTGTGCTCACAGAGAACTTCAGGATCAACACCAACGCGTACCGGCAGTGCTTCTGGTGCCTCGCCTATATCTTGCATGATCAGGCGTTACTTGAACAAATCAAGAAGGAGATCCAACCAGCTTGGGATGGCCGCACCGTCGACATGGGCTACCTACTCAACCATTGCCCTCTGCTTGCATCATTTTACGAAGAAATGCTGAGACTGAACAATGAGTCCGCGCCTTCTTTCCTGCCCAGTGACTCTCTTGAGGTCTGTGATACTGACTTATCCACTGTTGTAGGCCTGTTGGTATCCGCTTAGTTGCGGATCCGGTAACCATTGGTGGCAAGGAGTTGCAGCCTGGTCGCAAACTTTTGATGCCATACAAGCAGTTGCACCTTGACCAGTCTGTATTTGGCGCTAATGTCGATGCGTTCGATGCCCGACGATTTATGAACGACAAGAGTTTGGAGCGTAGCACAAGTTGGCGGCCCTTTGGCGGTGCAAAGACACATTGCCCGGGTCGATTTCTGGCAAGGAGAGAGGTATACATGTTCTTGGCCCTGGCATTGTTCCGGTTCGATGTCAAGCTCGTTCCCCGGCCTGGCGAGAGCGTGCCTCGGTTCCCTTGCGCAGACACTGCCATTCCTGCAGGTGGCTTGCTGCCCCCAAAACAAGGAGACGATGTGTTCTTGGAGGTCAAACGAAACACTTCGTAGACAATCTACTTTGAACTGGGTCCAATTCATCACATTGTTGCTCAACGTGACGGCTGGGTCTTCAAATGTGTAGCTGCTGCTTAGAGCTCCAACGCATAGAGTGTTTAAATGACGTGCACTCTGAACAACTAGAATAAGATCAATTGATGCACACTTGATGTGCTATGGGGTGATTCAAGGGCTCGGACAATCCGGGGAATTAACTCGAACATTAAGTTTTGCCCTCCATGAGAGTTAAGTTTAAATTATTTACACGAAAACTTTCGACTTTTTTTACGAGGTCCGAAATCAACCCCTCCTGCATGGGTACCACCCCCAGAGCCTAGTAGAAGATGCAGGTCTCGGTGGGATGCTCGATCTCCTGGGCCTTGACCTGGAAGACGGTGCACTCGTCCTTGCCAACCGCCTTGCCGTAGGCCGCCTCCGGGTAGACCCAGTACTCGCCCTCGGCGACGTCGGGGCAGGCCAGCCACTGGCTGTCGAGGCCCTCGGCTCCGCCGTAGTACAGGTAGATCTCATTCTGCTCGGCGCCCATCAGCGCAAAGGGCCCTGCGGGGGCCACGCCGGGTGAGCCGGCTGGGGTCAGGGCCAGCAGGCCGTCGGCTGCGCCAGAGATGTCGACGAATCCTGGGGACTTGTAAGCTATTGTTGTGGGCAGCAATGGGCAGGCCGGGAAAATGATAACTCTTTTGTGCGTTCCTGTGTCCGGTTTGTGATGCGAGTTTACTTACCGAATTGTTGGTGTGATGTGCCGTCGTTGTAAACAGCCATAGCCTCATCGATCAAGTGCACAGCTGGGGTCGCATCTCCGCACGAGGAGTTGGACTCAACGCCGATGTGCCAGTAGCGACCCAGGGGCTTGAGAGGCTCGCCGTCGATGGGCGAGCCTGGTGCGGAAGCGACCAGGTTGAAGTATTGACCAGTCTGGGCGAATGCGCTGCTGGCGCAGGCGAGGGCGGCGGCGGCTACGGCAGAGGTCTTCATTTTGAACGTATGTGGTGATTGAATGTGGGTGGTTCGGGTTGATGGCGAGACTGAGGAGTGTCGTGTGTTTTATTAGATTCAAGACTTTTGGGTGAGCTGGACCTGTTGTGTTGATTTCTCAAGCCCGTCTCTAAGGCGCTTCTTTATATGCGCCCCTTGGGTTCAGTGCTGTTGGGACGTGCCTTGTTCTGAGTCGGTGTATTTGTTACCCCTGTTAAAACACGAACGCTAAATAGAGGGAAAGTGGTTCGAGTTAGTCTTGTTGACTTGGCAATGCGATCATCCGCTCCACATTTTGCCAGCCCACAATCTCGTTGCTCAATGGGTTTCTTTTTTGAGTGCTGAAGTCATCTTCAACCCCCTTTCTTGATGGCTCGTGCCGGGCTTGGTGTGCGGGCTTCCGGGGAGACAGGGACTAAAGTACGGGGTTATGGAGCACTGAGCTGTGGGTACTAGGTATAAGGCCGCAATTGTGAAGACAAGACACACTATTCCCACCTCCTATAATTCACAACTCCGGTATGCCGCAATTCTAACTTCACCATCCCGTCCGGCATGGCACTTTTTCTGGCAGCATCCCAGGACTCTTCGCTCCTTAATCCCATGCCCCGGCTTCGTTTCTGCTGAAGACCTGTAGACCGACATGGCTACTGCTGAGACAGAATCATGTCCCTCGAATATCTGCCACATGTTCAAAGCTCTTGAGGATTGCGACGGGCCGCTGGGCATTGATTTTCTAGAAAGAAAAGAAGAATAGGACTGTAGTGCGTTCACTGCTCGGCCGAGTCCCTTTCAGGGTCCAGGCTGCACGGGGGAGACGAGGCGACGCTCAGCCCTCAAAAGGTGGGCCTACCCCGAGCGTCACAAAGAAGGCGGTGTTAGGGCAAATTGAGCAGGCCATTCAGGTTGTTCCTTGTAGTCAGGTCAACCAAGCCACCCCACTTCCTCCTTAACCAAGAATGACCAGTTATTCGCTCACAAAGGCCTCGCTCCATGCCTCCTGATCCATATCCGCAGCGTCGAATGGGTGCCAAACCCCGTCCCTCAGTTCGACTTGAAGAACGTGCACAGTCTTTGTTCCCCTTTTCTCGCCAGGCCCGCAGCCCAAGTAGATGGAGTCTCTCTCTGACTGTTCTCCGTGGTCTGAGTCTCCAATACGCTCCGCTACGTACTGCCAATGGTCCACGGCATGTCCGTAGCTGTCGAGAATCTTCTACTTGACCATCCGCCCTGGGCTATCGGTCTTGCATTGACCTATATAAGCGTCCAGATTACCAGCATCATTCTTAGTTGCTGGAAACCTTGCGCGCTGTATCTTGAACACGAGACATTGGTCATCAGGTATGTCCGAGTCCCTCATGGTCTTGTTGCATTCCTGCAAGATGGTGTCGACTTCGTCGAGTAATGGTGTCTGCACAGTGAAATGGCTGCGACCTTTAGGGACAACGGCCTCCAATTGAGGAAGGCTATTCTTTAGAGCAAAGAATATGCCAGTTTCTGTTAGCAATGGGTCAAAAATGGGGGTAGATGCATAAACGAGCAGATCGGGTTCAGCAGCTCTCTCTCATATGTGGGAGATGGCTATTTCAACTAATGAGCGACAGACTCTCGACAGAGTTACCTTTAAATCTATTGGGGAGATATCCAGCTCACAGAAGACGGTCCCCAGGCCAGCCAGGGCCAGCTGAAATATCGAAACCGACAGTGAAGGGAAGTCTAAGGCAATGTTTTTACGCATCACCAGGTCCCTTCTGCCCTGGCCCATCGACCTTGTACTAAATGTCGGCGTGCGATTGTTCTGTGCAGCACGTGGCGGATGGCAGCGTAGAGCTGGAAGGTCGATTCCGTCTCTACCCTGGTCTTTAGGCCAAAGCCTTCAAATGCGCTGTAGTGTAGTCATCCTTGAAGAGATGGCGGGCGATCTTGGGTGGGGCAGCCTTGTTGAGCGAGCCCATTCAACAGCCGTTGGTAGCCTCAACGGCCCAAAGTCAATTTGAACAATTGCAAAGGTAAAAAAAATAAAAAGGTCGAGGGCAGGCTTGGCTTATTGGGAAAGATACACAGGTCACTAATAATAAACATGCACAAAAAAAATCTTGTTGGCTCTTTGGGTTTAGTTTTTGAAAACGTCGCGGTTACTCCGAAGGGCCGCCATGATCGGGAAGCCGGTGGCTTGGACGACAACGCAGGAAAGGATACCCCTGAGAGCAGTCTCTACCTGGCTGCCACTAAGATTAGCAGTGCTGGAAGTGGTCGCTACCCCGACACGTGTGCGTGTGGCTGAGGGCCACGGTGCGCGGGTCGCGACGAGATGGAGGCACGTTGAGATGCTGAGGCGCTGAGACATGATCGAGGCGGCTTGGTCTGAACAGAGCAGGTGAGCTCGAGTGGGTGAGCGAGTGAGTGATGACCTCTGGCATGTGATAGCTGTCAGCTGGCAGCTCCTCCCGCGCCAGCCACGCTTGCCTGGGTTCTAATCGATAAGGAGAGAGGCGCTAAGTGGCGGGTGGGTCTTGCCCGTACCCACAGACAGCCGGAGCTTGGCCAATGATGGGATCGTCAGTCGTCGACACTGGGGTCATTCGTTCGCTATCTATCACGCCAACTCCATCATTCCGTCCCAAGTCGTCACAGGCCCCTCGACCAGAACGTGCCGTCACTCAGGGTCCTGGTGATGCTCATCGCCCTGCCTTGGCCTCCAACACAACGACACCCCGAGGCCTTCAGTTGGGCCACTCCTACTCTCCCGGGCCCAAGGCATCATCTATCCACCTACGCCGCAGACTTGGCGATATTCCTAAAAATACTGCCTACGGAGTATACCAGCATCCATTCCCCGCCCCCTCTCTGTTCCTGGCCTCGTCCGGGAACTATCCCTAGGTGCCTATTCGTCTTCTTGTTATCCAACAGCAGCACACCCCATTCGTTCCGATCTAAGGACTCGCTCCATCGCCGGGCCACCTTTCGTCTCCTGTTAATAAATCCCCCGACGAATCCCACATAATCAGGTACTCAGCCTGGCTTGTGACCGTATATCCTGTATACCCACATTTCGGCTCCCACCCACCACACCCATCGCTGCTTGGTGGCTGCTCCTCTTTGTCCCGCCGGGACCAGCGCGTCACTCGGCCCAGCTTCTGGCAGACCCTGGACCTCTTCACCCGGGTCACCTGCTGCCCGCCCCAGCCCGAGTATCCGGCCTATCCTGCACCGTGGATCACGTCCATTCCGGGAGGGCTGCATGACAAGAGCTCAACCCTGCTGTCCAACAGTTGCTGCATCTCGTCCCACCTCAGCGTCATCCACTAGGAACGCCTGCCCCAGCCTTCCTTGCAGCCATCCTTTGCCCACCTAGGCAGTGGTCTGCCTGGACCGACCCACGAGACGATGGAGCCCGATCTACCTCAGTCTCCGAACCCTCCACAGCCTCCTGCCGACCCCCAGGCTGACGCGAGACACCGTGCCCACCAACAAAGAGACCCCGATACGACCTCGACTATCCTTCAACCACTCCGCCAACGCGGTGCCTGGTCTCCCCACAGACATTCCGAGGACGAGTCCCGCCGCCGAGTATCACATCGAAAGCTCCAAAAGCGACGGCCCCCTCACCTGTCCAGCATGGACTTCCCCGAACAACTCCAACAGAAAGATGGGGACGAGGATCAAGAGGAGGATGTCTTGCCCATCGGGCTTGGCAACGGCAACCAATCCTTCATGAACCTGAACCAGAGCATCTTCGGTCTCATTGCTGCCGCCGGCCCCAAGGTCGACTTCCACGACAGGTTCGAGGGGAACAGCAGCGAGGAAGAGGACGCGGACGAGTCCGACGACGATGGAGCACGTTCCAAGCAGAAGAAGGACGGCGCTGCCACCGGGAAACTGGCACAGACCACAGTGCTTAAGCAGCCGCCGTCCAAGGCCAACAAGCAACACCGTCGCAAGTTCAGCGACAGCAAACTGATGAAGTCGGTTCCAATATTATCCAGGCTGTCGACTAAGAGTCGTTCAAAGAGGGGGAGCAAGGAAGCCGTTTCTCAGATTCAGGAAGAGTCGGAGCCCGAGTCCCCCGCCGGCGATGGGACGGCAAACGAAGAACTTCGGCTTGCGCCTATGATGAGCCGGATGCTTGATGCACGTGCTGAGATGTCGGCACGCCCGAGCTTTGACCTGGAGCGACGTTCAATCGATCGAAGGGACGAATCATCCGAGACCACGGACCCGGGCCCCTCCGAACTCTCCAAGAGGCTGCAGAAGATCTTTGACTTTGAGGAGCCCGAAGAGCTCATTTCAGGTTGGTCACTGTCCCGACGTCTGACTTGTGGATGGCAACTGACATCAAAACTAGAATACCCGTGCTGGCTACTCCAAGGTGTGCTCCTGCAAGGCTATATTTACATAACATCTAGACATATCTGCTTCTACGCATACCTTCCAAAGAAAGCGGTCAGTCTGCCCGGGCCACTCCTCGAGGATACCACACTCACAATATACAAGCACGAGGTCACCAAGTCTGGCTACCTTTCCAAGTCTGGCAAGCGAAACCCCAAGTACAACCGGTACTGGTTCCGGCTCAAGGGCGATGTGCTGTCATACTTCCGTGATCCTTCGAACCTGTACCTCCCCCAAGGCCAGATCGATTTGAGATACGGCATCTCGGCCACGATCACCGACAAGGATAAGGACGGCCTGCATTTCTCGGTTGAGACCGACCACAGGACATATCATTTTCGGGCAGACAGCGCACCCAGCGCCAAGGAATGGGTCAAGTGTCTGCAGCGGGTTATCTTCCGAAGCCACAACGACGGCGACAGTGTCAAAATCAGCCTGCCGATCGCGAATGTTATCGACATCGAAGAGACACAGATGCTAGAGTTCGCAGACACTTGCAAGATACGTGTCATCGACAACGATGAGACATATGCCATTGACGAGGTATGGCACTGGCCCAAAAAGACCGCTCTCTTGTCTGAACTTCTGGCTAACATTCAACAGTACTTCTTCTCATTCTTCAGCTTCGGGAAGGAGGCAATCGGCGTGCTCAGAATCCTTATCGAGGATTCCACGTCTTCTGCCAACGACAGCCAACCCAGGAAACTTGACGTCCCGCCAACTGTCGACGAAACAGCTGCGGTAGCGACGAGCAGCACACAGACCGGGCTTCAGCCTGGCTTCAAGCCTAGCCCTGGCCTTGCGCCAATACGCACTGCCAAGATACGAGACAACGTGAGGGCTACGCTGTCTCCCCTATCCCCTCAGTCGCCACAGGGCCCCTCTCCTCGCGCTAGTGGTGATTTCTCGAGGACCAGCTTTGACGCGATAAGACAATTTGGCCGAGGGAGTAGGGATACGAGTCGCCAAGAGATCCCCCGACGCAGCTACAGCAGGGACAGCCGGTCAGCCAGCAGGCATCGCCATGATGATAGCAAATCTGGGGCAGACAAGTTCCCGTCCACAGACTCAAACGCCGAGTCGACCGAGGACCCAAGCATAGCGAGCATCTCAGCCATGACGACCTCCGGGGAGATGGACCAGTCAGCCAGCCAAATCCTCAGGGGGAGTGATGTCTTCCACAGTCCCACGGTTCGGAGGTCAGCCTCAGCTACCAGGGCCAACGAACGCGAGTCGCCTCGCAGTCCCTATCAGCACGTATCGCCTGGCCCTAGGCCGCACCATGCTGCTACCACAGGCCAGGGAATCGATCTGTCCTCGGGCGACAAGGCGGAAGGCAGCCCGTCGACGCCAACCCTTCAGGCGATCAGCAAGATGGGCTCGTATCCGTTGCAGAGAGTCGGCGCGTTTGCGGAATACCTGGGCCGGCACTCGAAGCGTATGGGTGGCCTGCTGGCTACCGAGTCTGCAGGCTACGCCGGAAAGATGTCGGGAATGTGGAAGGGCGGCCAGAGGCACTACGACGAGCCAGCTGCGCTGCGAACAGACGATGAAGCCGACGATGAGGAACAGGACAAGGTCTCTGAGCAGCGCTTCCAGGACCATTTTGCCCTGCCTAGGTCAGAGAAGCTAAGGGCGACCTACTTCGGGTACTTCATGCGCGTGCTGCCACTTTATGGCAAGGTTTACATGAGCGACCGTAATTTCTGCTTCCGGAGTCTAATTACTGGGTCTCGCACCAAATTGATCCTTCCAATCCGGGACATCGAGAATGTCACAAAGTCGAGTGGCTTCCGTTTTGGGTACGCCGGCTTGGTTGTTGTTATCCGCGGCCACGAAGAGCTGTTCTTTGAGTTCGGTGACTCGGCGCTGCGCGACGACCTGGCAATCTTCCTGCTCAGGGGAATCGAAGCTGCGAAGTTCCTGCGCGAGTCTGAAGAGCTCGGGACTGAGGAAAAGGAAGACGCGCAGAACGCAGAGGAAGAGCACAAGGCTCTCGAGGAAGCTCGGCATGACGAATTCCCAGACCATGAGATCGCTCTCCCACGCCAGGCTTCGAATGTGTCCGACGGGCCGACCATCATTTTCGATGATCCGAAGGCGTCATTCATCAACTTCAAACCTGAAAATTCTCTTCGGATCACCTGCCTAACTATTGGTTCCAGAGGTGACGTGCAGCCGTACATTGCGCTTTGCAAGGGGTTGCTTGCCGAAGGCCACAAGCCCAAGATCGCGACCCATGCCGAGTTCAAGGACTGGATCGAGGGGCACGGTATCGAGTTCGCCCCTATCGAGGGCGATCCCGGAGAGCTCATGCGACTCTGCATCGAGAACGGCACCTTCACGGTAGCCTTCCTTCGCGAAGCCAGCTCTACCATGCGAAGCTGGCTCGATGGGCTTCTGGCAAGCAGCTGGTTGGCTTGCAAGGGCTCCGACGTCCTCATCGAAAGCCCTTCCGCCATGGGAGGCATCCACATTGCCGAGAAGCTCTGCATACCCTACTTCCGGGCCTTTGGCATGCCATGGACGAGGACAAGGGCTTATCCGCACGCCTTCATGATGCCCGAGCGAAAGATGGGCGGTGCCTACAACCTGGTTACCTATGTGCTTTTCGATTCGGTCTTTTGGAAGTTCACTGCGCACCAGATCAACCGGTGGCGCAACAAGACACTGGGCTTGCCAAACACTAGCCTGGAGAAGATGCAGCCGAACAAGGTCCCCTTCTTGTACAACTTCTCTCAGCACGTCGTGCCTCCGCCGCTGGACTACAGCGATTGGATCCGTGTCACCGGTTACTGGTTCCTCGACGAAGGTGGTAAGGACTGGACTCCCCCAGCAGATTTGGTGGCCTTCATCGACAAGGCCCGGAAAGACGACAAGAAGATCGTCTATGTCGGATTTGGCAGCATCATCATGGACAACCCCGCTAAGTTCACCCGCGAGATCATCGACGCCGTGTTGAAGGCAGATGTACGATGCATTCTCAGCAAGGGATGGAGTGACCGTCTGGATCCTAAATCCGAGGAGGCCCAGAAAGCTGCCGCTGCCGAGGGCGACGATGCTACCAAGGGGACGCATGACGGAAAGGGTGGTACGACTGAGGTTCCTCTTCCGCCTGAGATCTTCCTCATCAAGTCTGCTCCTCACGACTGGCTATTCAACCAAATCGACGCCGCGGCCCACCACGGCGGCTCTGGAACAACAGGTGCGAGCTTGCGGGCTGGGATCCCGACGATTGTGCGCCCCTTCTTTGGCGATCAGTTCTTCTTCGGAAATCGCGTCGATGATCTCGGCGTCGGTATTCTCCTCAGGAAGTGGGGCGTCAATTCTTTCGCCCGGGCGCTGTGGGAGGCAACACACTCAGAGAGGATGATCGTCAAGGCGAGGGTGTTGGGGGAGAACATTCGCAAGGTAAGCTTCTTCTTGTTAAGTAACACGTGTGTCGACCTTATTCGGCCGCTGACTTGTATGTTTCAAAGGAGAATGGTGTCGACACAGCCATTCAATGCATCTATCGCGACATGGAGTATGCCAAGTCCCTCATCGAGACGAAAGCTGGCAGGAATGCAGCCGCAGCCGAACGAGCAGCGACATCGGGCTCCGACGACCTCGACGACGATGCCGAGGAGGAGAGCTGGACGTTCATAGGAGACGACACGGGGCCTGACGAAAATGACCTGGACATTGACGGAGTGATGCGGCGAAGCCAGTTTCTTATGCCCCTGACTTCGCCCGACGGCCCATCTGCACGGAACAAGTCGCTCGGGAGCAAGGCGCTGATGGGCGGGAACAACGCCTCGCTGATGTCGGCCAATCCTGCAATCATACCGATGGCCCAGCGCAGCCCGCTCAGCCCGTCGCGGCACAGCGACACGGGCAACGATAGCTCGAAGGAGAACGAGCGGGGAAGATAGAGGACCTTCCAGTGCGCCCTTCGGGCGACTCTGCGGCTGAGGGATGGCCTGCCCTGGAGGGAATCGTGGAACAGCCTGAAAGCTGAACCTCGACGCTCAGCCACGGAAAGCTTTGCCTTGGAACGGATCGGGAAACCGTCTTAAGTCTTGCACTGCTGGACCATCAAGGCCTGAGTAGGCGCAGGGAGCGGGTACCCGGGTGTGGGACGACAGTGAGTCGTCCTTGCAGGATGGGGTGTGATGACTAATATAATGAAAATAACATACACTGTTGTTTCTGTGGTAATGAGTCTGGATGCAGAGGAGTGGAGGAACAGAGCAACAGCCGGCGTGACGAGGAACGGATGAGAGAGGGCTGCATCCATGGGTTCATGAGGGCTAGACGGGAGTTGCCACGGCTGCTTCCAAGGCGGATTCTCTCTCCGTTCATTCTGGTGCAGAGAGGTATCACGACAACAATCTGGGTCAGCATGGCGTTTTATTCGGATGGGTTGGCCTTGTGGCCAAATATTGTACGCCTCCTAATGATAGACGATGGACATCCTAGAATCAGTGTGTTCTGGAAACAGAGCACGACGCTCAATAATTCTACAAGTATTCATATGGTCGACCTCTGACGCGGCCATTGAGGTGGATCGCGAACCATGACTGCAACGTAGGTCCACCCACGGCAGCTCCGTGTCTACAGACCGAGTAAGTAAGTCCTTGGGCTACTTGTGTCGACGATTCTAGTCGACGACGCCGTCAGGAGCGATTCTCTCTAGCATCGTCTGGACGGCAGCACTTGAGCCACGAGGCTTGGGCCATCGGTCGGTTTAAGTCGTTATCGGCATTGTGTATTTTTTTTTCGGTAAGCCTTTCTCAGATGGGTCTTTCAGCGTTGACCTTCTCTATTGCGGGACCGTGTGCGCCTTCGGATGTATCCGAAATGAGAACAAATCGCTTGCAGACTGAGAAAACAAACAGTGCCACCGGAGGGTGTCCGTGACAGATGACGACCTCCGATCCCGCAAGGAGGGTCGCAACGATGACACACGAGAGGCCACGAGCCGGGAAAGAAACAAATCCTCGCAAATGCTCAGGGGAAATGAAGCGGCGAGTCATTGTTCACAGTGAGGACTGTTTTGAAGTTCTACTGGCATGGTAGATCAAAAAGCCCTTCAAGTTGCTGCCGTCCACACCAGCCACTCGTTGCACCAGGCAAGGTCGTGTTGGTGATCACCAAGTTTTCATCCAAACTTTCCAACATGCTTTCTCCAAGGACAGGTGTGCTCCTCACCCTCGGCGCCGTGACGGCATCCGCCTCGGCCCAAGATGCAATCACCAAGCCGCTCTCAACACGCATGATCGAGTCGGCCATCGGCCGGCAGCACGGTGTCGTCTCCTCCGGGGCGTCAACCAGCACCCTCGAGTCCGGCGTCCTGGCCCTGGCGACGCAGGCCTGGCTCAAGCTGTACGGGGACGACCCGTCCACCCCGTCCGAGCAGGTCACAGACTTTGCGTCCTACGTCGACGACATCATCGCCAGCGTCACCTCGGCACCGGCCTTCTCCAACGCCACGGCTGCGGCGCTGCAGTCCCTGGACCGCCTCACCATCGCCCAGGCCATCACGAACCTCGAGGAGGCCCCCGGCGCGGCTGGCAGGCTCACGGCCACCGAGTCGCTCGCCCTCGACACGCTCAACTCGTCGCTTGCGCTGCAGCGCCGCAACCAGGCGGGCGGGCTGTTCTACTACGTCTACCCGTACTGGTCGTACCTCGACGGCGCCGCCGCCTTCCTTCCGTACATGGCAGAGGAGCCAAGCGCTGCCTACTCGGCGGCAGACATGCTGCTGCAGATCACGCTGCTGTACCAGGCGTGCTTCCAGGAGTCGACGGGGCTTGCTGTGCACGGGTATGATGCGTCCAAGACGGCCGTGTGGGCTAACAATGCCACGGGGGCGTCCCCGTACGTCTGGGGCCGGAGCCTGGGCTGGTACCTCGCCGGGTTGGTCGACGCATGGGAGGTGTTGACCGCTGATGGTGAGGATGGGGGCTGTGCCGGTGCTGGTGGCGGCGCGGATGGTAGCTGTGCGGGCTTGCTGGCTGCTATCAAGGACCAGGCCTCCACGCTGATGACCAACATCGCCCAGTACGCGGACGAGGAGACCGGGGTCTGGTGGCAGCTGCCCACGTTCCCCGGCCGCGAGGGCAACTTCCTCGAGAGCTCGTCCACGGCCCTGTACATCTTCTCGATCCTCAAGGCCCTCCGGCTGGGACTGCTGGAGGAAAACCAGCCCCTGGCGGACGTCGCGCTGCGGGCGTATGATTACACGGCCAACGAGTTTGTGGTGGATTACGGGAATGGCACGCTGGGTTGGAACGGCACGGTCATTGTTTGCAGTCTCAACTCGACTGCTACATATGAGTACTACACTGGCCGGCCTATTGTTTTTGACGCACCTCTGGGTGAGGCGGCATTCGTGTGGGCAAGCTTGGAGGTCGAGAGGCTAGGCGCCTAGGAGGACCCGTACATACATACAAAAGGGTATGTTAATTAATAATTAAAAATCCCTGGGCTGATGGGATGGACTATCTTGCTCGTTCCCTATCAACATCCGCTGCGATCCATGGGGCTGTGGTCCCTGAAGTCATATATCTAGGTATCCAGTTCCCACCCTGACAGTCCAGCCGGTACCCATGTGATTAATCTCCTTCGCACAATTACTTCTTTGACACAAATTCCCAGCAAGCTGATCTACTCAGCCAACCACCTCCCGCCTCCGAGACATTTGCGCAATTGGACCTTCTTTGACCTTGCCCTGTTCTCCATCGCGTACATCCTTTCCAGTCGACCCTTTGCCAAATCCAGCTCTTCATCGTCGTTCCAATTTCGAATGCCGTGAAACAGTAACGGCAATGGGGACGATTTCCACTGTGGAACATCGTAGTGCCACGACGCAACTATCATCGATGAAAGCAGGGTGGCGCTGCCGATGACTAGAGCATAGGGAAGGGTTAACCAGCCCCATCGGACTTTGACGACGTACTGTTGCTGCCATACCATACCGAGGGCCACTGATTCGTTCGCCGATCTCATTATAGCGTTGGTCATGCTGTTAGCGATGTTCGCGAGAGTCGAACTCACATTTTCTCCCTCGCCGAACCCGGGCGAGACAGTGTGGTCGAGAAAGTTGAGCTTGGTGAAGAGATCTGTCGACAGAGCAATGTGGTCGTACAGGCTGACATTGAGCTCACTGTGGTCGAAAGGGGGTAGAGGGCTGGAGACATTGTTACCATCGATATCCGGTGTTAGCATAAAGGGCCAATTGTAGACGTCAGTGCTTATATGTATGCTGCTGGTGTTGAGGCCGCTGAGAGCCTGGTTCGCAACAGGCCTGAGCTCCACATCTCGGATGGAATAATACTCCTGGAGTGTTCCATTCAACTAGTATCCCAGTCAATTTATCAGCACCGATGAGAGGCATCGACCATGGGCTTACAACGGTGACATTGCTATACTGTTTCGTACACCAGCTAATTGAACATTCCGTGATTACAAGGCCTTGACGCACGTCAAAGAATTCTGAATCGTTAGGGGACCTCTGCAAAATGGCCGTGGATACGAGATGAGCTGAAATAGTGTCCAAGGAAACCCCAACAGCTGAAATCTTCGCGATGCTCTTCACTTTTGTCCCCTCATCGATATGAAAAGTCCAACCCCTAGGTGTTGTGATGCGTGCCAAGCGTTCAAGTTGAATGATCTCGGCGGTGTCGGTCACGTTTTGGCATGAGCTGCAAAGTCCCAACGAGTTGAAGGTTGGCCAAGAGCAGTTGCTGGAAGGGCAGTTGAAGTCAATGAGGGGTTCGCCCAACTGATAGTAGCCGTTGTAGAAGGCTCCTTGAAAATAAGGATCTATGTTGAAATGCTGCTGCCCACTTAGGGGGAAGACAAGGGACCCGTTTCCGTCGATTTGCAGGCTCGGATTGCCCCGGTTTGAGGGTTCATAGTTGTAGTAGTTCGCCACTGCAGTGGTTGAGTTGATCCCACTCGTTGGAGCCCAGCCGCCTGCTTGGACACTGATCAATTGCTGTGTCAACGGGCCCATAGCCATTCCGCCTGTCGTGATCAAAGACGCTGCATATACCATTGGAGGCAGAATGTTCATGTGGGGTTTCCAGCGACAAATGAGCCTGAGCGAGCCAAGTGGTCCTCGGCTGGCTGAATCGAAAGTGGCCAAGTCCGCTACCGAATGAGCCGTTGAGAGGCTTATTTGCAGCCACTTGAGCTGGCCGAGGACCTCGGAGATGACGACTATCATGGAGCTCTGGGCGCCTGTGATGAGGATGGAGAATATCGTACTGGGTTGCAAGAAGAACGACCATTTCGAAGTCCAGGTGCCATCTAATTCGTGAGAGAGAATTGTAATGGCAATGAGACAGGCCAAGCTGAAAACAATGCAAGAGATCTCCCAAAGCCACTTGTCCCTGAAAAATGGGGTCTTCCAGTCGAGGTGCTTGGACTGATGAACCGAAGCTGCTGGTCTTTTAGAGCCCATTGTTGTGGTTGGATCAGAGGCTGACAATATCATGACAGAGTTCCCAGCTGTCTGCTGGTGGTGAACATAAAGAGCAGCAGGAGGTGAGGGTGGGAAGTACTCTCGTTGCGCGGTCGACGGAGAATCTTGACTGTCTTGCATGCAGAGCGAGTCTATGGACAGCGTTCTGGCCAATGTGAGCGAGTGTGTTGGTGAGCGCGGCATCTCCAGGATTCGCGATATCGGAAGGTCTAGGTATCCAGTGTAATTCGACTGCCTCCAGCCTCGGCTATAGCCATGAAGCGGAGTTGATGGGATTGAACGGTTTATATTTGAGGGTTGCGGTTGCGAAGAGCACTTGAGCTCTGCCGCTTGCGATAGGTTTATGATGAATGATCATTGACATGAGAGATGTGTGCCTATGTACATGGTCCAGAATTAGGCAGGATGCTGACATCTGGAGTACACCAGCATTGCTAGTACAGGCACTCTTGGAACAAGCGAACGTGGATAGGCTGGGGTTGCGAGAAGCGGGCGGTGAACGCTGAAGTTTCAGGTTGTAATTAGTGATCATTTAGTGATTGGTGCTCAAATAACGGCACGAAAAAGCATTTGGGGGCTCAACGGGTTCCGACGGGGCCATTTGAGGCTGACTTCCATCGCACAACAACGTGAGCCAATGGCAGCAATCTACGTAGGAAAAGGGTACGTGGACAAGACATTTTGTATCATAACTGACGCAGCAAGCCGATAATCCCCCACAACTTCCTGACTCAATCGGCTCGCGATAGTTCCGGAGAGTTGGGGGCAGGGCTAGAAGAGAACGAATCCCTCTGGCGTGTAACACGAGGAAGTCGTGTGCGGTGGCCCCACGAACTTCTTTCAAAATAATTTCATGGGTCGATATGATTAAAGGCTGAGATGACCTCACAAAGTTCCCTCCGGCCTAAGACCACCCCTGGACAACAATAGACTTCATAAAAGGCGTGTTCAAAGGTCACCGCATGGCAGAAAATGCTATTGAAGAAGGCTTTGTTGTACAATACATGTGGCAGACGGAATGCCGCGCGAATCCCTTATTGTACAAGTACAAAGGAGAACCACATATAAATAATTGATCTGCATCCAGATCACCGGCAGGAAGTTGTGGATCCAACACAAGCATAAACCTCAGGTCTTTGTCTGTGACGCTACGGCCGGGCTGCTTTACAGTTCATCGGAAGCGCAAAGAGCACGTCTCATACGCCAACGGTTTTGCAAAGTGGCTGGTCCATTAGTCATGCCTCGCATTTTCAAAAAGGCATTGGCGTTCCTCGAGCCGAAGAGGAATGTGATCGCACAACTGGATCTGGTTGATCGTAGTGGGTGTCCCAGCTTCCTGAATCTAACCGGATTGACAGAAGACCCAGAGCTATATCGTTATATTCGGGCGCAAGTGCGCCAGATTAAAGCAGATTTCCAAGACAGCTCAGTGTTCCCCGACTCGTCTCAGGGCTCAAGCTGCAATTGCGGCTCCGCCAGGACGAGCCATTGGCAACTTGCCAGGAAAATCAAAGACACCAAAGCCGGCTGGCAGGACGAACTTGCCCAAAGCTTGCTGCCTTATGTCTTGTCACATTTGTCAGCGAGCATCGTGGGCAATGTTTACGAGGCCCTCGCCGTCGATCAGCCCCTGACTTGGCAGGCCTTCCCGCCGTGTGACGTGCGCCAGAATAGGAACAACCCATCCTTTGTGCTCGAGGCCGCAGGTTGGGCTATTCGGGCTCGCATTAAGCGGAGACCTGCCGCAATCAAGGGTTGCGTCATCACGGGAGCCTTCCTCAACGTCATCAAGCGGCACTGGCTTGGCTGCGAGTGGTTTCGAGGGGGCCATACCGGCAGCTTCCCCGAGCAGAAATACTTGCAACATGAGCTGCTGCAGGAGGCCCTGGATACTTATCTTGAGGATCCAACACAGGAGACGTTCGCTATGTCTGCAGACACACTTCGCTGGTCCCTGGCAGCTCTCCCGTGCCCTCTCAGAGCACATCATCCTGACTTTCATCACGTCCAGCAGGGGCCTGCTGCCGAGGGTTCGAAAGACAAGGCCTTGCAATCATCCAGTGACCAGTGAATTGAAGTGGAAAGTATGTTGCAAGCAGTCTGTAATTTTCTTTAATCGATCGAAGTACTTTCATCGGAAAGGATGGACGGAGGGTGGCAGTACACATACCCTAGGTAGGTTGGCTTTCTCATAATACATCAGCACAATCAAATCAGTTATTTTCTGGGAGAACATTAATAAATTAGTACTTGGCTTAATCTGACCAAAAAGTGAGTGCACCAAGCAAGTTCAGTCTCCGATTAACCACCTGGGCATGTATCTTTCACAACGGCTCTAGAGCTGACTGTCCCTCAGCGGCGGCTTCTACTCAGATGTCATATATTCGTTACGCGGCACACATGAATCCGAATCTTCGGGGACCGTCAAATACTCTGCCAGTGTCATGAAACAGGACACGAAATGCCCGTTAAGTCGGTTTGTCTCCAAGGAGCCTCAATTCAACGCAGTTGTAATTTTTCGCCTACTTGCGGCTGGCATCTATTCTGGCAGGGCAGGGGATTTGCATGCCCCAGGGTGCTCGTAGAACGCGAGGCCCTCCTCCACCTGCCAATATTTGTTCATTTTCTCTTGGACTGCCACTCTTCCAAAGCCGGCACTTTGTAGCATTGGTCACACACGACCATCAGATACTCATCCCGGACCCATTTCAAAGTGTCCACAGTACCTTTGCCGCCCATCATTTCCCCACATTGATTGCAGCGGCCAGCTGCCCTCCCCGGACTCACGGGCTTCAATTGGCGGAATCCTCTCATCAATTCAGTGGCCCAGTCCGCGGCGAATTCAGGACAGTCCCGAAGCAATGAACCGAAAGCCTTGCTGTTTGAGAGGCCATGCACGCTGGCGATGGCCATTGACATGTATATCGGCAGAAAAGTTTTCTTGAGTGATCCCATCTCTTCGCTGTAGAGAAGACTGATAGCCGGGTTGAGCGAGCTCTCGATGATTTTCTCCGTGTCTTCCACGTGGTTTTCCCCTGGAAAAGCGGTACAGAGGGATTGAGCATGCTCCCGGGCGTGACTGCTGGTCCCGCGAACAGCGAGGTCACGGAGGGGGGCATGGACAAGGTAGTCGGCGGTCTTCCAGACCCGCAGCAGGGCCACCAACGCATCGTCCCCGGGATATGACTTCTGAAGGTCGATGGATCCAGTGTAGATGAATTTGAGGAAACAGTCAATGTCACACCGCTCCTGCTCTTGCAGTGCGACGACTCCGGTCTCTGACTCCTGCCGTCTCACCGTCAACATCCTGATAGGGCATTTTATCAGGCCAGGCCAAATTGCTCTTACCTTGAATACGCCCGTCAGCGCCTTATTGAACCATACGCTCCTGGTGCAGAGAATGGTCTTGTGCAACTTCCACGTTTGGCCACCACATTTGACCTCCACGTCGGCCAGAAACCCGCTCTCAAACAGCCTGTGTATACCAATTGTTAGCAGATTTTGATTTTTTGAGACAGGAGCACCATCGCAACTTACTCCAGATCTTTTGTTCTCAGAATGCTCGATTCCACGGCCAACATGCCGGGGCCCTTCTCTTCGGCCATCTTCGATTCTGGACTTGTCAAGGTTTGTGAACGCCCCTTCAGAAGCCCTGGAGTATGTGGCTCGATCTGTAAGGTGCTTGAGACTTGAGATCAGAGTGATGAGAATAGAGATTTCCGCTTTGGGAAAGTACTTCCAGAATAGGAATCTGAAAATGAGACCAGGTGCAATGAACAAGGCTTGTGGGTAAGGTATCAAACATTAAAGACCAGTATGGCTTGAAATCATGGCCGTGGGGTTTCCCTGGGGATTGGAGCACTCGATTTCAAGTCATGAAGTGGCAGAGGTCTTAAGGGCACTAGGAATAGCTTCGAGGATGCTGGCTTAATGTCAGCTGTATAGCATCTTGTGATGCTTGCGTAGCTCGGCAACCTTCTTGCGTAGCTCGGCAACCTTCTTGCGTAGCTCGGCAATGGGAGTCGTAGGCAAGGTCAACCTCCCCCCTCCAACATTGAAGCTTTGATAAATCACACACAGGTTTGCCGTATTTACTGTGGCGAGTTAGCCGAGCCAAGGGTATCAACTACGTTACTCCTCATAATGCTCATGTAATTACACATCGGCTGTTGAATCATTGTGTTCTAGAGAGTAATTGAGACCATGGGGCTCTGTACATAAATTTATGCACCAGCTCAAGCTATGGACACGGTAAAGCGGTTTCAAACTACCCACACGCCTCGAGCTCTTTGAACCAAACTCCCGGGTTGTGCCTCGGATCAATCGATTAAGTTTTGCCATCAAATGCTCGGGTGTCCACTTCGCGCCCGCGGCATCTCTCTTCCAACCTCCTATCAACCTTCCATGGAACACCCTCCCATGTGACACCCTTTACCCTCGTGGAATATTCTCTAGGCGTTTAGAGAGGAAAGCATTTCTCGCACAGATGTTCAGATTTCCCCTCCTTGAGCCACCGTGGACGGTTGAGGTGAGATGTCCTCAGCTTTCTGCACTTGGTACATTTTTTTGAGCAGCGTGGTGGCGTCTGAATGGATGACATGCTGTCCGTGAGCGCAACTGCCCAGTCCGAGGAGAAAGCCGGGGTGTCGCGCAGCAGGGTCTTGAAGTCTCTGCTCTCACCAAATATGTGAATGCTGGAGACCAAGAAGGACAGGGTGGTGGGTCCAAAGGCTTCGAAAATGGGTCCTCCTCGGTATTGGTATAGTACGCGGACGAAGTCGACGCAGTTTCCGATAGGTTCATCCCAGTTCTCCGAGCTTGAAGCGCCGGCAAATTCCCAACTTGCCTTCCGAAGCTGGTCTTTGAAACCATCAAGCGCGAGCTTGCAAAGATCTGGAATTTCGAAGCATTCGCCCAACGTCCAGATTGAAATGCTTGCGACGGAACCAGTCACAGGGTAGATTTCGGTCACATTGATACCTGAAACAAGCATTAGCCAAGAGTATCTTATGATGTTGTTTTCAGAAGTAAAAGCCATACTGCCTGTGTAGATGTACTGCAGCAGGCAGTCAATCTCGTGCTCCTTGAATTTAGCTGCCTTGATCGCCTATCAAATGCTTGCTTGTCAGTATGTGTTTCGTGCGGTGTGAACGTGAACTCTTACCTTGACCTCGTCCGAGGTTGTCCAACGCTTAAACCAGCCGCTTCTGGCGCAGAGGATTGCTTTGTGGACACTCCATTCGCGCTTCCCGCAAGTGACTTTCATATCAGAAAGCTCCCCGCTCTCCAACAGCCTGTGAAGTCAGGAAACCATCTCACAAAACCAAGATGCCCAAGTGGCGAACCTACTTGAGGAACTGGTCCTGATCTCCTCCTTGCGCGCTCGACCAGACTAGGTCATTGGCCTCTCCAGCCATGGCGACAACCTTGTTGACAAGGTCAAACTTGAAAGGAATTGCAGTAATTGTAAGTCTGATGAGGGATTTTCTCTTTCTGAAGGATAAAAGACAGTTTGCGTTGGTAGTCTTGAAGCGGTCAAGTTGACCTTGCAAGCAAGCGCAGGTATCTAGGTAGGTTGGCAAAAGCTTGGAGCTGCCTACCCAGGTGGCTTGGAGCTGCAAGAAACCTCAGTTGATTCAACAGAAAGCGAGGCCCCACCTTGCAACTTGCTAGCTTCAACTTTTTCCCTTTCAGCCTCCCTTCCACGCCAAGTGCGACCATGGAGGTGTCTTAGGCACTGCAGTTTACCGCCGTCGGGGTAGTAAAGCCAGCACGCCCACTTCGTGAACAAGCCCTCCTTCATCTGATTGCGCGCCCGCTGTCCAATGTGGTCCTCTATGAAGGCTCCTCTCGCCATTGCCAGCCGCGTGGGAAACACACGGTTGAGGTAGTGCTTCGTGGAGGCGACGTGAGTCTTGTCGTGCCAGAAGAAAAGAGGCGTCAGAGGGACCTTGTGCGGGCTCGATGGCGCCAAGAAGTCTCGCTTGAGGGCCGCAGTCGTCTCCCGAAGTCCGGGGAAGGGTTTGACATGCGAGGAGTCTGCGTACTCGAGCATCCGGGGCGAGGGCAGGCAGACGTACTTTACAGGAGCATCCTCACTCGAGTCACTCTCTACCATGACCTCTACGATCGATTGGATGGGAATGCTGACGATCAAGTTCCAGTCATGCTGCTGCACCCACACATACGGCGTGTCGACCAGCCTCAGCGCCGAACGCACTGCCAGCCCGAAGCCAAGCCGCTCCGAAGGCTCGATGAAGACTACACGCTCGTCCTCAGTCCTTTGGATCTTGAGCGCCGTGAAGTTGGTCGCGATGCACGGTGACCCATACTCTGCCTGGCCACAATCCTCGAGCAACAAGACCTCCTCCAGTGATTCGGCCCCAACAAACTCCTTCAGGACGAGTCGCTTCACATTGTCCTTGTACGCAGCGAAGTTCTGGGCGCCCTCGGCCGTAACCGACCCCTTCTTCAACCGATTCACCGGCGCAATCCTGTCATAGGTATCTAGGACCACGACAACATTGCACTCCAGGAGGAGAGGGCAATGCTCGTGGAACGAGGCCAGGATTGTGTCGAGCAACTCAGTGGAGGGCGCCGAGGGCGTGGGCGACGTCGTGATGATGACGGTCAGAGCCTCGGGTATCGGAGGCATGCCGGGTTCGGACGAGGCAGGCGCCTCGGGCCGCCGACAAGACAGAAGGTTGTCGTCTGAAAAGAGCATGGCTCGATGTCGGAGATCTGCCGGGTGACGTTGGTATGGGGGTTGACAGCCAAAAAGGTCCGACACCCGAGACGTGTCAGGGGAATTCAGGCAGAATTGGATTGTGCTCTCAAGGTAAGCTCTCGATCGACGCCATTGCCCTGCTCTGCCAACTGCTGACCACCTTCACCGTTGCTACGACGATTGCCGGCAGTTGGAGTGTCTCTTGTGCTCGGAATTCCCGCCCTCCGTGGTCGTTTCTTTGGTCCTGTCGAGGTTAAAAATGGATGCGTGAGAGGCGTCGTTGAAAACCGCTAGCCCCTGCCCACCTTTACAGAACACCTCATTGGCTAACCACCCGGGTGTCACAGCATATGTGCCGCCTCAACCCGCCCCCACCATCCCGCGATTCAAGCAGTAATAGACGATAATAACCCTAGGAACAACCCAAGAAAGGTGAACCCTCGTTCGACCTGCGTATCAGATGATCTCCACGGGCCCGAACCGACGTTGCGGATGAGACAGAGACTCGTCTGAACATGATGCCTAGTCAAGGTCGTCCGAACACGGAACTTGTCGCAGATCCAGCTGATCGCAGTGATCCGGGGGGACGTGCAATGCTCAGCGGCCGATCCCTGCCAAGCTTTTGGACAATGGTTCTGGGGTGGATCAAACACGCCCGCCTGCTACAAACTCGATGCTCGTCTAGCTCGAGCCTATGCCATTGAACCCACTGCCCCGTTAACCCAAGCACTACGAGCTCATCGGTGGCGGGCGCGGCGGGCTGGAAATTCGAGACGACCCGGATGAGCATGACGGCGCTCAGGGACGGCGATTTCAAATGCCTTCCGAAGGCGTCTAGTAATGTGGTACATGCCTGGTCCTGAAGTCCGGAATGGCCAAGATCGTCGTCACTCACGCCTGACCATGCGACGACACGAGGACTATATAAGAGAGACCAATCTTTCTCCTAGACCTACCAGATCATCTCCATCATCAACAATCACATTCTCTTCAAGCATTTCTACACGGCCAGGCGTCGCTCATTCACTAAGTACTTATTAATATAACGTTCACTTTTCTACCAACCCATCTTCTTCTACCAACATCCAAAATGGTTCGCATCACTGCTGCTGCTGTCCTGGCTTGTGAGTCTTCCTCACCCCCACCCACCCACTACCAAGACAAAGCTGACCCCATTCTCCCAGTTGCCTTCTCTACTCTCGCTCTGGAGCCCAATGATGCCGGTGCTAAGAGCGTCGGTGCCGGTGACGCCTCCCAGTTCATCACCGGCGGCTGCGTCAACGACGCCGACTGCTCCTCCGCCTGCTGCGCCGAGATCTCCGGCTCTGGCCTCGGAATATGCTCCGCCGAGGCCGCCTCCGAGCAGAACGGCAAACTTGGCTGTGGCTTCGTAAGCGCAACCTCTCTTCTCCTCTTGCGGCCCCCCATCCATTCTGCTGTGTTTTAGGCACTGCTCTGTCGCACTTGATTAACACATCATTAGGTCGACCCCAACGCGGCTGCTACTATTAAAGCCGCTGAGGCCCAGGTTGAGAAGCAAGGCTTCTAAGGGACTTGTTAATGACTGTATGATGGGATTCACTAATGGGCCATGATCTGGAGTACTGTGGGCCTTGGTTGCCCAAGGAGGATGCTGCTTACGAAGTCATGTCTCCAACCATTAGATTCACTGATGCTATGCCTACCATAGCAATAGGATCATTATTGAAATCACATTCCATGCTCATTTTGCCTTATCCTTCAAATGCAAAGGGAATAATTCCCTTCCCACCGTTGGGTTACTCGACCTTTGTGCCCCGTTGACACCGAAGCCGGGTATTCTTAGTTCGACACGGGCTGATTTAGCACGTTGAGGCTGAACGCATGAGGAAGAACAAAGCGCACCATTCAGCTTTGCATTGTATAGGCCTAAATTCTATTTTGTTTTCCCATGCCCTTAGGTTGGCCTCCCACATGGTAGCCTCCTGCAAATCTAAAGGTTTCACTGTCTTACGACATGACCTCCAGTAGGATGGTACCGTGGGCGAACCCAGGGGACAGTATTAATCCCCCTCACTGCCGAGGCAGGCCCTATAGGCCTGCCGAGATATGAACATCAAGTCGTCTTTGTGGCAGCGAGGAACCTGAGCCCTAGTACTCAGCAACTTTGGAATGTGGCCAGTATGAGCGTACAACGACTCAAGTGATCGCCAGAGAACTCCGTTTCTGTCCTGATTTATGCCAGCAGACCTGCTGAGCACCGCCTTTGAGGTCTTGACCTGAAGATGCCCAAGTCAACTAGCTGATTGATTGGGAACGTCACACCGCGGCTTGTGTCGTTCGAAGACAACGCCATGACCAGCGCGGCCCTTTCTGACATCATAGCTCAGTCTGAGAAATCTTCAGAGTCAAACACATTTTGGGCTTCGGGAGTCCTTGGGCTGGCTGGCGGCATCGGCAGGCTCGGGTGTGTCGTGAGAGTGCCCAAAGCCCGTTGCGCAAATGCAATGGCGAATCCAGGGACCTCTTCCAACAGCGTGGAGAAAGACTTCTGACGCTTGAGGTATGGGGCGAAATCGACGCAGAGATTGGTGAGCTTCTCACGCAGCAGAGGGCCCGAAGCCAGGTCCTCATGCCACGCCCGACGGATGGCGCACTCGACATCAACGGGGAAGGTTACGGGGTCTGACAGGCTGTCTCTGTCCATGGATTGAGAGTTCGCACGCAACTCATTACAGCAGACATCCATATTACGTTCCGCTTGTTTGGTCATGCCCTCGACCTGGAAGTAGTCGCCGAGCTGCCAAAGCCGGACGATAGTCTCGATGAAGGACGCGCTGGGGCTATCATGTCGTGCAGAGAACGGATCGAAGTCTAGCGGACGCCTTGTTTAGCTTCGGTTGCGTCTCTACTGCGCCGCCTAGTTATGTCGATGACTTACGGGGGAAGTAAATGTAGGCCAAAAGCCACTGAATCTCAAAGGGCTCGAACAACCCCTCGATGGTGATCTTCTCTTGAGTGGATTCCTGGGGTGTAGTTGACTTGTCACTACATTGGTCAAATCTGTTGCCGAGGCTGGCGGGATGGGTCGATACCTTGAAACCACCGCTGAAAATTGCGTGGAAGTACGGAACCTTGGTGAGAATTGCCTTGTGCGCTTTCCACTGGCGATCTCCACAGATGACGGTGAAGTCAGAGAACTCTCCAGTGTTCAGGAGCCTGGTGGCCGTTAAAATGAGAGGGATGACTCCACAGGTAGGAACCAAACGCTGAAGTTGCCAACGCTTACCTGAGGTCTGATTTGGACCGGCGAACCATGACTTCGGGGTCGTGGTCATTGTCGGTCTCGGTGCCCATGTCGAGTGAAGCTGCAGAGTCCTCAGGAGAATTAATTGCAGATGCAGACAAGGATTTGAATGGGGAAGACAGCGGGGGTGCGTTGGAGTGCTGTGACCAAGAAAGAATGAGAGGCTGGGCTGGTGTCGTTGTGGTAAAATGCAAGAGCGACGCCCGATCTGGTCTCTGGGGTTTTGTGGGCCGAGGACGGTTTGGAACCAGCGCTCTGGCTGGCAGGGTCACGAGTGAATTTCAGGGCGTCCACACAAGTGCTGCTGCTCACAAGGTGCTGCAAAGGTCGTGGAAGGCGGTAGACTTGTTGCCGCGAGGTGGAAGCTCGAACGGATAGGGGTGTAGGAGCTCAGGCGGGCGGTTGGAAGGTTCGTGGGTGAATGGACTACCCAGCTGCCACGCAAACAATTTGAAGCAATGTCAAGGTGGGCTGGGAAGGGTCATGTCAACAACAGCGAGCGGTAATTTCGCAGCGATTTCACCAGTTGACAGTCCTTCCGCCCACACCTGGACGGACACACAAACGACCATCCCTTCAACTTACACCTTCAAACCACTTTCAGTTATGCTTCATCCTCATTTCTCACGATGCCCTTCAATGAGTACTGCTTGCTCGACCCTCGAGAGTTGGGCGAGCCGCACTATGGAGCCGAAGGCTTCGACGTGGACCTCCATGGCCCCAAGTACAAGAGAATCACGCCTCAGATGCAGGAGCAAGAGAGACTTGACGAGAGGAGGCGCAACGGCCTATACTTCGATGAGCCCGTCCATGATGCGCAGAATCGCTTGCTGGACCTGATCCCGAAGAACAACCTCTGCATTCCACTCAACTGGTTCCATTTTGAGAGCGACGCCGAGAAAGTGTTCAAGGCCGCCGCTAGGACACACGACGTTGCAATTAACCGTGTTGGCACTACAAGACTTACTACTTGCCTCTGCATGTTTCTGGGCGTCGTCTCAAAGCATCGCGACCTGCGCTTGAGAGGAAAGGGGGATCCGCCGCACATGAGCCTCCAGGAACGTCGCGAGCGACATTGGCAGGCAGTCATTGACGAGTCGTCCTTTGCCAGGGACTTCAGCCAACGTCTTGTTCGTCATGTAACTCTCATGCTCGTCAGCGCCCACGTGGCTTTCTACAATTTGAAAGGACCTCGGAACAAAAACAAGGAGTTGAACGACAAGATCACCAAGGTGTCGGAGTGGTTCGAGGAGAACGACCCAGAGGACGTGAGGTCATTTGAGTACTTGGAAGCGAAGCGTCCTGAAGTTCGTGCTGTCAGAAAAAAAGGTACGTCTTAATGATACCCACACTTCCACCAACGATTTTCAATTGAGCATGTTTGACATGATTTCTCTGCTAGGAAACAACAAGCGCCAGGGTAATCGCTACTCTCGCAAGCGTGCGACCGGCATTCCTGGTCCTATAGTCCGCCCTAATTGCCCACGCCAGAGATACACTCCCCTTTCACCACGACCAAGTCGGACGCTCCGAGCCCCTGCCAATCCTCCTCAGTATGGTCAAGTCGAGCTGCCAGAGCGTCTTGCCGATTCAAAGGGAAGAAAAAGGAGATATGACGAGCGTGAGTAGTCTAGCAGGCTTGCACACCAATGCAACCTCAGGAGATATAGAGATAGGATATTCTGCTGTAGTGTTGGTCTCAAGACAGGGTCCTCATACTTGGTGGCCCTGATACGCTTGGTGTACTAGCATAGCTTTTGGGGGGGGGGGTTATTGAAACTTCCAGATTGTTTCTTACATACAAGTCTAGATTAAGCCGTTCTCTAGTTTAGGGGCATCCCAGGACAGTTTATTCTCTTGAATATCAGTTGTACTAAACATCCATGTCTAGGCTAATCTTCCCCTTCATCATTCCATGTTATCACATAGGCATTGTTATCATCAGTCTAAACAACTAAGGAAATAAATAAGCAGTGGTGCTACAGGCCCAAGGAGAGGTCAAGACCTCAGGAGGGGATGTAGAAGGGCAGGAGGGCAGGAGGGCAGGGAAAACGCTCGAGAAAGATGTCCTGGGAAGGGAAGAAATAATTAAAAAGGGATGGAGAGAGAGGGTGAGGGATTAAAAAGGTAAAAAGGTAAAAAAGAAAAAAAGAGATGATGCTGTGTCCAGGGATTGAACCAGGCACCTTTGACAGGGGAACTATAGCAAGCAAACTCCATCCAAATTTCTGTGAATGTCGCGGTACTCCTTAAGACTACACTATAGGCCCTTTCTTCGGTGAAAATCAAATGGTTTTGATTCCTTATGAATTGGGGTCCCATGGGAGACAGTGTGGTCTGAGCACCTAGGTACCTAGGTACCTAGATCGACCGCCCCCCTTGGACCCCCCTTGGACCCCCCCTCGACCCCCCCTCGACCCCCCCTCGACCCCTGCTCCATCCACGAGGTACATCGCATGCTGTCTGACCCAAGCACAACGGCCAGCACCAGACCATCGCATTGAGAGTAAAAAGAAGGCATCGCAACCCCGCCTCTATCTGACCAGCTTGCCCCTCCTCTCCCACTTGGTACGAACCAGCCTCAGCAGCAGATATGCCACAACCCGATAACCAACAACGATCCCCGCCAGCGCCGCAATGTTGACCACGACATCAACGTTCAGCTTGTACAGGTCCAGCACCTGCTCCCCCGTGCCGAGCACGCAGCTCCCGTCGGGCAGCGTCTGGTCGGCGTCGCAGCTGAACCGCTGGCCCCGCAGGCTCACCGGCGCCAGGGCGCGCACTGCGTACCGGCAGGGGCTGATGTAGTTGAAGGCGTCAAACAGGCGGGGCATGTCGATGCTCATGATTCCCGCCATGATGTTTGCCACCGAGAGCAGGATGCTGGTCAGCGTGACGGCGAAGCCCGTGTGGTCGGAGAAGAGCGTGTTAAACATGATCCCCAGGCTCTCACCACAGCTGACGATGCCGAAGCACGAGAACACGCACACAAAGTACATCTCGGCGGTCCGCGGGAACCCCACGGCCAGGTCGCCCAGGATGCCATAGATGAGCGTCGACAGGATCTCAAAGGGCAGCTCGAGCGTCGTGTACGTGAGGAGGAAGGCCTCGACGCCGTACGTGCCGTCGTCGTGCTCGCGGTAGAAGACGTCCCGCTCGGCTGGGTACACGGCCACGTTCTGCAGCATCCCCACGAAGTAGAAGGAGCTCACCTGCTGCACGAACCCGACACGGTTCTGCACCGAAGTGTAGTCTGACTTGAGGGGTGCGAAGAAGGCAGTCAGCACGACCGCCAGCCCGACCACCTGCATCAGCCGTGCCAGGATCAGCGGCGGTTGGCGTCGGAAGTTGATAGTCGCTCGGTGCAGCAGCAGCGGAAACGAGGTCAGGAATGAGGTGCGCTTGCGGACGAGGGCGCCCAGCTCCGCGGGGGTGGCGAGATGGCTCTTCCCATTGGATCGTCGTGGCTGGCCTTGCTGACTGGTGCTGGCCGCGAGTTTGCTATCTCGGGACAGGCGCGGAGACCCACTGGTCTTCTCCTCGGTGATGGGCTCCAGCCTCTCCTGAGCCGCGGCCGTCTGGGAATCAGGGACCTGGGGGTTCTTGAGGTTGTTGTCCCACGCTTCGATCAGCACATTGACGGATCTCCTCGTCTCCTCTTCCCGACTCTGTTGCTGGAGATCGACCGTGATCAGATCCATCACGAAGTCGGCAGGGTTGGTGTTGCGAGGGCACTCCTTACCAACCCTCGCAAAATATCCCAGCATCCCGCCTGCCGCTCCGCTGTACACAGACTTGCCACCTCTGGCAAGCAGCAACACATTGCCAAAGTGGCTGAACAGGTCCGACCGGGCCTGATGGATTGACAGGATCAGAGTTCTACCCTCATTGGCCAGGCCGCTCAACACCTCCATGATCGAGTTGGCCGTGAACGCATCAAGCCCACTGGTCGGCTCGTCCAACAGCAAGATGCGAGGGTCCGTCAAGATCTGAACAGCAATCGTCACACGGCGCTTCTCACCCCCAGAGATACCCTTTACCAGCTCATTACCGATGAGATTATCGGCGCAGTCCTTCAGCCCCATCTTCATCAACACCTCCTCGGCGCGTCGGTTCTTCTCCGCCTTGGTCATGAAACTGGGCAGACGGAGCCCGGCCGCAAAGCGCAGTGTCTCGCGGACGGTGAGCGACGGGAGAAGAGCATCGTCGTCCTGGCAGACGTAAGAGCATACCGAACGGATGACCGAGTCAGACGGCTCGGCACCGTTGAATGTTAGCTTCCCAGCAGGGCGGTACCTGGTGCCCAGAGAGCTTTTTAAGCGCAGCGCCATGGCGTTCAGCAAGGATGTCTTGCCGCTCCCGCTGGGCCCCATGATCACGTTGAGCTTGCCCGCCTCGAACGTCGACGTCACCGGGTGCAGGATCGTCTTCCTAGGTAGCTTCCTGCCCCACGGTGACCTCTTGTCCAGGTCGAGGGCGAACTTCTCCAGCCCCAGGTCGATGGTGCGGATCTCCTCGATCGAGCGCGCTGCCAGCTTCTCCTTGCCGGTCGAGTAGTCGTGCTCCGATACACGTGCCCGTGCGATGGTCATCTCCTTCTTCACAAAGGTGAGACCGACCCACGACAGGAGGTAGAAGAAGATCACGAAGGCCAGCGCTATGACAATCGGAGCGATCAGCCAGTCCCTCGGGAAACCGAGTGACTTCATGATATATGAGCCGGTGTACGGTGCGCAGGACGGGTTGGCCTCGCCGCCCGGATATGGGCAGTCGTAGAACGAGTCGTGGAACTCGTTTCCACAAAGGGCACTGAAGATGTAGTACTGTGGCCATGTCAGTAAGCTCACCCACCGCTCAGAGCACATGCGGGCAACGCACCGTATAAGTCAAGTACTTGAGCCAGCGAAGCCATATCGCGATACTGTTGCTCTGGATAAAATATCCACATGCCATCGACTGTAACGTATATGCTAAGTTGGCAATCAGACTCGCACCGGGGAAATTCCTGCTGGCCGTAACGCAGCACATGGCACAGGTGACGGCAATGTAGTGGTTGAGCAGCACGATACCAAAGTACGTCAGGAAGCGTGAGGGTGCCTGGTCTAGCCCGGCCATCCAGTAGCTGATGACGGCGAATATCAGGGGCACCGGAAAGTCCTCGGTGACGAACCTCGCGATGCGGCGGGAGACGAGGAACGGCAGTGCCGTTGCACACCCCTCGCTGTGCTCGCGGTCGAAGACGCCGATCTCCTGTGTCAGCCGGTACACCTCGAAGACGAGGAAGAGATATCCTTCCAGCGCGCTGGTGGTATAAAGGAACCCCTGCCGCGACCGGATGCCAGCTTGATCCCGCCCTAGCTGGTAGAAGATATATCCAGTGCACAGGCCCATGACGACAGCTTGCATGATTGCGGCCATCATGCCCATTGGGTCTCTGTACGTCGTTTTCAAGGTGCGCGAGGTCATGACACGCATCTGGCGGGTGAAGGACGTTGCATTGGTGTGCTTGCTCAGCATCATACCGCGCTCGGCCGGTGTCTCCGCGCCCTTTTCCGTAGGCGCGAAACGCCTCTCATTCTCCTCCCTCCACGCACCCTTGAGCTGCTCCACCCGTGCCAGACTCTCGGCCTCCAGCTCTGGGGTGCGGTTGTCTACGGCCGCGAGGTCGACCAGGTGCTCAGCCGGGTTGACGAACGAGGGCATCCTCAAGCCCAGCCCGTCGAACCACGGAAGGCACTCGGCCACGGGGCCCGAGTAGACAGGTGAGCCCCGTGACAAGAGGATCATGTTGTCAAACAGGCCCCAGATCTCGGACCGCGGCTGGTGGATGGTGACGATGACCGTTCGACCCTTGGCGGCAAGGTTCTTGAGAGTGCGGACAAGCTGGAAGGCACTGCTGGCGTCGAGGCCCGTGGTCGGCTCATCGAGGAACAGCACGCTCGGGTTCGCGAGCATCTGCACACCAATGGACACGCGCCGTTTCTCACCACCCGACAGGCCGCGGTGGGTGGTGCTTCCGACGCGGGTGTCGGCCGCCTCCTTGAGCCCTAGCTCCATGATGACCTCTTCCACGACGCGTTGCCGCTCTTCGGACGTCGAGGGTGGCGGGAGGCGCAGATCGGCTGAGTACTGTAGCGTCTCCCGCGCCGTCAGGGTTGGCAGAAGAATATCGGTCTGGGTCACGTACGCCGAGCGGATCGCCTCAATGTTCGGCTGGGAGTTAAAAAGAATGCTGCCGGACTGACTGAGCCGAGACGAAGCGATCCTGGAAGACACCGTGTTCAGCAGGGTCGTCTTTCCGGAACCGGATCCCCCTAAGATCGCGGTGAGGGTGCCCGGGGCGAGGGACGCCGAGACCGAAGACAACAGGTCCTTGGTGTACGAGGAAGGTTCCGGCCCGGCCTTGGAGCGGCCGAAGCGGTCCTTGAGCAGCGCCGGGTATGTGGCCGGCTCCAACACCGAAGGGGACGTGTCCACGGTCACGTTGAGGTTGCGGATCTGGACATCGACTGGTGCAACATCGTCCAGACTCAGGTGATTGCCCACGCCGAGGGACAGATTGTGAGCATTGGGGCCACCGGCCGGGATGTCCATGCTCGTCGCGACGGAGCTGGCACGGTCGATCTTGTCTGTCTTGTCCATGTCTAGGACCGAGGAGGTAGGGCGTTCACGCTGAGGCTGCGGCGCGGTATCATCTGAGCCTCCCGGCTCACTGGCGAGTGTTGACTCCATGATAGTCGGGCTTCAGGGGTGTTGGCCAAAACGACGGGTCACGGAGCTGTTGACCCCGGCGAAGAGGACACTCCAACTGATCTCGGCAGCCGTTGCAAACAAGTCAGGCAAACACGGATCTCAGTGCTTGTGTGCAACCCGTCAATTGGGGTCGCCACTAGATCGGGTCATATCATGATGAGCGAGATGTGTGGCTATCAATCCAAGAAGACAAGAATGCTCTAGATGGTTGGCAGTCGGTGAATACCTATAGTCGGTATCACATGGTACCCAGGAACGAGTACGAAAAGGGAGGGGTCCATTGAAAAAACATAAGCGAACAACATAAGCGAAGGATCATATGCCACCATACCGCTTTGGCAGCTGTGGGTTATGATGAGTGCGACGCTGGGTCGCACAACGCAAGCACGCATCTGGCATGTTGGGCCTGCAGACGACCCATTCTGGGCCTGTGCCGAGTTGGTGGATTTCTTGGCCCGGATGGCCAACCAAGGATGTGAACGGCTTGGGGTGGCATCCAAGCCGCACGCTGAGCCATTGGGAGATGAGACTGACGAGGGTCAAAGATGGCATCGTGGTATCGTGGCATCGTGGCGACTCGAGGTATTTTCTGATGTGGTGTCTGTGCTGTCGACACGGGATGCTCCCATTGTCCCCGCATCTTGGATATCCAGTAGCATCGTGGGTCTTGTTTGCTTCCAGAACTCTATTAGTTCTACTAGTGTACCTGCCATGCAGGCCATGACAGGACGGGCTAATTCTTGAGCGGTCGGATCGCGACGAAGAGGACTTTGTCGCGCTGCATGTGCAGCATGAGTCGGAGACATTGTCACGGGCAAGCCATACTCTTCAATTGTGGTGATGATTCCTGGCTGGCTGACTGACTGACTGACTGGCTGGCTGCGGCTCGCACAAACCCAATCTCGTCGACCATGACACAGCAGGCAAGTCAGGGCTCGGCTGGTGTTCCGAACACGACGCAAGCACAGCAGCAGGACACTACGCCACGATAAGATAAGGACAGAGTGCCTGGAGGGCAGGTGGGGGTGGGGGATTGCTCGTGCGATTTCTCCATATTGCCCCAGATTTCTCTCGCAGGCACGCAGGCACAGGCCTATGAACGGCCTACGATTTTGGATTACCCACCGCGGAACCGAGCGCGGACAGGGGAGCAGGGGAGGAGGGGAGCTCCGACCCAAGCCTGTGTGTCGGGTCCAGGTCATGGCATCTTGGGCCTGGTGTATTGGCCCGCGTCAACTGGAATCCCCGCGGCTAAGCATTCTCGCGAGAATCGAACAAGTCTGCCCGCGAGCGCGTAAACGAATTCACGCCGGCCTGCAGACTTGTCATGGTGGGAGGCTGCATCTGGGAGTGTTCGGAAAATTGTTTTGTGCAGCAATTGAGAGCGGTGGTCTGGTGTAGCCAGTCCAGTCCTAATAATAATAGGCCGATGTTGAAACCTTGTTGAGGTGAGTGTGTGTGTATGTTTGCCTGTGTGTCACCGGCTGCACCTCTTACTTATTATTATCAGTGCAATAGTTCGGGTGTTATAAGTTATCCGACGGCACACTTGGTCGGCCTTATATGCAGACCCCGCGAGAGCGCGAGCCCTTGCTGTGCATACGAATCTGGTAGCATCGTATCATCACCTGGAGGCCAATGTAGGCATCTCGGTTGCAACCACGGGTCCAGTCGATGGCCAGAGGGCAGCTCGTCCGCCCGAGGACATCGCGGCGGGCCGGATCGAAGTTTACCCCCTCAGCCCCTGGCCCCGGGCGAAATACCGACCTCTTCTGCCACCCGTGGGACCCTCGATGCCGCCCACTCTGCCGCGTCATACGACCCCGGACTTTCGATCTTCAGCAGTCGGAAGCGACACTAGCACTCGCCATGTACTACTAGCCTACTTAATGCCAGTGAGGCCCTCCTCGTCCGTGCAAAGGAAAGAGGAGGCTATTAGACTGACCCCAAACCCCATCATCATCGACTCCCAGACATCCCTCTTTGCACCCTGCGTAACCTCCCGCCTGCTGTACACCCACCAAACACGATCACCACGATCACCACTACCCCGCGGAACCCCGCCATCTGTATCACCCATTCGTACTGCTCGTACCGCCACAATGGCTTCCAACGGCGCCAACGGGACCAACGGCGCTGCCGCCAAGGACAACAACAGCAAATACGACCCCAACTTCACACAGCATGTCATCGACCTGATGAGCCCAGAGACCCTGCCCAGGCATAGGGAGATCCTGTCCTCGCTGATCCGCCACATGCACGACTTCTGCAGGGAGGTCGAGCTCAAGCAGGACGAGTGGATTGTCGGTGTCAATTACGTAAATGCCATTGGCCAGGCCTACCAGAAGAACCGCAACGAGGCATGGCGGGTGTGCGACATCCTCGGTATTGAGTCGTGAGTAGTTCTGGACCGCCGGCATCTCCCCAGGCGATAAGATATCCCGCCCGAAGCTTTCACATGGTTAACCAGGGGTATTCTTTCCTCCCCCCGCGTATAGGCTCGTCGACGAGATCAACCACAAGGTTCAGGCCGCCAACGGCGCAGAGCCCACATCATCCACCATCCTGGGCCCCTTCTGGTCGCCCGAGACGCCCTTCCGCAACAATGGCGACAGCGTAGTCCAGAACATGCCCGCTGATGGGCAGCTCACCTTCTTCCACGGTGTCATCAAGGATGCTGAGACGGGCAAGGGCATCCCCAACGCCGTCTTTGACATGTGGCAGGCCAGCACAAACGGCAAATACGATGTCTTTGACCCTGAGAACCGTGAGTTCCCTCATCTGACTGACACACACACACACACACCCTCACCCACCATCCCGGCACCAAACAAGCCAGCTGACTTTTTTTGTGTTCTTTTTCTCAGAGACCCGCCACAACCTCCGCGGCAAGTTCCGCACCGACGCAGACGGCAAGTTCTACTTCTACTGCCTCAAGCCGACCGAGTACGCCATCGACACCTCGGGCCCCTCGGCCGAGCTGCTGCGCATCATGGGCCGCCACCCCTACCGCCCCGCCCACATCCACATGATGGTCACCCACGACGACTACGTCGGCGTCACCGCCCAGCTCTACCCCAGCGACGACCAGTACCTCGAGACCGACACCGCCTGCGCCGTCAAGCCCGACCTGCTGCTCACCTTCAAGCCCGTCACCGGCGAGAAGAACGGTGCCGTCCTCGACGTCGAGTACGACGTGCGCCTCGTCTCCAAGAAGTACAAGCCCGACAACACCATGTTGATGCAGAACGCGAACCAGAACAAGTTTTAAGGAAAAGCCGCGTCTTTTTAATTGATCTTGTGTGTGAGTATGTGCTTGGGAGTTCATTTGGGCCGGGACCTGTACATGAAAACGGAGGACCGCATTTGTAGGGAAAATTCAACACAATACCCGCATTTATTTCATGTCTTGCTACCAATTTGCCTGAAATGTGCCTGTCTGTCGCTACATGTTGACGTCGGATCTGCAACGTGCCTGTGCTCCTAGGCGTCTACTTCCAATCCGCCGTCCAAATCGTCGCTGGGAGCTGTTCGACGAGAAGGTTTGTCGTGGAATCCCAGCAGAGAGAATACTCTCATCCCGTGCATCCATCTGAGCGCATAATGGTGGTGCACATTTAATCGACACCCAGACGAGAGTTGCGAACAAGGGTATTTTACAGCCTGAACCCCCGATAATTAGACTACCAAATAAAGATTCCTGGTCCTTCAGGGGGTGCAGAGGCGGGTAAACCAGCGAGGCGCATCCGATCCTAGTTTCTATTACGCTCTTGTAAGACACTCGACTGTATGTATGTATCCTACCTAGGCACGTCACGGGGGAAGAACGCGAGGGGTCAGCCGCACGTCACCTCCGCATCACGCGATTTCTTGTTCCAACCTCGAGGGTGGAATACGACAGGTCAGATTGAGAATTGCATTCCTGGCCCACGATGTAAATACACAAGCAGTCTGTCCCAAGTTCCAAGTCATCCAGACCTTCGAGGAAACCCTTCACCATGCAATGCAGCCGCCCAAACAACGCCTCATAAGGATATATCAGTCCCAAACCATGCCCAAAAAATCAAAACCGAAACCCTCATGCAAATGACGATGCGTCTCGACCTAGACCGTCCTCTTCTCGACGATAGCCGCCCCAACAGGTGATTCGCCAACGAACCCGCTGTTTGCACCGCCGAACTCGTACACCTTCTGCCCGCGCAGCCACGTCTCCCGCACGCGGCCCGTGAACCTCTTGCCCTCCCACGGCGAGCAGCGGTTCTTCCAGTGCATGCCGCGGCAGCCCAGCGTCCACTCCTCGGCGTCGTCAAAGACGCACACGTCCGCGTCCAGCCCAACCTTGAGCCCGCCCTTGCGGTGCGACAGGCCCACCTGCGCCGCCGTGGCCTGCGAGCACAGCCGGACGATGTCGACGATCCCCAGCGGCCGGTTGCCGGCCTTGGCCGTCGTGTGCAGGATCGGCAGCCCCAGCCCCACGGACGAGATGCCGCCCCACGCGGCGAAGAAGTCGCCCACGGCCGTGTGGGCCTTGGACCCCTCCTCGCCTGGCATGGTCACGTCGACGCCCGAGTCCGAGTGCAACAGCGTGCCCTCGACAGCATCGACGGGGTCGGCGTGTTGCTGCTGCTGCAGGTGGCCTGGCAGAAGCTTCAGCTCGGGCGTGCAGGGGCTGTGGTCAGAGACAATGGTCTTGATCACGCTCTCCTTTGGGTCTGCGCACAGCTCCTCCCACAGGCCGGACTGGTTGATGCGTGACCGGATGGGCGGGCAGCACTTGTGGCGGGTGTCCCCGTCCTCCACGTCCTCGGCGGCAAGCCCCAGGTAGTGGAAGCATGTCTCGGCTGTGATGTTGACGCCGTCCTTCCTCGCCTGCCTCAGAATTGGGATGCACTCGGTTGCCGACAGGTGCACGATGTGCAGGTGCAGCTGTGGTGCCAGGTGGGCCAGCGACAAGATCTCCTCCACGGCACATGTCTCGAAGACTGGCGGCCGCGAGTCGAGGAAGGTGTCGTAAGACGTCAGCTGGCCGGTGGGGGCGAGAGGGGGCTCTGATGACTGTACGGCGTCTCCCACGCTATCGGCGATGGGAGGGATCATCTCAGCATGGAACATGAGGGTTGTCGGGCGCCCGGCGAGAGCGCGCATGGCAAGCTCGATATCGTGGGAGGAGATGGCCGGGAACTCGTCGACCTGAAGATGGTCTTCTGTTAGTGGTGTTCCCATCGTGTCTCTCCATTTCTCAAGTTTGTACCACCTGGGAAGCACTTACACCACTCTCGATCAGGAAGCCCTTGAAACCCCTCACGCCCATTTCCACGAGAGGAACCAGCTGGTCTGCGTTGCCAGGAATGACACCACCATAGAAGCCGACATCGACCCAGCACTGCCCACGGCTAGCAGCCAGCTTCTCCTCGAAGCCCCTGACCGTTGTGGTGGGGGGGATCGCATTCAAAGGCATGTCGATAACGGTGGTGACGCCGCCAGACGCGGCAGCGCGGGTGCCGGTGGCGAAGCCCTCCCATTCTGTGCGACCGGGCTCGTTCAAGTGGACGTGGGCGTCCACCAGGCCTGGCAGTATGAGTTTGGAACCATGGTCCACATAGGTGGTCGATGGCGGGAAGGAGGAGGGCGGGAGGACCTCTGGGACTATCGAAATGATCTTGCCAGTGAGAGGGGAGACTGATATGGTTGCTGGTGACAGGATAAGGCTATCATCAGGGAGGGTGAGCACCGCCCTCGTCGACACCAAGACGGTCAGGGGCTCAGAGGCAGATAAGGTGGCAGAAACGGTCATCTTGACGGTTGTTCAGACTGGCGGGACGGTGAGGGCAGGACAGTTTTGGAAAGAAGGATAGTTTGGAGATTAGGAGTCAACAGGTGGGATCGAGGACGAAACGAAGGAGAACCACCCCGTCTGCTCTGCCACCTCAGGGTCCTTATCAGCAGTGACGAGAGTGGGATGGTGGGATGGTGGGATGGTGGACGCTGGGGTGTAGGCGGCTTATCTTTCAGTAGATAAGGCTGGCTCAAAGGGGACCACGAGGAGGGACAGCAAACATGTGAGAGGTTGACCGTTTGTTGACCTGTTTTACTATCTCTCTCTCTCTCTCTCTGTCTCTCTCTCTTTTTTTTTTTCAGGAGAAGAAACGAGGAAACAAGAGAGAGAGTCAAAGAGAAATATCTGGACCCAGACAAGCCTGACAAGTCGGCAGTTACGACCAAGGCCCACACGGACAGCACATGCTGTTGTTGTCCAGACCCTCGCCGCGAATCTTCCTGTCAGCGAGCCCATACCGCCAGTCCTCCGTGCCGTCATCTTAGCAGGCGTCGTAGAGGTTAGACTCGGCCGTCTCCGGCCTCCTTAGCCCGGCGGTTCTCGTGTTTCCGCGGCTAGTAAATCGCAATACAAAAAAAAGGGCGTCGGGACGGCTGGACGGTTACCGTTCGTTATCAGGGGCAAGGAAGACCCTACAAAGAGTCAGGAGCCAGGAGGCCCCCTGGCTGCTTATCGGCGTGGCACGATTGGGCGACGTCGCAGCAATGGGCCCGCTTCCCACTGCATCGGGTTAATCTCGCCCGGCTCACCCAACGTCTGAGGCTTACTCAGTGGCACCTTCCATGCGAGGCCCAGATTAAGTGTCCTTCCGCTTTCGGAACAGGCTCGCTCTGACGATGGCCTCAGCAGTTTTGATCGAGTAACTATCGAGTAAAGATCGAGTAAAAATGGAGTAATGACCTCACCTCGTTTCAATGCGGCTTCTGAATTAAACTTTCGGCATCTGCAGCCCTCGACGCAGGGCCTGCATGACCAGCGCGCCATATCCTGCCGTGAAGTGCCCTCCGACTGGATGGTCCAGTGGTTTTACGTACCCAACAAACCACACAGCAACATTACAGCAGCATTCGTTCTACTACTGCCACACCGAACCACGACCAGCAACCAGAGTCGCACCTGTTCGTCAAGAGCGGTTCGCATCTGCCGAAGAACACCACCAGGACGCTATTGATTCCAGCAACGCAAATACTTGCCCCACTCCCTGCTCTACCGGCAGCATGCCACTCAAGTGGCCTTCGCACAGCACGGCCGACCGCAGCACCTGAGTTGGTCCTCCCATCCGATCTCGAGCTCTTGAGGCCCGGCTGCAGGTGCCTGGATGCTTTGCGAAGCTGGGCCAAAGGTTCAGGGGCGGGCAGGGCGCCGAGATGAGACGCGCATCAGGTCACACGGGATACCGTCCATCGACCCCGAGGGCCTCGCTGTCATGTCGTGATGCGTGATGGCAGCTCCAATGCTAGCGGGCACCGGGCACGTCGCAATACTTCTTCCAGCCGACGGCCACTCAGCCATGCACTTCTCGGCATACGCATAGTCTACCTGTCTACCTGCCGCTGGCCAAGGACAGGTTCTAATGCTTCTTCTTCTGTCTGTCAGTCCCCGAGCTCAAGGGCAGCGCGGGATGGATTCCGCGCGCGGCTCCATGTCTCACCTCAACCCTGCCTGTGCACGAGCTCCACGTCGCCCTCGAGACGCGCGCATCATTTCCATTCTGGACCAGCGGGTGGAATGAACACTGATGCTAAATGAGAGCCAGCATTCAACTGGACTCTTTCAGTAGAAACCAGGGCCAGCCGTCAGGCACGGTGTTGAGCTCGTTCCCTGCAGCCGGGCACCTGGCTCTCCACCGTTCGTTCGGTTTGCTTCTGGGCGGGATATCGTGTCAACTTTCTATCTGAGCTGTCACATTTGATGCTCTTTCCACATCGGGCCGCATGCAGGGCCTCGTCCCCTGCATGGGATCAACCTCGGGGCGCCCATGGGATGAGCCCCAGACGGCCCGACGCCTCGCGATCATGGCACCGCGCAGTTAGAATGTGGAATGTGGAACGTGTGCCCAGACTGCCAGACAAGGGCAGCAGATTCCAGAGAAAACGTGATCCGCACACCTGCCGCGTTAAGAGTCAGACTGAGGTCCAACTGGCTGTCCTCTCAGACGTCTTCCGTCGCTGTCCCCCGGTCACGCTTCGTCGGCGCCAGAACGCGTCGAGCTTCCGGAGACTTGAGGCTCACTGACCTCCGAAAGGCTGGGTATCTGCAGGTCATACCGAATCGTACCGAGATTGTTCGTTTGCTCTGCACCTCATCATGCCACGACCGTGGTCATCGACTCCTTGGCCTGCAGGGACTTTTGTCTAGTCCCTTTCGTTGGTGCTTTTTCTCGCCCAGGTAGGAGGAAGCCCTCCGCGTACTTCCGCTCTGCCGCATCATGAACGGACCAACACATGCATGTTGTACCCACATGGTGGCGGTGAAAACGATACCCGAGGGAAGGTTTCCTTTTCTTTCTCCCCTGATGGAGGCTGGGCCTCGTGTACCTAGGGGCGCGGCCGAGCTGCACAGTACAACGGTTAGAGTTTCGGAGGATAGGCCGAAGTCTACATTCTCCATACTTTCGAGTGAAAGTATTAACAGCGCCTTATTTCTTGCCCACCTGCACCAATGTATCCCCCTCATGGGCCATATGTACACCCTTCTCCCTATACTCAATTGGCGAGGATTCTCGGTATCCCACTCTACGCGTCGGCTCCCTGGCTGTGCGCAAGGGCTGCGGGTGGTAACGCGACGCGTTTGGCTACAACGTTGAAAGATCTGCTCCCTTTTGGTCGCCAAATACACCTTTTCTCTCTCTGTATCATCCTCAGCTTCGGCAAATTCCATACATCCACCACAGCAATCTTCATCAGGTCAAAATGGGCCAGCCAAAAGACCTGAAGCTTGCACGGCTTCCTCCGCGTCTGGACACGTTCACAGACATACAAGCCCCGAGTGTCAAGAAAGAGCGAGTCAATGGCAAGGACAAATACAAGTTGACCCCCGCAAGGCCTGGCGTCATTACCATCTTCTCCGATGGTGAGAACGAGAGACCTTGCTCCCCTAGGCCGCAAGCTGTCAAGCGCGAACGCTCGCGTGTCCCGCTCCGTGCCATTGAACAGGACCGTCAGTCTAGCCAGCCTCGCATCAAGCAAGAGCCTTCGGGTGATCAATCTGGACCACAGCGACTTCACGGGCAGACGAGACATGCTGCTGTTGCCTCTGATACAAGACGAGCTCGGGTTGATGAGCAGTTACGTCGGCGACAGTCTCAGCAAAGATCGCATCCTCCAAGCGACTCATCTTCATCCTCGGACTCTTCGGGATCTGATAGCTCAGACTCGTCGGAATCTGAAGACGGGTCCGATTCGTGTTCGGACTCGAGCTCAAGCGAGGACTCATCATCTGATGATGATGCAAGCGCCAGCGTGTATCAACCAACTACGCCTGCTTCCAGCATAGGATCAAGCCCACTCAGGACACGGGGTAAGGAGACTGGCGTCCAACGAGCTTCTGTCAACCTGGTGGGTGCGTCTCCGTCTCGGCGCTCACTGCAGAACGCACCGTCAATTGGATCCGGGCACGCACCATTGGACTTCTTCATTGACCTACCTGCGAATTCCTTGCGGGGAGCCTCGGCCCTCCCTGGCCCGTCAAGATCTCACATCTCGGCGACGGTAGAGCCAACTGGTGCTCAGGTAGGCTGACATCACCGCATTCATTATCGGGATAAATGACTGAGTTGCTGGAATAGGCCGAGCGTACCGCTCATTCCACTCACCACCGACCCAGCAATAGTTCGCCCGTCGTCCTGGGGTTCATGCCCATCAATCGTGCATCTCCGCCGCCCCGAAATGCCCCCACAGAACCGCGAGCCATGCGAATTGCCGAGACTCATCCCGCCAGTGCGCCGGTTGATTCCACACGGAAGCACAGTGAGTCCGTGAGTAAGTCAGTGCCAGGACCCTCGTCGCTGCCTCTCCGTGGCCCTCGATTTGCCAAAGACACCTCCCAGCAGAAAGGTGAGCAAAGACGTGGGCCAGCACGATCCGGTCGCATCATGCAAAGCGTTGAGCAGCCGCCCGTAGAGTCAATCAGCATCAGCAACCCACCAGCGAATGAATTGTCTCGCCGTGGGTCGAGGGTGGTAACCCCTGGCCCATCTACCCGCCGGACTGCGCCTCCACCTGCGTCTCCTGGAATTTTTGTGACGCCGCGAGCTGTGTCCGTAAGAATAGCTCCATCTGTTGGAACTCATGGTCCTTCGCAAAGTGCGTTGCGTGGACAAGGGAAGAGGACCTTCGACGAGGCTGCGGGTGCAGACTCAGGGTCCAAGGCTGCGGAGTGGGAGAGGATGCTGGCGAGAATTCAGAACCACGAAAAAGAAATGGAGCAGCAAAGGGCCCTGCTGGAAGATACGAAGCGGCTGCTTGCCGAGCAGAAGTCACGGATCGATGATCTCGAGCAGCGACGACGGCAGCCTGAGGAGTTTGTACGAGATTCTGCACCACAGGCCGTCGAAGAGCCAGCTGTTGATAGCCCTCTTCCGAATGTTGCCCATCAAGATTCCCCCCCTGCGCCCGTTCCTTGCCGCCAATCCGAGAGAAGAGAGGAACGGCAGCGGCAAGATACCTGTCAGTCCGAGAGGAGAGACAAGCGCAAGCGACGGAGATCATCCCGCGTGGCTCGAGTCCGCCTGCTGGAACGGGAGCGAGAGCGGATCGAGCAAGAGAGGCAGGAAGACCTCGAGCTGGAGCAACAGCTGGAGCAGGAGCAACGCCGCCAAGCCGAACGGATTCAGTGTGCGGCGAGAAGCCTACAGAACAATACCCGACAGGCACAAGCCCTATCACGCCCAGCTCAAAGAATGCTAGACGCTATCCAAATACGGATCCAGCACGATGTCTTCAACCGCCCCTTATCAGGCCTCAACCCCAGGGTCGAATTTGACGATCGCGACCGTCACCACATCAGCGAGGCGACTGCGTTCCTGATGCGGCTTCCGCAGGCGTTCATCCTGGCCCGTCTCTGCAGGCTCATCGAGGGTAAGGACTTTTTCGAGACGACGCACCTCGGGAGCACGCACCTGGGCTGCTGGGTGGTGTCGAGGCGGGCGGCGTGCGACCTGCGCATGAAGCTGACGGACTCCGGGGAGACGCACAGCTTCTCGTTCTCCCGCCTGGCCGTGCGTCTATGGCACGACGAGCAGTCCCTCTACAGCCTGCTGCAGCACCAGAGCCAGAAGCTCAAGGCCGGACACACCTGCCACGTGGATGCGTGCATGCGCCCCGACCACATTGTCATCGAGACCGACCGCGTTGCTGGTGAGCGCCGGAAGTGCAAGGCCCGCGGCAGGTGCTACGGCCACAAGACCGTCCACAAGGATGGCACCAGGCAGGTGCGGAAGCCGTGTATCTTTTTCCCGCGGGGGGTGTTTGTGAGGTAGTGGGTCTGGGTGTTGTGTTCGTGTGGACTGGTGGGCGAGGCAAGCGATTCCTGTCCACGAGTCCCCGTCGATTATTCTAAAGGGGGCGAGCACATCTGCTATTGATAGTGCTGCTCGTGGATGCATCCGTTGGCTCTCCCATGGTCTTCCACGGTGGGCTTCCGAGCTTGCGTCAGTCAACTCATGGCTTGACTGCACCTTATTCCGGCCCCACATGCCACCATCCGATCCGGTGTCCCTTTTGGTCTGTTCTGCTTTCAGGAAATCCCCTGATGTCATCTTTGTTTTTGTTTTCCGGGACGGGAGGGGGCGGTTATTGTTGTCGTTGTTTCAATTGTCACCAAAAGCATTCCAACCAGCAAAGCAGCAGACATGGGCATCCGGCTCCGGGAAGGGACACAAAAGCTCTCACTGTAATGTATTCATGAAGTTATCAGGCAAAATTTCACAGTATTGGTAGTCAAAACGCGGCGCTGCGCCGTCATTCTGTGGCACGCACAACACACAAGCACCTTCAGAGTCGAACGTGATTATGTACAAGTCTGTCTTGAGCTGTGGAGAAATCACGCAACGAATGGTACTTATTTCTAGCGGGTAGACATGAAAGTCGTTTAATCAATGTAGGTTAGCAGTAGTGCAAGCTGAAACTCGATGCTCTTTTTTTCCTAAGTGGAGGTAGCGTTCAGGCAGCACAGTGATGTGTACCTAGATATCCAGCCTCAAACACATCAAGGCAGACAACAAATGTATGATTTTTGAGTTTTTACATCATCGCACGCAGTTCACCAGGTATCTATCTACAAGTCCTACAGCTTAAGGATTACCATTTATACTTTCTTCTCCGAGAAAATAGAACCACACCATGGCCACTCCTGGCATCCCTTCTTCCAAAGCGCGGACTGATCGAGTGGCACGCTGTCTCTGTTCTGAACGGAGAGCACCGTGGCCTTGGGGCCCTTCTAAACGCATTCATGCGGCAGCCCGTACAGATCTTTTGAGGTCACTGGCATGCTCAGGGCATCCTTTGAGTCTGTTTCCGCGGCATGAGTGCCAGGAACAATTTTCCAGCGTGTAGAAATATCGGTCACAATAGCACACGAATAGGAGGCATCGCCAACAGTTTGGCTGGTGCTGTTTGAATGACTCACTCGGAATGAATAGGTGCCGAGAATTCCATGTTCTCGTGGCATGGTTCAAGTGAGGCGGATGACACCAAAACAGGGAATCTGAGGCTCAACTGCAACACAGCTGTACCCGCCAGGCGTTTGATGCAGGACTTGGTCCACCTGGACACCCATATGATGGTACAGCTCATTTTATTCATCAAAGACCATGTATATCTTGGTCAATTTTCGCTAAGCCAGTATGTGATATCTCTCTCTCCCTGTCCAAATGACTCCAAAGTTCGCCCGGTACGCCGATTGAGAGAACAAAGCACACACACACTGTCAGCCTCCACCCTCGGGGTGACTTGAAAGAATGGCAATCTTCAGCCCGCGCCCCCAGCATACGGGCTTCCCAAAGGTAGAATGACCGAGCCTTTCAACCATCATACAGTAGACCTGCCCTCCCGCAGGACTTGTCTGGCGCAGCCTTGCAAGGCCGGCTGCTGGGGCGACACCAGATCAGGAATAACAGGTGCTGGTGAGGACAAGCCGGCACGTACAAGAGTACAGGAGCGTTATCCTTTGCCCCGTTTGCATCACTTCTGGTCCTCGAAAGCCAGCTTCTTGCTGGGGCTGCTGGCCGCAGAGCCTCCACCCCGCTGGCTCGGGTCCAGCCCGCGCTCGCGCATCGCCCTCTCCGCAGCCTCGCGGGCCGTAGGCGCCTGCTGGTGGTGCAGGTGGTGCCGGGTGTGGGCGCCGTGCTGGGTCTCGCGCAGGGAGCTGGTATAGCCCGGGCCGGACACGGGGACGGGCCCGCTGTTGGTCGTGTCCACGAACGCGTCCTCGTCGGCGCCGCCTGGTGTGGCATCTGACGCCACGCCGTCGATGAAGCGCGCGTCCCTCCTCTCGGTTGAGGCGCTGGCGTCCTCGCGGTCCAGCCTCTGCTGCCTCGCGGCCAGCATCGCCCCCTCGCTCAGGCCAGAGCTGCTCCTCTGCAGGCCTTCCATGCCGGGCAGGGGCCGCCGCACGTAGATGGGGCCGGATATGGTGCTGTTGGCGCCCTCGCCAAACCCGACCAGGCTGGCGGAGCCGTCGTCGCTCATGTTGTCGTCCTGCTCGGCCTGGCCGACGCTGCGGCTGGTCAAGTCCTCGTCGACGTCCATGTCCGGCTGCTCGTTGTGACCGGTGCCCACGTAGCCGCTAGCCGAGTCGACCTCCGTGTCACGCGCAAAGTTGGTATCTGTGCTCATCATGTCGATGTCCTGTTGAAGCATGGTTGTCAGCGAAGGCGCCACGGACCACAAAGCATCACGCGCTGTGCCGACTGGCTGGCCAGGTATACTTGCACTCTCGGTCGCCGAGGCAGTGCCGGACGTAGACATCTTGGTCACGGCGACCGGCTGTCCGTTGGAGTCGAAATAGGCCGGGGCACCCTGGATCAGGGGCGCGATGGGGCGGTGGGTGGTATGTGGGAAGACGGCGGAGGTAGGGGTGGTCTGAGGGCTGTTGCTGTTGCGGGCGGGGGCGGCGGAGCCGGCGCTGGGAGGAGAGCGCAGCTGATTGACATTGGAGAGGCCGGCGAGGCGCGAGATGCGGTCGGCGCGCTCGGCCTCGAGGCTGCCCTGGGAGGAATGCTGCTGGTGGCCGGGGTGGTGGGTTGTGGCAGTGGCGTGACCGCGGTGGCCGTCCCTGATGGCGGTGGTGGAGAGGGCCGAGAGGGAGGTTGTCGTCGAGGTGGGAGTGCCGCTGTTGGTTCAGGCAGGTCAGTCACCAGTGCTGCTGGGGGCAATGGGGGGTAGCTCACGGCATCTCTGAGGGCGTGTCCGGGTTGGAGGGCGGCTGGGGGATGTTGATGAGGGTGGGATGTGGTTGCGCCATGACGAATCACGATGGGAGGAGTCGGGCTGCGACTGCGACGGTGTCTGGTATCTGTGCGCGACGAGGTCGTCGCCGGTGTTGCGTGGAGAAAGTGGGTGCGACGGCGATGTCGAGTGATGTCGAGTGATGTCGCGCAGTCAAGTCGGTCAGGCAGACAAGGGGTGACGGCACAAATGGATGGATGGATGGATGGATGGATGGGCGAATGGACATGGACGGGTGCAGACGTAGATGCAGATGCGGTCTTTGTCCAAAGAGGTGAAGGTCCAACTCCCAAAGTCAGCCTGGGCGGCCTGGCCCTGGACTGTCTGGTTGGCCTGCATGGGTGATTCGAGGCGGGAAGTTGTTGTCAGTCTCCCCTGGACATCCCAGCTCGCCTTGCGCTTGAACGACCGCTCTACCGCAGGCCTCAGCTCAGCTCAAGCTGCCCTGGCCAGCCAGAGTACCTCCCGCATTAAGCGCATCGACCGAGTGACGTAAGGCTTGGGACCCCTGCCCGCCCTGTCACTCACCAGTCGGGGACTCGGGGCCGTCAGTGCCCCACACTCGGACACTGCAACTCGAACAGTACCAGTCTGAGCCAGTCTAGCAGCTGTCTAGGCGAGAAACATCTTGTATTATCTATCTGCTACCTCGCTGCGCCCACGTGCCACGCCAACAGAAGCCTCAGAAAGTGATCAACACCGCCTCAGCGTCGCCAACCAGGACGCTCTCCCCCGGCGCCCACGTCTCGGTCACCTCCTCCCCCTGGACGAGCCCTTCCTTGCTCACGCTCCGTCCTGCAAAAGTTATGTCCGTCTGCCCAAGGTCCTTGACGTCGCTCCCGGACGCCGTGAGCCGTCGAACCGTCCCACGCGTCTGGATCCTCTCGGGCAGCGTCACACTGATCGACGGCCGGGTGTAGTTGGCCGTCGAGTTGTACGGCTCCAGGTTCAGGATGATGACCGAGTCGATGGCGTGCGACGGTCCTGTCCTGTACAGCGCATACGCCGTCAGCGTCTCCTCCGCAATCAGCGCGTGGACCACCTTCTTGGGCGCCCCGTCGCCCGAGTAGTACGGCGAGTAGGCCCCGGCCGACTCGTTTTGGCCCGACGACACCTCTCCGTTGCCGATGGCAGTAGCCAGGACCCACGCGCCGTAGTACGACGGCCGCACAAGCGCACTATGGTTGGTCGCGCCCTCGTATGGCGCCCACAGGCTGTAGCGGTAGGGCGTGCCCATGTGGAAATACATGCCCCCTACCGCCGAGATGTTGGACGCGATGAAGAGCGTGTAGTCCAGATACCACAGCGCCGTGCCGAAGACATTGGAGACGCCGTCGCGACCTTGGCATGAGATGGAGTTGGTCTCGCCAATCACATAGGTTATGCCATGCGTCCCGTCAACATACGGCGCCATCTGCTGGTGGGGAAACGCGCGGTTGGCCATGTTGGTGTGGTTGAGGAGGTTCTGCCGCAGCGTCGAAATCTCCTTGGTCGAGGCGCAGTTGGAGCCATGGTACTAACCCAAGCAATAAATGCTTCATCAGTCAAGCTCTCGAAACACAACTGGGGGGTTAGCGGGCTAATCCCTCGGGACTCACGTCGTGCTGCGAAGTACTCCTGATCTGCTGCTTCCTGTTGATCCCCAGGTCCAACACAACCTCCGAGTTCCATGGCGTGTTGATGGTCTTGTTCCCACTCCCCATGAACGTGCCCATCTGGAAGATCGGCTGGGACTGAGAACTGTCCTCGCTGCCGCCCCAGATAGCCTCCTCGATCAGATCAGTGTACATGAGGTACTCCTCCGTGTACAGCTCCGGCCCCCACTCGTCGCTCCGATACCTGCCTCCCCACCGTTCCATCTCGTTGCTGATCTCATAGGCATACAACAGTTCCGACCCGAGCGTGTCCCACACGCGCTTCGCCACGTCGACCGTGGACGCCACGCCCGCGGAGCTGTTGTCGCGGTAGTTGAGGTCGTAGATGAACCGCGTGCCCTTGGGCGACGTCAGGAACGCCTCGAACCACGCCGGCCCGATGTTGGTCAGGCTGGGCTGGTCGGTGCGGGCGCCCTCGAGGCCGGTGTTGGTCGACCCGTTCCAGTGGTTCTCGACGGCGAGCTCCTGGCTGGCGTTGAAGACTGCCACGTTGGCCGTCGAGCCGCCCGCGCGGATGATTATGGGGGACCCGGACAGGCTCTGCAGGTTCTCCAGAAGATTGTATGAGAGCTGGTTTGGTGTTCTGAAAAGAGCACCCATCAGCTTGCACGTCTCTGCGTCTCGCACATATGTAGCCAGGCAGGCCACTTGGCCGAGGTCTCACGTACGTCAGGTTCCCAAAGTAGTCCGCCATGTAGGAGAACTCGATGGAGAGGGATTGCCATGACCCGTCAATGGGCCGCTTCACGGAATACAGCCGCAACGGCACATTCAAGGCCAGGTCACGGCGTATGTCGGAAGAGTTGCCACCCCGCCGGCTCTGGCGCCCTGTATGTTGTAAGGCGGCACTCAGCGGAAGCAGAGTGGAGACAACAGGAAGTGCCAGCGAAGGCAACATCTTGAATCCTGGCTAATATTGTGCCCTTATGTTCTGGGTTCTGATCTGAGCGGTAGCAGCAAGGAAGTGGATCAAGCCATATACATGCTGAAGCTCTTGATACTACTTATGTGGCTCTGCGGCGAGCCGCCCAGAGAAGTGCTAGAACCATTCGTCCGTCATTCAAGCGACGGGCCCGGAGGATAATTTCCAATTCTGGACAGGGTCTGGGGTAGCATGGGGTTGTCTTGAGCCCCAGGTCTTGGTCTAGCGGGGGTGCATGTCCGTAAGCCGCCATATCTCGTGGTAAATTGAAGCGAGTCAGAGTGACAACGGTGGCCGGGAGGGGTAAGGAGGACACCGATCCGGGATGCCAAGATATCGGCATAACCGCTTCATCGCAGACAGCTTCTGTTGAATCCTTCTTTCTACGGTGGGGAACAAGGGAGTGGCATGCCAATAACCCGAGATGCCAGACTAGTTTTGAGTACAGTGTCAAGGCAGAACTCAAGTCTGAGCGAAGGTGGTGGGGCAGACGATAGTATCATTGCTAGCTTGCCCGAAGCAGTAGTGAGATTTGGCTTTTTAACTTCAACTGAGCCGTTGATGAATGGCTTGCAAGTTGCATCAGACTTTTTAGAGTTCTATGGATGGGAAGCTTAGGAAAGAAGCCGTGCTGGGGAGGCTAAATGCATTTTGTCCGCCAGCCAGGTTGAGACAAGGTAATATTTCTGCACACTTATCATGGCCCAACTCCTCCGCGAGGCGCTTCATCCTCCACGGGTCCATCGTCGAAGCCACCTCCAGAAACCAACTGTGTTTCCTTCCAAATGGCACACCCATCAGAACACCCCAGGGGTAAAGTCAACGACCTGTGCCGTCGCAACGACACCATCGAGGCTCTTGACAAAGGCCAGGTGAGCCGGGTCTTCATTCAGATAATACTCCCGGTCCTTCTCATTCTCAAACTCGCTGATGAACACATGTGATATGCCGTTCTAGAGGTGTTTTGGATCAGCCTCACGCAAGCATGCTCTTCGTTGCCTCCACCCGGATCCAATGTTTTAGGACTTGGAGCTTACCTGCTTTCCCTCGGGGCTGTTGTCCTTGCCTCCTGTTCCCGTCTTGACATACGGCTGCTTGGTCTCCGGGTGGATACAGTTGTCTTTGAGGGCCAGCATTGCATCACAGGCCTATCCAAAATCCGAATCAGCAGCTGTCTATTTCACAGGCACGGCTCAGTAGACGGGTTGTCACACCACTCACTTTCTGGACGTCTTCGGGAGGAGCCAGAGGCTCGAAGGCAAACATCACAATATGGACGATCCCCATGATTGCCGGTCGGTAGTAATGGTTATTTGCAATGGGATGTTATTCTGGTTAAATGGGTTGGACGTTGTTGTTGAAAATGACAGATGATGGCGATCCGAGTCTGGTGTCGAGGGTGGGATTAAACGTCATCATGCCCCGCAGCGCATTCCCGGAGGGAGTGAGTATCACAACCCTCCGACAGATCGGAAGACCATCACCAGACCATACGAAAATAGAACCCGGGCAAGGTCACACTTTGTTGCTCTTGCATGCCCGCAATTATCTGTCCCGGCACTTTTCTTGCAGCGCCTGTTCAGGGAGGGTCTGCAGGGCCGGAATTTGACCCGGGATTCCTTTTCCGAATTCACAACAGTCAGAGAACAAGCGGCCAACTGAAACGGATGTAAACAAGTGTGCTCCCGGTCTTATTCTAACCGGTCCGCTTCTATTGCGTATACGTCTGGAGACATACATGACACCTCCATACAATGGTAAACGCTCAACTTGAAGACCTTCACAAAATGACAACTATTTTGGTCGAAAAGCATGAAGGGTTAGGGTATTTAAATGCGTCGTGCCTTTGCTGACCTCCAGATCCTCCTGTTTGTCGTCATGGTCTGCCCATGAGGGCACCTGATATTCGACCGTGTGTCCCGGTGGTGTGACGATCTCATAGAATTGGCGGAAAAGACCCATCATCCCTCGCTGCATCTCAAAACGGTACCGTAGCAGAATGGACGCCCACACAATGCGAGACGCAGAGCTCGTCTACAACTACCACCGCACGCGGATGCCCCTCCCCGCCAGCGCAGACGCCGTCTTCTGCCTCTGCAGCCTAGACGTCCGCGTCGCCCACCGGGCGGCGCAGCTGCACCTCGACGGCCACGGGCGCTACCTCATCTTCTCGGGCGGCTCCGGGAAGCTGACCGAGGGCCGCTTCACCAGGCCCGAGGCAGAGGTCTTTGCCGACATCGCCCGGGCCCAGGGCGTGCCCGAGGGCGCCATCATCGTCGAGCCGCGGTCGACCAACACCGGTGAGAACGTGCGCTTCACGCACGACCTGCTGCGCCGGCGGGGCCTGCTCGGGGGCGAGGGCGGGATCCGGTCGTTCATCCTCGTGCAGAAGCCGTACATGGAGAGGAGGACCTATGCTACCTTCATGAGGCAGTGGCCGGGCATTGACCGCGCAGGCGTCGGTGGCGGCGAGGCGGTTGAGTTCAGCGTGACTTCGCCACAGCTCGAGTTTGCAGAGTATCCGGACGAGGGCAACCCGCGGGATCTGGTCACCAACATCATGGTTGGGGATCTGATCAGGATTCGAGACTATCCCGCCAAGGGGTACCAGATACAACAAGATATCCCGGAGGATGTCTGGGAGGCTGGTCAGAGGTTAATTGCGGCAGGATTCAACGAGCATCTTCCTTGATGCCTGTTGGGATCTGCGTCTGCACCGGTGTACAGCTCAGAAGTCCAGGTACTAATAGAGGAGCTGAACTGAGGCACAACGCTTTAGACTTGGTTGTCTTGGGTCTTGGTTCTCTAACATACTTAAAACTTAATTCTATTGTACTACAAAGTTTCATATGTGTAGTATAGTATCAAGTGACTCTATTAATAATAACAGTAAATGGATTGCATTCAAGAGGGAAAGGTGTAAGATCTACAAATCATTTAGAGTAAAGCTGAGACAAAAGTCAATAATATTGCTTGTTCATATATACAACGCACAAGAAAATACCACGATACTCCTTCCACATGAATACATACTCGAATTCAAATCCGCCACGGCCGGCACCGTTGAATACAGTTCAAGATGCTTTCTATCCTTCACGGCTGGCCCTCAACAGATTACTTCCAGGTTGTGCTTACAGTCGCAGCTGTTGAACAGCCGCGAGGCACCGTGTACGACCTGTTCGGGTCGCTCTCCCACGTCGGGGTCCCGCTGGACGGCACGTTGACAAACTTGTACTCGAAAGTCTGCCCCGCTGCCAGAGTCAGCGTGCTGGACCAAAGGTTGTTGGAACTCGTGTACTGCGCTGCGGAGAGGGCCGGCGCCGACGAGACGTCCCAGTTCCCGAGGGCCGGGATCGAGCCCACGATCTTGATTGTCTGGCCCGGTGTCGTCTTGACGATCTCGTTGAACGTCACGGCGACGTTTTGGGCAACCGCACAGCCTGAGCCGGAGGTCGTCGCCGGAGGGGGGCTGGTTCCGCTCCCGCCACCAGATATTGCAATGTCGGCGCAGGTAAGGTAGACCTGACCCGTCTGGAACGAGTTCCAGCGGAAGGAGAGGAGGGTGTGGTTCGACACGTAGTCGGGGATCTTGACCTTCTTGGTCACCTTGTATCCACCGGCTATGGTGGTGAAGCAAGAACCGAGCGGCGCGTTGTCAACGCCCTGGCACGCTCGTCGGCTGTCGGCCTGGAACGCGTTGCACGTGAACCAGTCGTTCCTCCAACAGGGCTGCCCTTCTGAACAGTCAGGGCTGTAGCCGCAGGTCTGGCCTGACACATCCGTGCATTTCAGGGTGCCTCGCTGGAAGCAATCCTCGGCGGCCTGCTTCTCCGCGTCGGTGGGCAGGTAATTCGGATTTGTGAACTTGTCGACCAGCTCCTGGTCCTGGCAGATCCTGTAGCTGAACATCCCGCCGTGGTCTCCGTTGTTGTCGACGCACCATTCCACGTCAACCGTCTGACCGGGCGTGTATGTTGCCACTGGGGAGTTGCCCCAGTTGGCGGACGGCTGGTTGTAGTCAACGCTCACTCGGGCGTTATAACCGCAAGGCCCGCTGCGCCCGACAGTGGCTGCGGTGACGTTTGGCCAGGCTTCGACGGGCTCGCGAATAGTGCACTCGGGGCAGGTGTCTATGCCAGCCTGCATGCATCATGTGAGTAGACGAGGACGAGGAGTTGGGTCCAGATGTCTTTTCCCGTACCTCCGAACCAAGCCGTGTACGGCTGGAGGGAATGGTTAAGTATCCATGCCCAAGAGCGGACGTCACGAGACTGGCAAAGGCCAATGCAGATGTTGACTTCATCGTTGAGAGACCAAGTCGCGGTGCGGGGATGACTGATATTGATGCTTCGTCGCACACTTCGAATGCAATCTCGGCGAGTGGATGGCAATGTCTTCCAGGTCCATTTCGAATTCTATCAAACACCTCACCACCTTTATATCCAGCAACAGCCAACTTAGAGTTGACACTTTTCCACGCGCGCTCTCGTGATGCCACTATTCGCGATCGAGACTCAACCATCCCGCCGCACAATATCTGTCCAGGTGACCACATGTGCAGACAGCGCCGAGATACCCCCAAGCGAAGCGGCCCTACCCGCACTCGATTGCCCGGATCTAAGCTTGTCCCAGGTGCGGGAGCATGCCTCCGGGGCACATTTTCGATTAGTGCCGGGCCTCATATCTGGAACTGGAAACCAGCGCGGGGTGAGTAGGGCCGTGATGTGGCCGGCATCCGATGCATGCCACGCCCCCGATTTCCTCGGCCCGCATTCTCGACCGTTCGGACGCTGCCGCGATGTGTGGCAAAACCTTCGCCTTGAAGAGAAACACGGCACGTAAACGCATCCCACGTGCCCTTTACCAGAGGTTTTGTGGCCGGCAGGACCAAAGGCGGCATTCCGACCTGCGGAACGGATGACCTGTCAAGAGTCACAGGCAAATGGCCAACTTTGGAAGGCAATGTATCACGACACCCACGGGGTTGAAATAAGAAGGACCGAGGATGAGTTTCTAGCCACGAATTTCCAGCTCAGGATTGCTGTGCAGGATTCTGTCCGCAGACATGAGGGCCGCCTGCAGTCAAAAGTGCCGAAGAACGACCGCCTCACGAGGTTGTGAATACCCGGGCTCAATGTGCTTGGCAGCGTCGTTACTTAGTCAGTGTCTGTTCAACTCTTTTGAAACGCTGCGTCAAAGAGGTTTAGTCCTCACGCCCTGCGAGGTTTCCAGCGTAAACGTTGGCGATTTACACCTCTGAAGGGAGCCCGGCGACGACCTTGTCTGCGAGGCCGCCGAGTATGAACGCTCTGCGCTTTCAGAGCCTCTGGCAATGACCATGGGCATAGTTTGAACGACCCCAAACTTTTCCTCGACTTTGGAGAGCAGATTCTGTGGTGACACGCTATACCGTGGAGGTTGTCGTGATGGTCCACACCACGTTGCCAGTTATCTCGGTGTCATTCAGTTCAAGTTGACCTGGGCCCAAGAGGTGAGACTCCAAGCCACGCACCAGGCAGCCAATACGTTGCTGTCGGACAGCCTCTTCACCGACCGCAAATCATGACCAAAGCGAGTAGTTAGCCTGGACGGCACACGGCTCACGGCACACGACTCACAGCTGACAGCTGATCTCTCGGGGCCAACACATCCAAGCAAGCCACATCACGAGTGCATTTGGCCGGAGCAGATAGCACTGGTGCAAGATGAAGGACCGAATACATCGGTCAGGTGGGACACGTGCCAATATATTCGAAAGGCTTCCGGGCAGATACTGGATGATGATGATGATGTGCGTTCATGTCCTGGTGACGTTAGCAGACTTCGTGTAGGGGGTTGAAAAGTAGCACTTGAGGCCTTACATGTAAGTTTGTGCTGCCGACATCACCGATCTTACCGTAGGCACCGCCGGTACTAGTAGAGGATAATGGTCTTTCGGCGTTGGAGAGAACCAAATATCTGCCGACTGTGGACTTTCTATCGGTACCAACTGCCCAGGTGGATTCCCATATCACCCGTGGACCAAGTTTCGTTCCGCGAGTGGTTGTATTTCCATTATGGCCGCCAATAGATCGCAGAAGTGCCTGTTTGCTTCGGTTCTCGTGAGGTTTCGATTCCTAGGAGGGAGAGCTCTCGATGGAGTACTCCTACGGGGGCTGGCTGGCGGCGGCTGTCACTGCCGAATCTCGAGCGACCTCGGGAGGAAGCAGTTGTCTTCCTCGTATACGTGGATGCCAGCTACTCAACCGCATTTAGGCACGACCTATTGATGCAGTGTGCTGGATTCTCACAATTTCCTCGATACCGGGTTGAAGGTAGGGAAATACCGAAGCTGGCATCAATTGGTGTTTCTCTCGAGTGAGCTACTTGGTAAAAGTAAAACCGAAACTCGCCGTCGAATATCAGTCATATTATTAACCAACAACTGAATGGAAAGAGTTGTTCGAGTCGCAAGACTCGACTGCCATCTGGAGAACTTCTGTAAAGATGCGGTATATGTGTGCTTGCTATTATTGCAGGGGCGCTTCAAATGTTGGAAAATTGCCCATTCGGCCCAAGTGCTGTTGGCTCATGCATGTGAAGATAAGGAGTGTCTATTATCAATCTGGGGGTGAATTCTATTGCCAGGATCTCACTTTCAGGGTAACGAGTGTCCAGGACGACTCAGGAGCTTTCAAGCCTGAGGAGCCTGGGAGCCTGGGTGCTCTCTCTAGACCATCCGGACCATTTGCAATTTTGGGTTCTATTTCACTAGTGGCGGCTGACGCAGCCGAGGAAAGGTGAGGATGCCACATTGAGTGGTATCGTGTGGAGAGCGACGGCATGGATATCCTTGACCTGTCAGTGTCTAATCTCAGGACCAGATGGCAGTAGTTGCAGATGTTTCTGAAGATCAACCATGATCAAGTGCCACTTGGCCAACCCTGCCCAAGTGTGATGTGCCCAGTCCAATCGCATCAGCCTGTCCAGATGCCGGCAGCATCGAAGCCGTCGCGGTCATAATCCTGTTTCTGATCCTCCCTTGCCTCCATATCATACCGGAACCTTTACAGACACGGGTTTGAGCCATCAGGAATAAGCTCAAACTAATGTTCAGATGGTTCCCCATCGAACGTTGGAGGAACCCTTCGGCAGCGATGCATGAACCCACACACTCACCGCGCGAGGAACACCATATCCAAATGAAGCCTCGCGGTGTCACTGTATGAGCAGTGCAAATGTGTTGACTCTGTCAAGAGCCGCTAGGCAGATGGAAATTGGGATTTTCTCCGACGCGCCAACGCGAGCTGCACCTTTATTTTCCACACTGTTTCAAGCGCGACTAGGGCTGTCACCTTTCCCTGGTGGCGCGGACTCTAGTGCCGTGAACCCATGCAGTCCACGGCAGATCACATCCAGGATTACGGCGTGCGGGCCAGCTGCGGGCCAACGGGCTCACCGTCTCGCAGTCCTGAGTTCCTGGGTGCGGTAGGCTAGCCCCGAATTTCCCGGTCCTGCCCCGGAACACCCGTTGCCCGCTTCGGGTCTGTGATACGACCACCGCCCACTCCAGGCCTCTGATTTGCTGGGTGGCTAGGATCAGAGGGGCTGGATTTCCAGCTTGGCCTGCTGTTGATGGCATTCCTGGTTTTGATATAGCTCAATGTATCCTCTTCTGTTATCTCCTCCGCGTCTCGCTGTCGACCCGGATCGGATGGTCTCCACGACTCTCTCGCGCTGCGGCCACCTGGAGACACACACGGATCGTGCTCTGCCTGCGGCGGGCGTCCTCAGGATGGACTCATTGGCGTCCGGCGAACAAATTCAAGCTGTTGCTTACCAGCTGCCGTCTCTCTCGCCCAAAGGACTCAGCTTCGCCACCGACGCGGTCGGGATTGCTCTCGGGGTCATCGCCATCATCGCTCTTTTTCTACGCCTTTACGTTCGCCTTGGGTTCTCGACAGGTCTGAGCAGACCTCTGGGTCCAGACGATTACCTAGCTGCATTTGGAACTGTGAGTTGCCCCTTTAGAGCCACCGCTCTTCCAGCCGGAGCGAGAAGGTCTCTCTACTCCAGGGCTGTGAAAATATGCGACGAAATTGACCATGGAATCTCAACCTGGCAGCTCACATTCGCGGCTGCAATCGTGTTCACCGTTTACGCCACCCGCTATGGGCTTGGTACACCGGACTCGGAACTTCCTTCGCCACTTTATCGGATCCGAGCCGCTGAATACGTGATGTACTGGGAGGTTTTGTATCTTCTGTCATCCTGTATGGCCAAGTGTGCCATTGGGCTCACTTGCATGCGACTCGATACGCGGAGACGATTTGTCATCCCAATGTCTATCAACGTGTCGGTTGTGGTAGTCGTTACGCTGTTGGCGCTGATCTACATCTTTGCCACATGTCGCCCCCTTGCAGCAACATGGAATCCCTTACTGTAAGCTTCAGTAACCTGGGCCTTGCTTGGCGAGGATGACTGCAAAACGCAGGCATCCCAAACACGGCATCGTGGACTTGTAGAACTGATCTGAAATTAGGGGCTCATGCCAAGAGACACTGGGAGAGACAACTTTCAGCTATCTCGTCTTCATGACCCAGCTGGCCACAGACTGGATCTTGGTCTTGATTCCGTCTATTATCGTGGTAGCAACGCGAATGAGGCGCCACCCAAAACTGCTAGCCACAGGCGTGCTAGGGTTTGGCATTCTTGCAAGTATCTCTGCGTGCTTCCGTGTGCCTTATTTGAGGTATAGGGACATGCATGAATATCCAGACGACTTCTTACGTGAGTTGTGTGCCCTGCCAGTGCATCTGATCCGATTCTGGCAACTATGACTAACCGAGATTGTGTTTGTATAGACCATCTAGGAGTTATCAACATGTCCTCAAATATCGAATGCGGTTTGGGAGTGATAGCATCTTCGCTGCCTCCTCTACACACGTTGCTCAGGTGTTGCGAATCATCTTCGAACGTACAGTTCACTGGCGGAGTAAGTGAAATATATATCCACAACACCCACATGCTGTCTCAATATATTGGACGAGGGTTTGGGATTTCAACTGACAGTATACATCAGAACGGGAGTTTCCTCAGGCGAAGACACCTTCACTCTGCACTCAAGCTTGACTCATTAAATAAGCATGCCGGTATGTACCACGCGTCGGCTTCACGCGCCTCTCGTGGACGAGAGCTCGATAGAGATGACGACGCTTCGAGCCTCAGAGGCATCATAATGAGAACAGAAGTTCGCGTCGTTTCGTCTTAGTGACCGTCGATAATCAATAATGAATAATACCCTCGAAGTTTGACTCGATGAAAACATGAACAGTCTTGGATTGTGTTTGTACGGCAATGCTTGCTTCCCTTGATGCTCCAATTAAACAACATGAAAGAATTGTCGTTTGGCCACGTTCAAGCTGCCGGAGCGGTGATGCTGCCCGCTCTGCCAAGTACACGGGCCCCGAGTACCTGCATTACAAGCACATAGAGCTCTACCTGGAGGCAGAGGCAGGGGCTGGCGGCGGCGGCGAGCCCCGTTTCCAGGATCTTCAGGCTGTCGTCACGCTCAAATATTACAAGAGCCACAAGGACAAGCACAACGCATCACAGGTCAAATACCTCCAGCCTCTCAATACTCAATCTATTCATATCTACCCAATCGCCTTACTAATAGTTCATACACTCCATAACGGCCTAGTCCACAGCACCACAATAGGGGAGGTTCTCACCCACACTACAGCCCAGTCTAACCTTCACATTAAGTGGAAGTACCCTAAAAGCCCTATCCTCACTGCCTTTATAAGGGGATCTAGCTGTTATAATATGGATACTATCTAGGATCTACACCTACTCGCTTCATAATAGCGCAATCCGGGACTTTACCCACCTGGACAAGGCTGCCGGGCAGGCTTCGTTGCCGAGTGTCGACAATACCAGGAGGTTTACAGGCCACACTTTCAAGACCATGCAACAAAGAGTCACGGAAAAGTATGCTGGTAATATCACCCACAACTTCTACAACGCAAGGGCCGAAAATAGGGGTGTTAACCACAACCAGGAACCAAAATTCGCCATCAGCGGCGGTGGGGAGGACTACTAGGACATGATCAAGAAGCCCATACAAGCCAGCGAGATCCAGGAATATATCGACAAGTGCAAGCCCGGCCGGGAGCCTGCCTCTTTAACGCACACTGGCAGCGAGCGGAGAACCATGGGCGACCACGTCCGGCGTAAGCGGGCCGCGGCCCTGGACGCAGAGCCAAAGATGGTGGCGCCAGCACCATCATCTCTCTATTCTGCACCCCCGGCGCCACAGCCACCGCCTCACTCACCACCCGCGAGAGGCATGCCGCCGACGGTCGAGGCTGGCGCAGAAGACGCATCTATCGCCGGTGCGTCATCATTGCCAAGCCCACACCGCAGCAGCCGCGTCAGTACAGCTGCCACCACCACTGCTGCTTCCGGTGAGGGGTGAAACTGCTACTGTTAGCAAGGACCTCGACTTCCTGTCCAAAATCGATCCGGCCCTTCTGGATGAGGGGACACTGGAGTCCCTCCGTGTGGACGACACAGACGTGGAGGCTCTCCAAGCCCTCATCAATCCCGGCGCCGTCGGGGTGCAGGAGGACGGGAATGGGGTAGAAGACCAGGCGGTCCTCGAAGGCGCGGCTTCGGGTCTTGCCGCCGCCCAAGGCAACGACATTGAGGAGGCTACCCGCGTGTTGTTCGGCCAGGATGAGCTTAATAGCTGGACGGCGTCCAAAAGCCACCCAGGGTGGATCGATACCTACGCAAGGTACAATGTCGTAAACAACCAAATGTTCGCCGGCTAGTAGAAGAAATTTTCTAAAGGGTATACGTCCTTTAATGATTCCATCGGCCGCTACTCAGTCAGGGGGGACTCCCACGATAAGCCCACGCCTTTCTTCTTCAAATACCGCCAGACCAAGGCTTGCGACTGCAGCACCATCCACACATGGACTCGCATGAGAATACCTGCAGGACGGAACTCGTCAAGGCGAGAACCGCGGATATACCTGATGCGGATTTCCTCAGATGCACCCACCCCGGTTGTACCTTCAAGACTGCTGGAGGCAAAAATGCTCTGCACCACCACATCAAGAGATTACACGACTACACCCCTCAGGCGTGTAAGGACTGCAATAACGGGGTCATCTATCAGACGGATAGTTTGCTTCGAAGACACAGGACCAAGGCGCACAGCGGCAGATGGCCCTCGGGTTGTCTCTTTCCTGGGTGCCATGAGATGCGACAGTTCGACGCATACGCTTCTCTGGTCCGATATCTACGTGGGAAACACGGCCTCTCGACACCGGAGTCCTATGCCCCGTACCTACCGCATACCGAAAAAAAGGAGTGGGTCAATCACGAGTGCGTCGTTGCGACATGTACCAACAAGACACAATTTGCCCGAAAAAAGGCTCTGGTTGCTCATCTCCGAAGCAAACATGAAATGAGCCTCAAGGAAGCGAATGAACTAGTTGATCGTGAGGCCCGTATAAAGACCGTGATGGTTGCTCCAAAGCCATATGCCATAGGGGCTAGCAGCAACGGTAACAAGAACAGGCCGAGTAACAAGCAGGCCTCTCTCGTGGCCCCCGGCAAGGAGAATGAACCACCGCCTGCTTTGGACGGCACCCAAGGACAGCCCCGTGGGGATACGGTTGGCGGTGCCGAGCCCAAGCCGAAGAAGCCCAGGGTCAAGAAGAGCTAGTCCTGGCTGCACAACAGCGGCGTAGGCACGGGCGGCGAGCATTGTTTGTTGATGAGCCCCGGGTGAGGATGGGGCTGCCTGCGTGTCTTCAATTAATATATTATTAAAGCTAGGGTGAATTTACTAGGAGGATTAACAACTAGTATTGCTCTCCAGAGAGGAATACAGACGGGAGGTTAGATAATAATTGTTGCTAACTTAATCAAAGGAGGGGGAGGGGAGGCGGATATTGTTGTATATGCTTGGCTGTCCAACTTAGTGGTTTCGTTTTTAATCCCCATACGTGTAAAATATACATGGCGCTTTATACAATAGTAAACGCTTAAGACCCAGTGTTTAAAGAAATATAGTGCTAATAACAGTGGAAAGAGAATATAGTATGTGGGTATGTGGCTGAGCCTCGTACTATATAGATAAGGCTGGAAGGCATCGCTCCCGACGGTACTGTACTAGAATTGTCGATATAAGTAGCTTAAGGGCTAATAGCTGGTAAAGCAGTCATACGGTGAGACTAGAATAGTCTCTCAAAATGGCCCCTATAAGAAGTGGCTGTCCAACTTATTAATTAAAAATAGTTAGGCGAGGGCTATATCAATTCACACGATCTTGCACACACCGCCCTTGTCAACAGAGATAGGAGTAACTAGTTTAAAAGTCGAGAATATAACGAATAGATAAACAGTTGCATAAATAATATAATGTGGCCGAAGCCCTGCAACTGATTAATCACGGCTTGGTTGCCGTGCAGCGTCGACTGATTCCAGTCCTCCGATGGATGAGACCACTCTGCGGTAGGTTCTACGGATGAGCGAGAGCGAGACAGAGAGCTCATCCTAAGAAATGAGACAACAACACTTAGGAATTGAGGCATGCGGAGTTTCATAGTCTGTGCAGCCATCGAGGTCCTGCCTAGTATCAATTTGTAATCGTCGTCATTGTTCATGGCAGCACGGGACGAGCCAGACCACCTCAGGCATCGTGCCCGGCATCGTGCCCTGTGCCGATCTGCCGTGTGCCGATCGAATTTCTAAAAGTGTTTGCTCATGTAACCCCACGGAGGCGCTCTTCACAGACTGCTCAAGTTTCGCAGGGCAAACCTCTTGTTTCGATCATGTGCTAAGACCATGCACAAGTCTTTGCAACGAAACCAGGCGCTGACTCTGCGCCACCATCTCCAAGTCCCCAAGTGCTAGGCATTGGACAACGCCAGACACAATATTCCGCCACGGACACGTTGATTCGCAGGGCCGTCTGGGCATTTGGGACCGGACGCCTGGGCATTTGAGCGCCCGGCCCAATTGCTTGTAGAGTTCAAACCCACTATTTCGCCAGATTTTTCGGACCAAAACGGCTGCGACACGAGCGAGATCGTCTGAACGGCAATTCTGATTCTTGTGTTGTTAAGGACTACGGACGAGGCTCATCAGGCTGGTTACCGGCCAGACGACGCATGGCCCGTGTCCCCGTCCTCCCGGTTTCACAGCTTTAGAACCCTTAACACTACACCTCTTGGGATGAATATGGGCTCGATCCCAATGGTGCAACACGCTCGTTTTCGGGAAATGCCAAGGCATAAAAAGGAAAGACAGTGCACGTGTGGCAAATGGGTATCTGGGTCTCTATAGAAATTTCCCAGAGGAATATATTACAGTCATTTAAATCCAGCATTGAGCAGCGCTCTGTTCATCCCTCACTTGTACGTACAATTTACAGAAGTCCTCGAATATTCAATTTTTAATTCAACGACCGGGTAAAAATCAACAACCCAAAGCAAAAGATCCCATAGCTTCAAACCACCCACATTTCAATTCTTCAACAGTCAAGACAACCAACCCCCTAGTCAACATGAAGTTCATCACGGCGACAATCTGTTTCCTAGCAGCCAGTGCCGTCGCACTGCAAGATCCACGTGCGCCAGTTGACAACATCCTGCCCCGAGCTGAGGCTGCATCCTCAACCGCCAAGGCCAAGGCCAAGGCAACAGGCGCCGCAGCTGGCGCGAAGGCATCGGGCGCAAAGGCACCGGCCGCAAAGGCAACCGGGCCGTCAAGAGCAGCCAGTGCAGGCGCTGCAAAGGCAACAGGCGCGGCCAAGGGCAAGGGCAAGGCCAAGGGCAAGGCCAATGCTGGAGCCCAGGCTGGAGGAAAAGGGAAGGGCAAGAAGGGCAAGAAGGCAAAGAACGATGCCTAGTTAAATCTGTTTCTGCGGGGGCTGGCTGGATCTATCCTTTCAGATATGACTTGGTGTGAAGACTGGCATTTTCCTTTCCTACGAGTATTAGAATTCCCTCCGGCACGGCTACGATATCAGCTGTTTGGCTCGCGGCGTTGTGGTGTTTATTGCTACCTAGGTAGTAATTCATTGTGTGATAACATAGGAGCCTGTCGTCAAGTACGAGTAATACAATGTGGTGTACCCGAATGATTTGATGGCACAGAAGCATCAAAATCTTACTTGTTACAGTCATGCATTTATGCTTTCAACCCCCGAGACTTGAATTGCACACACTTTCTGAAGTCGGACTTGAGCGTCTCGAGACCAGGGTTGGCACCTGGGGTATGTGTCGCGGGGGAATGCCGACGTCACCTGTCTTCCTTCGTTCATTGAGATCCGGTGCATCAGGTAAGAGTACAGTAGCCAACTGTGGACGGGCAGATGTATGTTGAAGGACCAATTGGTGGTATACACGAAGGAACACCACTGGCAGTGATTGCAAGCTAGTCTAACAACAAGAGTCCCACCATACTGCAGTGTGAATGCTGTTGTTGACCTCAGAATGTCGTTGATTTCTTGCCAGGTGAGGAACTTGCCGTGAGCGGTGACGGGGGAAGAGGACATGCATGGATCCCACATGCACCAGCCTCTGCCCAGGAATCGGGCTCACCGCGAGGGCCTGGGCACAACGCGGGGCAGGTCGTCCAAAGTTTCTGTGTCCCGATCCCGAGGCTCATTTCCTCCGCTCTGCCAAGTATTGAAGAGATGGAGTCGGTTGTGGAGGGGCGAGTCAGGTGTTCAATGCTGGGCCAGCCTGCCTGATTCTGCACGTCGAACCATTTACTGGCCGTATAACATGACGCAGAATATTTCTCGCTATTATTTGTGCAGAACTAATATCCGTGCTGTGAGCGATACTATAGTACTATGTAGACTAATAAGTGAATTACACAGTTAGTGGCTGGCTGGGGAAGCTGGCCCACCCCCCACGCCTTGGCAAAAGAAAGAGGCCGATGTTTAGCCATCGGGGCAGGGGTGGCCAAGTGGCCTGCATGCAGGTGCGTGATGGCGTTGATTGAGGCTTTTCGTGGGGAGACAGGCCTGATAGGGCCCATGCATCCCCACATTTCGGCATTCCAGAACTGGAGAGAGCGGGCAGGGCCACAGTGCTTGGCAGGGCAGGGGCGCCCCAGAACTCACGAGGGAGCGGGTTCTGCGGGTCTGCGGGTCTGGAGAAAGAGCAATCTGGGGCGCGGGTGGATTTATGCTGTCAGGCTCACCCCACCATCTCCGCGAAAACCCAGCCTGCCACTCGTTTCCTCGTTTCCTCTGCTGCCGCCGCCCTGCCTGCCTTCACGCATGCTGTTGGTGGTATGTGGTACCCTCTTGAAACACCCAGGCGGTCTGATACCCGTCAGGCATGCGTTTTCCACAGATTGCCATGGCAAAAGATGGCCATCTCGGGCGTGGGCGACGCACATGACCGCCACGGCATCGACGGTTGACGATGCAGGCGGAGAAATACACGAATACACGACTGCTCGCTTGGCCGTATCCGGTAAAGCAGGTGGGCTCCCACATCCCAAAGCCCCATCCTCTCGGCCCCTTTACGGCGCCACGAAAAACCACGCCGACGGTTCCAAGGCGTGGCCCCCGGACTTCTTCCACCCTCTGCTGTTGCATGACGACATCTCAACATGCCACTCCAAGTGCCGACCTCGTGCCCAGCGGGCCGACCTCGTCAGATTTTCCCCGGCCGTCTGTCAGATGTGATCGAGCATCACATTGACTAATAAGGTTATACCACGGGGTGGCCAGTGGTTACTACTCTGCTACTACACTACTACATAGTAGTACAGGTATACCCACATGCATGGGTGTCATGTCATGTCTGCCAGCGTGCCGGAGTCGCATTCAACCTGGCGATCCTGGGGTATGCTGAATCGCTGATTCAGGAACACCGGCGACGGCTGCGAGGGTGGCATCTCCTCCCGGCCAGGCACAGGAACAGCTCTGGGGTCTGCCGGTGCTTCCACCCGAAGGATATCAATATGCCCCACCCCCATTCCACGCCTCTGGGTTCCCCCACACAAGTCGACTGCGCTAGGGAAATAGACATCGGGCGACAGTTCGTCTCTCGTTCGGTCACCTCTGGACCGCGTACGCCCACTCCACCCCCAGTATCGAGTGACCTCAGTTCACCATCCCGGAGTCCTCGGCCCTTTTCCGTCCCCATCTGGGCACAGCTGATCTCTGTCGGTTTTCTGCCGCCTGGCCTCCCAGCCGGTACCCGCAAGGTCTGCCCGTCGACAACAATGTCACGCAGATCCAAGGGCCCGGCCATGCCAGGCCCGCATCCGGGGGCAGGAACCGCCCCATGGGTTGCACCGGAAGGCTGGGGGCGAGGCGACGATCGTGGGCTATACATCCATTTCTATAAAGACGTAGACGTCCCCCGCCTTGCATCAGTCTGTTCTCGTAGCCCTCCAGCGCGACCAGTCCTCCTCAGCTCGCCATCAACTCAACAGTCATGGCTTCGTCTCTGCTGCTGTCAGCTGCCCTGCTGCTTCCCGCAGTCCGCGGCCAGTTCTCCCATGTCCAGCCCTTGAACACCACCATCATCGGCCAGTACGGCCATGTAGAGCCCGTCTACCCTTCACGTGAGTCTTGATACGCCCCCCACGGTATCCCTCGCCTTGCTGACCCGTCTCTTTCAGCAAATGCCACTGGTATTGGTGGTTGGGAGGACGCTATGGCCAAGGCCAAGGCCTTCACGGCCGAGCTCACCATCGAGGAGAAGGCCAACATGGTGACTGGCACTCCCGGACCTTGTGTCGGCAACATCCTCGCCATCCCTCGTCTCGGCTTCCCTGGCCTCTGTCTCATGGATGGCCCTCTGGGCATCCGTGTCGCAGACTACGCCAGTGTCTTCTCTGCTGGTGTCTCTGTTGCTTCGTCTTGGGACAAGGAGATACTCTACGAGCGAGGATACGCCATGGGAGAGGAGTTCAAGGCCAAGGGTGCCCACGTCTTCCTTGGGTAAGCATTCTTCCGTTTCTCTCGCGAGATGGCTTTGCCAGACCAAGACTAATCGTTGTTGTGCTCAGACCCGTCGCTTCCCCCATGGGTCGATCTGCCTACTCCGGACGTAACTGGGAAGGCTTCTCGCCTGACGCTTACTTCACCGGTGTTGCCATGGAGAAGACTATTCTGGCTGTGCAGGCAAACGGTGTGCAGGCCTGTGCCAAGCACTTCATCGCCAACGAGCAGGAGACCCAGCGTAACCCCACCTGGGACCCGAACGGAACCCTCACCGACGTCCTCCAGGAGTCCGTCTCATCCAACCTCGACGACCGCACCCTCCACGAGCAGTACCTGTGGCCCTTCGCCAACGCCGTCAAGGCCAAGGTCGCCTCCATGATGTGCGCCTACCAGCGTATCAACGGTACCTACGCCTGCCAACACTCCCACCTTCAGAACGGCGTCCTCAAGGGCGAGCTCGGCTTCCAGGGCTACGTCATGTCTGACTGGGGCGCGACGCACTCTGGTCTTTCCAGCATCGAGGGCGGTCTGGACATGAACATGCCCGGTGACCTCGGAAACTACGGCGCGACCTGGGGAAGCGGCAGCTACTACGGAGGCAACATCACCCTGGCCGTCAACAACGGCACCCTTGACGAGACTCGTGTCGATGACATGATCGTCCGTATCATGACACCCTACTACCTCTTTGGCCAGGACTCCGCCGAATTCCCCACCATCGACCCCTCTACTGCCTACCTCAACACCTTCTCCCCGATGTCGACCTGGAGGGACGAGTTCAACCTGACCGGTGCGTCCAGCCGTGACGTCCGCGGCAACCACAGCGAGCTTATCCGCAAGCACGGTGCTGCCGGTACCATCCTCCTGAAGAACGAGGGTGCCCTGCCCCTCAAGGCCCCCAAGAACATCGTTGTCTTCGGAAACGACGCTGCTGACGTTACCAACGGCTTGTACGGCGATAACACCGAGGAGTACGGTACTCTCTACGTCGGCGGCGGCTCCGGATCCGGCCGTGCCACCTACGTCGTCAGCCCTCTCGAGGCCATCAAGGCCCGTGCCGCTCAGGACAACGCCCTGGTGCAGTACGTCCTCAACAACACCTTCGCCATCAACAACCTGGGCAGCTCCGGCGAGTCCGGCGCTCTCGGCGGTGTGCTCCTGATCCCCGACGCCCCCGATGTCTGCATCGTCCTCGTCAAGACCTGGGCTGAGGAGGCTTCCGACCGCACCAACTTCGACCTGGACTACCAGGGCGCCGAGCTCGTCAACGTGGTGGCCAGCAAGTGCAACAACACCGTCGTGGTCAGCCACTCGTCCGGTATCAACATGCTCCCCTTCGCCGACCACCCCAACGTCACCGCCATCCTGGTTGCCCACTACCCGGGCCAGGAGTCGGGTAACTCTCTCGTGGACATCCTGTACGGCGACGTCAACCCCTCTGGCCACCTGCCCTACACCATCGCCCTGAACGAGACCGACTACAACGCGCCCGTCACCACCTCCGTCCAGACCGACGGCCCCGACGACTGGCAGTCCAACTTTGACGAGAAGCTCGAGATCGACTACAAGTACTTTGACGCCCACAACCTCAGCGTGCGCTACGAGTTCGGCTTCGGCCTGAGCTACACCACCTTCGAGCTGGCCGACGCCGCCGCCGAGGCCACCGCCGAGGGCATCACCTCGGCCCCCGAGGAGAACGAGCTCCAGCCCGGCGGCAACCCGGCCCTCTGGGAGACCGTCTACAACGTCACCGTCGCCGTCAGCAACACCGGCGAGTACGACGGCGCCGCCGTGCCCCAGCTCTACGTCGCCTTCCCCACCGGCGACCCCGCCCTGGCCGGCACCCCGCCCCGCCAGCTGCGCGGCTTCGAGAAGGTCGGCCTGGCCGTCGGCGAGACCAAGACCGTCGCCTTCGAGCTCATGAGGAGGGACCTGAGCTACTGGGACGTCGTCTCCCAGGAGTGGCTCATCCCCGAGGGCGAGTTCACCCTCCACGTCGGCTTCTCCAGCCGTGACCTGAGGGTCGCCACCACCATCACGCCCGTCTCGGCTTAGGCGGTGTGAGGGAGCTGGAGGGAGGAGTAATTTCCTGTAATGAGCTTATGATTGCATGTCTGTACATATTAATTGATGTAATCACAATGACCCCGCGACGTGTTGAAACTTGTGAACTTGAACTTGGCTTGTAAAGCTTCGATGAGAGCTATTTGAATGCAAATTCCCACTCGTGGAGCACCACTTGCAACCTGTGATTCGAGAAATTCTGCTAGGTGAGATAGAGTGAAATCTCGTCAGTTTCCCTGGACATTGAAATTCCACCTCAGGGTGCGTCTCCCTGTAATCGTTGGGCCACGGCCTTGTCTACTTTGGCCTGGATGATCTGTTGCTCGACCATAATTCTTTCATCGGTGTCGAAAACATATTTGCTGCACGAGCAGCTCCATTTCCTGGGCCCATCCCCATACAACCCTCCATAGATGAGACCAAGGGCCGTCCATTTATCTCCATACTCGTCGTCTTTGAGAACGAAGTCGGGATCCGCACCGAGTCGCAGAAGGTACGAGATCCGGTCCCACTCTTCTCGCAGACAGGCCATGGCAAATATTGTCCAGCCACCGTCGCTGGATTTCCAGACCGCATTGATATCTGCGCCGAGGTTGATGTAGCGGTCAACGAGGTGGTAGTGTCCCTCGTAGTACGCGAGGAGCAGCGGTGTCAGTCCCTCGTGGCCACCTTCATTGATGTCGACGACATTGTTGTCCAAGATGTAGTTGATGACATTCTCCTGCTTCAGTCTGGTTGCTGTGTGCAGAGCGTTCCATGGACCTGCTTCGCCAGGACATGTTCCTCGCGGGTCGGCACCTCGTTCCATGAGTAGTATCGCCGTTGACTGGTGGCCACGACACAGGGCCAAGTGCAGAGGGGCCCAAGCAAACTCACTTTCAAGGTCCATGATGTAACTCTCATCTTCCGCACCCCCGTTGCACGAAAGTGGAGGGAAGTTCAGGCCAACACAATTCTCGCCGTTGGCGCAAGTGCATAGACCTTTGCCTGGCTGCTCAACATCGGCACCGTGGTCCAGCAGAAAAGTGACCATGTTGTCGCTACCAAGAGCTGCTGCAAGTGCCAGTGGCGTGAAGATGGAAAGAGGATTCCAGTCGAAAACCACATTCCAGGCATCCAGGGTCTCCTTCTGCTCCACGTAAGCCCAAAACATCCCGTCGTCGTTGATGTCGGCGCCATTTTCCAAGAGCCTCGTGATGGTACCGAAGCGTCCGCGCTCAACTGCCCATATCACTGCATTCATTTCAGTCAGCGATGGCTTGTTTGTACTGTGTGTACCACTTTGGAAACGGTTTGGCTTACAAGCAATGCCAGCATTCTCCTTGAGATGCTTCTGGTAGAGGATGGGATTGGCGAGGATGTAGCATCTTCGACAAGTGGCCGCGAGAGCTGCAAGATCGCCCGTCGACAGGCTGCCGTTCTCGACTACCAGGCAGAGGAGTTCGGCGGGCAAGCGGGAAAGGTGATCTGGCGCTTCAGAAGCCATGTTGGCGCAGGCTCTTCAGGCGACCATGTATCACGAAGTATGTGTTGAGAATCGTTGGGCAGTATTCGATGTTCAGCGTTGTCGTTAACGCGCGAAGGTAGAGAGTTGGCTTTTGTGCCCGGACTGACATCTCTGCCTGTCAAGTTTGAGGGCGGGTTTGTCCCTTCCAAAGTCGTTTGCATACTGGGACATGGCAGGAGGTAGGCACGAGCTCCACCCAAGCTGCGTCCACCACTGGTGCCTGGGAATGCACGCGTCGGACTTTGGCAGTTGGGAAGTACCTGGGTACCTAGGCAGGGACCACCACTTAGAGCTCTGTCAATTACCACTTCCGTAAAGCTTCTCATCTTTCAGCGTCGTTGTTGAAGCCTCTTGACATTCACTCTTCCCTCACAACTTGAAGGCATCGTCAGTCTCCAAATGTACCATTGCATCTCTACACACGTTTCTTTCCATTTTCTTGCTTGGTGACCAGTTGACCAATCATTAAATGCAATCTTGCTGAGAGAAACCTAGTCCTTTTTGCATGTGTGCTGTTCCCGACTACATGCAGTATTTTGGGCCCAATGCGACGCTGCGGACACATCTCGTTGACAGCCGTCAGACTGATTAAGAGAACCAGACTTTTCACGGTTCTAGAAACGTGCGCAGTGTGGCTGATTCGCTCGATCCTCGCAACCAGACTTCTGAAGTGCATGTCATCATCGCCAGGTCGCTTCGAAAGGGCAAAGGATGGCCGGCCACTCGGATCATTCTGCCCCCTACAAATGCAGGTAATAGTTCGCAGCCCCAAACTCTTGACCTTGCCTGAGCTGTGACGGTGTTTGGCTCGCTTAGCCCGGCTAAAGAGCGTGGCATGCTGCAGGGCCAATATCTGCCTTAGTGGCCTAATATGCGACTCGGCGCGGGCCTTGCCATTCGGTCCTTTGCGGCACGCCAGAGCCTGCACATATTCGAAATCACTTCCTGGGTCCCTCCCCGACGTCGTCGCCCAGAACTGAGCTCCCGAGGTCCAACGTCCCATGGTTAAGGGCCTCGCCAAGTCATCGATAGCGTGGCCTCCCACCCCATTTCAGCCGCAGCGGGGGACCGGCCTTCGGGTCATCGGGACGGGCAGTGAGGCTATTCGCTTGGTATGCCGCATGCGAGCTCTACTATCGTCTTTTAGATGCTCGTCTCACACGCCGCGCGTTCCTTCCTCTGTAATGCAGTCATGGGTGTCTGGGTCCAGAAGGCGAGTGCGTCCGCCTTGGGTGTCTTCTCCGTGCCTCCCCTCGCCGGCCAGTCTCACCGTCCGGGCCCAGACCTTTTCCATGCTTTCAGGCTTGTGACCACAAGGTGACTCGGATGCAGTGTGCTGAGTCTTTGCTTTCCGTGCTCGCATAGACTATAACAGCAGTCTTTTGCCTATGAAAAAGTCCCTAGAGTTGTCTTACACTCGTTTCACACGTATCTCCACTCAAACAGCTCACCTAGTATATCCGTCAGAACGTCTGGTTCTGAAGACTGGTGCCTCAAGATGCACCTCCGCTCGTTTCATCCTGCTATATTAGCAGCAGCCACTGCCTCCGCAACCAAGATCCTTCTGCCCTTGTACATCTATCCAATCCCACTGGATAGGTGGGGCAGCATTTACAACGCCATTGAGACACATCCGTCCATCGACTTCCAGATCGTCATCAACCCAAGTTCCGGACCCGGCGGGTCAACTCCAGGATACAACAACCACTGGATCTCAGCCGTCTCCAAGCTGCATGCCTACGAAAACGTAGACACCTTGGGCTACGTGCGGGTCGGCTATGGGGCCAAGGCGCTGGCCGACATCACCACGGACATAACCAACTGGGATGGGTGGAATCACTACACGGCAGCAGATATTACACTCGATGGGCTCTTCTTCGACGAGACCCCTAATTGGCAAGGCACAAAGGGTGCAAACGATGTCTCTTTTATGCAGCAGCTCGCTGAGCTGGCAGACCGCGGTGGGTACAGCAAGGTCTTCAACCTCGGGCAGGCTTCCAATCACGACGAGTACTTCAGCATCGCCGACACGGTCGTCATCTTTGAGAACTCGGCCGAGTGGTATAATGACACCGTGCTGGCCACGGCCGCGGCAAAGGGCGTCGCAGACAGGTCCGCCGTGCTCATCCACCACTTCGCGACAAGCGGGTTGACTTCGGGATACGCGGTTAGGTGGGTTGTGGACATGGTTCGCAAGGGTCTCGGGAGTTTTGCCATCATCAACTCGGACTGGAACAATGCAAACTCGGATGTGGCGCCGATGGGGATCGGGATACTGGCTGACATGCTCGAGTCGGTTCAGGGTTATTGACCTTGGAGACCAGGGTGTCTTGATTGTTTTGATAAGATAAACTAAGTAGATAGTCTTTCTACACAGTTGTACATCGGCAGCCTCCCGAAAGCCAAATTAGGATTTTGCTGACTTGCCTGCATTGAGATAAGGTCCGAGTCTTGGCCAACCTTGAAACCGGGATCGCGGCCAACAAGTGATCGCTTGCAATGATGTCAGAACCTTAAAAAGTGCCGACAATGCTCAGGTGGTGGCACTTCTCGTCAGATATCATCCATCGAAAAGCCGACTCCGTTCGATCCAATTTAGTGAGGTTTAATCAAGAATAGAAACGGCCTGGTACCGAAGATCGCACGCTCGTTCATGAATGAATTTGTGAAGGGCTCAACTGAACCGTGAGACGGGAAGAGCAGTAACCGGCCGGCGCCGATAAATCATTCCGACTCCGCTCCTGAAATCGATGCACAGATCGAGATAATAAAGGAACGGAGATCTGATAATCAAATGGGCATGGCCAGTGACTCGGGGTGCGGGCGAGTAAGGAGTCCGTTTATGGAGCAGAGACCCACCTGTGCGACTTGGCCTTGGCGGCCTAAGATGTACACTGGCAGCCATGGAGGCTTCACATGAAATTAGAAGCCAGCATTGGACAAGTTGAGACCTCGGGAAGCTCCATAATCAGGGCGAGCGCGACGTATCCACCACGCCTATACACTACGCCACGATATTCTCAATTTTTCAAGCAACACCAGCCTACTCCTGACGCCCGAGAGCCCGACTCCGTCCCAAAGCCCCTTTCTCGAAGACATTATAAGTATATCTAGGTGGCGTCCTCGTTAAGGTCTCATTGGATCCAAATTCATCACACACCAGCTTTTTACCCCACTACCCCTCTCCTTATCACTCTCCTGAGTCTCCTTAAAGACTTGCACATTATCCACATTACCCACATTACCCACATCGCTCACATCACTCACATCACTCACATCACCCAAGCTCACAATGTCAACACAAACACAAACACGCAAGACCACGGTCCTCATCGGAGGAAGTGGCCTCACAGGCCTCAGTCTCGCGCTGATGCTGCAGCATCTCGGAATCCCTTACCTCCTCCTCGAAGCCTACGGCAGCTGCACCCCTAATGTCGGAGCCAGTATCGCCGTCCAGCCCAACGGGCTCCGAATCTACGACCAGCTGGGCATACTCAAGGACATTCAAGCAGTCTACCAGCCCGTGAAGCAAATGCTGAGCGTTGACGCAGAAACGTGAGTCTCAATTTAAGCCAGACCGGGGTTCGGATAACTGACGTGATTCAAGCGGCAAATTACACGACCTGGGCATAGCACCAATCTTGAAAGAGAGGCATGGCTACGAGACCGGCTTCTTCAACCGTTACGACCTGCTCTGTGTTCTGCACAAGAACATCCGGGAGAAGGACCGCCTCCTTGTTAACCAGAAGATTGTCCGTGTCGACAACTTCAAAGACAGAGTGGTCGTTCAGACCAAGGCCGGAGATGTGTTCGAGGCGCAGATGCTCATCGGTGCCGACGGCGTCCGCTCTACTGTCCGTAAGGAGATGTGGAGGGACGCCGAGGAGTCAGGCGCTGAGATCCCCAAGGAGGACAAGAAAGGTCAGTGTAGAGCCGGCTGCATCAGCCTCGTCACATTTGTTCTCGCAATGATCCAGTTCACTAACGCACACGCGCAGAAATCATCTGTGACTGGGCCACATGTTTTGGTGTGTCCGACTACGGGTCTCACCTACCACGGGGTCAAGCCGGCAGCGTTGCAGGGCAGGACTTCACCGCCGGTTGGATGGTGGGCAAAGATGGACGTTGCTTGTATGTTCGGACACCTTCAACTTGGACCCTTTTCGCCACCCTGGGGCAAGCATCCTTCCGATACCTCTACTAACCACAGCATCATTTATAGCACCTTCTGGTTCTACAAGCTCCCGCAGGAAACCCGCATGGTCGACCATGACAACATCCCCCGCTTCAGCGAAGAGGAGCATGAGAGACAAATTGCCCGTGCCAAAAAGATCCTCGCTCAGGTCCCAAGGGACAAGGGACTCAACGTCGACTTCGACAAGCTGTATGACCAGAGAGATCCAGTGCATTCCGGCGTCACCGCCTTGCCTCACTTTTGTTTGAAGAAGTGGCACCACGGCCGCACTGTGGTCATTGGAGAGTAAGTCGGGCTTCCCAACCCGTAAAAACATCATCTGCTAACACCACGACAGCTCCTCGCACAAGTTCAACCCTCTCCCCGGCCATGGCGGCATGAACTGCGTGGTCTCGGCAGCAACGCTCATCAACTGCCTGCAAGAAGCCCTGGGCGATAACCTCCAGACCTCGAACGTCTGGGACGCGGCACCGTTGGAAGAGGCCTTCACCAAGCTGGCCGAGACGCGGTACAAGACCGTGACCGAGGCCGTCGGGCTGTCCGAGAAGGCGATGTGGACGATGGGATGGGGCACCACCTTCTCCAAGCTCATGTACAAGGTCCTGGTGCCGACCCTCCCCAGCTCCATGCAATGCGCCGACGCCACAAAGGTTATCAAGACGGGCGTGGCGCTCCAGAAGAACTGGGACGCACCCAACGTCCCGAAGCACTCGGTACTGTTCGACGACGAAGAGAAGCTCCAGAAGAGGACGAGCTCTGGGGCCCTCTCCCCGGCGGCGCTCGTGTTCGCGGCCACTGCAGCAATCGGAGGAATCATGGCGCTGAGGGCTACGCGGGAGCACCCGGAGCTTCTGGCCAGCGGCTGGAAAACGCTGCAGTCCGTGGTTGCATAAGTAGCCCCGGGGAGTTTGGAACCGACTCCCCATTGCTTAATCTTCCTTTTCTGTCGTGCTTGGTGTTAGGACGCGAGGTTGTACATATTGCGCGAGCTGGACTCACACAGCCCTGCATTGGCTTGTAAATATTTTAAGAGGCGGAGTTCACATGGCGTTTCCCTTTTCCACTCATAATAGACAGAATTTAGACAAATAGATAAATACTTAGAACATGGTTTATAGCCCACAGTCCGATGCAAGCAACGCATACTTCAAGTTCTTGAGACCGTCTCAATCAAGAAGTGATATTTGTAAAATTTCATCCGGTCTCTGCTCAAAGAAGATGGTGGAAGAATGGATATATATATATATACAAGAAGTCATGTATGTCCTCAGACATATATAGAATAGAGGCGAAACCAGATACACAAGAAATGAAATGTGGCACACGGATGATCGAACAAGCTTTGTCCATACTCAGCACGGTCCCATCCTGCGCGTTGTCACTTGATCGCACCCGCACTGCGAGCTTCGTCCGGTCGCCACCATCAACTCGACTGGTTTTGTCACATCTTGGCCCAGCAGCACCACGTCGGCCCCATGTCATCCAGACAGCTTGCCTAAACACTGTTGTAAACCGCAACGTACTCGACGAACATGGTGCCAGACGCCGCCGTGCTAGCAATAGGCGTCGTGCTCCCATACACATTGTTTGGGAACGAGCCGCCGATAGCGAGGTTGAGCAGCACAAAGTACGAGCCGTGAACAGCGTTAGCCCAAACGGTGGCGTCGCCGACCTGCGCCGCGGTCACCGTGTGGTACAGCGTGTCGCCCAGGTACCAGTGGATGGCCTCGGCCGAGGGGTTGGTGCGGTCTACCTCGACCGTGTAGGTCAGGTAGTTGCCCTGCATCGCCGGCGAGGGGACCGTGTTGCCCGAGAGCCCGTTGGTCTCATCGCATGGGCCGCCCGGGTTCACGCCGCAGTGGAGCGTGCCGTACAGCCTGTTCACGGCGTTGACGTTCTCCATGATGTCGAGCTCGCCGATTTGGGGCCAGTTCCTGACGAGGGAGAAGGTGGTATTAGCATGGACCGGTTGGGGAGTTTTGTTCGTGGTGGGGATTCGCAAGACGGGTGAGTGTCTGCTCATATATCACTCACTGGTAGTTGCCACGGAACTGCGCGCCGAGCGCCCAGAACGCCGGCCAGTATCCGACGCCGTTCTGGCCCAGCGGCGGCAGGTTCAGGCTGCCGACGATGCGCATCTTGCCCCCGGCGGCACAGGCAAAGTCGGTGCGCTGCGTCTCGATGCGGGCAGAGGTCCACGCGCCCGAGGCGTCCCTGCGGGCGGTGATGCCGAGGGTGCCGTTGCCGGTGAGGGCCAGGTTCGCGGCGCTCGAGGTATACGTCTGGATCTCGCCCGTGCCCCAGTTGGCGGCGCCGCCCGGGTACGAGGTCCCCGTGGAGAAGATCCAGTTGGCCGTGTTGGGAAGGCTGTTGGCCGTGCCGACGAAGTCTTCTGACCACGTCAGGGTGAAACCTGGGATAGTGGGCACGGCTGCCTGGGAAAGGGGCAGGCCGGCTGCTGCGAGGAGGGCAAGAAACTTAGAGTAACCCATTCTGTTTGATACAATTGGAAAGTGAGAGCGAGTGTTGGTGAAGAGAAGAATAATATAAAGACGCAGGTACAACCTGTGTTTCGAAGGAGGCTGAAGAGAAAGAAGCCTGCAATGGAAAGAGGGAACAGAAGATGAGTGAGCGTTGAGCTTGAGGCAGTAGAAGGCATTTTGACACTCTCGAGGGAAATTCCAGTGGTTTATATGGACGAGAGCTTCCTGCGTCTTCCAACATGTGCCCCAGTGCTAAGGGCCGTTGAGGCTATCACCAAGACAAGAGTAGCCACTCTCGGGTCCCAAACATATTGCACACCTACAAGGGTAGCTCGCCATGTGGCCCGTATATGATGCTTGTCTACCCCCACAATAACAGACAAAGAGAGATCTGTTATATGATTCCCCGCGTTTCCAAACGACTACCTGCCCAGCTCTAGACATCCTGCTTGAAAGAGCCCCACAAACCGTGGCCTTGGGGGCAATTTCGACCCTGGATGCCGGGGACTAAGCGCCGCCATGAGGGGCAAGAAACGGCCCGTTTGACAAGAACAATATATTCCTCCACGGTAGCTCCAGAGCTTATTCAGATTGGTCAAGGGCTGGCTTGCTTCTGAGTAAGAGAGTCCGCGGAAGCACAATTCAAGTTGCTGCCGATGGCGCCACCATAGTAACGCCGAGCATATTAAAAGCCTGGAACGAGTCCGAGAGTTCTCGACTAGGCCCGGTCGCCAGAAAACCGTTCAAGTTGTGCTTGCGGGTCGGGGTGCCCTGCCCAGCGCGTCTGACAAGCCCACGGTGCCGAATCCAAAAAGTCGGGTTCTACAATATTGTCCAGGAGCAAGCTGGGTAAAGCAAAAAAATAAGAAGCGAGCCGGCCGACGGCACGCCGTTGAACCACTGCCATGCACCTGGCGTATGGAAGCACTCAAGCTCATGTCCAAGAACGGCATTGGTGACGGATGTGACCACACATAACGACCCAAGCCGCGGGACTCAGGTTGGATTCGGCAGAGGGTGCCTGGGTAGCGCGCGGCTGATGTGTGGGTGAGAGTCGTGGCACGACACGACATCATCCTGGACAAGGTCGGCGCCGCACCGCACCCAGGAATACTAGAGGTGGTCGAAGCCGATTCGACCACGATCCGGCCAAAAGAGATCATGTTTCGAGCCAACAGCACCACTTGGAGAGCGAGGTCTGTCTTCGGGCAGCTGGCCTGATTCGGCACGCGTGGTCGGCCGAGACACAACAGCTGGCCATGGGATCCCTGCAGCCGCCCCTGGGCTTTCCTCAGTTATTCAATCTATCTGATGGGTTGGCCTCGGATGACAGCCCGGGTTGGAGGAGGGTAGGCTGACCTCGGAGATCGACATGGACGGGTTATTATGCTTATCTTGCACATCCTTCCTACCCATCCCAGTTGCTTGGAGGTGTTTGCCAACGATTTCACTAGGAACCGAACCGGTTCATGTGTTAGTCTCTTGAGCGGCCCTGCCGGTTAACGCGCTCTGTATTCATTTTATACCAATGTGTCGTGCCTGTTGTATTCAGTTAAAAAAGCCTGGACCCGGCTCAGAGTACAAAGTGAATCGTAATTTGACGACACTGGGTTGACATCTGCGTAGAACACAAAAATAATTGATATGACCAAGTTGTCATGCGGATTCGCAATCCGCCCTACTGTCAAACAAAACAGCACCATGACTCGGAGTTCTCGCTCTCGCTCATTCGACGTATATTCAGACAGCATAGTATAGTCCACACACACACCCCCTCCAATCCAAACATTCAAAATTCAAAATTCTCGACATTTACCCTTTTCGGCCCACTCCCCGCCCCCTGCGGTATGGATATTAAGCCGAACGCGGCCCTTGGCTCGGGTTCGGGATGTATGGGCGGTAATACTAACAACAGTACCTAGGTAGGGGTATGTTCCTGGTGCCAGACCGGGGTGGGCTGGGAGCAAGAAACCCGGGGGGCAAACCGCCAGGTCCTAGCGCGAACGATCAGCTATGAAGCTCGCGCCTGGCAGCTGTCGGCTTGAGGCTGCCGGTGGGTGATACCTGAGGTGATGGCAGGCGGCGCCGGGATGATGGGTCCACGGGATCTGTTCGCGCAGTTCCCGTCTTGCCGTCTTCGGGCCTTCTTTGGTGCACGGGGCAGTTTATGGTTTTGTTTTCTTTCTGTTGTCTGGAACCCAGCGGGGGTTTCATTTGCGGAGTATCATGGGGTGATGATCTGCGGCCGTGGTTGACCTCAGGTCACGGGAACTTGGTCGTGGTCAAAGTGGTGATGTGGTCTTCCAAGTTTGTGGACAGAGGTGTGTGCAGCACGGTCCTATATTCTCGGCCCATCTCGGGCCTTCAGGTTCAGGCTACAAAGCTTGAATAGTCAGTCCTCCTGGGATGTGTTGAGGGCTGTAGATGTGATATTCCAGGGGTGATTGCATACCAGAAATCTGATGGTCCCAGTGGCATCTTGGTCAGATCTGAATAATCCTTTTCAGCTTGTTCAAACAGCTTTTGGGGACGTCCCAATGTTGACTCGCCTGGGCGCCAACCTGAAATCCATTCGGTGGCCGGGCTCTCGGGTAGAGAATCCATGTGAGGTCTACTGCACTGATGATGATGGAAGTAAACTTTGACATCAATCTCATTACTTGGGATCTTGCAATCCTCCGAGGTTATTACATCAGTCTCCCCAAACGTCTCCCCCTGGCCTGACCTCGTCAAGAGCAACCGTCAGTGTTCTTGCAACACTCAAAAGTGAGTTCCTTCAATTTAGACCCCGACAAACCCGTCCCGCGAAATCGTAGCGGTGAACTTTTCCTTGTCCAGCCCCAGTGTTATTTAGGCTCATCCACAGAGGAAAATCCTCGCTCCATACTCGTCACCTTGTCCAAGTTGGTCCTATCCTTTACCCTAGAGATTCCAAACAGTCCCTTACTCGTAAATGCCCAGTTCGCTAATGAAAAATTAAAATCGCAACAGCAGGTACTGTGGTGGTAGGCCGTCGAACAAGCCCGGGTATCTATACACACTGAAATCCCTCTGGCAATGTTCGGCGAAAACGGTCGCCAAATCCGAAACCCCTCGCTAGCAATGATGGCACTGGCCATGCATGATCATATGATCGAAGCAGGCCACATATCGGTGGAATATCCCCCGGTTGAATCAGACTCAATGAAAGGCAACGAGGAACCTCATCTCGTAAGGCTCCCCGAATCGCTCGATGTTTCTCAGCGCCGGGGCCACTGTTTCAAAACGAAGCCATTCGTGTGGCCGAAAAGCCCACTGGATAACTAATGGAAGAGCAACACATGGTCCAAGATGGCCCAGTCATGGTGCTGTGGAGACTTCTTTCTTTCGTTATGAGATGAGCCCGCGCTCCTCCGACGCCGAGTGGTCAGATAAACCACGGCGCAGCAGTGTCGAAGCTCATCAGCTCCCACCACTTCAGCGGCTTGGTTCGGTCGCCGTCTGCCTGGAGGTCTTGCTGCTTCCAGTACTTCTCGATCAGATTTCTCAAGACAAAAACATTACCGATCTTGCGATCTGCATCCATGCGGTCGAGTGTCCGCAGGATCATTATTCTCTGATCGTCAGCCTGCGACTCGCAGGCGACAACAAACAATGGCCATGGGCTCGTGCAGATATCTTGGTTTGCTAGAACTCTGAAACCTGCCTGAAGCCACATTGGGGTCTGGTTTGTGGCGTCGATGTTGGGGCAGACGGACCGCAGGTACAGCACCGCAGCGATGCGGTAGAGCTCTGCTGTCAAGCGGACCTTTGTCTGCTCCCTGATCGACTGGTTTTCGATCTCCGGTGGCAGTCGTTGGTTGAGTCTGCTCAGTCTGTCTTGCAGGCCCTGACATGTCCACATGACGGACGGGAGCTCGGACCTGCCGCTCTTCTCGTGGAACTTCTGTGCAGCCGGATATCGCAGCTGGTTGATGTGGTGAACAATTTCCATGATCTCGACCGAGCACCCAAGGGAGCCTACAATCAGGGTCCTGTCGACATCGCTCCCCTGGAGCAGATCCAGTGATGAAGCACCCTCGTAATTGTGCTTGTGTGGCTGACTGAAAGAGCCCAGTATTTCATGGTATAGGAACCAGGTGTTGAGAAAGTCGTAGTCGAGTGCGCCGCCTCTCATGTCGGCATAGCGGTGCAGTAAGCTTCTCGAGCCGTTCAGGTGGAGATGCCATTTGCCCTCAGCCTCGTCAAAAACCTGCAGAGGTCAGCCCGGGCCTATGACGAGGGCCCATGATTGGGGGAAACGAGGAGCGGGCACTTACGTTGTACACACATAGCATCATAGAGGCGGCGAGCTGGGACTCGATGGGCACATCGGCTGACGACTCCTTCTCCAGGGAGTGGGACAAGAGCCGAAGGGCCTGAATCTTGTAGGGTAGGGCAGCCCCAAGGCCGTGACGGTGGTATGCTGACAGGGCGAGGATGGCCATGCGGAGACCCTTGGCGGCAAAACTGGAGCCATTGACGGCTATGGGTATGAGCTCATGGCGGAAGCCGTTGTTGGCATCCACGGTGGAGATCATGCGGGAGATCTTGTGCTCATCTGGAGGCGTGGTCAGAGGCTTGGGCAGGGAGAGTCAAGGAGTGACGGGGATGGGGATTCGACAACTCACAATAGGCAAGCAATTCGGCCTCGTGGCCGACCAGATCGGGGTGAAGCCTCAGTGCCTGCTGAGGGCGGGCGTGGTGGTCCTGGAGGGTTAAGGTGCTGACATCCTGGCGGTTCTGCTCGATATCGTCGAATGAAATGTTGAGGAACTGCTGTCCGTAATACAAACCGGACGCCTGCAGCTGGCCGTGCGAGTGCTGCAGGGAGAGTTTGGGTGATTTTCTGCGGCCATCTGGTATGTCGGGCCAAACAAGGCGGAGGCCATATCCCATGCACTCTCGGCCCGTCCTCACGCAGTTGTTGCATGAAGGCAGACCTTTATCACACCCGATTTTCCTTTCTATTCGCGCGAGTACGAGCCGGGTGTCAGCAGGAGCCCGGATTTGGCAGCCAACAAAGACGAAGTCCAACCAGATGCGAAGGCGGATCGACGGCAGCAAAAGATGGGTGGAGAAGGGGCAGGGACCACCAGCGCAGGGGAAGGGGGAAAAACATATTAGATCAGATCGGATCAGATCAATATCTGACCCCAAGTGTGCGGCCAAGTCAGGGGTGGCAGTGGAAGAATAAGGCAAGGAGTGATATTGCAGAGACGAGACCCGACACCGGCACCAGCACCAGCACCAACACCAACACCAGCGCCAACACCAACGACAGCCTCAACACCAAACAGGATGACACAAAAGCAAGAACAACAACAGCAGCAGCAGCACCAGCAGCGACGACAAAACAAGTAAGCGTCGGGGCAGACAGGGGCGATTACTCACTCTTGCATGTCCAGCAACCCTGGCTTGCTTGGCCAGCCCTCATGGTTGTCAGTGTGTGCTGGTCCGAAACCATGGGGAAGAATTGTCTGTCACAAGTTGGGGATTGTTGGGGACTGGCGGCGGAGGTTGTGTGATGGGAGACGGGGACGGAGACGAGACAGCGCTTGAGATGTAGTGTTCTGGTCTGGCGAACGGATTTGGGTTTTGTCTTGTGGTAGTCCAGAGGTGGGATGCTGTCAAGAGCTGCGACCCAGGGTCATGGTATATCCCAGGGCCAGGGGGACGGGACACGGGGACGGGGTGGTGGTGGTGGTGGTACGAGAGGGAAAGGAGCCCGTCGTGCCTGATGCCTGATGCCTGGCGCTGCCGGTGGTTTGAGTGCTTGATGCTAGATGCGTGATGATGCTTGATGCTGTGCGTCGTGAAGTTGCTGCTGCTGTTGTGCGCCCGTGGTGGAGGGCGTGGTGCGTGTTGGGGCGTGTGTCTGTATGTTGTCCGTATGTCTGTCTGTCTTGTCTGTCTGTGTGTGCCTGTGTACGTACATGTGTGTGTGTGTGTGTCTGTGGTGCGTGCGGTCTGGGGTGGCTATTCCCGGCTGGCTGTCATCAAGTGAACCGGATCCGCAGGCGATTCCAAGAATACCCGTGTCATCATGTAAGCGCCATCTCTCGTGGCAATGATACCGTGTTGCTGGTGCGGCTGCTGGTTGGCGGCGTGGCGGGTCGATGAGGCAGGGAGGGGTGGTGGTGCAGCTGGTGGTGAGTGCTGGGGGGATGTCGGTCGGGGTGATTGCGCTCCAGAGGTGTAACAAGGCCTGCGCGTCTGGCCTGGGGTGTCCCGGGGCGCTGGTCTGTGGTGGAGGGAGTGAGGGTGGTGATAACTACCTAATAAGTAGTCCAGGTAGCCTGGGTTGCGGGTTGCGGGTTTGTCAGTGTGAGAGGCGTGTGTCTAGGTGTGTGTGAGGGTGGGCGTGTTAAAGGGTGGGTGCTGGTCCGTCGCCTGTGTGTTCCTGGCCCAGACCACCGGTATCGCCTGGCCACTGCTCGTGCAGGCATCCATGCCGTCCGTCGTCCCCATCATGCCGTCCGACACAGGATTCAAATCGTTCCTCCGCCATCTGCCCATCCTGCCAGCTGCCCATCCTGCCAACTGCCCATCCCTCTCCCTCCTGCCTTCCCGGGCCCTCTCCTCCCCCTTCCCCCTCCCCCCTTCATCGACCCCTGGTATTGAATCGGACGGACTTGGCACCTTGTGTCGAAAGCGGGGATGCTCGTCGGCGGGCAGGCGGGCAGGCGGGAGGATCCGCTCTGGCACCGTACCGGGCTGGTTGTGGTCACGAGCAGGGGTGTAGAGGCTGTTAGCTCAGGGGTGGGGGATTGGGTGCATTCGCCTATCTGCAAGGAGTGTGGTGTACTTGGGGCTCCCTGGCAGTACATCCAGCTGCCAGCGCAACGAACAATCGGCCAGAGCTCAGCCCAGAACAGCTCCCCAGCCTGTGATACAACGTCACAGACAGGCCGGCTGGCTGGTAAAATACGACCTGATAGGACGGGTTTGGCAGTGATGGGACATGATGGAACCCGACAGAATATGACAGGACCCCCGGGAGGGCTGGCAGGCTGGCAGGCTGGGAGCCAGGCAAAAGACCCAACAGTGCAGCCAGTGTTGGCACAGCAGACACTACCGAGTACTCCGTACTGTGGTATGCGCTGATGCGCTCGTGCGCTGATACGCTCGTCGACAGATTACCGACAGCTAGGTACGGGGTAAATCACACAGACTCAGTGGCTACCCAGGTACCCAGGTACTTCGGTACTTATCCAAGTAACTTGCCTAAGTACACTACCGCCGTACCACGGCAGACAGGGTGACTGATTGATTCAATGACAACTACCTAGGTACCTGTAACACATCAATGATAATAGTCCACCCGACTTACTGACTGACTGATAGACAGGCTGATAGTACCGTCCGATGCCGTTCATCCCAAGGTTGCTTGCTGTTGCTCTCAGTGTGCAACAACGCCCTTGCTGCAGGGCACCCAGGGCTCACACCCCCCCCCGGGCTGCCAGCCACTCTGCCAGTCTGCCTGTCAAACCACACAAGCACCGAATCTCGTCCCATGGTCGACCTGGGCCCGGGGTAATATGGCGTTTGGTGTTGCCTGCCATTGGACGCCTCTTTCGGACGGGCTTTGACCTTATTTACCTAGTCTCCCCCTGTCGCCCTGCCCTGCCTGCCTCCTGCACGGTCTTTGGCTCGTGGGAGGACCAAACCAGCAGACCGAGCCCCCTCGAGCGCCTCCACTGCTGCCCACACTCACCAAAACCGACCACACCTCGAAGGGGGAGGCTGCCGCTGGCCTGCGCCGGGGGTTGCGCTTGCCATTCCAGGCTCACCTCTTGCACACCCTATTCTGACCTCGATCGTGCCGTCACGGCAACGCGGCTGATGACCAGACACAAAAATGCTCGACCGGTCTGGTTCTGGTCGAACCCGTTTCGTCCATGACCCTCCTTCATCCTCCATGCTCATGCCTGCGGATGCCTGCTCATGCTCATCGAGAACTGCCACCTCGTCGCGCCTGCGTCTCTTGTCGTCCTGTCTCGTCCTGTCTCGTCCTGCGAAATGCGCCTCGCGCCCTCGGCCACAGCCCGAGACGACACGCCCTGCTGGCTGGCTGGCTGGCTGGCTGGCTGGCTGGCTGGCTGGGCTGGCTGCATCTCACATACATGCCATAATCTGATCTGTCCCGCTGACAGGACAGGCCAGGATCGGCGGCCCGTTGTAACGATGAATCCACAGCAAGCAAGCACACAATCTTTGCCTTGGTCCCGGGCTGCCTGGCTGCCCACTCTGCCATTCTGCCACTCTACCGCTCTACCGCTCTACTGTGTACCATCTGCCACCGCTGCCCTGGACATGCTCCCCAGTCGGCCCCAGTTCTGGTCCCAGGGTTCCCCGCAGTCTAGCGTCATGTATTCCGGAACTGACATCGGGACGCAGAGTGGCAGAGTGGCAGGAATTGTGTGGGTGAGGCGCCGGATACGCCGCATGGGTCGACGACTCACATAAAGGCAACCAACTGTCGTCGGCAGCGGATTGACTCTCGCTCTCCATCCTGGTCGCCTCGCCTCTTGCAATAACACACTCTTGACCGGTCTACGGAATTCGGCCTCCACTATGCTCGCTACCCTCCTTCTGGCCGTTTCCGCGATCCCCTTGCCTGCCACCGGCGTCGCGTCTGCCCTCGCCCAGGCCCAGGCCGCCCAACATGAGGCGCCCATGATCCGGGACTACCTGTGTGCCGGCGGCCAGTATGCCGAGAACGCCGCGGGAGAGCATATCTTCCAAGACCAGATCTACGTCGAACACCTGCGCCCCGTGCATGGTGCTACCCAAGACCACCCCATCGTCTTCCTACACGGCTCGGCACAGACAGCAACGGTTAGTGCGTCGTCCCCAGATTGCCCGGGATGAGAATACGCGTCAGAAAAAAAAAAACTGCGCTGACCCTCCGGAAGAACTGGCTCAACAAGCCCGATGGCGGTCGAGGTTGGGCCTCCCGCTTCGTCGAGCTGGGTTACGAGCTCTTCCTCGTCGACCAGCCCTCAAGGGGCCGCTCGACATGGCAGCCAGCCACCGGCCCTGGCTTGGAACCACCGTTTGCGGCTGAGAACCTGCAGCAGCGATTTACCGCCAGTGAGAAGTACAACCTGTGGCCACAGGCAGGCCTGCATACGCAGTGGAACGGTACAGGTTTGATGGGAGACCCCGTCTTCGATCGGTTTTACGCATCCCAGGTGCAGTACACTGCAAACCTGACGTTTCAGCAACACAAGACCCAAGCTGCTGGTGCCGCCCTGCTCGACCAAATCGGAAAGCCTGTTATCCTCGTGGGTCATAGTTCGGGGGGTCAGCTGCCGATGGTCATTGCAGACGCACGCCCAGGTCTCACGGCAGGCCTGATCCTCCTCGAGCCATCTGGGCCGCCCTTCACCAACGCCGGCGTGCAGGGCAGCTCTCCGGCTCGCGCCTGGGGGGTTACGGACATCCCTCTCAACTATGATCCGCCAGTAGACGACCCTGCCGCCGACCTGGTCAGGAAGATCGTCCCGGCGCCAGACGAGGATCACGTCGACTGCACCCTGCAGGCCGATAGTCCTGCACCGCGCAGGTTGGCCAACCTGGCTGATAAGCCCATATTGGTGGTGACGGCAGAGTCGTCATTTCATGCACAATACGACTACTGCACCGTCGACTATCTCCGGCAGGCAGGGTGCGCTTCTTTGGAATACGTCGAGCTGGGCAAGGCCGGGGTTCACGGCAATGGGCACATGATGTTTCTAGAGAAGAATAGCGACGCCATCCAGGACATTTTGGAGGATTGGATTGCGCAGCTGAATTAAGACCTCGGTCTGTTGACACGGCTCCAAGAGGTCACGCACATTCCTCTGGGTGGCACTGGAACGTGGCTCCCGTACTATCGGCGATGAGCCCATTCTTCAACCACGAGTTGTCTCGGCCCGCACGGCTTCATTGGCCGCCAGCTTACATCGCCATCTCAACGACGACGCGTTGGACAGCGCCTTTGTCTTGCCTTGTTATGTCTTGTGTGGCTCGCCATAGGATGGATGCGCTGTGTTGCGCGGAATTGAAAAGGACCGTGGACGGCGTTCGCGCTCCTCTTGCGTGTCGTCTCTGTTCCCTCCCTTCTCTCTGCCTGTCGGTGTTATAAATGCAATCATTTCTGGTTGCGGTTTGGTGATTTGCTCTATTGCCCCTTTCGCGCCTACCGACCGACCATTCATTCGTTCGTTCTAGAATCCGTCGACCAAGCATGGGGAGACTGCATACACTGGCCGCCGGCACCGCCTTGCTGGCCCTCGGGGCGAAGGCGCAAATGTCCTATCTGGGCTGCGCCTCCCTCGATACTTCCAACATCAAGGGGACCATCGATTTATATCCTCAGGGTCCGTCGTCATGTCTCGCATACTGCAATAGCATAGGATACTCGTACGCGGGTCTGCAGGCCCAGTGAGTCTCGCCATTCATGCGCCTGGTCTAGCCCCTTGGAGAAGCACACCCCCTGACGCTATCCAGGTTCTGCTCTTGCTGGGCATCGTCCCCCGTCGCCACCCAGAAGTACGCCGACAGTGGGCATGCGGACTGCTCGTTCAACTGCGACGACCCTTACAGCAACCAGTACTGCGGCGGCATCGACCTCAGCACGCTCGGCTTCCTGTACAGCTACTACGCCGGGGTTGCGGATCCGAATGCGTTGCCCTCGTCCAGGAGCACTGCCCCAGGAGGGGTTGCGACATCTAGTAGCGGCGAGGTGATCACGCCCCCTTCGCCGACATCAAGCGCGGAAGGTGGCGTTGCCACACCTCCAGGCCCCGCCACACCTCCAGGCCCCAGCGACGTTGGGGGCAGCACCCCCGGCGTCCCCGGCACCCCCGGCGTCCCCGGCACCCCCGGCGTCCCCGGCACCCCCGGCGTCCCCGGCACCCCCGGCATCCCCCCGACGAGCTCGGCCGGAGGTGGCCCTCCGACACTCCCGAGCACCAGTGCTGGTGGGGTCCTGCCGCCTCCTGCGAGTTCAGGCCCGGGTTCGGGCCCGTCTGAAGCGCCAGGACCGGGGTCTTCCTTTATCGTCTCTGTTGGCCCCGGGGGCACCCCGCCCCCTCCCCCTCCTGGGGCTAGCGAAACAGCCTCGCCCAGCGGGATAGCCTCGCCCAGCGGCACAGCCTCGCCCAGCGCAACTGGGGCCGGCGGCGCACCGATTGAGACCACTGTGCCTCTGGCTCCCGGCCAACCGTTCGTGATCAACATCGTCAGGTACCTCAGGAATGTTGGCGACCAGGCGCTCTCCTGGATCCCATCGCCGGTCTGGTTACTGTACAATGGCAACATCACATCATTCTCCGGCACGATCCCGACCGACTTCCCTGCCGGGCCGTTTGTTATCACCGTGACAGCCGGCCAACCCACCACGGGGTCGAACGGGCCCCAGCAGCGCAGACAGGCAGCCGGCGTGTACACCTTCGCCATCGAGCTGCTCATCGTGGCCCCTGGCGGCCCCCTGCCGACGCCGTCATTGCCCACCTTGCCTGTTGGACCGTCGACCAGCGCGGTGCTGCCATCGTACACCAACACCGTCTACGAGACGATCACGTCCACCATCACGCGCTGTCCCGTGTGCAAGCCTGAGGTCACGCTGTTCGCGGTGCCGGTCGGAACGACTTGCATCACAGCTGAGGTCTTCACGACGCCCTGTGAGGTGACCTACACCAAGACACGGCCTGACGGCGTCGTCACGCCCATGGTGACTACCACCATCAGCAGAATCCCGTACAACCCGGCCGAGAGCACGGTGGTGGTCACCACCGTCGACTACCTCACGACCAAGTACACGACCACGGTTCTGGTCGCCGTCACCAGGACCGTGCAGAGGCTGCTGCCCACGAAGGAGGCGGGCCCCGTCCAGCCCCCTCCGCCGCCGCCGCCGCCGCCAGCACCTCCTGGGCCTCCGGGTGGGGCTGCCGGCCCCGTCCCCGGACCCCCGGCCCCGCCGCCCAACGTAGGGTACGGCACCGGCGCATACAACGGCTCCCAGGGCGCCAAGCCCACGATCCCCGTCACGGCAGGGGCGAGCATGGACCGGTTTGTAGAGATGTTCGTCCTGCTGAGCGGTATCGCCTTTGGGGCGCTCCTCCTATTATAAGGATGTCTGTTCATCGTTGCATCGTCTCGGATGGACACGCATGATATTAGTATATTATTCCTTTTGTATCTGAATGTATCTCTCCGTCGACCTGGGTGTTGGGCGCTTTTTTGAATTGCGTTGGTTCTCCGCCGAGGGTGTGGGTCGATCAAGCATTAATAGGGACCCCATTTAACGAGTAAAGACAGACTATGAAAACCCAGATAATGAGACAACATACACCCTTGCATATGATTTTCGAAAGTGAGTGTCTAGACCAGTAGACAGGTAGTGACCAAAGAGAGATGCAGTGCTACGTACCGTCAGACTGGTAGGGATGAAGAGAGAGAGTGTCGCACCGAATGAACAGCCAACCAAGGTTTCAGTCGGATCAATTTGCGACCAATATGAGGAGGCTTCCCTTAGTTGCCAGTAGCCGCTGATGGAAGACTTGTTCAGCAAGCAACCCTGTGGTGGCCAAAAATGGGCGTGACATGGAGGGATCAAGGGGGTCGATGAGCCGAGGTTCTGATTGCCATCTCGCGCCGTCGTTGGCGTCACCGAGACCGAGACCGGACAACTGTGGTGCAGCAAGTGGAGAGACGAAGGGCAGCATCCCCCTCCTGCCCGGCTACTTTCCTCTTACAACTCCTCTCCTTTCAACCCCCTGTGGGACCAATTGCACCCTCGCGACCATGTCCAGAGCCCTGCTTTCGAGATGCGCCCGGCGCAGCGCTCCTTCACTGCGGGCCGGCGCCAGGCGGAACTTTGCGGCAGCAGCCTCCTCTGCTCCGCCTTTTGACTGGCAGGATCCCCTCAATTCGAAGAACCTGCTGACCGAGGAGGAGCTGGCAATCTCGGAGACGGCAGAGAAGTATTGCCAGGAGCAATTGCTGCCCAGGGTCCTTCGTACGCGCTGCACCAACCCGCTTCCCTCCTCCCCCCCCCCTTTCTCTTTTTTTCTTGAACAGCCGCTGACTTGTCCGTCGGAAATACTACAGAGGCCTACCGCGATGAGAACTACCACCGCGAAATCCTGAGCGAGATGGGCGAGCTCGGCCTGCTGGGCGCCACGATCGACGGGTACGGCTGCGCGGGCGTGTCGACGGTGGCGGGCGGGCTGATCACAAAGGCGGTGGAGCGGGTGGACTCGGGGTACAGGTCGGGCATGTCGGTGCAGTCGTCGCTGGTGATGGGCGGGATCCACGAGTTCGGGACGGCAGAGCAGAAGGACAAGTTCCTGCCCGGCATGGCGAGGGGCAAGATCCTGGGGGCGTTTGGGCTGACGGAGCCCAACCACGGGTCGGACCCGGGCTCCATGGAGACGACGGCGAGGCCGCACCCGGACAAGAAGGGCTACTACCTGCTCAGCGGCGCCAAGACGTGGATCACCAACAGCCCCATCGCCGACGTGTTCATGGTGTGGGCGAAGCTGGCCGACACGGGCAGGATCCGCGGGTTCCTGGTCGAGAGGGACGCCTGCCCGCCGGGGACGCTCGAGACGCCCGCCATCAAGAACAAGACGGGCCTGCGGGCCAGCATCACGGGCATGATCCAGCTGGACGGCGCCCCCGTGGCCCACGAGATGATGTTCCCGGACGTCGAGGGCCTGCGCGGCCCCTTCTCGTGCCTCAACAGCGCGCGCTACGGCATCGCCATGGGCACCATCGGCGCCCTCGAGGACTGCATCGCCCGGGCCAGGAGCTACGCCCTCGAGCGCCGCCAGTTCAAGAACAACCCCATCGCGCGGTACCAGCTGGTGCAGCGCAAGCTGGCCGACGCCGCCACGGACGCGGCGTACGGCATGCTGGCCGCCATCCAGGTCGGGCGCCTCAAGGACGAGGGCAAGGCCACGCCCGAGATGATCAGCATGATCAAGAGGCAGAACTGCGACCGGGCGCTGGTCAACGCCCGGGTGCTGCAGGAGGTGTTTGGCGGCAATGCCGTCAGTGACGAGTACGGCATCGGAAGGCATGTGGCCAACCTGTTTGTCACGCAGACTTATGAGGGCCAGAGTGATATCCACAGTGAGTTCAGCCCGCTACTCCTCCCTGCAGCGTCCCTTTAGGTGTATTGGGCCTACTACTGACACACAAGACGCAGGCCTGATACTTGGCAGGGCCATCACCGGCATACAGGCCTTTGTTTGAGCGTACAATACACCATGATTGTACAAGACATGAGCATTCAAGATCCGAGGGGTGTATCTAGTAACCGTCCGTATATGCCGCGCACCATGAATCATATCATGAGATGCGGTGCAGGTGAGACAGACATAAAAAACAAGATAGATGTTCTGCATGTGGATCAGTAAGCAGGAAAACAACGTTTCACGATGCATGCCGTAAGCCTGAGGAGCTTGTAAATGCTGTTTTTCCTGCGGGCTCAGCGCCGGTCATGAAAAATTCATCCCGATCTCCCCGTCCTGCCTCCGGGACCTCTACCGGCCAGGCCGGCGTCATCGGATCGAGCCGGGCCCCATACCACGATCCATCCCTGAACCCCTGACTTTAGCGCCCCTGGCAGCCTGACTGATCGACGTCATTGCTGAGCTTGACATGCGTGCCGTGCACGGCAGCCGGTCGAGCATGCCAGGATGTTGCGTCTGCCGGCAGATAGGGCAGATGGTTATGTGGGTGATGGTGTTGGGGTGCTGGTTTGAAACCCTCGGAGGAGGAGGCAAAGCAGACATGGCGAAGGATGAGAAATCAATAAACAGCTTGTTGGTGGCTGTGCGGGTGTATGACTGCACTATTGTGAGTCTGGTACTATTAGCGCAAACCCTGGGAGTCGGGTACTTGGCCGTGTTTGTGGGTTCCGCAGCCAGCACCGCTGACAGACAACCTTGGAGGCTAAGATGTCTGCGTGTTTGCAGGCGTCTATAATAAGAGCTTTTGGGCGTCAAGAGCGTGCCTGGAGGCTGGAGGCTGCAGTCCACATGGCCTGGCAGGGTGTTCAGACAGTCCAGAAAGGGGAGGGAGGGGCCGTGCTTTCAGGCCATGCGCGGTCAACCCACTGCGGCCCTTGGTGTCTTTTCATCAGGCATTGGGCAGTCTTCTTTGTCCCACTTGACTTCCAAGGTTGCTTGGGCCCCATCCACCTGCAGCCAGCGACTGCCCAGGTGGCCTGTCCTGCCAGCCCTGGTCTGTGGGCGTTTGGGTGTTTGTGCCTGAGCGTGTTGGCAGGCTGGCAGGCTGGCAGGAACTGACTGCCCAGCTTGCCAGCCCACCTTCCGTGACTGCCTGAGCGACCTGACTGGACTTGGACTGACTGACTCTGCTCCGATTTTTCTCGTTCCCCTACCAATACCCACCTACCCACCTACCCACCATAACCTAACCCTGCCCTGCCCTGCCGGCCACAGTAGTAGTACCTAGTAGTAGTCGTATTTGCCGCCCTTCACCAGACAGACCACCTTCTCTCTTGCCCTTCGACTTTCACTGTAATCTGCTCCCGACCACCCCACGACTGCGATACCAGCACATCACCACCCCGCCACTTGTCCCGCATCTTGTGAGTTGAAGCTGCAAACAAAATCCAGCCTGCAGGACCAGCCCAACTGCCTGCACCCCCCTAAGACCGCGATATTCATTGTCGCTTGCCTGCCCGCCTGTCCCCTTTGATGATTCACTGACCTTCTGTCTGGTTCCAACTGCTGACCCGAGTTAAAACACGACCTTGCAGCCCGTCGACTCCTTTCTTCCTCGTCAACCACCACCCAAAACCAACCACCTAGCCGAGGACAAACCAGCCTCACACATCCCACAACCCCAGCAACCCACACAAAATGGCTCTGAAGCGAATCAACAAGGAACTCACCGACCTGGGCCGGTATGTCATCTCGCCTGTTCCCCCTCAGGCCGTTTGTCTCGTCCTCTCTTCTCCCTCAGCAGCAGCAGCAGCCGTCATCGCTCGCTGCAGGGTGGGGTGTTTGCTGCAGCTGCTTCTGGCTTTGAGCGGGGCATTCATCGTGAACATCAACCGCCACAGCCATCAACCTTCAAACGTTACCTTATCCACGATGCGATGCGGTTCAGAGGAGGAGACGAGAAGCGGCCAGGCCATCTCGCCGTTTTGGAAACCGCGATGCTGACATTTCCTCAATAGTGACCCTCCCTCGTCGTGCTCCGCTGGTCCCGTTGGAGAGGATTTGGTACGCATTGCCCCTCGCCTTGTTCTCCGATAAGCCCCAACACCACTCGCAGTCGACCGAGCCTGGCACGCGACCCATCACACCCGCATCATCCATCATTTGGGACTGTTTTTGAATTTCAACTGACATGTCTCTGCCACACAGTTTCACTGGCAGGCGACGATCATGGGACCTGTAGGTTGACTCCCAGTTCTGCCCTCGTGTGCTCGATGCCACCTGTTCGGGACCCCATCCCGGACACCTGTCCCCCTGACTCGGGCTGGCCGGCCGTCGAGCGGACGGACCTCCTCGCCTTGAGCTCGAGCTCGACCTCCAGCCGGACGGACATGATGCTGACCATAGCCTCGCAGAGTGACTCCCCATACTCGGGCGGCGTGTTCTTCCTCGCAATCCACTTCCCAACAGACTACCCCTTCAAGCCCCCCAAGGTCAACTTCACCACCCGCATCTACCACCCCAACATCAACAGCAATGGCAGCATCTGCTTGGACATTCTGCGAGACCAGTGGTCCCCGGCCCTGACCATCTCCAAAGGTATGCTATCCACCACCAGGTCTTTTCGGGCCCCGCGGCGGGCTGCGGCGGGCTCTGGTCCTCCCTCCGCGTCTAACAGCCATGACTAACCCACCTCTAGTCCTCCTGTCCATCTGCTCGATGCTGACCGACCCCAACCCCGATGACCCTCTTGTCCCCGAGATTGCACATGTGTACAAGACGAACCGATCTCAATACGAGTCGACTGCGCGGGAGTGGACTCGCAAGTACGCCATCTAGCCTCGCGCCTGCTCCGGGGGCCCGGGTCTGTGCGTGGTTATTTGGGAGCTGGGGAGATGGTGGACGCATGGCGAGGATGAGGAGGGTACTGTGTCATCCCCCTCGGACTTGCAGTAGAACAACATCAATACGGACACGTTTTCCTGCACTATTGTTTTTCTGGCTGGCTGCTGGCGTTGCATTCCGAGTGACTGATTCCGGGAGTGGACCCGCTTGGTTGACGATTTGGGTCACGATATTTTCTCTTGACGACCAACGTACGAGGCTGTGGGAGAAATGCTATGCATACAGATAGTTAGACAGCAAAGGAAGAGATGTGGGTATCATGACATGAGCGCCAGCTCCAGTTGCGACAATATCTCGCGTTGGCAAGGCGCAGTACAGGTGATTGTTGCTGGCATTTGTCCGGGGGATTTTCCCAGACAACTGACTGCCAAGTGTTTGTGTGTTGGGCCGTTCCAAGTGCTGTGCTGCCCTCGGGCTCGCATCTTAGATCAACTTTTGTTGATACAGATTTTGTTCGACTTCTTGGAGGGGTCCTTTTTTTTATCACGTTGGGTCCACGGTACCATGGACCTCACTAGCTGCTTGTAAACCTGTCTGCTGTGGCTGGCGGGAGCTCAGTGAGTGATACATTTCCTTGGGCTCTGTCTGTCCCAGCAACAGGAAGACCGTGACAAGGCTACTTGGACGTGGCGCAAGGACCGTGTGGGTGGTTTCCTCAAACTCCTGGGCAAAATGACGGACATCCGCGGGACCACTGTCCAGCGAAGCCCTGGCTACGACGTAGTCTAGAGGAGGATTCACATCGCTAGGTTGGCTCACCACCTGTGGCTTACAGGAAAGAAGCAGGTAGATAGAAAGCCTGAGAGGGTGCACATTCCCAGGCCAAGCCAAGCGCAAGGCTGTTGTGCCTCAGCTGAGAATGTCAGTGGGAGACTGGACTGGGCCTACGACTAACTAACTCTACATGGCCGAGTCTCGCACGATACTCCAACAACTTTCTTCCAGCTGGCACGAGGAGAACTGTGTCTGGGATCTTTTGTTGCCCCCCCCCCTTCCCTCCCCTCCCTTGAATGCATGGTTTCTGCGAGCGCGTCTGTCGTGCACTTGTACTACGTTGTAGATTCTTTGCGAGGAACAATGCGAGGGGGGCCAGTTAGCTGACTATGCACAAGGGAGGGTCCAGCCACGTCTTGGGTGGAAGGGTGATCGACTGTGGCTGGCTTTCCACCAGTGGCTGTATAAGGAATGGCCTGGTGTTCCCTTTTCTTTTCACCCTTCTCCTAGGTACTCTTGAGCCGAGAATTTCTCCATCGCCCCGGGAAGCCTGTGTGCTTGTTGCGGCACCGGTATAAATTGTTCCAGGAAAGGCGAGGAGGACTCCCTCATACTCGCTATTTCTCATCCCTTTATGCTCTTGGTCGGGCTGTAGACTGTCCTCCTGTTGGTACAGAACCCGTGCACGAGGCTCCATCAGACTGACTTGCCCAAGGGATGACTGCTCACGAGGGCATGGGGTTGGGGATGCTGGGCAAACTGGTCGTTCTCTTATTCCCCACCGTACTTGGTAACAAGTTTCTTTTCTGCTGTTGTGATCTTGAATGCGGTCCAGACCTCCTGAGGTGGGAGACCCACGCGAAAAGTATTTGGGCTTAGCCAAATAGGATAGCTGATGCGCATTAAGCCTTCGTTTTTTCAAGTAGTTTCGTTCTTAATCCGTATACATCCCAAAGGCGTAAGGTCTCTTGATGACACTCCAGCAACAGTGTAAGAAGACTGGACACCCGTGGGCGTGGCCTCAGCCTCGTGCCGCACAGGCAAGGCTGCCCTAGATAGGTGGCGTCGCTGAAGACGGCGTCCGCTGCCTAGAATGGCCGACACAAGCAGCCCGACGGTCTACTAGGCGGCGATGGGGATCATTTAACTCTTTCCTACCCTATCGAGGCCCGGGGTGCTCGCACTTGCTGGTCAGCTATGGCCCAAAGTAAGCAGGTGGACATCTAACTGAGCAACACTCTCAAAATCAACACCCAACTTCGGGACCTGATCCTCATGGTAGATGCGGCAATACGATGAATTACTGTCATTTTTGATACTAGCACAATGAACATTCTATTCCTCTCATGCTGATGATTCACGAAGGCGCTGAGGAACTCCTGCTAAATGTCTTCTAAAGTTTTGTGCGCTGGCACATCTCCCTACCTAGGTCTTCATCTATGTAGCATTTCTAAACTACGTGTGTCTTTTTGAGTGTCTGTTTTCGAACACGCGTGTTGTATTCTCTCTGCAATTTTATCGGAATTATGGTTTTCTAAGCGCTGGATCATGAGCCTTTGTTACTGTGTCAAGGCGCTATACACATGTTATGTGGTTTCGCTTCTATTCCAAATACTTCCGAGGACATACATGGCGCCTTCATACGGTGGTAAGCACTCAAGACCTAGCACTTGGAAAGAATACGATGTCGATAATAATAGTTGTAATACGATATGTGCTTGTGGCCTCAGCCTTGCGACGCACAGACAAGGCTAAGGGGCACCGTCTTGACGGCACTCTCGCATACAATGGCTATTACGGCCGAGGAAGCAAGTCAATTGGCAGAGGATACGGAAACCATCAATCCCCTCCCGGAAAACAGGAGATGTCAACTGTACAAATGCAGGTCAACACACTTGAAGATCTACTCAGACGAAGAAAAAAACCAAAAAAGAAAAGCCAACCCCCCTCCCCGAAACAAAAAGACCAAAGTAACCTGAGATGTCCTTGGGTGACTCGCTGGACTTTCAGCCAGAGTTCTACGATCGCAAAATGACACGGGAGAGAGTATGCTGTGCTCTTGAACCATAAGTGCTCGAGCATTGTCTTGTACCCTCTGTAGTCTGTGTCACAGGAGCAAAAGCATATTGGTAATACACCATGACCTTCTCTAACTTTGAACCTAACCAAAGGTCATGTCATATGAAATATTACGGGTTGACCGTGTATGGAACCTAGGGCACCTATGTAGAAGCTACCCAAGCGTGTGACAAACCCCTTGCATGTGTGCCGACCTTTAGTGTGCCGGCTTCACCGTGCTTGTCAGTACCCAAGTACTTTATTGCTTCAGTGACAGTGCGGTATGTTTACCTGTTGCTTCAATCTAGACATTCATTACCAGGCCGCTGTCTCAGGATAAGGCAGAACTCACCAAGACTGTCATCCGACAGCCGCCGTTCACTGTCTCAGGCGTTCCCTCAAGTGCTTATAGGGGAGCTGGTGGATACTATTGTATTTCAAGACATGAGGAGCATTTCAAATGATACTGTCGAGGCAACTTGTGCTTGTTCTAAGGAAATTGCTTCCAGCCAGAGGGTGGGTGTGGGCAACATGGTGTAGTCTTTTGTGCCCACCACCGCGGCTTATTATTGCTCAGGTTTGGAGCTCGTTACGTCTGTATCAAATGTTGCGCTCACTCTCGTACACAACTCATGTGAAGTAGACCTCGGGAAGCAGTATTGAAAATGGTCAAGGACCACAGTGTGGAATCAAACATTTCCATTTTCTGTTCGAGCTTCGCAATATCGTTACTTGAGTGTGGTAATCATGCAATCACAACGCTGATAGAATCGTCATTCTGGGTAGACTCGTAGAAGGCTTTAGACTTGTCGAGCTTTGTTTACTCCAGGCAGTTTGAAACGGGCTTCTGGGCTATAGTCCACGAGGGATGCAAACTTAGCACTGGCAAGGCAAGTCCCAATACGTCCGTTATCCAGAATGTGTTACCCACCACGGCGAGTTCGTGCCATATCCAGGACTCAAATTACTGAGATAGAGATACGGCCGAGATTTGATAGCCCGCAAGCTCAGGAATGGGTATGCCTTCCCCGGCAATCACTTCCGGCTGGTCCCGTTAAGTTGTCTCATTGATCCGAGGCTCATACTATGCTCATACCTAGGGAAGCTGTCGCCGACCTGTTCAAGATGTATTAATCAGCCCTCTCTTGATGATACGTTTCCATACCCAAGGGCAAGCAAGACACGATGAGATGAGACAATATGTCCAATGCTGCCCGTCGCAAGTGGGACTGAGCCCTTGTTTACAACATCTCACTTAGCCCTACGCCTCCTGAACGTGACTCGCGGTTGAGGTGTCGCGCCGAGTGACCGGCCCGGGGCCAATATCATGACCGTCAAGAGCCGAGCCAGGCGACGGGGAGAGTGGAACCTCAAAGGGCCGTGCCATAAACCAAACGCCGGCCCTGAAGGGATTCAGACACCTGAAAACTGTTTGGGAAACATTGTGCCCGGGCCTCCTGGGTCGCCTCCTTGGGCTCAGCAAGTACTGGGTTGTGTAAACCGAGGCGTCGGGAAAACGCCGAGCGATGGTAGCCATACAGTTGCAGTGAATGTTGCGATGCTAGGTTGGAGAACAGGGGTAGGAGTCAGCGACTCGCACAATAAACCGCAACCGCAATTGTGATTGGCTCCCAGCAAGATCTCACACGATGGTGGGATGGGCAACGGGCGGCTGATGGCATCACTAGAAGATCGGTCCAAACATGGCCAGTTAGCAAACGGCCACCTCCGTGTCGATGGGTTCACTTCCGGCAGGACTGAGGGGCTTCGTATACTTGGATACGGATGTATCAAGGGCGCCTGCTCCCCGAGTCGACGGTCGTGGTTTTCTCTTGCACCCACCACTCGGAGATCGTTTGGAAGATCAGCCCTTGGGAGCAGGATAGGACCAAGATATCAGGCCAAACCATACTGAGCATCCCATCCCGCATCCAGGGCTCGGTGGCACTGATTGGGCGCGTACCCAAGCAGCTGCGAACAGCGGGATCAGCATCATAAACCCTTTGCAGGTGAGATCGGGCCAAACAAACTAGAGTGTGGCCGCTGCCCAGACACACGGGAGGGCTGTGGGAGCCAGAGAGCCCTCCTGGGCGTTTAGAAACATAGGCTCTGCTCAGACGCCGGCATTGCTTGTGGCCCCAGCTGGGATGATACAAAGCAAACTCAAAGCGCGCGAGGGACTTGGGATGATAACGGAACTTGAACACTATTCCCACGTTGACGTTCAGCTGCCCACGACAACCAATCGCAAGACTTAGCGAACACACCACGCTGGTGGCAGAATGGAGGTTGGTGAGCTCATCGTGGGCTGGCTGCACAGATGTGATGCCATGCCAAGTGCGGGCCGCCAAATCTGTGTTCCGCTTAGAACAGTGCTCAGCGTGACGACGATTCTCGCTGCAGAAACGTCTGGCCCCATTCGTGGAAAGAGGCCTGATGCTTTTAATAAAGCTGTACAGCATGAAAATCTTTTGGGCGTTCTCCTTGAGAGGTTAAAGCAGGACAAGTATAGATCCCGACGCCGGGTTCCATGGGCCCACGGACGGTTGTTAGAAGATCCTTGCGGAATCCCGCGCCATTGAGCGCGTTCCAGACCTTCAAGCGTGCTGCCGGGTAGCCGGGACAATCATGAGTGCCAGATATTCTCAGCGGACCCGAGATCCCTGTGAACTCGTGTCCCAAACCAGCACACGGCAAAGCGCAGCGGCACTGGTGGGGGTGTGGGCCACGACAGCCTCAGCATTCAGCATTTGACCCAGCCCCTATATCTCCTGAGGAACCAGTGGGCTTCGCTGGATAATATAATCTTGATGGTTGCATCCGACAGCATGCCCGTTCTGGGAACTATTGGCCGGGCCACGAGGTATTGAAGCCAGAATATAGCGTGTACACGTACGCCGTAGATGGCGACATTGCCGGGCGGAAGAGGTGTGTCGTGGGAGATTAAGCTTCAAGCGAAGCAATTGACATATGCAAGGTCTATTTCTGGGTGGATCTCTCCAGGGATCTCCGAGAGTTGACGGAGAGTTTGCTGTCGACACGGGACGGGAGGCGGGGTGTGGGCGTGTGGGCGTGTGACCCGCTGGGCAGGACTGCCAATCGCAGCTGTGGCGTCGAGTCGAGAGAGGCGAGCGAGGAGTCTGACTGTGGCCAGCCAGGCTACGAGAAGAGTTGCCATTCCAAGGCAGAGAGAGGGTGTGTCAGAGTGTCTGAAGGAATCTTGGCGGGTTTGGGCTGGGCCGGGGGGCCCAGGCGTGGCTCTGCTAAGTCAGCACGAACGGGCCCGCTGTTCCCCGTCTCCAAGCTCCGTGATTGGCCCATAATGGGGCTCCGTCAGACTTGTCGGTTTCCGCCCGTTTGGCCCGTGTCGCAGGCTGAGTTTCGTCAGGGGCCGCCCCAGAGTCCACCACAACCCAACTCCGACCACGCGCCCACTCACGCGCCCACTCGCCCACACGCCCACACGCCCACCTCGCAGTCACACCCACACGCCCATGGGCCATGGCTCGCCTCGCCCTTTGCAATCCCACCATAACCATAGCGCCCAGGCTGTGCCTGGCTGTGCTTGGCTGTGCTACCACAGCATGCCAGGCCCTGGTGAAGCACACATGCCGCCATCAAGGCCTCCTGGCACGAACCACAGGAGCGAAATCGTTCGATAACCCACTCTTGGAGGCCCTGTCAAACCGGTCGATCATCCTCAATCGCTGACGAACGATGCTTCCCAAACACGGCTCTGCCGCTGACGGGAGACGGCGTCGGTATCACTCCAGAACGAGATGACGACGCTCCTCTTCTGACCTGCGCCTGGCTGCAACGCTCCTGTGTGCCTGTGCAACCCTCGGGCTTTTGTGCTGCCGCTTGTGAAGCAGATGCGTGCCGTCGAAGCAGTGCCGGCGAGGCGAAATCACATCACTGTTAGCCTGCCTGGCATGGTTTAGCCCGGGCCATGACTCTACATATCCTTCCTCCTGTTAGCGAGAGCGAACTCCCTGTGCCTGTCTGTATCATGGGCCACAGCAGGTGCTCTGCATTTGCCTAGTACGGCAACCGGGATACATGCCAAAAGCTTCCACCGGGCTGGACTGGAGCTCCAGCAGTCCGACGGGGCGGTCATCTTGGGCTTCTTGGCTGCGGCTTAACGCCGAGTTTATCGACTCCTAGCTTGGGGCGTGGGCCTCGAGGTATCCCGATTGAGGCTACTGTGGTACCTCTGTTCAGGCGTGGGCGGCTCGCGGAGCCTCACAATGCCAGTCGGTGGCCGCACCCCGAGGGGTGTGCATGACAGGCCACCCCACCGCCGCGGTCCGTCGCCTACGGAGTACTACTACTGCAGCCGTTCAGTCTGTGTGCCTGGCTCGCCTGGCTCGCCTGGCCAAGGATCATGGCCCATCGAGCCCGTCTCCTGTCCCGGCAGAGGGTGCCAGGGCCCTCAGACATGTTCGTTACACACCCTCCTCTTTTCGTTTTCGAGGGGGCCCAAGACCAGTGACCCCCCTTCAAGCCCCCCTCCTAGGCCCCCTTTTGCCTGCTTCGACGGGCTTCAAGTCTTGGCCCATTCCGTCCTTCTCTGGCTTCGACTCCACCGGTTTCTACTTCATCTTATCTTCCCTTTGCCATTCCGACAATCGTGCGCGCCTCGCCTCTCACCACCGTACTATCAGGTATCATCCCTTCTTTTCTCTATCAGCGATCTTCCTGTTCCCGGCCACACCCACCAGCGGCGCTGTCTGCTGTGAATTGCACCCGCGCTGTCCTGGCCCAAACCCGCTATACCTAGCCTGGTAATAGCTGAATCTGTCTGCTACATGCGAAAGCGTGGGCAACAGGCATAGCGTCCAGGTATGATCTACAACGAGATCCACCCTGTTTCTGCTCGAATACCCTTGGCGTGCTTCATAACCCGATCACTTCCCGCCGCCCTTCCCTTCCACACCTTTTCTTCCCTCTCGCCACACTCAACCCTTCCCATCTTGCCAGGTTCTACCACCTGTTGCTGTGCAGTTTGCTGATCCTCCGTCGTATTTTTGCGGCCCCAGCAGACCTTGTCCACGCTCAGGATAGACGCTCAGTTCACTTCCCGACTGTCTTTTATGTATCACTTTTGCTAGTTCAGCAGGCTCTGAATATTCCGTCGCTGGGTATCGACTGTTGGAAACGATTAATACTATTTGGGAGGACTGGCACGGATAATCACCATCGACGCCTTCGACGAGAAACACCAAGAAACCACAGTGGAGGACGACTAGGAAGCTTCGGATCTCGGTTACGGGTGGGCCTGTGAGGAGTCTACGGACAGTCTACCGGGGGTAAACCGACATCTAAGACGGCGAAAGTCACCAAGTCCTCACGATGAGCGACTACTACTCCGACTCGAGGTATTCTGGGGGGTATGAGAAGCAGTCGGAGCGGTCACGATGGACGCCACTCACGAGGATGCTCCTGTCTGGTGAGATGACACAGGAGAGGCAAAAAGAGCTGTCGTCGAGAGAGAAGTTTGACCGGTGGATGGTCAACGAAGGTTACCGAAGATTGTACGTGCTCATCCAGGGCGTCTGGGTGAATGTGGGTAATCCAGTCGGGGCTTCATTGCTAACATGTGTCGCAGTTTCGTCTTCGTCTTCGCTGTTCTACACGCCATGGTGTTCGCATTTGGCTTTGTCAACTACGCAGTGAAGGACAACCTGCAGGTCGCTCGGGACACCTTCGGGCCGACGTATATGATAGCTCGTGCAGCGGCTTTGGTACTGCATTTCGACGTCGCCATGATCCTGTTCCCGGTGTGCAGGACATTCATCTCCCTGGCGCGTCAGACACCACTCAACGGAATCATACAGTTCGACAAGAACATCACGTTTCACATCACAACCGCCTGGTCCATTTTCTTCTTCAGCTGGGTTCACACTATCGCTCACTGGAACAACTTTGCTCAGATCGCCGCCAAGAACAACCTTGGCATCTATGGTTTCTTGTTGGCCAACCTGGTGTCCGGTCCCGGCTGGACAGGATACATCATGCTGATTGCTCTGACTGGCATGGTGATCACCAGCGTGGAGAAGACGCGCCGTGCCAACTATGAGCGATTCTGGTACACACACCACATGTTCGTCATATTCTTCCTGTTCTGGTCCTTCCACGGAGCCTTCTGCATGATTCAGCCAGACGTTGCCCCATTCTGTATCTCAGTGGGCACCCAGGCGATCGGAGTCTTTTGGCAGTACTGGATGTACGGAGGCTTCATCTACCTTGGCGAGCGTATCGCCCGTGAGATGAGAGGACGACACAAGACATACATCTCCAAGGTCGTGCAGCACCCCAGCAACGTGTGCGAGATCCAGATCAAGAAGGAGAACACCAAGACGCGCGCTGGCCAGTACATTTTCTTCAGCTGCCCGGAGGTCTCGATCTGGCAGTACCACCCTTTCACCCTCACCAGCGCCCCAGAGGAGGACTACATTTCGATCCACATGCGTGTCGTCGGTGACTTCACCCGCGAGGTGTCCAAGGCTTTGGGCTGTGAGTGGGACAAGAAGGACAAGGGCTCCAACGTGGTTGGCGTCAACAGCGAGAACAGCGATGTCGACCCGGCCCTCCGCCGCGTGCTTCCCCGGGTTTACGTCGACGGGCCCTTCGGCTCTGCATCCGAGGACGTGTTCAAGTATGAGATTTCAGTTCTTGTCGGTGCCGGTATTGGTGTGACGCCATTCGCCTCCATCCTCAAGTCTATCTGGTACCGCATGAACTACCCTCAGACCAAGACCCGCCTGGCCAAGGTGTACTTCTTCTGGGTTTGCCGTGACTTCGGCTCGTTCGAGTGGTTCCGGTCCCTCCTGCTCGCCATCGAAGCCCAGGATGTCGACCAGCGCATTGAGATCCACACGTATCTCACGGCCAAGATCAAGGCTGATGACGCAACCAACATCATGATTAACGACGCCAACGCCGACAAGGACGCCATCACCGGTCTCCGCGCCCCAACGAACTTTGGCCGCCCGAACTGGGACATGATCTTCCGTGGCATCAGGAAGTTGCACGCGCCGGCCGAGGCAGGTGTCTTCTTCTGTGGTCCCAAGGGTCTGGGTAGCTCGTTGCACATTTACTGTAACAAGTACAGCGAACCTGGGTGAGTCCCCTTCCAGTTCCTTCATGTAATGTGTTAAATACTGACTCCATAACTTAGGTTCGCATTCGTGTGGGGCAAGGAGAACTTCTAGACGTCACCTCTTCGTGTTCCGATATTAATACTCATATACAAGCGCACATACCCAACGCGCGACCAAGAAAGAAACTCTACCGCTGGCCGAGATTGACCCGGCCATGCATATCCAAAACTCTTCTAATTATCGGCGCGCCGGACGCAACTTTCATTCGGAGTAATCTGGTTGGCGAGATAGCCTTTGTGCGACCATCTCAAAAGCTCATCTTGGAGTCAAGCCAGCCGCGGTAGCTTGCGGGGAGCGGTGCCTACCAATGGCTGCCCGGACGGATACGGACTTGGGCTTCGAGAGAACAGCGCGTGCGACGATCAACACGACGGCACGATGCCTCTGGAAAAGGCAGAGGCGAGGAGGGTTGGCTGAGGTGGCATTTTCCATGAGCTACGGGAGGGCTAGGGGAGTCTCCACGTCCACGGACGAGTGAGAGGAGAAAGGGAAGATGTCGTGCATAGCTTGCGTGCTGATAACATTAGAGTCATCACGATTACGACGTCCCGCTCTGTTTGCGGTCGACATGGGAGGCGGCTAGTTGCTCCTACCCTTTGATGCTATTCATCTGTCTAGCGATTATCTTATGAAAATAGAAAGCTGTACATGATTACCACGCTTTTGCCCTAGGGGCTTTCTCTCGATCCTACTGCGAAAACATGCATGCATGAGACAATGTGATTCGCTCCAGAGGGTGCTTCAGCCTCCCTCACCATGTCCAATATCACAGCCACTGACCATTCAATATAGCAAACCCCTTTTGTGAAGCCGTCCAGCCGGTTTGTAGTACGTTTGCCAGACACGATCAGGCCGCACGCGTACACCTAATCCTCTCCCCCGTGATAAACCGGCCTTCGAGACAGGCCAATCTGACACAGCATAAACCACTTGCCTTACCCCCAATCAGCCTCCCGTTTCCCACCAATCAAGCACGCCCCGTCCCACCGGGTGCGAGCCCGGGATCGCCAAGATAGAAACCCAGGCTGGGCCGGCAGGGCGGCTAGGCTGGCAGGCTGGCACGGCTGGCACACGCACACCCCAGCCTGGCGCCCGCGGTCGAAACGCGAAAGGTCTGGGATCGACGAAAAATCGTACGTTTTTTCCTGTCGTCCTCCTTCATCGCCAGCAAGATCCTCTTGCGGCATACACATCATACGGCACCCATCTTACATCACATCACCCCTCCCTCCCCTTGACCCTCGTTCTCCCCTATTTTCGTCGTGCAGCGCAGTCACCTCTTGGGTTCTTCCGCGGCGCGTTTTACACGTGGGAACGGGGCGGGCGGACGGACTCTCTGGTGGTGCGAAAGGTGCCCAGGTGGTCGGTGTCCAGCATTGGCCCCCACGCCCCCGTGAGGCTGGTGATGTTCGTGCCTGGTGACGAGGATGTCTTGTCTTGAGATTGTCTGGAGGGTGTAGGGAGGTTGCCTGCCCAGTCCGCCGCCGGCCTGGCTACCAGACACGTATGATGGTCGGGTTGGAAGCCCTTCCGTGTTCTAGAGTTATGGCCTCTCGACGAGGGAACCTGCCTACCCTTTCCCTCCCATCGCCAAGGGGACAGGAGAAGGCGGCCTGCGGGGATTCGCACGTGTGTTGCTGCCCCCGGGAACCCTTGGTCTGTGTCTCTCCTTCCCATGCCCGGTTTTGGCGAGTGTCCCATGAATGCCATTGTCCCGGGCCGTGGGTCGTTTTGTCATGTCATGTCAGTCAGTTTGTCAGCCAGCAAGCCAGCCAGCCAGCCAGCCAGCCAGCCAGGTGTCAAGACAGACGGACAGACGGACAGCCCTTGGCCCCGTGCAGTGCCGCGCCGAGAGGCTACCAAGAGCACCCAAGCTCGCCCAAGCTCGCCGAGGGGGCCCCTCCAAGGCCCTTGGCGCCCTCGTGGCCTGACTCCTGAGGGAGGGGGGGCCTCAGACGGCTTGTCAGCGCCAATTCTGGGGCCCAAGTTGCCCAACTGGGCTCCTGTAAATCGCCGGCCACGGCGGCCCCCTCTTGGGGGTTGCTTCTTCTGCAGGCTTGAGGTGCTTGTCTCGTGGTCTCCCGTCACGGCGCAGCGGCTGGCCGGCGCCCTACGCGCCCCGGCAGCCGTGATAGAGTTTGCGCCGGCCGCGGGCGCGGGCTCTTGTGAGATCTTGGTTGCATCATGGCCTGACAGAGGGAGTCTTGGGTCCCGTTCACATATGTACATAGGGCAGAGGGGTTCGGCGCGGCGGCAGGGCTTCGTCGTAGATCACATTTACACCGGATGGAGGCTAATTATCTTGGCTCACACGGGCTGGCTGGTTGGCTGGGTGGATGAGGGTTGGCGAGCACGGTAGCGACCAAGCGTTCGTCCGTCCTTTTCCAAGGGATCTGCGTCGGTGGGATATGGCCAAGAATCTTTTTCCCACACCCCTCCTCTGATACCACAATAACATTATATGGAGACTCGGAGCAGGCGGCCAAGAAGTGCTCGATTTGGGGTAGGCTGCACGTGCGTTGGACGCCGATATGGCTGGTAAAATTGGCCCTTCATGAACGTTAGACATACAACATAGAAAGCAAGTTGTGCATCGTATGCTGCCCTGGTCCACGGGTGCATCCAGATGGCCATCCGCCACGGCTCAGAGGCAACGTATATCTCTCACCCGCAAAGATGTCGGTGCGCAGGAGTCACTCGAAGACGAGCGATTAGGTTTGTTTGCTCGCCAATCTTGGAATCGGTAACGGCGGCGCATCGGCAATGCGATGCAAAAACCGTCTGTTCTCGCTTCAGCACAGTGACGTGTTGGTGATGTGCACGACCACGACCGACTTGAGAGCAGCGTCAGCCGAACCTTAGTTCCAAGTTGTGCCTGAGATGGGCTCTGGGCCAAAACTTTAGAATGCTGTGTGAACTTTGCTCGTTTTCCAGTGCAAGAAACTTCCAAGATTCATGTTGCTGCAAAGCGAGTATGATCAGTCATTCTGTTCACATATGGAAGTTGGAAGACAATATCGTGGAGCATGGCTTGCTTCCGAACTCCCACTTCCGCTATGTTATTCTGTAGGACGTTGTTCCGCGGGAGACCACCTGAGAAGAGATGTCTCGATGGAACTGACTACTCTATAGAAGATTGCATGTGGACCAAGAGGCCATATGGTCCAAGGTTGGCGAGCACCTGAGCAGAGCTCGTTCTGATCATTATACATGCACTTTGGCAACAGTAACACTGGTAATACCTCAGTGTAAAGTTTTTCGCACGAGTTCGGTGCAGTCAATCTTGCGGCCTCCTCTTTCGGCGCTGTCGGGCCATCCTGCGCAGAATCGGAGACTTTTACACTGACAGCCCCACCGAATCGGGACCACTTGACGACGGGATGGGGCGAGATTTTCATCGGGCCAGTCCATGGCGCCGCCGCAGCCGGCAGTGGACGTTATCGCTGCTTACCCGCAACTAACGGCATTTGCGTCTTGGCAGGCCGGTCTGGGGCGAGGGCAACTTATCACTCGGCTGACATAGCTGGGCATTTCCTCAGTTGAGGGGAAGACTGATAAGGTACCCATATAGGGGGACACATAAGGTGAGACACGTCTCTCTTGGTGGGACAAGACGCACTTCGCACTTGTGTGTCTACCGTTATCTGCTCGACCCCGACTGCGGATCAGGTCCGCGGATATATGCGTTGGGGAAAGGCCCCGACCAGAAGACTCTGCAGTCCCGCATCACCACCTGGGCACGATGAACTCCTCAGACCTGGAAACCGCCAAGGCGCCGCTCAATGTGGCTGCCGCCGACAGGAAGTCGGACGAAGCGGGCATGGTCGTGCCTCAGGGCGCCGCGGCCGAGGCGCTGGGCGTCGACGAGAGGAAGCTGGTGAGGAAGCTCGACCTGTACCTGGTCTGGCTGGTCATGAGCCTGTACGCCTTCAGCTTCCTCGACCGCGTCAACATCGGCAACGCCCGCCTCTACCACCTCGAGGCGGACCTCGGGCTGGTCGGCAACCAGTATCAGACGGCTGTGTCGATCCTCTTCGTGCCGTACCTCGCCTTCGAGGTCCCGTCCAACCTGGTCCTGAAGAAGTTCACCCCCCGCTACTGGATCGCCTTCATCACCACCGCCTGGGGCATCATCGCCACCCTCTCCGGGCTCGTCCAGAGCTACGGCAGCCTGATCGCGTGCCGGCTGCTGCTCGGCGCCGTCGAGGCGGGTCTCTTCCCCGGCCTGGCCGTCTACCTCACGCTCTTCTACACCAGGCATGAGCTCGCCCTTCGCATGGGCTACCTCTTCGTCTCGGCCGCCATCGCAGGTGCCCTCGGCGGGCTGCTGGCCTACGGCATCGGCCACATGGACGGCGTGGCCGGCCTCCACGGTTGGCGGTGGATCATGATCAGTAAGAAGACGAACCCGGTGCCGCTGGATAATAGGGGAAAATGGAGCCATTCCTAACCATCTCACAGTCGAGGGGCTTCCGACCCTCTGCCTTGGCGTGGCCACCTTCTTCCTGCTGCCCAACGACGCGCAGTCCGCCTACTTCCTCGACGAGGCCGAGAAGAAGGCCATGATCGTGAGGCGTACGAGGGAGTACGGCAACACGGCGAGCGCGCAGGAGTTTTCGAAACACGACATGATGAGGGCCTTCAAGGACTGGAAGGTCTGGATCTTCTGCATCGCGCAGTTCGGGGCCGACACCATGCTTTACGGTAGGTTTGGTCAAGCCATCGAGGGATGCATCGTAGGAGAACTGGCTGACCTCGCCTCATGCAGGCTACTCTACATTTCTCCCGACCATCATCAACGGCCTGGGGAGGTGGACTCCGGCACAGGTCCAGCTGTTGACTATCCCGTGCTACTTCCTTGGCGCGGCCACCTACATGTGTGTAGCTTATTGGTCTGACCGCATCCAGAGGAGAGGTCTGTTCTGTGTGATTTTCGGATTCGTCAGCGTGATTGGTTATGGCCTCTTGATATCAGCGACGCCGTCCGGGGTGCACTACCTCGGGTGCTTCCTCGTCGCCATGGGGTTGTATGTCGTGGTGGGAATCCCTCTGGCTTGGGTAAGTATCTTGCCCCCTTGCAGTTCTTTGACCAACACGACCCGGAAGCTGACTGCGCCTGCAGCTCCCGAACAACTGTCCCAGGTATGGGAAACGGACCACAGCAACGGGGATGCAGTTGACGATAGGAAACGCTTCTGGAGTCATGGCGCCCTTCATATATGCCACCAGCGAGGGCCCGCGGTATCTCAAGGGCCATGCAGTAACACTATCGCTCGTGGGAATGGCGACTGTCATATACGGGTTCATGTCTTTGTGGTTCAGGAGCCTGAACAAGAGGCGGGAAGCTGGCGAGGTGCATGCGGATCACCAGCACTTGTCAGACGACGAGCTGGCTGAGCTGGGCGATGAGAGCCATCACTTCCGGTATGTGAGGTAATTGCTCTCAAAAGAGACCCTGTCAGTCCTATATATGCCGGAACAAAAATCTAGGCGTGGTGACATCCAGTCTCCAAGGAAGACTACCTAGGTACCTAAGTACCTGCCTTGTGTTGTCCAGCCAGAGACGGAGAGTGACCAGGGCGATTGAAGCCGCGTGGTCGTGGTCAGTTAGACTGAACCGTGTCCAGTGATTCTCTTTCGCTCATATTCTTCCATCGAAATGCCGATTGAGCAGTAGTATAAGCTGTAGATTCGGAGCTCAAGATTAGGAGGGAGCTGAACGGGTGCAAGTACAGTGGGTAGCTGACAGTAGACGGGAAGCTACCCAGGTACCTAGGTACCCCCTGCAGCGAATTGAGCCCCACTTAAAACGTCCCTTTCGTCGCGTCGCGCCACCCTCCTGACCGTCCCGCGGCGCGTCGTTTTGGAGAAGGCTTGCGTGACATCACCAAATTTCTAGGCAACCCAATCCAGCCCTTTGAAAGGCACCCTTTACCCTCCTGCTGCGTGCAGTCCTATCAACCCGTTGTCCGAAAAATCAGAGTTCTCAGTCATACTACAACAGGTGCGACATCGCAGACAGTCAGGATGGGGATCAAGCAACTCTTCTCCATCATCAAGGATGAGGCGCCCGAGGCCATCAAGGAGGGCGAGATCAAGAACCATTTCGGCCGCAAAGTCGCCATTGTAAGTCCCCAATCGCTCCTATATTGCAACTCGTATGGCTGATCATTTTCATAGGATGCGTACGTGAAGCGATGCCAGAGACACCACTACCTACGCTGACCAAATCACAGATCCATGAGCATCTACTCTTTCCTCATCGCAGTCCGATCCGAAGGCCAACAACTCATGAACGAGGAGGGCGAGACTACCTCCCACTTGATGGGCATGTTCTACCGTACCCTACGAATCTGTGATAATGGCATCAAACCGGTCTACGTCTTCGACGGTGCCCCGCCAAAGCTCAAGTCGGGCGAGCTCGCGCGGCGATACCAGCGGAAGCAAGAGGCCAACGAGGGCCTCGAGGAGGCCAAGGAGACGGGCACGGCAGAGGACGTGGAGAAGTTCTCGCGAAGGACGGTCCGCGTGACAAAGGAGCACAACGCCGAGTGCCAGCGCCTGCTCAAGCTCATGGGCGTCCCGTACCTGATCGCCCCCACCGAGGCAGAGGCACAATGTGCGGTTCTGGCGCGCGCAGGCAAGGTCTACGCCGCGGCCAGTGAGGACATGGACACCCTCTGCTTCAACACCCCGATCCTGCTGCGCCACCTCACGTTCAGCGAGCAACGCAAGGAGCCCATCCAGGAGATTCACCTGGACAAGGTCCTGGATGGACTGAACATGGACCGCAAACAGGTATGAAGCAGCCATAGCCCGCCCCGCCCTCCCTCCCCCCCTCCCAAAAAAAAATATGAAGCATGTACTTGATTACTTACGGTGCCTGCATCCAGTTCGTCGACCTCTGTATCCTCCTCGGCTGCGACTACCTCGACCCCATCCCCAAGGTCGGACCGAACACGGCACTGAAGCTGATCCGTGAGCACGGAAGCCTCGAGAAGATCGTCGAGTTCATCAAGAACGACCCGAAGGGAAAGTACACCCTCCCCGACGACTGGCCGTACCTGGACGCACGCGATCTCTTCTTTGAGCCCGACGTGCGGTCGGCGGACGACCCGCTCTGCGACTTCAAGTGGGAGAAGCCGGACGTGGACGGCCTGGTGCAGTTCCTGGTCAACGAGAAGGGCTTCTCGGAGGACCGTGTCCGGTCCGGCGCGAGCAGGCTGGAGAAGGACCTCAAGAGCTCGCAGCAGAGCCGGCTGGAGGGGTTCTTCAAGCCGGTGCCCAAGACGGCAGAGGAGCAAAAGGCCCACAAGCGGAAGCTGGAGGAGAAGAACGAGGAGAAGAGGAAGAAGCTCAAGGAGGAGAAGAAGGAGAAGGCCAAGGCCAAGGCGAAGCCCCGTGGCACCGCTTAAGTCGGGGAATCGCAGGTGCCGAGGCGGGCACATGTGTGTTGTCCTGAGCCGTATGTCACGGGCATTTACCACGAGCCAGTTGCTTCTTTGCCAGTTTTCTTTTTTGTTTGTTTATTCGTTTTCTACTGATACCGAGGGATACTTCCTTGAAGAACAGGGGACTGGGGACTGGCGTTGCTACCGGAGTTTATTATCGGAAAAGGGCATTGGGAGGCATCTCGAGCCGATGCGTTGAGACGCGGCAGACATGGCCAGGAGAAAATCAGAGCAAGTTGAAGTCTGAATCATCAGGAGCTGCAAAACCAAACCATCATGGCAGCAAACATGGCCTCCCTCGGACGCCCGAAAGCCGCCTGTATGAAGCCCGTCCTAACTCCAAACGACCTGTCAGGCCGGGCAACATTGCAGCACTGCAACATTAGAACTGGCTCCGGTCGGAAATTCAGAGTCTGGGGCAGTGGCTAGTGGGAGGGTAGTGGGTCCCACAATCGCGGTGCTGAGCCTCGGCTCTTACCCGTTTCGGCCCCAGGCGAGCCCAGGTCGCTGCGAATCAGCCCTCGTTCCATTGGCCGAGCAGGCCGAGTCCCCCAGGGGCTGTCAATGATGTCAGCCGGGACACGCTGGTCAGGCTTTTCACATGCCAGCTCCCAGGGCAGCGGATAGGCTTGCTGGGCTGGGCTGGCTGGATGGAGAAAAGGCAGAAAGGCACATGACTCTGTCTAAAATGTCTAAAATCTGAGAGCTGCATTGGTGCAACACACCAACCCCAGCCCGGCCTGCCGCCGCTACTGTGGTAGAAGGGAGACATACCCAGGTACCTGGGCATGTATTTCCTTGTCCAAGGCTTCCCCAGAATTGCCCCACGGGCACCGAACTGGCTGACTGGTCTAGCAGCTTCATTAGCAGCGATGGGATTTCTGGGGGTGGGGGTGGTGGGCACAGGCGTCCAGGGTTTGTCCTCGTGGCCCGTCTTCTCTGACGCTGGCGCTGCGCTGCATTTCGCATCCCTCCCATTCCGAGCATGTGATTGCTTTGCCCTTCGTGCCATAGCCGACACTGTGGCCGCTCCTTTTTAACACAACTCCCGGCCTGTTGTTCATTCTTCCCTCCCAAATTCCACACCTTCGGTAATCGCCATCGAGTGATTCGTCCCTGTCCATCCTCCTATCCTCGCTTTGCTGTAGCACCGCCCTCCTTTCCAAGACAACATGTCAAAGACGTTCAGCGCCAACGACGTCGCGTCGCATAAGACGCCCGACTCCCTATGGATCATTGTCGACGAGGACGTCTATGACCTGACAAAGTTCCAAGATGACCACCCAGGTAAGACCCACCAGTGATCAGCCTCCAGCCCATTCCCGGCGCATCGGCTGCACTCTTCCAAAACCGCCCGCCCTCTGACAACGATCCACAGGCGGCAAGAAGATCCTCCAAAGAGTAGCCGGAAAGGATGCCTCCAAACAGTTCTGGAAGTACCACAACGAGGGTATCCTGAAGAAGTACAAAGGGCAACTGCAGGTCGGCAGCCTCGACACCAAGCCAAAGGTAGAGGCCAAGCCTGCAGCAGAGCCAATGCCCGTTGCTGCTCCCAAGTCAGCCCCCGCAAAGAAGCCAGTCGCCCCCAAGGGCGAGGAGGAGGCCGAGGCCCTGGAGCCATTCGGCGAGCAGATTCCCTTTTCCGACCCAAGTTGGTACCAAGGAGTCAGTATCCCCTCCCTGCTGTAGGCCCCCGTCCTGGTCACCGCTGACGTTTGGATTCTTGCAGTTCCACTCCCCCTTCTTCAACGAGACCCACGCCGCTCTCCGAGCCGAGGTCCGCGAATGGGTCGAGAACGAGATCGAGCCCAACGTCACCGAGTGGGACGAGAAGAAGGAGGTTCCTCCCGAGATCTACAAGGAGATGGGCCGCCGGGGTTACCTGGCTGGCCTGCTCGGAACGGCCTTCCAGAGCGACTACACCGATAACAAGATCAAGTCGGTGGCCCCAGAGCAGTGGGACCTCTTCCACGAGATGCTCATCACCGACGAGCTCTCGCGCGCCGGCTCCGGTGGCTTCGTCTGGAACGTCATCGGCGGTTTCGGCATCGGCTGCCCGCCGCTGGTCAAGTTTGGCAAGAAGGCCCTCAAGGACCGCATCCTGCCTGGCATCCTGAACGGTGACAAGCGCATCTGCCTGGCCATCACGGAGCCAGATGCAGGCAGTGATGTCGCCAACCTGACCTGCGAGGCCAAGCTGAGCGAGGACGGCAAGCACTACATTGTCAACGGCGAGAAGAAGTGGATCACAAACGGTATCTGGTCTGACTATTTCACGACTGCCGTTCGGACGGGCGGTCCCGGCATGAACGGCGTCTCTCTCCTGCTCATCGAGAGGGAGGCTGGAGGTGTCTCGACGAGGAGGATGGACTGCCAGGGTGTGTGGTCGTCCGGAACCACCTACATCACGTTCGAGGATGTCAAGGTGCCAGTTGAGAACCTCCTCGGCAAGGAGAACCAGGGCTTCAGAGGTACGCCATACAAAACCCCCCCGGCCCCACGTGCCGCAACCAGCTAACAGCAGCCCCCCCCCCCAGTCATCATGACCAACTTCAACCACGAGCGGATCGGCATCATCATCCAGTGCCTGCGCTTCTCGCGGGTGTGCTTTGAGGAGTCGGTCAAGTACGCCAACAAGCGCAAGACGTTCGGCAAGAAGCTGATGGAGCACCCCGTCATCCGCCTCAAGCTGGCCCACATGGCCCGCCAGATCGAGGCCTCGTACAACTGGCTCGAGAACCTCATCTACCAGTGCGAGAAGATGGGCGAGACCGAGGCCATGCTGCGCCTGGGCGGGCCCATCGCCGGCCTCAAGGCGCAGGCCACCGTCACCTTTGAGTTCTGCGCCCGCGAGGCCTCGCAGATCTTTGGCGGGCTCTCGTACTCCCGCGGCGGCCAGGGCGGCAAGGTCGAGAGGCTTTACCGTGATGTGAGGGCCTATGCCATTCCTGGAGGCTCGGAAGAGATCATGTAAGTGTCATTCTTCTCTCCCTCTTGACCCACCCCCCCCCTCGACACTGGAGTAGGTGGCTAACACTCAGAAGGCTTGATCTGTCCATGCGGCAGTCGATGAGAGTTGCTAAGATGCTGGGAGGCATGAAGCTGTAGACGGTCGGCCCATTGTGGGGTGTGGCGGGCACCGAGCTATGTGACATATGTATCGAAATATTTGAAACTAGACCAAGAAGCTTTATTTCAACGTTAGCGTCTCTCTCGTCCAGTGTTCTGGCTGCTGGTGGGCAGTTTTATCTGTGAAGAACCCTGGCCTCCTTTTCTCCCTGGTAAGTGTCAAATCAAGTCGAGCGCAATTCTTCCGTTTGGACTTGATAGTTTCGGGCTTTGCTTGGGTGTCTCCTGTACGGCCACCGCACTTATTTTCCAACCTCTTGTAAGACATCACCCCTAGAGAGCCCTCTAAAAATAAGGTTTATAGAATAAGCTTTTGTAGATTGACTAGTCACAGGCGGGCACTAGAGGCTCTACTTAGACATTACAACTTTCCGAAGATGGAGTAGTGTTGTAGTAATAACACAAGTCAAGACGAATGCTCCGCGCCCTTGGTCTCCTCGTTTCAGTGCATGGCCTTCGTCTTCAGGCTCCCACCTATTTCGTACGTAATAATCTATATGCCCTTTTGAAGTACTTCCTGTGTTCTTCTCTAGTGAGCTCACGCGCGTGGTGGGCAGCAAAGGGCCTGGGCCGGCAAAGGTCGACCTCGAGTTTGATGATTTATGCCGAACTGTGGCGGTCACCACCGCCATGCACGTCACACTGCTATAGTCTTAATTTGGCAAGCTCAGGTCTGCGAAAATACCAACAAGTGCGCAAAGTGGCCGCGTTCTCATGAAGCCGATGACTTCATGCGCCACCCGCCTGCCGCCAACAGCGGCCCATGGCGGAGACCACTCCTGCAACCACGTCGCCGTCCCACGGGCCACATGCAGCTTATTATTATACTGCCGTGGCTGTTGGACGGATCAGGGCGACCCCAATTTTAGCACATCTTCAACCACAAGGCGTTGTTTCAGGTCCCGATCCGTGAGGCTCCCGCTGCACGGCGGGATCCTACCGTTGCAGGCCCCTTCCTCCCACGCACATCAGCTGTATCAAAATTGGCTTGCCTGCTTGCTTACGCTCTCTCAGCCGGCCGATTTTAGCAGCAACCAACTGGCCTGACCTATGGAATAGGTCTAGAATGAACATTAAATATCGAGCCCCGCTTATTTTCTTGATGTCTTGACTGCGACTGTTTCTGGCATCTCATTCCACATGTCGACATAGAGACACATTCAGGGTTCTTTTGTTTTGATTTTTTTTCTTCTTCTTTTCTTCCCCCCCCCCCTTCTCGGTTCCACACTGTCGGCGAAGCTTTGATCGTCACATCACAATTAAAGAACTCCAAGATGGCCCACTCCGACCTCTCAGCTCAAGGGAGCTTATCGCCCAGCCGAGTCATGGACAAGTCTCCGATGCCCATCACGCCACCCGCTGGATACATCCCTGAGCGCCCGTGCTCGACCATCCCGGATAATGACTCTCCACCGGGGAGCCCCCCGAAGGACAGCTTCAGCCGACAGAACCCGTTTGGGCTATTTCAGCAGCAGCAGCAGCACCAGCACCAATCGCCCGAGGACGACGAGATGAACACCCGGGGCGGCGGGAGGAATGGTGGGATCTGCGAGGTTCTCCTGGCGGCGTGTTGCTGTTTCGCGCTCTGTGAGATCTGTTGCTGATGATGGCGCCTGGCTCCTGCTCTTGCTCCACCTTCGAATGTGCCCCGGGCGTCGAGGAACCGAGATGGCACTGGGTAGGGCGGGTAAAATCCTTCATTTGAGGGCTGGACGGCGTAAAAGGAAAGCGGTCTCGCTTACGGGTTGGAAACGGCGTTGGGGGCTGGCCAGGGACAGGGGCTGGATGAATGGTTTGCCGGAGAGTCATGAGCCTGGGGGAGCGATTGAGAACGCTAGATCGTGAAGCTTATTCTGAGATCTCTACGAGAGATCTCCCCTGCCGAAACTCAAAGATGTTGTTTCGCCTGAGTCGAGTCAGTCAGTTCCAACGACGTCAGCTTGCCAAGCGTGCACGGGGGATGTGGTGACAGATGTTCGATTTCGACAGCTATTCTTATTTACAAAAATATATACACAGCTGAAATGGGAATATTGACAAGTGAAGTACTGCCGGGATTGTAGTCCGGCCCCCCCTGGGGCCCTTCTTCATGTGCAACACCAGGTTCCAAGAGTCGCAGCATCTACAGGTCGTCAATGAGGGGGCTCAGGCCCTGGGCAGTGCCAATCTTGTCCTCAAAGTACAGCTTGAGCCTCTCGACCCTGGGGCGGTCCATCATGAAGTCGAAAAAGGTCCTGGGGTTGGTGCCGTTCATGTGCCAGAGGTCAGGGTAGGGGATGGTGTCCGGGACGGCGACGTCCTGGCGCACGCTCCAGCCGGTGGCCTGGTGCTCGGGCGACAGGATCCAGTTGAAGAGAAGCTTGGCCGACTCGGGGTGGGGCGCGCCCTTGAGGATGGCGCCCGTCTGCGCCCAGGACACGAACTGGCCCTCCTCCGGGAACGCGACCACGGTCGTGCTCGTGTTGCTGGGCTTGTAGGGCGAGGCGTACGAGGTGAAGGTCGCGGCCTCGGTGGCGTTCTTGGTGTTCAGGATGGTGCTGGGCGTGGCGGTGCCGCGGACCCATCGGGGGTTCTGCTCCAGGAGCTTGTCGAACCAGGCCTCGCCGTACTGTGACAGGCTGTATATGTGTGTTAGTTTGTGACAGTCTCATATTGTTTCACACGTGGAGGCTTACATCAGGTAGAACTGGTACAGCACCGCGTCGTCGTCGTTGGGGTATGTGAGGACCAGCTTGTCCTTCAGGCCCTCCTGGAGGAAGTCAGGGTACTCGTTGATGGTGATGCCGGGCAGCTTGGCGCTGTTGTAGTTGATTCCCCACTGGATAAAGAACAGGCCGTACCACGAAGCATCGGTCGACCGGAAGGCTGGGTGGATCTGGTCGAAGCCCACGGGGGCATAGTTGAGAAGATCGCCCTGCGACGACCAACGGGGGAAGTCGTGGAGGGTCTGGAGGAAAGTGGCATCGACGTAGACGTTGCCCGAGTCCAGCTGCTGGTCAATCTTGCCGTCGTGGTACTTGGAGACGTCGACGGTGATGTTCAGGGTCATGCCGGGGAAAGCGGCCTCGAAAGCCGTCTTCAGGGAGTTCTGCTGGTTCTTCTCGTCACCACCGGCCCAGACGGTGACGGTGCCGCCCTCGGCGAGCGCGGCCTTGTAGATCTCATCGATGGAACGGTCCTCAATGACTGGTGCCGTGTTGAACGAGAGCAGGTTGTCGGCCAGGGCCCCAGTGGCCAAGGCGAGAGCCAGGATCTGCGAGAAGAACATTTTGTCAAAAGAATGAACACAGCAAGAGAAGAGCTGTCTGAATTATTGCAATGGATCCAAAGATGACTGAGCACACGGTCACTCGTTTCTCAAGCCGGGCCAGGAAAACCTCGTTACTTATATTCTGCTATGCAGTACTACTTCCAGGTTTCGAAACAACTCATCTATCTAGACGGGAGTTCCAACCGTCCAGCCCCCTTGCTGCCCGCATCCTTCAGTGGACCTGGAATAGCATCGCCTCGCCTCGCGGGCGTCGCGATGGAGCACACCTCCACAGGGGTAACAACCTTGGAATCGTTGTCCAGTGGCCTCGCCACCGAAAGTCGCTTTTGCTGGAAAGTTCGCCGAAGCGTGACCTGGTGGGTCCAGCCAGTCAATGGCAAAAGATACAACCTCAATCGACTGTTGTTCCCCCTGCGGAGGTGTACAAGGGCGATCGTCATCACTCAGCATTGGTCACGTTTCCATTACATTGCACGAGCGGAAGACACAAGGTGGGTCCTGAATTGACTGATTGATAAGCTTAAGTCGCATAGGCTTTCAGCTTGTCAGGCTTGTGTGGCATTCTGTTTTGGGCGATCTTCCCGGATGATACCTTATCCACGCCAACCAGGATCCCAACCGATCATCCCCTAAGCCTCAAGTCCTCAATCTCGCGTCTCCACCTCATCAAGGCTGTACTCCGTTCATCGGTTGTTGGCCCGGTGGGTAAAAGATGAATTTCATGACTCGGGCAGGTTTGAAATACGCGGTGAATCCCCCTTTCATGTTCGTCTGAAGTCGATCTAAACCTGTTTCTATCGAGCGGTTACGCGTACACGGCGGACAGGGAGTGCTGCGGCCGGTCCCATGCACCGGTCCCAGGCAAATGGGCCGAATATACTAGTGTATATGGGACGACGTCTGCCACTGCGTAGCGCAAGGCCTTGTTGGTCCACTCTCACATGGGCATGGCTGCTAGTGTGTCTGGGTTGCCAAGTTTGTGGGGTGATCGCCCAGCCCGCTTGGGCTGCTTGGTGAATCCACGGCATAACGAATTCAGAAAATTTCCACGGAATGGCGTGGAATCCTCTCACTCTGAATACTATTTGTAGCAAAGGCCCGTTCGCTGCCCAGGTGCAAAACAACGGTGGCCTGGGGTCATCCTAGCCCCTTGTTTATCTGCCGGAGACCAGTTGACATGGGCCCAGCAAAGTGTCATCTGATGAGATCAACAACTTCAGGCTTTGGTAGGGCTGAGTGGCAATCGCGTCCATTATACTTGTCCAGCACCTTGGAGGGCCCAATCGATATGAAAGAGAGCAAGGGGGCAAACTGCCGATGCGGCTTGACGTAGGGCGCGAGCATCTCTACCTCTTACGTGCTGACCTCTTTTTCCCAAGGTCAGCACTCAAACCCAAGATTGGCCATGCAAACACGATCAATGTGTAGAAAATACACCTGATGGCCGCTGTACCCCTGTGCAATTTCCCGTTTGTATCACGTCACCAGCATCTGGCTGCGGTTCAGGAGAAAGTTCGAGTCGCGGCACCCTACCAACAGTACCGGTAGTCCCAGCTACCCTCGACAACAGCTGGTGAATGTGGATCGTACCTTCTTCCAGGAAACTGACATCCGCACAGCTGTGCCGCTCTCTACCAAGTTAGGGCGTTCGGCAAATTTCCGGACGGTTGTAGCGGCATAGAAGCCGCACCCAGCGAGTTACAATTGGCGAGGGCGGCACAGTTGAGCAAAGGTCTAGAGCCCATCCGATGGGGCAAGATCTTCCGAGATCACAGAACTTGAAGGATCTGGACATGATGAGTGAGTGGGTTAGGAATATTCAGGGGCCAGAACGGACCCATTGTCAGGTACAGGGTGGGAGAGCTAATCTTAGGTCCAACGCTGCCGTACTGCACATGCATCAACCGACGGTGACACCAGTTGACAGATGCCATTTTCGGGAACAACCGCAGGGTATTATTGGGAGATCACTGCCTATCAAAGACACTGAGAGAAACATTCCCCAATTGCCAGCTGAGCAAGCTCCCTTCACGCGACCTCTCCTTGCGGACAAAATCCAAGGCAGCTCGCCAAGTTCGCTATAGCATTGTGGCCCAGTTCCTTTCAACAACGATCGCGTGACAATTTTGATCGAGATGCACATCTGATAAGCACTGCAGTTGAGGACAGGGCTCTTAAATCCTCGGGAGGGCCGGCACTATGATCCGCGTCCCTGCGGGTCTTTTCTGGATTCGTCTCCCGCGCGCTCGCATCAACAGGTCCTAGTCCTATTGACTGGGTACACATGATATTGCATGCCATGTGTGGCTGTGTGGGCCATTCCCTTCTCTATTCGCGCAGGCCAGCCGTGGCAGGAGTAGTCTTCATCCTCGGGTCCACCTTGTCTCATTCCTTTTCTTATCCAAGCAGAATGCTTGCATAACAAGGGCGATTGCCTGCTCCGCTTTTTATGTTGGCCACCTGGGCATCTGTCGTTGGCCAAGCTATCACGGTACTTGGTAAATGTTCAGGACTCCCTTTCAGCTGAGTGTTATTAGATTCCAGGTATGCTAACTGGTCTCGTTCTGTATTATACGTCCGAGGCCATCCGCGGCGTCTTCATACGGTGGTAAGCGCTCAAGACCACTGTCTTCTTGATTGCCAGGTATCGAGAGGCAGGAGGCATGTCGAAGCGCTTGTAATCGCTAATGTGGAGGTTGCTATCAACGACGCCGGGGAGGATAGTGACCACATGTGTGCGCTCACGCCGAATGGCGCAATCTCCAACTGCAGTGTTTGTGACAGCGTCTTAAGCGCAGCCTTCGATGCGGCATACCCTAGGTAGGTTACCATTGGTGGGCGTTTAGTTAAGCACCGACTAATTAGAGAAATAATGTTGTGAGAATACTTACAGAACCAGGGCGGACTGACCTCAGAGGCTGAGCATCTCACGTTCAGATTCTCGAGAGCCTGGATTATACGTAAAGGGCCCCGTAGTTTAACATCAGATGCCTCGGTAGCCTATATGCTACATTAATGTCAACATCTATTACGGGCAGGAAATAGCCCACGCTGGCGTTGTTGACGAGCACATCTAACCCGCGGCCAGACTCCTTTAGTTATCACTGCACGTGTGATCGATGTTGCATCTGTGACATCAAGGGTCACAATCGTGACGTTCTCGAGGCATTTCATCAGAGCAGCGGGGACTTTACAAGTGCCGGAGCAGCTCCGATACCTTCGGCTGAACAGCCTGCGACCAAGATGGATTTTGATGTCGACATGTTGTTTGGACCTGAAGTGCGCTGACTGCAGTCGATGCCATGGCCGCAGCGCGCGTAACTCGAGCAGAAGCTCAGTGACTGAGGAGCTGGATTCTGGGGACTCGAGAGAACCCAGACACTTTCTTAGGCAGGAGAGCCCTTCCTGATGATGAGTGCATCCCGATTTCTGTTGATGAACATGGCTGCTTGCATTATCAGGCCATCTCCGCACTTTCCGCCAGCGACTTGAAATAGCTCGTACACGGAGCATAGCCCGACTCTTGGGGCGGCAACCGATGCACCCGTTGGAACAGAATGTAACCGCCTAATAATAGACTATTCGGGGATCGTACGAGCGAGGTGACTGCAAAGCCACGGCTGTGCCGGCAGCGAACCGGAGCGGCTCCACCTTCACGAAACTTCCCATTACCCAGGTAGGCCTTCTGATAGTCCAGCTTTACAAGCACTTGGCTTGCCAGAAGTGTCCAGGCTGAGCTTCAACATGATTCATCACCTCACTTGACGTGATTGGGAATTTCTATGCCTTTGACGTCGTTATTGTCGGCGGTGGAACCGCTGGTCTCGGCATTGCGTCACGAGCTGTCTGGAGACCCTGAGAGCCAAGTCCTCGTCCTCGGAGCTGCCCACGTGGCCAGGATCACTCACGGCTTCCGCCGCAGAAGGCGGTCTCGACCTCAGCTGCAAATAGCCTGTTACGGAGACACCCTTGGGCTTGGCACCTCAGCACGGTGTCTCAGTGAAATCGCACATCCTCTCCCCTTGACTCACAAACAATATATGAACTGATAAGAAGAATTCTGATTCCCTCGCACAATAGGAGTTCCTCCAAGGCCGAAGCATGAATTTCTCCCGGGGTAAGGTGCTCGGTGGATCTAGTGGTACAACTGCCCAGCTGGTCTCGTTTCTGATCCCCACTGCCGCCACGTAGACCTGGTTTCGCTTCTTTCCATATACGTCCGAAGCCACACACGGCACCTTCGTAAATTGTTGACCGCTCAAAGACCCAACATTTAAAAAGAGCCTATAGTACCAATAATAGGTAGTAGTTTTGTTTCTAATCCACAGACATATAAAATATATATAGTTTCACTTCTATTCCATATGCGTCCAAGGACATACATAGTGCCTTCATATAGTAGTAAGCACTTAAGACCTAGTGCTTAGAAAGAATATAATCTTAATAATAGTAGTTATAATACGATAGGAGACCACTCTATATAGTTTTACTTCTATTCACAATATAGTATGTCTGTGGGCACGTGGCCTCAGCCTCGTGCCGTACAGACAAGGCCAGGAGGCATCGCTCCCGACGGCGCCGCTAACTAGAAAGCCAGATGCCGATAACAGTAGTCAAGATATATTATGTCAACGATTTGTGCTGATAGATGAACAAGGGAATATGCACATAATGTTGCTGTACTTGATTTCCCTGGTGCCAGGACCCATTGGCCGATCAAGGTGCCGGGGGACTGGTGATCCCGGACGCTATCGACCCGGGCATGGATTTCCGCAGCTATGTAGGCAACTTTTTAGTTATTCCGGCTTAATAGAGCGACTCAAAGAATACAAATAGTCTCATGCAGTCAACGCTTACCCAATACCAAAAGTGGGTGAGCATACAAATCTTACGGTGTGTGAGGGGGTTGGGGTACAGTGGGTCGTACGTCGAGCGAGTTTCGCAGTGTGGCCCCCCAAAAAGGAAACCACTCGCCTTTGCGTGCACCGATGATCGGGAGACCTTTGGGAAGACGTGGCCCCGAGTTGAGAAATAATGTCGGTACGACGAAAAACACAAAAAACGCCCCAGCCCATATCATGCCAGATGGGTACTCCATGGTGCATTACAATCTTGGGAGCCTGGATATGTCTCAACACTTCGAATCAAGCAGTTTTTCTATTCCAGAATCTTATGTGGTAAAAACCGTTCTAATATAATTAACTAGGATTTGTAAGGAGATCTCAGAATTTACAGTAAGTAAGAGGAGGAGGCCTGTAAGCGAGCTGATAACTTCTGCGTACAAATATTAAATACAGTTCGTCAGCTGCGAATGATCTACCTCACAACCAGGGTGGCTATACACTACACTTAATATACTACATTACACTAAATATATATAAATAAGTATACTATATATACTATACTAAAGCTATTTTAAATTTTATTACACTCTATTAAAGAGCCTAGTGTGTGTAATATAATAGGTTTAAGTGTAAATATAGAGAATATCTCCCTTTCTCCCCCCTCTTCCCCCCTCCTCTCCTTTTATCCCCCTTCTTATTAATTAAGTACGGAGTATCTTATTAAAGATTAGATAAGATAAGATAAGATAAGGATTTTTCTTCTAGGGCTTTACCCTAGACCCCCTATTCCCTCTCCCCCCCCCCTTATTTATATTTTATCTACTATATTATATATACTTACACTAAAGCCCTCTACACTATACTATACTTACACTGAAGCTATTCCTAAGCCCACTATACTACATTAGAGAGCCCAGTGTATGTAGTGTAGTGTACGGCTACCCTGCTTACAACCAGAATAGGAGAGTTCCGAGCTTGAGGTTAGGAGACTTACCCAAAGGATATCACGCAACTCATCGTTCAGTTCTATAGTAGATGCAGAAGTTCTCGCAACTAGCGCTGACGCTTGAGGATTATCGTTTCTTCACACTCATCCGTACTTTCTTAGATATTTGCTCTTCAGGATCGTTCCCATACAATCTAGCACATTAACAAAAATAAGGATTATAGCTCTTCACGGATCGGGCGCGTCCGCCGCCATGCTTAAGGCTCAATTGGCACCATTGATCAGAGGCTTTAGCCCAGATTGTCAATTTATATTCCTTAACGGGGCCATACCCTGTGGAAGGGGACCTGGTATGCCTTCGCGCCTATACGTAAACATCTGTAGGTACCATGAGATCCAAATCAAAGATTCGGAGATCCTCCCCAATGCGGTACTTGCAGGGTCCGTCGGGAGCGACGCCTTCCAGCCTTGTCTGTGCGGTACGAGGCTCAGCCACGTGCCCACGTACTGTATTCTCTTTCCACTGTTATTGGCACTGTATCTCTTCAAACGCTGGGTCTTGAGCGTTTACCCTTGTATGAAGGCGCCACGTACATTTTACATGTATGGGGATTAAAAAACGAAACCACCCTTGTGTCGCCTGTGACGGGAGACAAGATCACCTCGCCGAGTACTTTGGCCCCGGAGCATTGGGCCCGAAACATGACGCACCCTGTTCTGTTCAGCCAGGCGTTTGAAAAGGATGTGCTTTTCAGAAACAGGAACCTCCAACGTCGACATGATCGTCGAAGTCGGCGCACATAGCACTCTGGAAGGCCCGATGCGACAAATCCTCAAGGCACGGGACACCGAGCTGCCCCACGTTTCATGTCTCAAGCGACCAGAGGACGGTGTTGATATGATGCAGCAGGTTGCTTGTGCCCTGATCGCCCGGGGCTACCCGGTCAACATCAAGGCTGTGAAATCACCTCGTGGGGAAGAAGGCCGGCTCGTTACGGACCTTGCGTCATACCCCTGAAGTCAAATAAAGCGTTGCTGGGTCGAACCTCGGATTAGCAGAGAACAGAGATACAAGAAGTTCCCACCTCACGAACAGCTTGGGTCGCCGGTAAATGGGGGCAACGCTCTCTCATACCAACCTGGAGGAACTTCATCCGCTTGTCCGAGATCGAGTGGTTGAAAGATCACCAGATCGATCGCTCGGTGGTTTTCCCTGGCGCTGGTTACATTGCTCTGGCACTCGAGGCTGTACGCCTTCTCACGGATCCCTCAGAAGCAACTATGCAAGGTAACAGGCTGCGGGACATCGACATCATGACCGCCATGGTCATTCCAGACCCCAGTTCGGGCCTGGAGATTCAGCTCAGTCTCCAGAGCTGAGAGCAAAAGAACCTGGACCACGACGGCCGGTCAGAGTTCAAGCTCTGCTCCTTGACGTCTGGTGGCTCTTGGATAGAGCACTGCAAGGCATTTGTCACTGCCGACGGACGACAGGCCGAACGCCAGGTCTGCTTAATTGACTCGCAAGGCGGAGTCACCTCGGGAGGCCACTTACCTCCGTGGGAGCGCGGGAGACGCCCCTGCAACCAAGGTTGACATCGAAGCTCTGTTTTCGGGGCTGCGGGACCGAGGCATCTACCACGGGCCCGAGTTCCAGAATCTGATCGACAGCCGCACGGCTGGCCAGAGGGCCATCACCAACTTTGCCGTGTCAGACAATGCGTGCCCTTCACACCTAGCTACCGCCACCCCACAAAACATCCACGCTCAGCTCAGGCTCTGCAAGTTGACAAGCTCAAAGTACGCGCCCTTGGCCTGCATCAGCTCGTCGTAGGTCCCCGACTCGATGATCCTCCCCTGGTGGAAGACATGGATGGCGTCCGCCTCCTTGATGGTGCTCACGCGGTGGGCGACGGCGATCGTGGTACACCCCTTCATGGCGGCGTCCAGCGCGGCCTGCACGACCTTCTCGGACTCGGTATCGAGGGCGGACGTGGCCTCGTCCAGCAGGAGGACCTTGGGCCGGCGCAGCAGCGCCCGGGCGATCGCGAGGCGCTGCTTCTGGCCCCCCGACAGCATGCAGCCCTTGCTGCCAACAAGGGTGTCCATGCCGCCCGGCAGGCTAATAATGAAGTCGTGGATGTTGGCGTCCCTGCAGCAGCGCACGATCTCGTCCTCGGAGACGTCGAGCCGGTCGGTGCCGAGCAGGATGTTGTCGCGGATCGTGCCCTGGTACATTGTTGGCTCCTGGCTGACGAGGGCTAGGTGGGAGCGGTACTCGTTGATGTTGAGCGACGAGATCTCGTTGCCATCGACGAAGATCCCACCGGTGGTGGGGTCGTAGAATCTCTCCAGCAGGGCAATCGCGGTGGACTTGCCACATCCGCTGGCCCCGACGAAGGCGACGTACTGCCCTGGCTTGACTGTGAGGTTGAGACCTCGGAGGACGGGCTGGTCTGGTCGTGTCGAGTATCTGAAGTGCACATTCTTGAACTCGATGTGGCCTTCTACGCTCGGGACACTGGCGCCGTCGTCGCTCCAGTTGTCAATCTCGGGCTTCCTGTCAAAAAGAGCTTTCAGGGTGGCAGCGGCATTCCGAGCCTTCGCCATGTCCGGTGCGTAGGCCAGTACGGTGCCGGCAGACTCTGCTCCAAAGATGACTGCGATGAAGCACAAGAAGAATTGGAACCTAGAAATTACAAGTTAGCTTCGAATTCGCGACACATGGCAAGAGTATCTCATCCACTCACATGGTGTACTCTCCCCTGCTAAACAAGCCGCCTCCATACCAGAAGCCGAGCGCCATGCCAAGATATTGAAGAGACTGAGACGCGGCGTAGAGCAAGGACGACTTCAGGATCGACGTGACCAGGTGGCGACTCTGCCCAGCAAGCTTCTCGCGGTAGTGGCTCAACACGTCATCCTCGCGGGTCAGGGAGGCCACAGTCCGAATGGCCGAGGTTGCCTCACAAGCGTAGCTCGCAGACTGTTGGTGGACCTTCTCCCTCTGCTTTTGGAATCTGACCAGCATGGCCAGGCGCAAGTACCCGCTGGCAAGGAGGAGTGGAATCACAGATATGCACACCAGACTCAGCCTCCACCCCACGGCCAGCCCGATGGCCGAGCTGGCAACCAGGGTGGTGGTGAGCAAGAGGAGCGTCATGAGGGTGGTCCCCGATATCCCGGCCAGGTAGCTGGTCTCCGTCGACAGGAAAGACGTGAGGGCGCCCGTGGACCGCTTGTCGAAATAAGCAACGTCCTGCCTCAGGATGTGTCTAAAGGCCAGGTCGCGGACGCGGTGAGTGAGCCGCTCGGCGCAGTACGAGAGCGCGACGCCCTGGGCGATGAGGGCAATGAGCTGCACAAAGGCGAGCATCAGAAACATCAGGGACCAAAATTTGGCTCGGCTGCGGATTTCCTCGTGCTCCGAGAGAGGGAGCGAAAGGGCCGTGATGGACTTGGCGAGGAAGACGGCCTGTGTTGGGTTGCCCCCACCGGTAATCACAGACAGCGAGATTCCAAAGACCATGGCCTTCCACTCCCGCCTGTTCAAGCTGGCAATAAACTTCAGCAGTTCGAACAAGGTGTAGTTGTCACCGTCGTGATCCTCTCCCTTCGCGCATTCCAGCCTCGAAGGTGTCCCATTTGTCGGTGTCTTGTCAAGCTGAAGGTCTCCAGGTCTCTGTCCATGCGCTTCCTTGCTCGAGATACTTGCATTCTTGGAGAACTCGGGATCGGAGAAGCCACCCTCCTCCCGCGTGATGATATCTTCGTCTTCACTCCTAGAAGCTTGGATGCTGGCAACACGCTGAGCCTCGACCAGGTTGTAGTAAGCCCCCTCCTTCGCGAAAAGTTCGTCATGGGTGCCCTGCTCTACGATGCGTCCTTTGGACATGACCACAATGTTGTCGGCATGCCTGATGGTAGACAGTCGGTGAGCGATAATCACGGTCGTTCGTCCCTGGGCAGCTTTGTTGAGCGCTGCTTGAACAACCCCCTCACTCTTGATGTCTAGGGCAGATGTGGCTTCGTCGAGGAGCAAGATTCTGGGATCGCTGACAATCGCCCTTGCAATGGCAATGCGTTGTTTCTGACCTCCAGAGAGAAGAAAGCCTCGTTCCCCAATGTTGGTCTCGTAGCCTTCAGGGAGGTTGGTAATGAACTCGTGGGCCTAAATGTTGCTTCGTCAAATGATCTGTGCGGATAGTATTTTGTGAGGGAGGCCTGTTTCCAGTAGCTACACTTACGTTCGCAGTCTTGGCAGCAAACTCAACCAGCTCGCGGACTGTCTTTTCATACTCGTGTTCCTGGGCTGTTCCAATGAGGCCATGCTTGATGTTGTCGTAGATAGAAGTGGCGAACAAGACAGGCTCCTGACTGACTAGTGATATCTGTCGTCGTAGCCAGGCTAGATTCAGGTCTTTGACCTTGTGATCGTCGATGTAGACATCTCCGCCGACTGGGTCGTAGAAACGCTCAACAAGACCGACGATGGTGCTTTTGCCCGAACCGGAAGCACCGACAAGCGCGGTTGACTTGCCAGCAGGGATCATTAGATTCACATCATCCATCACCACAACATCGGGCCGGGAGGGATAGATGTGTCTGATGTTCCTGAGCTCCACGTTGCCTCGGACTACATCCAGCTTGATGCCGTCGGTCGATTCAGGGTTGAGAGGAGATGCACGGTCGATTACTGCGTAGATCTTGTTTGCCGCTGCGACAGCTGAGGTGATGGCTTCAAGGTTCGGTGCGACGTTTCCAAGAGCAAAGGCACCGAGCATGATGGCCATCTGAATTGTAAGGATTTGGGATAAGCCGATGGATCACGTCAGTCATTCGTGTTCGAAACGGATCGAGCGACTGCCCCCCGCCCCAGACGGCAGTGCAGTCCACCATTTGCTAGACCTACAGGAAGAGAAACCCTATCATGGAGCTGGTGGTGGACTTGAGCTTAAACCCTGCCTTCTCTGCCTTGACTAGGTATGAGTCGTACTGTCGAGCAAGCTTGTCCTGGGTGTGGAAGGCGGTTGTGTTCCGGATGGAGCTGATGACTTCTTCTGCGACTGTCCCGCCTTGGGCGAAATGCGCAATGTACACCTTGCTGAGCTTGCCAATGAAGGTGCCAACGGCGGCCATTGTGACCACGATGGCCACTATGGTAGTAGAAACGATGAGCGCGAGCTTCCAGTATCGTATGTAGCTGATGACGAAGGCAGCCAGGAATGTGGAAACGGCTGTCAGAGTCAATCCGACCTTTTCTGAGATGCCTTTCTGAACCAGGTTGGTATCTGCTGTGATGCGCGTGGTGATCTCACCGGAACCGAGTTCGTCGAAGAATGCGATGTTCTGTCGAAGGATGGCGGCCAGAAACTGCTCTCTGATCTTGGACGAGATGTCTTCGCCTGCATACAGGAAGCCGGTTGTGGCTACGTACACCATAATGAACTCGCCGATGGCGAGGTAGACAAAGTAGAGAGAGAACCTGGCAGTCTCGTGGGCGAATTCACTCTGAGACGTGCGGCCAAGGGTGAAGTTCTGGAAGGTACCTGCGAGGCCACCAAACAGCACCGTCATCATGGGCACGAGGATGCCAGCGATGACTGCTGCCACACTGGCAACGGCCAAGATGGCCTTGTCTTTGCTTGTTGCATAGCGGTACAGGGTGATGTAAGTGATCTTGACGGCGGGGACGTCTAGCTGTCTCTTGAGGATTTGCTTCTCGTGGTCAGGTAGATGCTTGAATGGATCCTCGACCTCGACAACTTGCGGAGTGGAACCACCCTTCGTTTCCACTGTAGGTTGGGACGGGTTCGCGTCTTGGCGAGGGGCTTGGCTGACAGCTTGGCCGGGAGCTTGGTTGGGAGCTTGGCTGGGCTCGTGCTGACCACCTGGCTGCATCGAGGCCTCTTTCTCCTGGTAGGGTGAAGGATCGAGCTGCATGCTCCCCGTCGTGTCTGAGTTCACCATGTTGTCTTGAGTGCTTACCACCGTATGAAGGCGCCATGTATGTCCTCGGACGTATACCTAGGTACGGAATAGAAGCGAAACCACACACAGAAGAGCAGAGGTGAGGTGAGAAACCAGTGGAATGTGGAATGTGGCTCAATGGCAGAGGCACAGAGACTCGACTCCATGTTAGTTGCCTGATTGATTGTCGCGTTTGCTGCAGCTTCTGCGTGTGTTTACTGGCTGCCTGCCTGCAGTTGGTTGCCGCAGCGGGCCGTGGTCCGTGTACTGGTAACGCGTTGTGTTGGTTCGGATGTTTCCTAATTGATCCATCTGAGGTGTGCCGCTCAACTCCGGCTAGCCTACAGCGACACTGCATAAATAAAACACAATGAAGATCATATCGAGTGCTCGGTTCGGTCAGAAGGGAAAGTGTATTCACGTATCATTGCATTGTCAATTATCCCCAATTTACAAGGGGCCGTTGCAGTGTTCCTTGCATGCCAAAGTGCCCTTGGCTGCTGCTCATGCTTGAGAACGTGTGGAAGGATGAGAGGGAGAAAAAGAGTCGAAAGGGCTTCGCTGGCTGTCTGTAGGCAGGATTGGGGCGCGTGACCGGTGGAAGCAATCCACACGTTGCGACTGAAATGAAATTATTTGCTGCATGTTAGATTAGCCGTGCCTGAGAAGTTCCAAGTTGGCTCTAAACTTGGACAGGGCACAAGGAGACGGTGCGTCTGCCCAAGGGTTCTCAAGGCTTTCAAAGAGTCTTGAGACTGAGACCTGTCATACTGAGGTCAAGAACTCGGACAGATTCCGAGATCAGGTGGATATCATGGCAGACCAACAGAGATGCAGCCACGGACGGAAGTCGGTACATATGTAATCCTTCAGTACTGGCCGGCCGAGTCATTTCCCAAGGTTTGCAGTCATATTGCAGGGCCCCTGTATTCGTCAAACGGTGGGCTTGACGCTGCAGCGTGGAGGCGCAAGTTGGCGTATATAGCTGACAATTTGTTTCTATCAATTGATAGCACGGAGTACTCCGTATAGTAGTATATGTACAGTCGCGGGGACTTGGCCCGGGGCTCCACAAGATGCGGCCCCATGGGGAGTGCATTCCGGATTCCACTTTCGAAATCCTACAATACGTAGCGAAGACCCAAAACAGGAGGAAGCCTACGTGGGAAGTTCTCGTGCGTCCTCATTCCAAAATTTGGTCTCCGCACCCAATGTATGAGGATTGCATGTGCCGAGTACAAGTATGTGTCTGGATGTTGGTACCTGACGCCAACGAGAACATCAGCACACCAACACTGTCCCCACACTCCATAATGGATATCACTAGGTACTTGTAATACTCTACATCGTAGTATGCACAATTTGCACTCAATCGGCATCCCCATCAGTACTAGGCTACTCCTTGGCATCGAACATGCTAGCCAGTATCAACCGGCGGCCCTGTTCCCCCTCCCAGCCCTGCCGGCCGTGCTCGGCAACGAGGTTATCGTACACAAGCAGGTCTCCCCGCTCCCATTGGTGCACCACGCGAAGCTCATCAGTGATAGCCGCCAGCAGAGCCAGGTGATGGTCCGCGATAGGGCTGCCGTTGCCGGAAAGCTGCTGCATGGTAGTACCACGTTCCTTGGTAAGCCCTTTGCTGTTGGTCTCAAGCTGTCCGCTCCGCTGGAACTGTCGGTTTTTCCAGCAGGCGGCTAGGTCAGTGAAGAAGCTCGGCAGCCTGGTGCTGGTCTGAATGCGGATCCCCGGGAGGCGGTGCGTGACGACTACTTAAGTAAATCTTCCTCCTCGGACGTGCGGCACAAGGCTGAGGCAACGTGCCCGCAGATTTATTGTATTCTACCCGCACTGTTACTAGCTTTGTGTTTTTTTGTAAAAGAAAATGCTGCGTCTTGAGCATTTACCACTGTATGAAGGCGCCACCTACGTTTTATATGCATGGGCATTAGAAACGAAACCACTTTCGCAGGAGACCAGCCATGGTGTCTACCTGGCGGGCCTCTAGGAGTTCACTGAGCTTTAGAATAGAGGTTAGGGAAACGTGCACATTCATAAGTGGTTTCGTTCTTGACCCGTACACCTCTGAATGCTTACGGAGCCTTTATACAGTGGTAAAGGCTCATAGACACAGCGCTTTTCTAATAACCTTTGAACAAAGAAACTACCAAGGCAGTTTCAATTCTTAATCATCATACTCCATCGGCACACCCGCGAGAGAAGGCATCAACAGGGCGCGCACGGAGAGACCCAGCCTTTCATGTTCAATGCTGCCACCTCAGGTTCGCAGAATGCGAGGTTCAGGTGGATGGTGATCCTGAGGGGTGAATGGGAAAATGTGGAGCAGTATTGGCGAATGGTATAGTTGTGACGAGACAATGGTGGACGGCCAGGGGAGTAAACAACGTGGCTCCCGGGCTGCCAGAACTTTTTCGCATTCCGGCGTTCCTGTCTCTAATCTGCGAGGACTTGCACATATGCAGTGTTGACTGGCCAAGACAGTCAATACCTAGGTAGGTACTTACTGTGCGTGGATGGCGACAGGCGACTTGAATTACTAGTCGAGCCAATATCAAAGTATACTAAATGGGAGACACCTTGCTTCCCGAATGTAATGACTTAGGAGTCTGTGGGGCTTGGTTGTCTCGCATTGGCCAATCCCATTGTGTGCTGCTGTTTGAGAGCCAGTCATGTCGAAGTGCATGTCCATGTCAGCAGAAATTGCTGTGGTTTGACTTCAGATTCGGTCAATGCGGGATCCTCCCCTTTCCAGCCAGTACAGCCCAATGTGCCCTCTCAGTATTCCGTAATCTAAGCCGATGCCCAATCTGCCGCGCTCACGAGCCGGCCCGTCTCAAGACTTTCCCGTTCCGCAACTAGGTCGACGGGTTCGTCTCAGCGTTTCAAGCCAGCTCCGGTATTATTGGCGTTTGTCTCATAGTGGGGCGAGTCCACGTCATGTAACCGGGAGGACGTTAATGTAGGGGGGAAATAGGCAATCGACCTCGTGAGGCAAGAGACCAGCCCGTAGATGAGGAACAAGCTCAGAGTTGGGGTTGGCCATTGCCATTGCCATTGGCCTATTAGTGTTTGCTGATAAAACTCTGCCAACGTTTCATGCCACTGATATTAGTCGACGATACCCGGCGGCACCACGCCTGCTAACGGCGACCCACATTGTTCTGGTTAAGATACGATAATTATGCAAGCCGAACCCCCGGCGCCGGAGGCTAGGGCCGAGTTTATAACGCCTTGGCTCGTGTCGACCCGGCTTGACCGCGAAACACTCACCGCATCCAATGCCGAATCTTTCAACTGAATACAACGGCCAGTCGCAACGGCCAGTCGCTTCAGCAGCAGCCCCAATTGCGCGGCTCAGTCATCGGCCGCCATCCATTGAGAGCGGGTCAATGCATGCGGCAACCAAACAGGCTCACCACGCAGTGGCATGCTGCGGAAGTCAGAGTCTCTCGAAAGGTATACTTGGTACACAGTCTTGAAGGATCCGGGCCACGACGACGACATTGGAAGAGCAAAGACGTGCCATTGGAACGGGAAACCCGTGCCAGGAGTACATTAAACCACCCCTGAAAACCCCCGGACGTCAACTGGTGGTGAACTCACACGACCACTATGGGATGCGAGGTGCCCTGCGGCGATTGCAGCAACGACTGCAGCGTGGCCGACATCGAGGACTATGAGAAGGAGCTGGCGGACCTCCGGAAGAGGACCAAGGAGGTAGAGGCGAGGCTGGCCAGGCTCAACGCAAAGAAGCCCGGCGGCGCACCCAAGCCCAAGCTGCGGTCGTCCAACTGGTTCAGCCGCAAGGACGACCTGACCATCAGCGCGCTCTACGTCGAGCGCTACCTCAACTCGGGCATCACGAGGGAGGAGCTGGTGTCCGGGAGGCCCATCATCGGCATCGCGCAGTCCGGCAGCGACATCGCCCCGTGCAACCGGCACCACCTCGAGCTGGCCAAGCGCGTGCGCGAGGGAATCCGCTCGGCCGGCGGGGTCGCCTTCGAGTTCCCCATGCACCCCATCCAGGAATCCACCCGGCGGCCCACGGCGACCCTCGACCGCAACCTTGCGTACCTGGGGCTGGTGGAGCTCATGCACGCCTACCCCTTCGACGGCGTCGTCATGCTCACAGGCTGTGACAAGACCACCCCGGCCTGCCTCATGGCCGCCGCCACTGTCAACATCCCGACCATCTGCCTCAATGTCGGGCCCATGCTGAACGGCTGGGTCAACGGCCAGAGGGTCGGCTCCGGCTCTGTCGTGTGGCAGGCTCGTGAGCTGCACGCCGCCGGATATATTGCGGACGACGAGGTTGCGGACTTTGTCGCGAGCGGGACCCCTTCGCCCGGGCATTGCAACACCATGGGAACAGGTGAGTCTTTTTGGTCCACAGCGTCCTCTGCGGCTGGCTTTCGAGGATCGCTGACTGGAGATGCTCGGATAATAAGCTTCCACCATGAATGCCCTCGCTGAAGCCCTGGGAATGGCCCTGCCCGGGTCAGCAGCCATCCCGGCGCCGTACCGAGAGCGGTCCCAGGTGGCATACAAGACAGGCACCCGCATCGTTGAGATGGTCCATGAGGACATGAAGCCATGCGATATTAGTGAGTCGTTATGCTCTGACGCCCCCCCTCTTATTATCACACGACCACCCCAACCCCCTTACAGCCACCATAGTTATATAGTACTGATTGCTACGTTATCAGTGACACGACAGGCCTTTGAGAATGCCATTGTCGTGAACACCGCCATCGGCGGCAGCACCAACGCCCCTATCCACCTCTGCGCCGTAGCCAAGCATGCAGGAGTGCCCTTGGACCTCGACGACTGGGACCGCCTCGGCTTCACGGTCCCGCTGCTGCTGAACATGCAGCCGGCAGGGGAGATGCTCAGCGAGGACTACTACCGCGCCGGGGGCCTCCCTGCCATCCTGGCCGAGCTCCTCGAGGCCGGCAGGCTGCCGCACCCGGACGCCCTCACGTGCAGCGGCAAGAGCACGGACAAGAACGCCCGCGGCAAGCTGACGTGGGACCGGCGCACGATCCGGCCCTTTTCCGACCCGCTCAGGGACAACGCCGGGTTCCTCCACCTGAGGGGCACCCTCTTCGACTCGGCCATCATGAAGACGTCGGTCATCTCGCCCGAGTTCCGGGCCGAGTTCCTCGAGGACCCGGGCGACCCCAACGCCTTCGAGAGCCGCGTCGCCGTCTTCGACGGCCCGGAGGACTACCACGCCCGGCTCGAGGCCGCCGCCGACGCGGGCAGCATCGACCGCCACACCGTCCTCGTCATGCGCGGCGTCGGGCCGCTGGGCTACCCGGGAGCCGCCGAGGTGGTCAACATGCGCGCGCCGTCGCGCCTGCTCAGGCAGGGCGTCAAGGACCTGCCGTGCATCGGCGACGGGAGGCAGAGCGGCACCTCGGCCGCGCCGTCCATCCTCAACGCCACCCCCGAGGCGGCCGACGGCGGCAACCTGGCGCTCCTGCGGGACGGCGACCGCGTCAGGGTCGACCTCGGCGCGCGGAGGGTCGACATCATGCTGCCCGCGGCGGAGCTGCAGGCGCGGCGCAGGGAGCTCGAGGCCCGCGGCGGGTACCACGGGCCCCCGAGCCAGACGCCATGGCAGGATATATTCCGGCGTGAGGTCGGCGGCCTGAGCGAGGGCATGGTTCTCAAGCGTGCTGTCCAGTTCCAGCGTGTGGCGCAGTCGGACCCCCCCAGGGATAACCACTGAGTTAATGAGCACATCATGGTGTGATGTTCAAGTTGTTTTGGGAGTGCGGACTGCCCAGGTGTATGTGGTCTTTCAATCTTAGAGAAAAGAATTAGCGACTAGACAATGTTTATAGACACGCTTGTGGAGTTGGTCGATTCCAATATATTACGCTTCCTCACTTTTCGTTTTGTGGAATCCATGTACTCTGTTGATAAACACAAAGACACAGTCTTGCTTTCATCCACATTGGACGGATTCTTGTTGGACCTTGCCCGCGTAAGACCTTGAGGTCTGTAAGTGTACTCATTCTTGGGGGTATTTGTTGTTAAATAGTCTGGTTTTGTTTCTGTTCCGAATGCATCGCTAAGGTGTACTTAACGCTCCCTTAACACAGCCCTGGAGTGGTAAACGCTCATAGACCCAGCTTCTCATACCATTGTTCTTGGCATTATAATATGGAGTCTTTTCACATCCACGACCGTGAATCCTCCAGAGCTCTCGAGATACTGTTATCAGCTCCATCAGCAGCCTGCTGGCTTTCTTCCGATCACACTCGTCCTCGACGTTACTGGGGCGAGACAGAGTCTTTGATGTGCAGCAGAGTGCAGGACTGCAACCAGAAACGTGATGCCCCACGTCTGTTCACCCGTTTTCATCGCATGTTCCTGAACTTCTGGGCCCAAGCGGCCCTACGGATGAGCATGCCCCTCCTCAAGGCCAGGAAGTAGAAAGCAGCACCGAATACGGCGCCGCCAAGGTGGGCGGCGTAGCCGGTGTATGAGCCCATCCAGTTGACGTGTTTCTGGCCCGACTTCTTCTCCTGGTACAGACGGTACATGTCGTAGCCGACGAAGCCAGCCACCACGGCCCAGTACGGGATCTCGACGGGGATCGGGAAGACCATCATCTGGGTTTGTTTTTGTCAGTAGACGTCCCGCCCACTACTTGGTACTCGGGCCGCCATAAAAGAAAGAAAGAAGGAATAAATACTCACCGGCCACCTGGGCTGGGCAAGCATGGTAGCCACCATGATACCCTCAACCATGCCCGAGGCGCCCAGCCCGCGCGACTCGGGCAGTCCGGCCTCTGCGGACTTCTGGTAGTCGTACAGCGACCCGAGTGACCCGCACACAGCCGAGCCGAGGCCGAGAACAGCCAGGCGGGCGGGGCCCAGACCTACGGCGGCGGAGAGACCCAGCGAGGCGGTGCTGTCTGTTTTTTTTTAAATCGAGTGGTGGTGTGGTCAGCATCTGCGCAGGTGTTGTGTCTGGCCATATGCAAGACTATCACTCACGAAGCACGAGCATGTTGATGGCCAGGTGCGCCGTGTCGTAGTGGCTGAAGGCCGAGGTGATGAGGGTCCACCACCGGCCGTCGGCCATGTTCCTGCGGGAGAGGGTGTAGTTCTCGTTCATGTGCCTGACGTGCCTCGCCTGTGCCAGGTGGTAGGCATGGGAGTCGCGGCCCTGTTTCTGGGCCTCGGCGTCGGCGAAGACATGCCACTTGCCCCAGATGAAGATGTTTGCGCCGATGGTGCCCCAGAGAAGGCCCTTGCCTAGCTTCGAGGCGGCCATGTTCTTGTTGACTCTGCTTGTGTTCAGAATGCTAGGATAGATACGGTCAGGATGCGGAGAGGGAGCCCGACGCGATGATGGAGTTCAAGCAGCCTGGCTGCGCAGGTAGGTGGAGATTATTTTGAGTGTTGGTCCTCACCCCTGCATCATTCTGATTAAGTACCTAGGTACCTAGGGCCACCCACAGTGCAGCCACAGTGCAGCCCCACATTCTACCCTGTCTCGCGCACGGCCCACGACCTGCAGACAGCGAAGCAACACAAGAGCTGACACTGTTATCATTTCTCATTACCCAGCCTTGCCAGCCCATCATCCCTTGCTCTGACCCGACCCTCGAAACGCCCCCCGCCCGTGTCTTGTTGGCCTTGAGGCATCTGGCATCTCAGCTGCACGTCACCACAGTCATCAACACGACGTCAGAGGTCGGCGTCGCAGCCGCCTCGGGCTCAACATCGCATGCCTCATCGTCACCGCCCGCCTCGGTGGGCGTCGCCGGCGCAGCAGTGGCAACAGGCGCAGCAGGGGCAGCAGGGGCAGCAGGGGCAGCAGGTGCAGCGGGTGCACCAGCAGCAGCGCCACCGCCCATGATGGCATTCCACGCATCGGCCGCCGACTGGTCCTGCTTGGCCGCCACGGCCGCCGAGCTCGCCTGGGCGCATGACTGCTGCGTGCCCGACGGCGCGTTGCAAGGGCTCCCCAGGCGCTGGCAGATGAACCCCGCGATCACGGCGATGTTGAGCGCCGACCCGTGGTTGAAGTCCTGCTGGTTGGCCGCGATGAAGGCGTTGGTGTTGCGCCCGTCCAGCCCGGCCTCGAACAGGATCTCGGCGTTGGAGCACGAGCCCAGGTCAAGCCCCGCCCGCTTGCGCTGCTGCTGCGCCGGCCGGACCCGGACGTCCCGCGTGTGCTGCCGCTTCTTCAGGTTGTTGGCCGCGTGGCACTCCTGGTTCTGCTGGTCGCACTGCTGCACCCCGCCTGCCAGCTGGCCCGAGTTGGCCGCCCTCGCGCACGCGTTGTGCTGCACGTCGCACGACCGCCCCAGCGCCGCCCCCGACCCCACGAAGGTATCGCCGTTGACCGAGAAGGGCCGGTCGCCCGCGGACGACACCACCGGTGGAGGTGCGCCGCCGAGGGTGCCCGTGAACGCCTGCACGTTGGTTCCTGGTCGCCGGGGGTTAGCATGTGCAGGGGGCGAGGGGCGAGGGGCGTGTTGGGGCAGGGTATGGACTAGGTTGCTCACCAGACACGGAGGCTGTCTGCACGCTTGCGGCCGAGGACGCCAGTGTCGACATCATGGACACGGCGTTGGTGGCCAGCACCGTCGTGGTGGTGGTCGTGCACGACGAGGTGGGAGCCGGCGGGGCAACATCGCACCCGTCGTCGTTGGCGGCCGGGGCAGCCGAGGCCAGAGCCAGGTAGGCGGCGAACAGTGCGGTGATGTATGTCTTCATTTTTTGGATGGTGCTGCTGTTTAAGCTTAAAGGTTATCTTGAGGTAGGTATGGTGGTGGTGCTGAGTGCGGTCAATGCCGAGAATAGAGTATTAAAATCAGATGATCCGTAAAGAATGGAAAGAGTTCACAGAACTCTGCAGTAAAGAATGACTGGATGGCAGCTGGGCCGGGAAGCGAACAGACGGGATGACAGTGGTGGTGGTTAGACTTGAGGCTGTCAAGAAGGAGACAGAAACAAGAGAGAGAGAGGGAGATCAGCACAGGCCTATATATAACAAGGCGACTCACGACTTGGGACGAAGCCGATCCTGGCTGATCATGAGCGATCATAGTTCGTGCAGCATATGGCACTACTACACCACCTCGTCGTCGATCATGACCCTGGAAATATGAGACGTGATGACTCCGTGTTCTGGCCCTGGACAGAATCACTCTGGCCAGCCCCTCACCACACACAGGCGCCTTCTCAGACGTCGCTTGCACAGCCCCGGGTGAGGTTCTCGTCATGCTGCCTGACACGGGGGCGCCGCACCGTCAGGGTCAGCCCTGTCGAGATCTGTCAGGCAGATTCCCTCCCGCAAGCCGACTACCAAGATGGACGACATTCCTCGCCCGACCAATTCCTTCCAAGGTTCCCGGCCGGGGAAAGCTGGCGATTGGATGGCGTCTGCAGCCGACGTGTGATGAGGATTTGCATCAAGGGGCTGGCCACGGGCAGATAAAGGCAGAGTTTTCCGTCCAATGTGACCGCCCTGGAAAGCTTATCACCGCAAGCATGCCCGCCTGGGTGCCGTCGAAGGAGGTGAGACGAAGAGAGCCGCAGATCTGGGTTTCAGCCGCATCGCGAGCCCTACGACCACCCCGAATAAGCCTAGCCCCCTCGCCAGGCAAGGGTTGCTTGTTGCTGCCGCCCGGAGCCCTGGTCTTTTACACGGCTGCAGGGGCTCTCCAGCATGCTGGGAGCTTTTCTCCGGTGAATGGCGGCACCCTTGCTGATTCCGGGCGCCCACGGTTCCGAGAGCGCCTTGCGCCTCTCATCATCTGCACACCAGGAGAATTGCTGCTCTCTATTCCTACCCATCATGGCTTAATTCTTGTCGTCAGCTCAGAAGTTGCTGGTTTATTCCCCTACAAACTGATCCAAGGACCACATAGAAATCGGCCAGTGGAACAATATGGCCATGAACTCGGTTGATGGTCTCAGTTCCAAGCAACTGCCCCTCTGCTTGGAACCCGGTGGACCCGTGGTCGCTGTCAAAAAAGCTTGGCTACGAGCCTAAATCCGCTCTACCAATACCTAGGTACTCAGCGTGAATATTCCGCTGCACACTGGGAAAATCTACCACTTTTTGTTCCCTTACATCCATGGACCTCAGGTAGCTTCGTCTCCGACATTTGGCACCATGTTCGATGCAGTCTTCACATGTGCAGACTGTCTGTCGTATTGTCTACTCGACTGCAACACTGGGTGTCATTCTCGACCCTCATAGTTTAAAACCAGACTCTGTATTGTAAAACTAAATCGCAAAGAAAAACTTTTCACCTGTCTCACTTCCACATCCCTAGCGAACACGACCTTTGAAGGTGATGTAAAGAAGTAGGGCAAGTCGTAACTAAAATGAAAGACCATCCTGGAAACGATACCCAGGTCAACAAGAGAGCCTCAGACGTTGGATGGTAGTGATGCCACTGACTAGCCCGTGTAGTTGCCGAACGGAATGTCACGGCAGTAGCCATTCCCTGCCTCTTCGCCGTTGATGATATTGAAGTGGTACTGCAGACACCCATAGTCAATACTGCCGCCACGGCCGCCGTTGTTGCAGTCATTCCACGTAGACTTGACCAGATGGGCGCAGGATACTTTGTACCCGGGTTCGTCGATCCTCATGGTGCCTTCGGGCATGGTACAGCCGCTCTTCCACAATATCTTGACGTTATACGAGAGCCAGTATTTGTTCTTTGCTAGAACGCCCACCCCCCTAAAGTCGGGCCCGGCGACCACTTCCTTGATATCCCTATTCTGGCACATACCGTCTGCCATCGAGGCCATGACGCCTTCGTAAACCTCGTTGTTCTTGCAATTCTTCTGTATGTTGTAGCACGCCAGGTTTGATGGGGACGGGGCCCTCTTTTCTAACGGGTTGGGCAACGGGGTGCTGGTGCGAGTGCCGGTGACGCTGGTGGAGAAGGTGCTGGAGACATTGGTGCTGGCTCCGGTGATGTCGGCATCGGCGACTGTTGTGCTGAGGGCGGATGCCGTGGAGAATACGGCAAGTAGCCCAACCAGCTGTTGACCAAATGAGATGTGCATGGCTGCTTGGTTTCTTGGGTGTAGGACGACGTGGTCGGCTTCAAATAGTGGGAGGGACACTGCGGCCTGCACAAGCTGTTGGTGGATGGTTTCTCGCTTGGTGCGAAGGTAATCTTGCGGCCAAAAGAGCTCGATAGTCGTTGATACGTGAGGTGTGAAGGAGGTGCAAAGGAGAAAATAATACCAGAGATCGGGTGGAGTCAAATCTGTCAAATATAAGAGAACTCAGAGGCCAGTCGGAAACCGTCGAATTTGTGGCCTTGACTAGGGCGTAGACCATATCTCCCTAAGAAGGCGCGGTCCACAACCAAGCTTCTCATCTGTTTGACAGCTCGGGCACTAAATTGACATCTTCCAATGTGATTTGCCTTGGTCTCGAGGTCGTGAACTAGGACTGTGACTGACAGATGTCATCGAGACAGCTTGGGACTGTCAGTGCGCTAGTGTGAGCACCGATTCCTCAGGATACCTATAGAGCATACATGTGACTTGGTTGAGCTAATGTAACGTGGTGAGCTCATTGACGCGTTAATTTTAGACCTCATTTGACAGATGAAGCGGGTAGTTCGTCGGGCGACCTGGCGCTTAGCCTGTTCCTAACATTGAACATTTGAACACTACCAACTATTTGTTGGTCCTAAGGTCATTTGTCAAGAACAAGTGCGTACTGGATTCTATCACGGCTTTCGGATACTTTTTATACGGGGGTGGGGAGGTGGGTGTGTGGGGATTCATAAGCCTATCTGCCGCATCGCCTTTTCTTCTTGGGTGAAGCGCAAAGTTGACTGGGACAGATCATGTATGCTTTCACCATAGCACAGAGCCACATTACTTAAGTAGAAAAACAAAATTGGCAATGGGGATACCCGGGGCTGTCGCTTGTTTGACTGTTGTCTGGTTCCTCCACGAGATTCATTTTATCGAGAGTCTTCATCTGAGATGTCTTCCTGAGATAGACCATCCCGACGGAGATGTGTTGCACGAGCCCGTCTATGCCACGGGAGGTTGTGGGATAGATGCGGTCGCCGCGTAATGGACACCTCTATTACCGTAGTGATGCTAGTAGCCCTTGTGATTGCTTCCCTTCTCTCATTTGCTTTGCACTACATGCAAATTGCAAATGCGTGCTTGGTCTAATAATATTGAATCAACGGGAATTACCATCACGGGAACCATAGTCCGGTCTTGCATCAAATTTGGGCACAAACCGCATTTGCACTGTTATGTTCTATGAATGCTCGTATCTACTTCTCGAGCCCTGCTGGTACAAACTGTGAGAGATCAGGCAAGAATGGTGGGCGCGACAACCCAACCCGGTAGTCAAAATGCCTCAGAAACCCATAGTACTACTAGTACTCTTGTCCACATACCAAAGTATGCCAGCATTGTCAAGTACCCCTGACCTCGATCTCGACCGACTTCGCATTCCCGACTTGGAACAAGCCAGCTTCGTTCTCACCCGTGCCTGGCGCGTTAACGTCATCAAACGCAAAGGCATATGTTCCCACACTGCTGGGTGTCGCGACGTTGTGAATGATCCGGGCGTAGTGATTAGTCCGATTGGTCGTGTAGTACTTGTTCGCACCCATCTCAGAGCTGGGAGTCACGTCGCCGCCATCGAGCAGCAGTGTCGAGCGCGTGAAGGCTGCGCAGAGACGCGGCCACGTGCGTGACTGGAGGTCGTTGCCGTCTCCTGAGCTCGTAAAGGGCCCGCCGTTGCATCCAAGTATCTCCATGGTGGTCGGCTTGTTGTAGTTATACGTCTTCCCGTCGGGCTGGGCGCACGCCATGACGCTCCCGCCACACTTGCACGTCACGTTCTGGCCCCACTCTTCCTGCTGGGTGTTGATGGTGAGCTCGTCCGTAGAGTACCTCTTCCACACGTCGTCTACGTAAGGATCATAAAAGGTCTTGATGCTGTCGGCTGTGGTATCGTTGATGTATTTGGACGGCGCGATCGCTCGGACGGGTTTGCCGTTCTGGTCCTTGACGCACATGTTGCCCCAGTCGTCGCTGACGGCTGAGAGCTGGTCGCAGACCTTCTTCAGGGACCCAGCCGGCAGGCCAGGGTTGTAAATTTCGTTGCCGTCCGTTGTCGTGACCTTCAGCCCGAGGGCCAGGCTGAAAGAGTCGACGAATGAGAGGTCAGTGGCCAGCTGCCCGTCGTTGGACCATGTAAGCTCGGCGAGGCCCCAGGGGAAACCGTAGTTGGGATCGTTGGGATCCGAGGGCGAGGGCGTGAGCACGTTTCCTGATGGGTCTGCCATAAAGGTCATCTTCTTCGCACCGATATACACCCGACCCGACGAGAGGTTCTGTTTCAATGTAACCGTCTTGTCGGTGTTGGTCCCGATCTCGATCTCGAGCTGGTTGAGGACAGAGTCGATAACACCGGATTGTGTGGGATAGTACCCACGATCAGCACCGTTCTGGAACACGACTGCTTTGCCGTTGCTGGGGTCAATACCCGTAAGGTAGGCGTACATTGTATCGGAGGCATTATTGGCGATCTTGATCTCCAGTTTTGACTGGGCAGTCGTGTATACGGTGGCTACTGGGGACTGCCCACTGATGCTGCCGTGAGCTTGGCCAGGGGTCGAGGCGCCCCCGGCCGCGTTGTCTGCTGGGATAGCATGGGCGAATGATGGAGTGGCAATCGCCACAAAGAGGGCCGTGAGAAGCAGCGTATATAACATGTTCCCACGACGGTGCAGCAAGAAAATACAGTATGGGTGGGTGGAGGTAGTGATCGAAGCTTGCAAAACGTGCGATGTTTGCAGTTGAATGAAGTGGGTGGCTACATCTTTCGTGGCAGAAAGATGCAGAGGGCAGCGGACTTATTTATGTGTGCGCTCCATTCCATGTTGTCCCCATTCACCAGGACAAGACGTTTGTTCGCCGGTATGCAAACGCTTCTCAATCACACTCACCATCATGCCACGGCAAGGGTCTATCTCTCCTCAGTAACTGTAGGGGTGCTCCCTTGCGCCCCTCCGAGATAAGTCACTTCAATGCTGTGAGCTCAGGGTGAGTTTTTGTACGGCAAAGACCTGTTCACTCTTTTGAACGGAGACCATGGGTGAAGGGAATGTTCCGGAAGAATGGAAATCCGAGATCATATTATACACCGCATGGTATTCCAGTTGGTGGTTCGTTTCTGATCCCGATACATATGAAACATATGGGGCGCCTTCATACAGTGGTAAACTCTCAAGAGACCCAATAACAGTGCAGAGAAAATACAATACGTGGGCACGTGGCCTCGCTTGGTGTTCAGAGTTCTATCGTCATGAGAAATCTACGTCTGAACCCGGAACTCATCCACCTACCTAAGTAGGTACTATACACTGTCGGGAGAGTTCTGTACCTAGGTACGTCAGAGCGAGCCAAACGACCAGCCGATGGTAATGGCAGTCGAAGTGTTTGGACCAGTTGACATGTAGAAAGGTAGGAGTCCGACGCTTTCAAACCCTAATACAACAAAAGGGTCCGCAAACTCACTTTTCGTTAATCTGTGCATGTTATTCAACACGGCCAGACCAGGTTCCTGCGGTACTGAAGAGAAGTCTACGACCTAGTTGTGTTATGCCGGTGCGAACAGGAAGCCTCAAGCAGCAAGATTGTTTGTCATCAGTCCGTAAATTGAAGAGGGCTCACTTCCCACCAGAGACGTGCAATTTCTTGCAGCTACCACAAACTTGCAATGACCGTCAAGATCGCAGCGTGACCTCCTATCTCTCCTCATTTTTAAGTCAGGCATGAGGTCGGAGATTCGAGCGGTTCAATGTCCTCTTCCTTCAGATTGTACTCTAGGAGACTATAAAGCTACGGGAGAACAATATTTTCCCAATGATTTAGACAAAAGTCTTCTTCGTTGCCGTTATGGCCAATTTGTTTTGATTGCACGAGCAAGTTCTATTGCAAGCTTCTGCTCAAGCGATAGCGCAGCACCTCATACAGACCGTTTCAAGTCATGGTTGGAAGCTTTTGTGCCCATGATACATTTAGCTGGCGAGGTGGATTTTGTTGGCGATCCAAATGCTTTACTTGCTCTGACACTGGCAGATACCTCACTTAGAACACGGCAAGAAATGGAAGCCGAGCAGAATGTAAGCATTTTCGCGTCAATTTTGAGCCGCTGCACTCACGACGTGTTCGTGAGCTTGAAAGGCCAGTGATCTGCGTGTCTGCAGGCTTTAAATTGCAAAATCTGGCTTGAGACGGGTCTGTGGCCGCGAGTGAGACACCTTTGATGAGCAGTCTACAACATTGAAAGCAGCAATCGCGCAGATTTGGACCATGAGCTGTTTATGAAGTGAACTTCGAAGCACAGACTATGAGGATATGCTCGGTCTTCGCAACTGGCCGAATCGAGCAGCCCGCGTGTAAGAAAGTAGGGATAAATTCTCTTAACTCAAGATCTGGAGGAGGAGCAATGAAGAACCCTTATTCATAGATAATTCTCGGCTAGATGTCGGCATCTAAATTCCCACTAGATATCCATAGAAATCAAGAGAAACAAATATGACTCGTTGATAGGGACTAATAGAGGCCGTTAGTAGTAGGCCATAGACGGAGAGGAAACCGTCCGAAATGGCGTATTTCTACGCCGCGGCACCAACGAGCACACCATGGCTGTCGACGGCCGAATTCAGTTCCAAGATGCCACGCTGGTTTTAATAAGTCACAGTGGCGTCTTTGCACCCAATAGCAAGACACGGGCTCTTAACATTTAATAAGGTTTGGGGGTTATCTGCGTCAAGGCTAAACCAGAAGGAGACGAAAAGCACACACCCCCTTGACCTCCAAATGCCTCGAAACGCTCTTCGGCTGATCTCCCATGTCTGCCGTGTTCTTGGCATCGGCCACTTTGGCATTCGGAAAGAAACACGCTCTGAACTCTCTTTGTATGGACCGAGGCGAAATGGCGGCAGCTGAAACGCCGAAATGACCTGATGGTTCCGACCTCCAGCGTAGACTGGGTGTGAAAAGTTGCGCATCTGATAATGAATACTCTTGCGGTTGTATATTCTCTCTTCCTGCGAGCCTTCCTCTGAGTGCACTCCTGTCTGGCTTGACCACCCCGTCACCACTCCCTTGACGGGACACCTCATCCACCCCCGCAGGACTCAGTAAACATGTATCCCCCGGAGCCATACAAGGCGAGAAAGAAGCGCCACGCGGGGCCGTCCCTGCCGCGCTCCCCCTTCTCCCCCTTCTCCGCCTTCGGCCGGGGCCGCCGGGCCCGCCTCGGCCGCAAAGACGTCGCCCTGACCCTGCTGGGCGTGCTCCTCGTGTACCTGGTCTACACGGCGTGGGGGCCGGGCTCGGCGCGGCGGGAGCCCGAGTCGGTCCGCCTGCAGCGGCTCATGAACGACGAGGCCTCGGCCCGCCGCGTCTGGGACGTCACGAGCAGCTTCGACTGGGGCGCCATCGACTTCAGGTACCCGCCGCCGAGCGACCCGGCCCCGCTGCCCACGGGGGCGGGGGCGGGGGCGGGGGCCAGGAAGAAGAAGAAGAAGCCCGGCGGCCTCCTCCCGCGCGTGCAGCACCGGTTCCCGCCCGAGACGGCGGCCGCCCGGGCGGTGCGCGAGGCCAGGCGGGACGAGGTCCGCGCCGTGTTCCAGAAGAGCTGGCGGAGCTACCGGCGCTTCGCTTGGATGCAGGACGCGCTGCTGCCCGTCTCGGGCGGGGGCCGTGACCAGTTCTCCGGGTGGTCGGCGACGCTGGTCGATGCGCTTGACACACTGTGGATCATGGGCATGAGGGAGGAGTTTGACGAGGCGGTTGACGCCGTGGCACGCAGTAAGCAGCCCCCCTCCCCCCTCCCCCCGGGAACGCACGGCTCCGGCTTTGAAGGGAGCATGAGATGCCTGCTATACGCTGTGGCCTGTCTCATTGCTTGCCTTTGAGCCTCTGTCGGGCTCAAGGTTTCGAGACTGGCTGAAAACAGAGGACCCCTCCTCCTCCTCCTCCTCCCCAGTGCCCCAATAGCTGACATGGAACTCGCAGTCGACTTCGGGCAGGCCACCAACCCGCGGGTCAACATGTTCGAGACAAACATCCGCTACCTGGGGGGCCTGATGGCAGCATACGACCTCAGCGGGCGCAGCGTGCTGCTGGCCAAGGCGGTGGAGCTGGGCGACATGCTCTTCGCGGGCTTCAACACGCGGTCCCGGATGCCCGTCGACTTCTTCGACATGGGCCAGAGCCAGTCCGGCAAGGGCCTCGAGGTCGAGGGCGGCGTCGTGGCGGCGTCGCCGGGGACCCTGCTGCTCGAGTTCACGCGCCTGACGCAGCTGACGGGCGACCCCAAGTACTACGGGGCCATCGCCCCCATCGCAGACCTGTTCCACGCCGGCCAGAACCAGACCAACATCCCGGGCATCTGGCCGCAGTGGGTCTCGATGAGCACGCCCGACGTCGTCTCGGGCTACTTCTTCTCCCTGGGCAGCGGCGCCGACTCGCTGTTCGAGTACACGGTCAAGATGCACGTGCTGCTGGGCGGCCACGAGCCCAAGTACGCCGCCATGTCGGCCGGGTGGATGGACGCCGGCAACGAGCACCTGCTCTTCCGGCCCATGCTGCCCGGCGCCGACGACGTCCTCCTCGCCGCCAACGCCAAGGCGCACCAGCGCGGCGGGCCCGTCGAGCGCGAGTCGGAGAGCGAGCACCTCGCCTGCTTCCTGGGCGGGGCGTACGCGCTGGGCGGGCGCGTCCTGGAGGGCCGCGAGGACCTGGTCGGCGTGGGCGCCCGGCTCGCGCACGGCTGCGCGTGGGCGTACCGCGTCATGCCCACGGGCATGATGCCGGAGCGCTTCGGCACGGTGCCGTGCGAGTCGCGCGACAGGTGCCCCTGGTCGCAGGCGCGGTGGGACGAGGAGTCGGCCGGGCGGCCCGACAGCGAGGACCACCTGCCCCTGGGCGTCGTGTCGGCCAAGGACAAGCGGTACATCCTGAGGCCCGAGGCCATCGAGAGCCTCTTTGTCCTCTGGCGCGTGACCGGCCGCCCCGAGTTCCAGGAGGCCGCCTGGGACATGTTCCGGGCCGTCGCGAACGGCACCGAGACCGAGTATGCCAACGCCGCGGTCATGGACGTCACCCGCGCCAACTACCCCCTCGAGAAGGAGGACTACATGGAGGTGAGTAGGCCGGCCCTGGCGCTGGCGTTGGTGTTTCCCGCCCCAGACGGGACCCTGTTGGCTAACCCATCCCCACGCAGAGCTTCTGGCTCGCCGAGACGCTCAAGTACTTTTACCTGGCCCTGTCACCTCCGGACCTGATCAGCCTCGACGACTTTGTGCTCAACACGGAGGCGCACCCCTTTAGGAGGCCGGCGTGAGCGCTGCTGTGTGCCAGAAAGATTCTTGGCTGCATTGACAGGTGTCCGGCGTCACAAGGTTGGGTTGGGATATTCTGATGCATCATGTCTTCGTTGTATAAGTTTGTTGTCAGGTCTCGCGTCTCGTATCGACATGATATGATATCCGCATGCTGCCAGACAGGTCCACATCTGTAGAAGTTCTATCGAGTCAGTGATCTGCTTTGATAAAGCCTGCTTCGAAAGGGGAAAAAAAGCCGTTTCTATCGATCATGGAAGCCAGAGACCTCTTCGTTCCCTGGAGATATGAAAGCACTTGCATGGTCAAGAGTCTATTAAAAGTAACAGCTGTGACGACCTCGTGCTTTCAATGTACATCCTGACTCATAATGTCGTGTAATCAGGTCAAAAGAATCGCTGCCGTCGTAAGAGCATGCCAACAACAACTCGCACTCCCATGCTGCGCCGTCCGTCTATATACAAATAGCCACCATGTAAATGTTGAACCTTCCAAAAAAGGATAAAAAATGCACTTCAATGCCATGTCGGCGGGAGTAAATCCAGTCTCCACCTGCACAGTTTCTAGTCTCAGCAGTGAGCGGGAGTGAGTCGCTTCATGCCCACTAGGCACCGCCTCCGGCAGCCGCCGCCCTCGCAGCCTCCACTTCCCGCTGCAGCGCGTCGAGGTCAGCCAGCATCGCCTGGATGCTCGGGTCCGTTGCAGCCGCGTCAGCCGTGGTCACGTCGTCGACCGTCTCGGTTTCCTCGGCCACGGGCGGGACGTTGCCGGCGAAGCTGTCCCCCGACGCCTTCCTCACGCCCTCCGTGCTCGCGCCTTTGGGTTCCGAGCCCTCCATGCTGCCGCGGCTGCTGCCTCTTTTCCTCGGGGGCGGAGGCGGTGGGAGACCGCCTTTCCGCGCCGGTACCTCGACCGAGCTGGACGAGGCTGGTCTGTTTGCCGAGGAGGCGGTACTCTTGCGAAGAGAAGGGTTCCGCTGTGGAGGCGGCGGCGGCGTCAGTTTGGACACGCCTGGGTGTTGTTGGGGCGTCAGAGATGTTGATGACCCCGTCGTTGCGCTGCTTGTATCGGTGGCAAGCTGGGTTGCGGCATATGTCGAGCCTGGTACATCACTGCTAGGGCTCAGTTGTCCGGCCGGGAAGGGGAAGGCCGAGGACTGCATGGTTGAAACAGGGCTGGAGACCGAAGGCGACGGACGGTGGCCCGCAGGCCTCCTCGGCGGGGGCGGGACCGGAGCCGCGGTGGACAGTCTTATGCTGGACGAGCGTGACCTAACAGAATCCATCGAGGAGCGAGACGGTGTGGGCGGTTCTTCAGGCAGCTCAGCTTGTGGTTTGCTCTCGGTCCTGGCGTGCGCGCCTCTGCGTGGGGGCGGCGCGGGCTTCCTCAGCGTCGATGTCGGGTTCTGGACGGGGGTGGAGGAAGAGTGCGACGTGTTCGGCGGCGTGGGTGGTCGCGGCGGCGGCACAACATCAGCTTCGGGGTCGATGTCGACCTCGGGCACCTTGCCTGCGGCTTCCTTGTCAAAGATGCTCTCCTTAGGATCATATTCGGATGGCGCTGGCGGTTCAGGAAGCGGCTTGTTAACATCCGTAGGGCTAAGAGAAGCCCTTCGGCCAGACGACGCGTCAGCCAATCCTCCAGAAGCACGGCGCTCTAATGCTTGCGACCGGTCCTGTGCGACCGGTCCGGCCCTGATGGACTTCCCGTGTCTTGTTGCAGGAGGAGGCGGCGGCAGCTTCTTGCGGGAGCCGGGTTGTTTGGGCGGGGGCGGGCTGATCAGTCCACGCTGTTCCTCGTCGCCTTCCGGCTCCGGCTCGGATATCTCGTGCGACGTCCGTGGCGACTCTAGCGAATGATTGTTGTTCTCGAAGATGGACTGCCGTGATACGGACGAGGCATCCGTCATGCTGCCCCCATCACCAGCCACACCTGTCGGGTGCAGGGTGGCCGGGCCCGAGGTGCCGGCAGGTCCGGGTGCAGGACCCTGGCCCGTCAGCAGCAGCTTCTTGAAGGCCTCAACATCCAGACCTTTCCCTGCCGGGGAGGCATGTTCTGCGGCACCAGACCCGCCGTCCCTTGCAGCCTGCTCCATGTCTTCGAGGGTCTTCTGGAAGGGGTTGGGAGGGGGGCCGCGGCCGGTGTACTGCTGTGGGAGCGGCTGCGGCTGCGGTGCCTGTACCCTGCCCATGGAGGCCAGTGCATCTTCGGGGAGAGGCGGCGCCTCGTTCTGGAAGGGATCTTCTGCCTCGCCATTGAGGGACGGGGAGCTGAGGCTGCTGCTGTCGTCGCCTTCTTCGCGGGGCGGGAGCGGGTACTTTGGGTACGAGCGTTCGGCGCTGGCGGACTCGGGACTCGAGGGTGGAGGGCTCTGGACCCTGACCTTCTTGACTGGCTTTTTCTTCTGGAAGGAGGTGGCGGGCGGGGGGGCATCGCTTTTTGGGAGCAAGGTCAGAGATCTAGCAAAGTCGTTGCCGCTGGGGCGTGGTGGTGCCTGAGGCCTCAGAGGGGCATTGTCTGCGTGTAATACGAAGGACGAGGCAGGCGGGGCAGCTCCAGCTCCAGCCTCAGGTTCGAGTTGAGCTTGAGCTCCGGCGGCCGAGGGGGCGGCAGTCCTGCGACGGAAGGGGTTGTGGGAGCCGAAGCCCGACTCAGAAGCCATGGCGGCCGGTGGTTTTTCAAGCTGGGAGTCGTGTCATGTCACGGAGATGTTGTAGCATCGTCGGAGGGTCAAGTACACAGTAGTGGTGGTGGTGCTGGTGCTGGTGAGGGCCGTGGGGGTCTTGTCTCTCTGGGGCGGATGGGACGGGATCGGATCAAGGCTGCCAAGCTTGGCTGCAGGTGGTGCACCGAGAAGGACTTAGGGTAAGCCTGCAGTGGTTGTTGTTGTTGTTGGGCTGGAGGGTGGATGGACGGACGGATGGGCGGACGGGCGGAGGGATCGATTAATTGATTGATGGATGGATTGCCTTGTCTGCAGGCAGGTTGTATATACAGGTTGTGCGATCAGTGTCGTGGCAAGTGGTGATGCTGTGTTATGGGGGGGTGTCGTGGGACTGTGCCGTCTTGTGCTTCGCTGCGAAGCCGAAGACGAGTGAGTGGTGAGTCGGCAGGTTGAGTGAGGTACGGAGTACCGTGTGTGGTATAGTCGCTGGTCAACGTTCCCCCATCGGTAACCGTCCCGTCCTATGGTCAGTCAGTCTCGTACCGCGGGGCAGGGGTGTGCGGAGAGCTAGCTACCTGGTATCCGTACCTGGGTACCTTGGTACCTGACTTATGGCACCCGCAGGCAAGATAAGAAGACCGTGCTTGCCTTATCGGCAGCTGCACTGGCATATGCTGCAACGACACTAGTAGGCGATCTTCAACCAGGTGCCAGGTTGGGCCCAGCCCGCCAGCCCGCCAGCCCAGCAGCCCAGCAGCCCACTCACCCCAGTCTCGTTGTCGGTGCAAGCTGCAGACGACCAAGTGAGTGAGTGAGTGGTGAGTGAGCTTGAGCTTCCTCCCCTTCCAAGCTTTGGCATTAGCAGTGACAAGAACTTGCTCTCGGCCTAAACTTCAATGTATGAAGCGCCACCCATACCCACCTGTCCGAGCAAGGGTGGCCTTCATTCCGTTTTTCTTGAACGCTGTCCCGAGGAGGAAGACTCGAGTGGTGAGTGAGCGAGTGTACTCCGTAGACTACTCCGTACTGCACCGGCCGGCCAGCAATCAGCCTCAAGTGGGTCAAAACGTCATGCCCAACGGGCAGGGTGCCCGCCTGCCCTGAGAAGGAACCATCCTCGCTCACTCCCGCCCGCCCGCCCGCCGCCCGTCGCCCACTCCGTTTCAATCATCAACGATACGTCTCGCTACCCACATGGAGGTGCGCCATCTCGGGAAGGTCTGAAACATGACGTGCAACAAGAAAGAGGACTTGCGTAGTACGGCGGTGGAGGGCAGCGCGCTCTTGACGGTGTTGATTTAACCCAGAAGCAGCAGGATGCAGGAACAGAAGTGCACTTTGACGAGCGAGTCCGGAATCTCCAGTCCGAAAATAGGCACGGCAACGGTTGGTTGATTGACGGTCCAAGTGCGTCGACGGGCAAACCTTTTCAAGAAGCCGTCGGCCGTCTGTGGGAAAACGGCATAGTTCTATCGTAATAAGTAGTGATAACGTGCACCGATTGATTGTTTCTCGCAATCCAGGCAGAAGACTTCCCACATTCACGAACATGTTCCAGGAACCAGGGCTAAGAAAACAAATCTGGCACGTGAGGCCTGCAGCGGAGCAAAGTAAACAAACCCAGCCCACCTCCCGCGCCGGCCTCCCCCCCCCCTGCACCACGCGTCGTGCCACGGCCTGCCTCTGGAAACTGGCCAAGACCCATCTCGCCCAACAAACCGGACACGCCACCCACACAATTCAACTCCCACACCAGCTTTGATCCAGCACCGCATCACGACAAGACCAGCAATTATGAAGTTTTCCGAATCTGCAATTCAAACACCAGCAGGACTCGTTGGTATAATTACAGATGCCCATCCCTTTAACAGCCCCATCCTCCCGTAACCGGCTGCTTTGCTAATAACACTATCGTCGTGCCTGGACCGTACCACCTCGGCCGCGCCGGAAGCGCAGTGGGCGCGACACGCACCTCGGCCCAACGAGCCGAGACAGGTCAAGGGCAGTCACCCCCTTCGTAAATAAATACACTCGTTGGTGGCCCGCGACCCCGGAATGATGTGCACACCTTCGCCGACCCAAGCAAGATACATTGAACGTAGACCCTTTGGTTGAACCCACAATCCTGTTTCCCCCCCCAAACGCCAATAGAACCGCCCTACACGCGTGGAACAATAAACTCAAAGTGCGCTGTCGATGATGGCCTGGAGCCCTCTCTCCATACCATCTTATGCCGAGGAGGCGGCGGCAGTGGAAGCAGCAGCCTTCTTGGGAGTCTTCTCCTTCTTGGCGGCCGCTGGCTTCTTGGCGGTGGCAGCCTTCTTGGCCGCTGGCTTGGTGGTGGACTTAGCGACACGGCCAGACTTGGTCTTGGTCAGGGCGGCCGGCTTCTCAGCGGCCGGGGCAGCAGCATCGGCCTTCTTCTTGGGCGCAGCCTTCTTGGGAGCGGCGGTGGAGGCGGCCTTCTTGGGTGCGGCCTTCTTGGTGGCGGTGGCACCCTCCTTCTTGGCAGCAGGCTTCTTGGCGGTGGCCTTCTTAGCAGGTTCCTTCTTCTCGGCAGCAGGCTTCTTCTCCTTGGGAGCAGACTCCTTCTTGACAGGGGCAGACTTCTTGGCAAGCTTGGTGCCACCAGATGCACCTAGAGGTATTGTTAGACTGTGTGATGATTGATGATAATAAAGAATGGGATGGCATGGTCATGGTCGAGTCGGGACCCAGGCACAGGAGGGGGAGGTGGTGAGGCATGAGCATCATGGGGGGCGAGTGCTTACCCTTGGGCTGGACGAAGACTCCCTTGTCGACACCGGCCTTGAGGGCACGGTTGAAGAGCGAGTCAAACATGGAGTCGGTCTGGGCCTGGATGTTATTGTTGGCCTTCACGTACTTCTTGAGGCTCTGTCGGCTATTGGGAGAGAAGAGTTAGCGTTGGTCTTGTCTCACACCGAGGCCGAGTCACGATGGCTTCATGCACCAAATGCGGGGCATGAAACACACGGGACCCGAGTTGGGGTAGGAGCCGGCTTACCTAGATCCATTGCGGTCCTTGAGCTGTAAGTTGGAAAGACGCGTTAGTGAGATGAAAACGAAGACACGGTAGAGCTGCCGTGGAGCTGTGGAGGCTGCCTCGGGTTGCTGTCGGGTGCACGTGGTGGTGCATCAACAGCAGGCGCGTGACAGCCGGCACGCACACACACACACAGGATGCGACGCGTGTTGCGCCGGAAAGGATGGGTTGGAGAGTCATACTTGAGTGATGGCCTCAGAAATCATGTCCTGTAGAGCGTTAGATGACAATGCACTTGAGAAACAGCCGGTGCAGAGGCGACAAACCTGGTAGGTAGGGTGGGAGGCAGGAGCCTTGGCCTTGGTGGCACCTTCGGTCTTCTTGGGAGGCATTTTGGATGATGTGGGTTTGGGACGGTTGTGTTGATGGCTGGGGTCGATAAACGGGATTGACGACGGGATGGACGGTGGCCGAATTGATGTTGTCTACGGGAGATGTGTGTGGAATGAATAGATGGAGAGAGAGAAAAAAGAAGAAGATCGGAGGAGGACGGGGCGGAAGGAGGGAGCGGTCATGGTGGGCGCCTGTGTTTATATACGAGAGCGGGGCGGACTGGTCGAGGATGCACAACTGGATTTGAATCAGTAAACCGCAATGCACGCACACGCCCACGCCCAGCCCACGCCTCCTGCTGCTCCTCCCTCCTGCTCCCTCCTATACTCTCTACTCTCCACCCTTTTTTTTCCCTTTTCCCCTTGGCCGCCCACCCCCACTAATACCTACCTACCGTAGATACCACCTACCCAAGACTAACTACCACAGTAGGCACCCGAACGGCTCGGGGACCTTGCGACCTGGCATCATCTGAGGCTTGGGGGCTCTGGGGCAGGAGCTGCCCCGGCCCAACCATCGATCATCCCCATCCACTCCACTCCACTTCATTCATCCATTCCCTTTCCCATCTCCTCTTTTCTGTCTTGCCACTCTGTTGTTCCCTCTGCTCTCGGCCGACCTCATAATCCTCCTGATGCCCCCCCCCCGAAACCTTACTTTGCCATCTGTCTGGCTGCATGTCAACCTTGTTGGCCGGGCTGTCTCGTCTCGTCTTGGCTTGTTCTGTGCCTCCCACCCCATACTTTACTTTTATTTCCCGACCTCGCCCGCCTCGGAACTCCCTGTCCTCCCATCTCTCGATCGATATTATGACCACCGTTGTCTATCACCGTGCACCGTCGAGCCTCCTGCTGTCCTCTTGCACCAGCCTCTCTGCCTGGGGCTGGCAATTTCTCCAGCTTGCTTGCATGTATGCGTGTAGCTCTCTACTCCGTACGTCCTCGCCGGCCCCCATCCAGACTCGCATCCCACTGCCGTGCAGCTGCGGCACGTGAGCTTGAGCTTGAGTTCTAGGTTGGAACTTGGGGGGGAGGGGCTGGTCTGGCCCGGCTGCACAGCCGAGCTGCCAGCTTATCGTGCATTTACATGTTCACGCACACGCACACACACACACCACCACCGCACCATCATCAGTGTTTCCTCTTATTCATCCCACGTGTGTGATGGAATCTCCACCAGGTGCTACACTGAGACAGGCGTGGCAGGGCGGGTGGGATTTCCATCTTGTCTGCCACCTTGAAATCTCCAGTATGGGCAATTCCCTGTGCTGTGCCGTGGTTTCAAATGCTCATTTCAGAGCTTGCTGAGGAAGGAAGGACCCTTGGGTTTGCTCCTCGATATGGCCCGAGTAACCCCAGCATGCCTGAAGTGTCAAGTGGCCAGGGTATAATAAGAGAATCAGAGCCAGGGGTCGTAAAAAATACGGGGGCCTGCTGGCTAAACTGCTGATTTCCTGGCCAGTCCGTTACTTGCACGGCGGGGCCCGCGCACGTTTTAGCAGAGGAAATGGGTCGAAAACCGGATCCCTGTCCGGGAGGGCCCCAGGCGCTATCCCCGATTGGGGGCGCCAGTTCGACCTCACGTCTCGCCTGTTGTACCCCCTCCTCTGCTCTCACAATCAGCCCGCTGCCATCGCCATGCCGTCCACGCTGCTCTCACGTCAATCACCTCGCGCCCCCCGATTTCCTCTTGCACCGTCCCGCCCTTCTCCCTCTTCTTCCATTCTCGTGCTTCTGCCACGCCCTTTTGCGTTATTGGCTCCTTTCCCATAAGCTTTTCTTTTAGCATTTCCCGTGCACTGGCGGCCGGTGCAGCTGGCCCCATGCCCGCCGTCTCCCAAGCCGCTGTCACAACCCCGGCCGAGGCTCGAGATGCCCAAGTCGGGCGGGCTCCCTTTTCCACCTCAGCCCGGCTGCGACCTGTTCGGTCGCATTCCCAATGGCGAGCCAACAACCCATGTCTTGTAGAGATATAATACAAATGCCCGATCAACTGGAACGTCAGATTTCTTTTGAGCACGGTTTCGACGTGATCCGTCTTGTCTGGATGCCCAATATAAGTGGGGCCACGGCATGTCACTTTTTTGTGTCCTGTCGCCAGGTCGCGTCTGGGCTGCATCGTGAAGCTATCCGCAAGTTCACGACCGATTTTCAACTTATCCGCCCCAGGCCACCACAACTCTGCTTTTTACTCAATTCATGCTCTGGGCTTGACCAGTGGATCAATTTAAAGGCCATGCCCATCTTTTTGCTTCATTTTCCGACGGTTGTGTCGCAATGCACGCCTTCTCGTCAAGTCGCGCTTCACCTCACGATCGCCCGTCCACGATGCAGCTTTGCCCTCTCCTTTCCAACGCCGGCCCCCAGCCCTGCGGACTTTCAAATGGCCTGAAAAGCTACTGGGTGCTCGAGTGAGCTCCTGCCTTCATTTCTATTCCTCATTTTAATTCATTTTGCATGTGATGCCGCAGCCATGGCTTGCACAGCATGGGCACGACGTGTTGTGGTCGGCAGCATGTTTACACGATTCGTCCTGCAGTTCAGCACAGCATCACGGACTGACAGACATTTCTCCAATATTCCATCCGAATGGCATTCTCGCTGGGCGTGGTCTACAATAAGCCTCGGGGGAGGAATCATGTCCTCAGGACGCTGCCGACAGAAGCCAGAGTTTCGCTGTTGGGGAGTGAAGGGCGTCGGTCCCTCGCGCCTCGCACGCCTCTCGCGCTGCCGCGACACGGCCCCAACCCACGCCACTGCAGCAAGCAAGACAATCCTACGCATGTAGGAAAACATGCTCAGCGATATCATTGGGAATCTCAAGTGTCCTTCCCAACGCCTCAATCGCCGGGGTTCGCCGATTCAATGTTCGCGGAGGGCGGCTGCATTGGTGACACAACATTGGGCGTCTGACAACAACGTGGCCGAGGAGAACCCGCCACGCCATTAGTCAACACCAGCACTACTAACATACGACGGATCGTGTTCTTGTTCATCTCGGTTACCAGATCTCCTGGCCTGGTCGACACGGAGATTTAGGGTCGGGACAAGACTGGTTCCTGCTGCGCCTGAGCACCAACGAAACTTTGTGTGTGTCATGAGCTCGGCAGCCCAATTACCGCCGCCTTTGCCGCCGGCCTGGCCGGAAATCACCCATCGCAGGCCTCCATCACCAGCTACCGACGAGATCATGGTTATGTGAGAGTGTTCTTTCGTTCGACATTCCTCGAGACGAACTTGTGCTATCAATGCCCGACGTCTCACCAGACAAAGTCTTTGGTTGACTGCATCAAGAAGTGAGGGTTGAAGGATGCCAGGCACGACGACATCACATGCACAACATGTCACGCACAGCGTCTTGGTCCCTCCGGTTGACTCCACGCAAACACGGGTCGCAAGAGCTCAAATGCTCCATGTCCAACACGCCCAGTCAAGGCCACAGGCCATCCCGACTGCTGCCCAGGGTTATGGGTCGGATACACGAGAGGTCTTCAGAGACCACAGGAGGCACCCGGCGAGTGCTTGGTGTCATCAACATCTGTGATTACTAAGACGTCCCTCGATCCTCCTCAGCAACGGCGCGAACATATGCCACGTCTGGCTGGTGCCGGCCGCGGTAGCTGCTGTTCCAATAGCACAATCGATGGAGCGAATGATGCCACGCGATTAAGTGGTATCGTTCTTCATTAGTCCATAGTCCATACATCCCTAAGGTGTACGGTCCCTTCACACAGTAGTAAACGCAATGCCAGCAGCAGTGCAAGAGGAATACAACAAGGCACCCAAATTGCCATTTCCCAGATACTTCGTGTGGCAGGCGCCTCACGAAACGCTCGCCCCGTTGTAGACACTTAGCAAAACATCAACGTGTCGCGAGGGTGAGGGTGTACATAACAAACGGAGTCTTCCTCAAATTCTGTCCACGATGACACACGATGCACTATAGGGGTCATTGCAGTGCTTCGTTAAATCAACAATTTTCATAGTCGACCCTGTTATTCACCTCCGCATCAGTCGCGGCTGGATAGACCTCCAAGGTTTTAGAGAGACCCGAGACACTCGCACAATAACATTATAGGCATATACCTAGGTCCTGTTTGTCCAGGTCAATTGACCCTGTGACAGTACGATCGGATGGCACCTTCGACTCAAGGATCGCCAGGCACCATGACGTTCAACCTGTCAATCACGCACCGAGACCCCCCTCGGATGGAATGTCCCCCAGCTCAGATCATACTCCAGCCGCCTTTCTATTGTTAGCCGTGTCTCACGTCTGGCAGCTCACTTCGGGCCTAGCCTGGTCTTAACATCTCCAGGATAAGACCAACCAAGCAGCCCATCGCACGCCACGGCTATGCCGAATCCCGACAAGTGCGGTGCCATTGACCTCAAGCGCCCCTCCGATACATGTGCTTGGTCGGCCTTTGCTCATCGACTACACGCCATGCGCCATCCGCCTGTACTATGGTATCTGCCACATGACCGACCACCTTCTCAGTCTGGGGATGCTTTTCACACTCTAGTTGTGTACGCGCCTCGTGATTAGAGAATGCACCAAAAAAGAAGGTCGAGCACTGGAGGCTGAATTATTTGTCCGCTAAGCTACAAGACCGGAGCCCATACCTGTCCATTAATGACGTGCGGGACATTATCGTCACGTACTGGCATGGAGCGCACGCAGAAACCAAATTATCTGGTTTGGCGGTCTCTTCCCTGCTTACCTGCTAAGCAGGTAGCTAAACTATCGTTGCGACGAGGTCATCAGTAGGGTCAAACTAACATGTCTTGCAAAATCTAAAATCCAGCTCAGGTTCCATATTATTCGCTTTCATAATCTGACATAGTATATACTAGTATAATTATCAGTCACTGCCCGCGCGTCACCAGGTGCAACTCAACTAGGCCTGATTCCCCAGGGGTCTGACACGTTCCTCAAATACTTAGTTTTAAAATCTGATAATGAATACATATCATGAGAATGCGGATACCACAGCACGCTCAACACGTAGAATGGAAGATAAATTGTAAGCCCAAAGGAAAGAGTCCCACTGCCGTACAGTCGATAAATTGCATCCATAGGGCGAAACGGACCTGTCAACTTTAGAACTGCTACGTAATAGACGCCACGGCCAAAAACCACAATTACAAGTTGACTCACTACTTAGCTGGTTTCGCTTCTCAAGTGCTTTTCCGTATACGTCCGAGGACATACATACTCACAACTTGGAACCTAGCAACTATAAACTCGTACCGTCACATAGGGCCATCTAGTTCCTTGTACTTGGTCATGGACAGCTCAAGCTAAGCGTAAGCATCACCGCTAGCAAGACGCTTCAATTTCTATCATAAGTTGTAAGGTGAACGAGAAAGAATATTACTTTAAAAGCGTCTAAGTACCCTCCCTAGGGTAACTCTGAAGTGGCATCAAATCTAGATTTACATATTTTGGCTGTGCTTGTCAAATCTTTGCTCACATGATAAATCCACGGGCTCAATGAATAGACGCGCTTTTGTTTGCCCCCAACCTCATCCACCAAGGTCGATGAGTGCGTTGGAGAGAAGGTCAGAACGAGGAGGATCCCATGGCGGATGTCGACACTGCTCCAACACAACCATATCTTCCACGGAGACAATAAGTCATAGTGGAAGCTGAGATTAACAAAGGCCGTCGACAGCATCGACTCGACTATGGACGAAGCCCTTCGCGAGCTAGACCTCACCCAGCTGTTCATGAGGAGCAGTCACAAAGACCGCCGCGAGGCGACCTGTAGGAGGTTCTACCAGGGTGTAGATCATGACCAGGCGTAGCAGAAAGGAATCCTTTCGGCGCACGTGCTGACACATCTTGGGCTAACAAAGATGGTCAAGTGTATCAAGAAGAAATCGCCACGACCTCCAACCACTCTGGAGGACTTCTGGGTCATCAAGGCCAACGGGAGGGGCACGTCCGGCCGTCCGGTGAAGAAGATAGCACCGCCCTGGGATCATAACAGCTGGCAGGGCTACAGAATCATACATCTCCTCCTCAACCCCGGTTCCGCTGGTGACCGCTGGTGGTAACATTGAGGCTTCTCATCGCTCAAGTCTGCCGCCGCGGCCGCGACTACCCGCAGTCCGGGACCCAGCTCTGCTATATCAACCCGCACCACATTGTGCGGACGTCCGGGGGTATGAGCCACATTCGTAAGCAGTGCCAGCGCTCCTGGGCCGATTTGTGCCCCCACAACATGAAGTAGTATGTGTCACCTGGCGAACAGGGTCAATGACCGCCTTGCCACAGCTCAAGGCCACTATTGTTTCCCTGCCGGCGCGGTGGAGATGGGAATGCTTTCCAGAGGGGTCGTACCGTAGCCGCCTTCCATTCTACTACTTATATTTCTCGTGTGTAAGGGTGACCCAGGGTATTTGTCAGTGTCTGCCAAGGTATCTCGAGGTTCTTCCCGAGATTCTACTTCATGGTCGCCGAGTTGGCAGGGAAGTGCGCTGACCCC